ATTCCGATTGAGTTTCCTAAATAATCGTATAATTTCTTAATAAATTATCCCCACCTATTCAATTTGCATAATAATTACTACTCACCTTCATACATCAACCAATTGTTTACAACGGTTTGAATATTGCCGTAAAATTGACCAGCAACCTCGTGACCTAATTCGGTAAAGCAGATGTGAAGAAGTGACCCCTCACTCGTTCCGAGCGTCTTTTTGCATAGAATTCCCATGATGAGTTCTCCATGCTCCACCATGACTTTCGTGTCTCCCGGGGAAATCCACTTGTACGGACCGTCGTCCTCGTCGTCCGGATGTGTGGCGTGGGTTTTGACGAGGTTCACGTATCCGGGAATGATAAGAGTGAAGAGTTGTTTCCCGGTCCAGAGAGGAATCGGCTTTACGATGGCGGGCATCGGCATCCTCCCGTCCCAAACGGGCAAAAACATAAGCAAATTCATCATTTGTTCCTGAGAGAAAAAGAGAGACCAAAATTCGTGTTAATTTTTTAAATTTTAAAAACTCGGCCCAATTTGCTTTTTTACTATTTCTATTCTCGGCTTAATTTGCATTTTGTTTTTAAAAGTGTGACATCACCTTGGTCAGGAAGACGTCCCTCTTGGTCATCTTCTTCGCGCCGGTCAACGTGTCCTGCACGATCCCCATGACGGGCTTGTTCGCTTGTGGGGTGATAATTTGGCGGGTCGTGATGTGCAGGTTTTCAACTTCCGCGCGTGTTTCCATAGACTGTGGGACGTGGAGATTCATCTCGTCCCCGTCAAAATCAGCATTGTAAGGCGCTGTGCAGCTGAAATGTGGAAATTAACCAGAAGAGAACTAATTATAAATCTTGATAGCGTGTTAGACATAACTTTAGCAATTTATTAATAAGTACTCAGAAAAAAATTTAGATCATGGACCTCAGCTGAAGAAAACAACGCATCATTCTCGATGATTTCGTACTATCAATTCTTTTAAATTAACGACTACTCACCTCAAATTGAGTCGGAAAGTCGACCAGGGCAGTACTTTGACCCTGTGACCCATCATGGACATTTTGTGAAGAGTGGGTTGTCGATTGAAAATTACGAGGTCGCCATCTCGAATGTGACGTTCGACCTAGAGGACGAAACAAACCCATAAATATTTGCATAATCAATTAACATAATTATTCAGGTAGTTTAAAAAATACCCGGTATCCTAATTGTAAATGGAGATCGGAAGATTTCGGATGAAATCGCAAATCAATTCTGTCCCCGTTCGAGCGTATGATGTACTTTGCTCCGGGATATTGGTTATTCCCTCGCGCCACGAGTTCCGTCATCCTGCAAGGTCAACAAAGGTGACAGGTCAGATAAGTCGAGAGTGTATAGATACATAGCAAAATTTACGAGTAAAAAAAATCAGATTCGGAATGAGTTAGTTTAGTTATACAATTCATGATACATTCATTAAATTAAATCATCACTTTATAAATAAGTTTAACATCGTTACACATGAAATTAGTTTTTACAACGTACTTATCCATGTTAAATGGGGTCACGATCTCGGGAAACGTCAAGTTCTGCGCGATACTGCGAGGCACGCCGACCTCATCAATCCGTAAGTTAGGATCTGGCGTTATAGCGCCTCTGGCAGAGAAATCGACCCGTTTTCCCATCAAGTTGCCCCGAATTCTGCCCTCCTTTCCCTTCAGCCGCGCATTGATCGCTTTCAGGGGACGGCCAGACGTTTGCATGGCGCGTGGCAGACTAGGAACTTCGTTATCGGTGAGAGTAGCGACATGAAATTGGAGCATTTTAACATTTTCTGCAATAATGTGAGCTGCAGCGCCGGACTGTTCGTAGCGCAAAAGTTCATTGTTGGCCTGGTGGAAAGGAAAACAAAGTAAACAAATGCTGTTAAAGTTTTAATTAAATTAAATTGACCTTGACAATGTCGGCGAGTTTGTGGGTGAGATCGTCCTGCTTGGGAGCGGAACCGAACGTGACCACCGCGGGACGAACACACAGTGGGGGTACGGGAAGGACAGAATAGATCATCCACTCGGGGCGGGACCACTTGGGATCCATCCCCATCACGAGGCACTCCTCGTCAGAAACGTGTTTGAAGATTTCGAGGACACGTTCCGCCGTGACGGCCATCTTCTTCTCCTCGTCCGCCTCATTCACGTTCTTCCACTCGGCAAACAGCTCGAGCCCGACTTTACGGATGTTCGGCTGAAAACGACCACACCCGCCGTGACCGCTCTTCTTTGACTGCATATTACATGAAAATAGTTTAATTAACATTTAGCTTTAGTATTAATTGTTGTGCCTTATATTATAGTTGGATATTGATTGAAAAATAATTAAACGGGATGGATTTTAACTCAAAATCACACCGCGTTGAGCCTAAAAAATGTACAATTTAAGATTTTACGACAAATGCTGTGCCGTATGTATATTGAGAATTTCGAGAATCACCATAATAAATAATAACATAATTATTTACAGTATTTGTCATCACACTTAATTATTTTCCAATTAATAATACCGGACTGACCGTAATATTGGGATCTTCTTCGCCCGGATTGCTATCCATTTCGTCACCTCCATCGCAGATGGACTTCTTCTTACAAAGCTCATACACAAAGTCGATGCGACGTCGAGGCTGTCCTTTGGTCTTGGCGACAACCTCCCTCATTTTCGGGTGAGTCGGCGAGACGAGCATCTTCGAACAATAGAAGCACACGCAGCGCAGGACTTTGACCGTTTTCCCGAGAAATCCTGGGTGGTAGACGGGTTTGGCGAGATCAATGTGACCAAAATGTCCGGGACACTCGGTCTGACTGCCGGTGCAAGTTAGGCAGCGTGAGTTTCGGTCGATGACGCCTTGACGAGGGTCCATCAATCCGCAAAGTTTGGGGCGACCATCTTCCGTAAGCTCGGGAAAGCGAACCCCACCCTCCGTCACGGACATGCGGCGCTGGAAATGATAGTTAAAAAGAACTTCTTTTAAAGAAGTGGGTTAGTTAATTATAATAGAAACTGGTAAATTAAATTAACTGTGTAAAAACAACTGCTCGAATCTTGTGTTATCATTTTATTTAAGACGGAATGAAATACGATTTTGGCTAAATCTTTGTAACCACCGAAAAATTAATAACTTACTATTTCATCCGGCGACAGGATGCCAAATTGGACCTTTTTCACGGTCCGGAGAGGGACTCGCAAGTCTGATACTTCCGACATGGTTTTCAATTAGTTGCAAAGCTAGAAAGGGAATGACCGTTAATTTAATTAGTTACAATTACACAATTATTCCTTCTACTTAGTATAGAAGACAAAAATCTTTCCCTGAACTTCGAAAATGCTGCAATTAACTTTAATTAAAGATAAATTTACCTGTTGGCTGTCCTACTTTCGAGGGAAAAACGACGACGATAAATTTCACAACGACCGGATTTCAAACGGGAAGCTGCTACTTTTATTGCAACCAGTCTACTCAACAATAAAATGAGTTTTGTTCTTTTTAATTGAAGTAAACTAAGTAGTTAATTAATTAATTGTCGGAGGCAAAATGGGCAGCGTGCATCACTCAACAAGCGTAGTTGCTGACTAAGGAAAATGGCGGTTGGCCAACGTGCTCTTTAGAAGGGTTGTTCACAAGAAATGCAACTTTTCTCAGACGTAATTTACTTTTACAATTTTTAAAACTTTAGAAATGTTGTAAAATGATAGAATGACGGTTACTTAATTAATTGAAATTATACAATTATTCCCTCTCCTCCATAGAGGAGAAACAAAAATCCATCCCCAAAATTGCTATTAACTTTAATTAAAGAAAAATTTACCTACTCCTCTAGTTCCGAGGCAAAAACGACGACGACAAATTTCATCCACCACCACGACCAGGTTTCCAACGGGGAGCGATTACTTTTATTATGACCTTTCTACTCAAGAATAAAATGAGTTGGATTCTTGTTAATTGAAGTTAACTAAGTAGTTATTTAATTAATTGTTGTAGGCAGACGGACAGCGTGCCCACTCAACAAAGCAAAGTACCGACTGAGTGAGGGAAGAAATGAGCGGTTGGCAAGCGGTTTTCTCTGTGAAAGGGTTGTCCACAAGTAACTTTTGTCAAACGTATTTACTTAAATTTTGAACATTTTGAAAACTTTGGAAATTTTATAAAATTACTTTACATATATTTACACAAATAAAATAGTTTGATATAGGTGGATTTGTAATAGATTTTCGTTCGTAATTTTACAAAATGTGTATTTTGCTATACTTTCCTTAACTCTCTTGTCCTGAGGCCTACGGTTTTTCACTATTAGGCTCCACCCGCACAGTACTTGAGTATAATATTTCAGTCGGGTATTGTCTTCACCGAAATAAATTACTACCTGTTGAATATTTATTTTAACGATGAGTACTAATCATTCACAGCCAGTGAGTTTGCTCAAAATATAGTCAGGCTGAAGCAGGAAAATGTTAATGAAAAATTTTAAGTATTTTATAAAATCACTTAGGGGGAGAGAAACAGTTGAAAAAAGTTTTAAAACATAACTTTTTTACGGATAAAATACAAAAAAAGTGTAAAAAATGTCCTTTTTAGGGGTTAAAAAATAATAATCTTAAAAAATAATAATCTTACGTGGTGAAACGTATTGGACTATATTCCCCTAATTATTTACATTTTTGATGCGAAAATCAAAATTTTGAACAAAACTGTGAAAATTAAGGGTTGACCCTCCCCATAAGTTGGATTGAGTAAATTATGTAGCGTGCGGATGAGTAAGAAACCCCAGGCCTCAAGAGAGTGAAGAAAGCCGATCTCGGCCTCATCCGCACATACTCTGTGTTTGGGCCTGAGAAGTGGAGCCGTCTACACTCCACGTGGAGCAATTCCACAACGGCCAACAAAATGTCACCACGAGCGCGTATAGAAGTGAATCTCCAAAACTGAACGCAGCATTTAGTTTAATTTGTTTTTAATTAGATTAAATTTTTAATAAAATTATGACTGGAAGAGGGAGAAGTGATGGTGGTGGTAAGTAAAATAAATTTTCAGTTTTCAAAATTATGGACAATTTTAGCAGTATTTTAAATTCTGTAGTTGTTTTTGTTAGACATTTTTGGTGGCAATGAATTAATTATTTACTTAATTGTAATGCAATTAATTACAATTGAGTTTATTTTAAGGTGGTGATCGCGGTGGTGGCGGCGGAGGAAGGGGGGCTGGTCGCGGTGCGCCGGGTGGTGGCGGCGGTGGTAAGTTTTCTGGCCAAATTAAGCACAAACTTGACAAATTATAGACTTTTGTATCGTATTTTTTATCAAAACTATTAATTATAGTCTTAATTATCTCTAATTTCGTTCTCTCCTCAGGTTTCACACCTCGCGAATTTCGCCCCGGCGACTGGAAATGTGGCGAGTGTGGAAAAGATGGAAATTTCGCCAACAATCCGAATTGTTATCGATGCCAGGCTCCCAAACCTGGTGGAGGCGGTGGTAAGTTTTCATTCATCATAATTAATTATTATTCGCAATTTATATACTATAATTAATAACATTTCCTCATTTCTTAGGCGGAGGAGGTAGCGCTCCGTCCAGTGGTGGTCGCGGTGGATATGTGTATGTTATCAAAATAATTATGTAGCTTATTTGTGCTTAATTTCCCCCTTTTAAAATCGCAGCGATCGCGGTGGTGGCCGTGGTGGAGGCGGAGATCGTGGCGGATTTCGCGGTGGTCGTGGTGGTGGCGGCCGTGTCACTCATGGGCCACCCACCTTTAGTAAATCTCCCCTCCCAACCTACACATTGAAAGACCTGCCACGTATAGACGCCACTTTCGGCGGCCCTGGTTGGGCGGACTACCCTTTCGCTAAAAAAGAGGACGTCCTCCTGCAAACCTACCGCGGTCCGGAGCCTTCCCTCGCGTCCGAAATTATCCCCGTCTCCGTAAACCACTTTCCCCTCAAGGGTTTCAAACTCCCCAAGAAAATTTACCACTACGAAGTCGCCATGGAACGTGTTCGACGTGAAGCGGGTGGAGGTGACGACAAAAAAGCTCCTCCAAAACAAGAAAAACCCCCCACTCGAGGTGCGGGTCGTGGCGGAAAACGTGGTGGCGGTGGACGAGGTGCTCCCCCACCTCCGAGGGACGACCCAGCTGCTCCCGGTGGCGCGGCTTTGCCTCCACGTCGCCTCCCCAAACCTATCCCCCAATTAATCCTCACCGTCCTGCTGGAACGCATCAGAGAAGAGACGCATCACTACGGGATCGTCTCCGACCTCTCGAACAATATCTATTCGACCGAACCCCTGGAAAACTTAGGCGTTCCGTGGGTGCACCCTATCTCGATGAAGGATGTGGATCAAACCATCCTGCAAGAAGAGGACGATGGCGAAGTCACCGTTACGATTAGCCCGACCGGGCAGCAGATTGATACTTATGCGATGCAAGCGCAGTATAATCAGATCGGGACATGGAAGGGATTTGAGATGGATCCTTCAGTAAAATCGACCCTGGAACAGGTTAGTGGCGCAAGCATATTTTGTAGCAAATGACAAAAAAAGTAGTTTAAAAATTATTCCACGCTTTGGTTGGATTTTAGTAAATCATTTTAAACTAATTTAAAAGCATGATAACCTTGACAAAAATACAGGGCGAAACTTTTTAGAAAAATTACAAGGATTCTACGCTGTTAAATTACCAGAATTTGTTTAACTGATATGCTATTTGAAACAGGTTTACAACGCCATCGTGAAGAGTCTCCCGACCTACAGGTTCCTTCCCTTGGGGCGATCGAATTTGGCCCGCTGGCCGGACGGACCTCAAGGCACGAGCGAGCTGGGTGGTGGGGTCGTTTGCTGGAGGGGGATTAGTGCCAATATTGGGATGGGGTGGCACCCGTATCTTTGTGGTGGGTGGACATATATTTTGCATATTTACTTTGGCAGAAATTATACTAATTAGTTTGTTTAAATTACAGCCGATCTCGCTCACTGCGCTTTTCTGACTGATACACGCGTCATGGATGCGCTAAATGAGAAGTTTGGAGATCCAAATCGTTGGCAAGGGTGGCAATTCCAGGAGGCGAAATCATTTTTGAGAAGTAAGTTACATAAGTCTCTGAAATCTGTCTCTGTCTAAATGTGAACTTTGACCTTGTGTAGATGTCAAGGTGAAGTACACCGTGAAAGGGAGGACGCTTGCCGGTAAGGTGACTGACCTCCTGCCAAAGTCTGTGTCGCAAGAGACCTTCCGCTGGGAGGAGAGAAATCGTGACATCACGGTTTATGACTACTTTACCTCACACCATGGCATTCGACTCGACAAACATGGGCTTTGTTTAGAGTTGCGGAACCGATGCAAAGTTCCTGCAGAGGTGAATTGATTAACTCATTTGCATATGTACATAGTTAACTAAACTAATTACTTTACTCTGCTAATTATTCATTCTTCTGTAGTTATGCGTCATCAAAAAGGGGCAGTCTTTCAGCCGCAAGTTGGAAGACTTACAGACGAGGAACATGCTCACCGTGGCGAAAAAAGATCCTGCCGTGTTAAAGGCTGAAATTGAGCGAGAGGTGGGTACATAAATATGCAAATAAATTAATATGCAAATTTTAATTGTGCAAATTATTTATCTACCACAGATGAGAGACATGCCGTCCCAAAATAACAATGTCATGCAAGCCTGGGGCGTCAATATTGGTACAGAGATGCTCCGCCTGGATAAAACCAGAGTCCTGGGGGCGCCACAGTTACGATACGGGGCAGGAACTGGGGTACTTTGCAAATTTTATTTTTGCGAAGTTTATGAAATTATTTTTGCACAGTTTACCTTAATTTTACCCATTTTTAGCCCAATTCCGGCAAGGGGGATGCCATCGTTACACCCCAAAAAGGACAGTGGGATCCTTGGAACGCGGATTTTGCATTCCTCGACCCTAAAAGTGTGAAAACCTGGGCTATCGTAAAAGTCGGCGGTGAAGGCGACAGATCCGCACCGGACGATCACGCAATCATGTAAATTTCACAAAAAATTGTACTAAAACAAATTGCAAACTTAAAATTGCTTACCTCCATTTCAGGGAATTTGCTAAAAAACTGCAAAATCACGGTGTCCGTAAACGCCTCTCGTTCCAAACTAGACCGATCCGGGAAGACGTAGACATGGCGCATCTGCGCCCGAATGGGAACAACAATGTCCACGAGCTCATCGGCCTGTTTGACTTCTTGGCCAAGAAAAATTGCGACCTCGTCGTCTGCATCATTCCAAAGAAGAATTCGCCCCTGTACTCGCACATCAAGCAGGCGGCCGAGCTGCAGGCGGGGGTGGGGCTCTTGACGCAGTGTGTCGTGGCTCAAAATGTGACGAAATGTCAGGACGCGACCGTGCAGAATATCCTGCTCAAGATCAACAGTAAACTAGGTGGGACAAATTATGCCATGTTGACCCCACCGGATTCCAAAGTTTTGAGTCAGATTGACATCATGCGGTGTCCCATGTTGACCATTGGGGCGGATGTGACCCATCCACCGCCAGGGTCGATGAAAAAGGTGAATGTTTATGTGGGGTTTTGTACATGTTTTAATGAAATTTTGAGTTTTTTTGGTAAATGGTTTTTGGAAATTTAAATCTCGTTTTGAATTGTTGCGATGTTTTTTTTAATTTTCATTTCATTTAACACAGATTTTAACTGTTGTACACAAATTGAGACATTTTTGTAGAAATTTAAAGTCTATATTTTTAAATAGTTTCAAAAAATTTCGTTAATCATCCAAATTTGAGTATCTTTTTAGTCCATGATTTTAAGTTTTTTTCATAATTTTATTCTTGCTTTCTTAGATTCAAGTCGGCAAAGGGAAAACGGAAGACGTCGCCATTCCCAGCTTCGCCGCGGTCACGGGATCAATTGATATGACAGGCATGCCATTTATGATGGATATCCGCGCTCAGCGCAAAGCTGACCGCGGCGCGGCGGAAGTTGTCCAAGACTTGGACACCATCATGTTGAGCATGCTAAAAATGTTTGAAAACAAGACGAGAGGAATTCGCCCTAGGAAAATTATCTACTTCCGGGATGGCGTTGGAGAAGGACAGTTTCCAGAAGTAGTTAATTAAATCATTAATTTACCCATTTAATTAATCAACATAATTAATTTTAATTCTTAATTAATTACGTCCAGGTTTTACATACCGAAATGCTGGCCATGAGGAAGGCATGTAACCAACTGAGAGATTACGATGAGGGTCCCTACCAGCCAAAAATCACTTTCGTCACGGTCCAAAAGGTGACAAAATTGGCATAATTTCATGGAAAGGAACTTTTAATGTTCAATTTTTAATGAGGCAATTCACGCAGGCTTTGGTCGTATTAAATTCCGTAAAATTTTATAAATATTTCTAAGGAAAATTAACTTACTAATTTTTGTAAACTTGCTCAGATCTTTATTTTGTAAAAGTTTGCTAAATTATCTTACAAAACTCTTACACGGATCTTACAAGTTACCAATTACTGCGTTAAATACCTCAATATCTTTCAATACAAAGTTTACACAGTTTGCGAAATGATGCAAATTTAATAATAATCCGATAACACCATGTCATGTTTTTACAGCGACACAAGACCCGCTTCTTCTACCATTCGCCGCAAGGTGTGTCTAATCCACCCCCTGGAACTGTAGTCGACAAAGAAATCGTCCACCATACGGAGACGGACTTTTACCTCTGTTCTCACGCTGGGATGATGGTGAGTTGGATTTCGCGATACTCATTTTTGCAAATTATTCATTTGTACTGTGCGAATTATAACATTACTTCGAATTTTGACGGATTTAACAATTTTAGTAATTTGGTTCGTCGGACGATTTTCTTTTGTCTTATTTTTTGCACACGTTTAGCCAATTGTTTGTAATTTTTTAACGTTAATCAGTATTTCCATGTTACGTATTACATATTTTCGCATTATTCCTACAAGTTTTTGGCATTGTTTTTGCAGGGTACCAGCCGACCCACGCGGTACCACGTGCTGTGGGACGACTCAAACTTCACTGCAGACCAGATCCAAACCCTCACTTATTAAAAAAAAGGTCGTCTTTATTGATTCCCAATTTTAGCCATTACATTTGAATTACAAGTGAACCAAACCTCACATAAGTGAGAAATAGATGGTCACAGGTTCCTAACTATGGTGCCCGTAGTGCAATGGACACCGCACAGACCTGTGCAACAAGTCAGAGAGGAAAACCACAAGGGAAAAAACTCTCTGCCAGTACTGGGAATTGAACCCAGAACCTCCATTCGGCTTGAAGCACAGTGTGATGACCACTCGGCCACCACTGCCTGCCTTATTACCTTTGCTACATGTATGTCCGGTGCAATAAGAGCGTCCGTATTCCTGCCCCGACTTATTATGGTGAGCGTAAAAATATAAATTAGCATATTAACAATTATGCAATCTTAATTATCTTATTAATTTCCATCCTTATTTGTTTAGCTCATTGGGCCGCTGCTCGTGCCAAAGCTCTCACCGACGGGATGGAGCAATACTTTGGAAATTTGCACGAGCTGAATGAACGTATGCGTCGTCATGAAACCCTTCTGCAAAATAATCCCATGCACTTCGTCTAGCCCGAGGACGGACCTCTATGTCAACTCGTTATAATAAGAAACACCTCGTCTCTTATTCCTATTCCTCTCTCTAAATTTATACAAGTATTACTTAACTATAACCAAATTTCTGTGCGGGTAATTTAATTGACATAAATAAATTGTATATGTAATCACTAATCTTAAATTGAAACTGTTCTACTCTAAAATATAAATATATAATTACTCCATTACAACAGTAATATTAGAAAGAATATATTTAATACAAAATTATCTGTAGATATTATATTATTACCACAAAAATTGAGTGAATTGTTTTATGAGATTATGTATTTATTTTTAGGCATATAAAGATTTACAAATTGATGTAGTAAATACATTTATGTAAATGTGCCGTATTTAAGAGGAAAGAAGCCTATTTTTTAAAGTTTTCTTCCACAGCGGCCGGTTCGGATAACTTGATCCCTTCGTAGCGGAAGAGGTTTTTGGCCTTCCGATGTTCTAACTCGGTCGCGCCCACGTCGTCCCATTCGCGGCAGACGGATCGCACCTTCTTCAACTCGGGGGTGGGAAGTTTGGCGAAGACGAGGTCGAGGACCTGAGGGAAGATTGGATTTTAATGCAAAAACATTGATTAAAATGGGTTATAAAGTTAATTAAAAGGTGGAGATCAACTTCTTCTTACCACAGGATTGAGCAGAGGGTTGACAGACATGCCGAAGTTTTTATTCGCCTTTTCGTAGTCACAGGGTTTAATCTTTAATCGCTAGAATAAGAATACAAATACCTTTAGATTCTTAAGTTACGTTTAAAAGTAAGCCAAGCAGGTATAATTGAGATGATGTTTAAATATTGCCGAATGTTGGACTCCATGATGTTTTAACTTACCTTATCTAAGATAAGAACCTGATAAAACGGCAGAGGAGAAGAGAGAAACTAGAAGCAGAAGAGCAAACTGAGCACACGGCATTTAATTTAAACTTCCCTCTCTTGATGATCTGATAGTCATTTGATCAATAGAGAGGGAAGTTTAAATGCCATTGAAAAGATGCAACTTGTTGTTTCCCTAGTTCGTCTTCTCTTCTTTTTGTCATATTCTTTCTTATCTTAGATAAGATATTTAGTTCGAACAAGAAAGACAACTAAATACTAAAGACTGGTTTGTTATACACAATTTCGTTATTATTTTAATCTAGTTGTGACCAGGCTGTGTTAGTTCACTAAAAGTTAAACGGACCATAACGAGAGCGCCGGAACCGGTAAAAGAAATGTCGTACCGTGGCCTCGCCAAGTTTTACTCGTTGCTTACCTGTCTGTCAAAGAGGCCACGGTGCGACATTTCTTTTACCGATGGTCCGTTTAACTTTTAGTGAACTAACACAGCCTAGTTGTGACTAATAATTGTTGTTTAAATTAACATTTGCTAGCTCTTTAATCATGTATTTGTTTGGCCTAAATCTTTCAGGAAATTCTAATTAAAAAATGTCGGCCTGCTTATCAAAAGACTCCGCCACGTCGGGTAAAAATCAATATTTCATTATCATTTCATTAAATTATACCTTTTTCTTGGCTTACTTTTAAACGTAACTTAAGAATCGACGGGTGTTTGTATTCTTATTATAGCGAATTCAGCCGGTGACAACGAGGCGAATAAAACCGTCGGCATGTCAAATCCTCTGCTTAATCCTGTCGTAAGAAGAAGTTCATCCTCCTCACTAAATATAATTTCATATAAACTTATAATCTAATAATTTCACCTTTTCTGTCAGGTTCTTGACCTCATTTTCGCCCAGCTCTCCATCCCAGAATTGAAGCAGGCGCGTTTAGTATGCCGTGAATGGAGCGACGTTGGCGCGAGCGTGTTAGGAAAACGGACCTTTCTCCAGGCCAACAAACTCTTCCGCTCTGACGGGACCAATTTATCCGGACCGGCCGTCGTTACTGAAAAATTGGTTCGAAGACTCGCTATTTCCTCGGAGACTTCCCGCTTCGATCCGTCCGTCCCCAGCAATATGAGAGCCAAAGTGATCACCAAGGTCACCGCAGAGGTCGCCCAACAATTCACTCAAGAACTGAAAGTCCGCTTCGATCAGAAGCAGCATGCGGCCTCATTTATTAACGGGATCCGGAAATTGAAGACGACAAACCTTCGACACGTTTATCTCGGGATAAAAATCTTCAACTCGTGGGGGAAGAAATCTCCGGTTCTGAAAAAATTCGAGGTTCAGCAAGGTTCTTTTACTCCATTTATTTACATATGACCTTGATTGTAAATGTTTGTATTGATTCTTTATTATTTATTAGTTATTTTACCTTAAATAGTTATTATTTAAATTTATTAAATTCTTTAACAAACCTGATAAGTCAGGTTTGATTTTGTATGTATTTGATATAAATGTATAATATCTTGGATTATTAAAAAATGATAACACTTTTTAAAAGATAAAATTGATCATGATAATCTTCAGATAAGTGTATACTGATCTACATACAAAAAAATTGTAGATGGCATTGTAGCTAAAAGAATTAATGTGGGATAGGAATTTTTGAATTATGTGGAACCACACCTACTAAAAAAATAGAGGGGGGGGAATTAGAAAATCAATGCACAAAGGGTTAGAGCATTTTAAAAAATTCCCCCATGAATACGAACACTTTGATGTATGAAAAGTTTCAAAATTCGAAAATTGGAGGTTTTATTACCTACACATAAATTAACTTTATGCATAAATCCTACATAAAATCACATAAGTATAGTATACTAAAATTGAGCAAGATATGTACTGTCGTGCGGGTGGGTGAAAAACCGTAGGCCTCAGAACAAGAGAGTTAAGGAAATCTTTGGGTTTTCACTATCAGGCTCCACCCACACAGTACATATTTTGCTCAATTTTATAGTTATGACAGTGTAGTAAATATTTACTGTTTTTAAGTACATGAAAATCGTCACGAAACTGACGTGGTTCGGAAATATTTCGCATAATCCCGTCCAATCCCTGATCATAATCCCTCGTCACAGATAATAAATTGATCTATAATCGTTCCTCATGAAGATGCATATGCGCATACCGAGTGACTAATTTCATAGGAATCGATACCACAAATAGGTATGATAAAACAGCAGTGGCCACGGAAGCTGGGGGGACATTAACATTGTAGGATAGGGGAGGGCCGGGTTTATATAAGATGGGCAGATGATGCGGACATCGAACAACCGTGGGGAACTGTCCCCCTGTCCCCTCAAGCTTCCTTCCGCGGCCACTGGATTACAGTTTTGATACGCCGGTAAGCCCGTGGCTTATTTATGCGTTGATTATACTACGTATGTAATAGTCAAAAGTCACCATCGCTGCAGTGAATTACGTTCAGAAATATTAGATCGAAGTTAAATATTAGAATTTGTCTTCATTTTTTTCTAAAATGGAATTGATACAGAGATCCTTTTACAAAATTGTTTTCGCAATTTTACTCCAATATTGCATAAATTCGGAAGGATTAAGTTTGGATGAGTTTGGTTATTACGGAAACCTTGTTATCGCAATTGACGAAAGAACGGTGCAGAACGAGGTGCAAAATTACACGGAGATAATTAAGGTACATAAATATATATGTTAATTATGTATGTAAGATGTTCAGTGGCAGCGGAAGTTGGGGGACAGGGGACTATACCTGTTAAAAAAAACTTTTTTCATTCAAACTTGAGTCATCCCGATTTCTGAATGAAAATTTTCATTCACATTCAGTCATTTTCTTCCAAACTCATTTCATTTCACTTCATCTGACTTCATTTCTGACTTCATTTCTTACTTGTGTATTCAGCATAGGGTGAAAAATGAAATGAGTGAGAAATCCTTTCATACACAGTCATTCATCTGAAATTACTGAATCTTTCATTCAAATCACAGGAAATTCATTTCCATTCACTATCATAATCAGTCAAATGAATGAAGGTGAGCAGGTATGCAGGGGATACAGTGCCTACTCAGAAATTTAGAAAAATCTTTTAATAAGCCCCTCCTCCTCCTATTTCACAATCCCAATGTCCCCCCCCCAACTTCCGGTGCAACTGATCATCGTCAAAATCCCCACATTTTTAATCATTTATCGCCTCTGGGAACTTATTTTAAAATTCTGAACGACAAATTTGTCCTCAGTTAGTTGATTGATGGAATGGCGTCGTGTTTTTTTAAGCCAGTTTCGAACAGCTCCAATTTTTCTGAAGGCTTCCTAAACTTGAGATTTCTTCCGGTAAAAAGAGTAAAAATCTGGAGTGTATATTTTTAAAAACTTGTGAACGCGACCTGCTCTACAAATTTGTCGTTCAGAATTTTAAAATAAATTCCCAGAGGGGAGAAATGATTAAAAATGTGGCGATGTTGGTTATGAATTTAAAAGATGGGAATTCAAGACTTATCTGATCTACTCCACTACACGACGAGTGGAAGGTTTTCAATCCAAAATGTGGACATTTTAGTCCCCGATCACTGGGACGTGGGGATTGATGGGGCTTCAACATTGTAAATTTTTCAATTGTGTTTTTTGATAAGCTTGAATAAACCTTGATAAAAAAACTGTTTTAAATTAATTTTTAAATTTTTTAGTCAGTCCTATGAAGAAGCAGATTTTAAAATTTCACACACATTTTCTCTCCCATTCGTGAATAATCCAAACCCTTGGTGAGTAATTAAGGTTGAATTTGATGGCTCATCGCCAAAATCAAAATCAGCACATTTCTAATCGTTTCTCCGTTCTGGGAATTTATTTTAAAATTCTGAACGACAAATTTGTTGATCAGGGAGGAGTCAATTTTTTGAAAATATACACTCCAGATTTTGACGCTTTTTGACCGAGGAGATCTCAAGTTTAAGAAGCCTTCAGAAAAATTGGAACTGGTCGAAACTGGCTCAAAAAACTCGACGCCATTCCATCAATCAACTCACTGAGGACAAATTTGTCGTCCAGAATTTTAAAATAAGTTCCCAGAGGGGAGAAATGATTAAAAATATGGGGATTTTGGGGACCATTTGGGGATGAGTCATCGAGGATAAGAATCAGGATACTGATAATATAATAAATATTTATTATGCACCATCAGCGGATTACCGGGTTACGATATGCAGCTTCCCTATAACTTTTTTGACTTTGGAGATTCCGGAAATTATGGCCGTTTAGGGACAGCGTTGCTTGTACAATTTGCCCGACTTCGATTCGGGGTTTGGTAATTTACTGAGAATTGAGGGCTCCCAGCGTATGCGATCCAATTTTGAGTGTCAATCGGTCACAAATTTAATTAGTATAAAATGTGCGAAAGACGTGATCTCCCAATGGGCACGTTTGGCGAAGATATTTGCATCCGAAGAGGAGAAAACGTGTAATAAAGTCGACAACTTTTGCACTTTCTAAACTTACCACGCGTTTTCTCCTATTCGGATGCAAATATCTTGGCCAAACGTGCCCATTGGGAGATCCTGTCTTTCGCACATTTCAACCTAATCAAATTTGTCATCGATTGACACTAATTTGCCCAAAGTCGGACGGAGGGCATACGCTAGTTGATCTCCATTCTTGGAAGCTTTTTAAATAAAAACCTAAATAGAAAAAAACATCAGTAAAACGAAGTATTCGATGTTAGGGAGGAACACGGCTTTCCTGGAGATTCAAAGTTTCCTTATTACTGGAAACGATTGCTTGGAAGAGAATGGGAGATCAACGCTTGTACCAACGTACCAATTGGAGGAGTCTACAAGACCATGTAATAATTACCAGATTATGCAGTTATTAATGAAGTGAAGCATAGTTATATTTGTACGTCCGTCTGTCTGTCTGTCTGTCTGGCAGCAAAATAAGTATTGAACAAATTAACCATTCATTGTTCTGATTTCGGATATCGACATCTAATTTAAAAATTAAGAGGAACTTGGTCAAAGGTCTAAAGATCACGACGCCACGGTGACGATGTCAAAGGTGAACAGTGTCGATTGTTTTGTTTATACCGTCTTAAATAATTTAATATAGTTTGGGGCGGAGATATCCAAAGTCACCATCATTTTTTGACCTGGTTACCGGCATACCTGTTCACTTTCATTCATTTAACGGATTATGATAGTGAATGAAAATGAATTTCCTGCTATTTGAATAAAAATGAGTGAAAGATTCCGTCATTTCAGATGAGTGACTGTGAATGAAAGGATTTCTCACTAATTTCATTTTTCATCCTATACATTGGACGAAGTAAGAAATGAAGTGAAATGAAATGAATTTGAAAGAAAATGACTGAAAATCTTCACTCAGAAATCTGAATGACTGACTTTTGAATGAAAACTAAATTTTTGAACAGGTAAGGTTACGGGGTAAACGAGGTCAAAGGTCATACAGCGTCAAATTTTTCTTTATCTTAATGCACCCCGTTTCCACGAGTTTATTATATCTGTTGCTGTATTTTAATTGAGGATAACTTTGTTTTATGTTAAGACCTAGCGGTGCGCCTTGTGGTCCAGACCCGGACGATGTTGATAACTTATACCCACCAAGAAGCGATTGTCGATTTTTTCCAAATGAGTTTCAGGTATGCGACAGAAAAAATTTGTCTCTGTCATGGAAACATTTTCATGCAAGATTTACATAATTGTATATAAATAATCTTTTAAGACGGCAAATTCCTCGTTGATGAGCTACCATTACTTACCTACGTTTGAAGCCTTCTGTAAAAATGAGACGCATGATGTCTCTCAACCTACCCCCCAAAACTACTATTGTCGTTATACGAGTGTGATGGATGTCATGAAAAATACGTCAGATTGGAAAATGGTCACCGGAAATAATACGGCGGGTCGGATCGGGTTTCGAGTGGTGACAAGATCGGAAAAACCGATGCTCTATATTCTTTTGGATGCTGGCTTTACGCAGGTATGGTATGTAAATACGTATCTGTAGTGGCCGCGGAAGGGTGTGGGGACAGAGGGACAATTTCCCCAAGGTTATTCGTTATCCGCATCATCTGCCTATCTTATGTATAAAAACCCCTCCCTATGTTATTGTCCCCACAGCTTCCGCGGCCACTGTGTTAATGGAACCTTTTTTTAAGCTACACCAGAATTTTCTAGCGAGTTATATCAAAAAATCAAGCCAAAAATTAGGAATCACCACGTGGCACTCGTCTTTCAGTTGGATGATCCCTTTAAATAATAAGAATCGAGGGGGGCAAAGTTCCCACGTACGCCTTGATTTTCGCAGAGGAGTGCCACGTGGTGATTCCTAACTTTTGGCTTGATTTTTTTATATAACTCGCTAGAAAATACTGGCGTAATAGCTTGTAAAAAGGTTCCAATGTCAGTGTTGGGGTCACTTGCACCCGAAAAACTGATTATTTTTATGCAATTCTGAAACAGGTACCGGCCCAAATTCTGCCACAAATTTCTTCCCGTCTTTCAACTTTTATCCAATTTCGCGAAATGCGCAGTGTTGTCGCTGGCCTTGGAAAATTTCCGGGGGACGATCCAAACCAAGCTTTTACCGAGGTTATACCTTGGACTTCGATTAGGAACGCTAGCCATGAATTTGTGAGGTAAGTTAATTAAGGCTCTATTACATGAAGGTTTTGAGTTTGAATTTTGAAGTGTCTCAAGTTTCCCTTCATCCGGGTATTAAAATGACGATTTTGAAACGTGTTTATTTTCGTGCGGTTGTTAAAAAATGAAGATTTTATTGCATCTAAAAATCGATAATTTTTACGGTTTGCAAAGTTTGGAGGTTAAAATTTTGATTTTTTTAAAGCGATTTTAAAAGAAAAAAATTTTCTTTTCGTATTATTTTGTACTATTTTATTTATATTTTCTCATGGAAGAAAAAAATCAAAATTCTAACCTCCTAACTTTTCAAACCTGAAAATTATCGATTTTTTTAGACGCAATAAAATCTTCATTTTTAAAAAACGCGCGGAGATAAATAGTTTTCAAGAAACTTTATTTGAATCCGTGCAAGAAGGGGAAGTTGAGACACAACAATTTAAACTCAAAACCCTTATGCAATGGTACCTTAATTAAAACAAATTAAAAGTTTGAATGCTTGCTTATCTTATAAAATTTCGCATTTTATTCGTAGCGCATTTCACTCAACGTTTGGTAATCAGGCTGGATTTAAAGACTACGCTGGAGCATTGCGCGAACTAGTGGTTTCATTCAATCGGCGGAAACATGCAGCCGGAGCTGTAATTTTGATTGTCAAATTGAGTCCTGAACCAAATACGGGTAATTATTAGGCCATATTTTGCATATCTTTTTAAACTTTATCACAGTTATAACACCACCGTTGCAAACACAGGTAAATATTTTTACCTGTGGTACATTCACGGCACAAGAGGTGACGCCCCGCCGGTGTAAATACCTGTTCACTTTCATTCATTTGGTTGATTATAATGGTGAATGATAGAGAATGAAAATTAATTTCCTGCTATTCGAGTGAAAATGAATGAAGGATTCAATCATTTCAGATGAGTGACTGTGAAGGAAAGATTTCTCACTCATTTCATTTTTCACCCTATGCTTAATACATGGGGGAAGTAAGAAATGAAGTCCGATGAAGTGAAATGAAATGAAATGAGTTTGAAAATACTGAATATGAATGAAAATCATCAATCAGAAATCGGAATGACTGACTTTTGAATGAAAACTAAATTTTTGAACAGGTAAAACTTTTTTTTGATAGGTCGTCTAACCATGGAAAGCCAAGTGATAATTCCTCTCTTACTCTCGAACGTGGCAGTATTTGCTCTGGAAGTGCATGGAAGTCCGATCCAGGCGGGAAACGCGCTGGAACACGTGGTCGAAAAGTCGGAAGGGTTGCATTTAAGCATTTCCCAGCCATCCGACCTTGGTCAACCCTTTGACGATTTTTTGACGGCATTGACCACCACGCTTGCGCAAGGGCGGGTCATCCGAAGTAAAAAATATGTCGTCGGAATGGACGAAATGGTTCGTCACCAGGGGAAAGTCGGGTTTGCGTCGAGTTCAAGAATCACGCAGTTCGAACTGTTCGCAACGCCGTTGACGGGACGGTTTTCCAGCGCCAGGTTGTGGAACGGGACGGATGGAAATTATGGGGACGTCGTTTTACAGGGAATGAAGTGGGATTCGGCCGAAAGTGGGGGGACAAATGGGCGGAGGAACTTTTACTTTTCGTCACCAGAAGGAGAGGAACCGTTGAGTGTGAGGGAATGAAGGGATGCCGCGGAAGAAAGAGGGGGGGGCAGGGGGGCATTTGTCCCCCCAGAAATTTAGAAAAATCTTATCTTTCCCATGTCAATAAGTCTGTCCTCTCCATTTTAATGCCCCCCCCCAACTTCCGCCGTTACTGAAGGGAAAGACCGTTAATTTGAATTAGATCCGCTTAAATATGACAATCTTTTTTAACGTAGGACTCGCTTCCTTATAACCAAAATCAGCACGGTTTTTATCATTTTTCTTCCCCAAAATTCTGGAAATTTAAACTTGTACTTGATGAGTTGGTTGATAGAATGGCGTCGAGTTTTTTAAGCGAGTTTCGACGTGGTCCAATTTTTCTGAAGACCCTCTTGGATGACGCGTTGGCGCGTAATCTCACTTTACCTCTATCCAATGTATTTAAATGCAAAAGTTTAAAATCGAATCAACTTCATGAGTTTTGAGATAAACTCAGCTTTTGAGACGTTAATATAAAGCTAATTTTTGGTACTACAACAAGTCGTTTTGAAAAAAAATTATTAAATTCATTTTTGCAGAAATTTATTGTTAAAAGATGGCAAGTAAATTTATTAGTTTTTTTCAAAACGACTTGTTTCTAGTACCAAAAATTAGCTTTACATTAACGTCTAAAGAGTTGAGTTTATCTCAAAACTCATGAAGTTGGTTCGATTTTAAACTTTGTATTTAAAGACATTGAATAAGGGCAAGGTGAGAAAAAAACTCTATGCCGGTGTAACAAGAGCCTTAAGGTGTCTTAAACTTGAGATCTCCTCCGCCAAAAAGTGGCAAAATCTGGAGTGCAGATTTTATTTAAATTGGCAACTCCCTGCTCTAAAAATTGGTCGGCCAGAATTTTAAAATAAATTCCCAGAGCGAAAGAAATGGTTGATTTTGACGATGAGATATCGAGTCGGACGTTATATAATTTTGCAAAAATAAATTATCATTTCCTTGACAGAGCGTAAGATGGACGTCTTTGTCCATCGGGTGTGACGATGGCCCATGCATCGCTCGTGTCACCGTTTTGTTGCAAGTGGAGGACTTGGACTTAATCCCGGAAGATGTCAAACTCACGGTCACAACGTCCGCGATGAATGGGATTGTCGACTTTAAACACGCGAACGCTGGGTTATACACCGGCACAGCGTTTGCCATTTATGCAAAGGTAAAATTGTATATATATTCATACCTGTTCAAAAATTTAGGCTTCATTCAAAACTCAGTCATCCCGATTTCTGAGGGAAGATTTTCATTCACATTTAGTCATTTTTTGTTTACACTAATTTCATTTCACTTACTTCATCTGACTTCATTTCTTACTTCGTCCCACCTATTAAGCATAGGGTGAAAAATGAAATGAGTGAGAAATCCTTTCATTCACAGTAATTCATCTGAAATGACGGAATCCTTCAGTCATTTTCATTCACTATCATTCTCTATCATAATCAGTATCATCACATGAATGAAAGTGAACAGGTATACATATATATATATCAGTGTTGTAGTAATTAATTACGTAATTAATTAAACGAAAAATCGAAAAAGTAATTATTAATTAGAGTTTAATTACTTTACGCCATGTAATTGTAATTAGTAATTAATTACTTTCTTTCGTCAAATGTAATTAAGTAATTAGTAATTAATTACAAACTCAAGTAATTAAGCAACACTGATATATATTTATTATCGAAAGATTGATTGAATACCCAAGATCTTGTAACATTATGCCCCATTTTCTAAATATTTTGGACATTTTGAACGTCCTAAAGTTGGTGTCCAAAACTGGTTAAAACCCATTTTGGACGGTGGTTAAAACCACATCGAAATCTTGAACACATTTAATTTAAATCTGTAAATTTAAATTTAGTTGGAGCAGGATGGGATTCCCTTCCAGGCAACGCCCGGCCTTGTCGTGACTGCCGTAATATCTTGCCCGACAGCACCAGACGTCCACACGTGGTCAGTCGGTAAGGTTATTATCAGAGGGCGGATATGTATTTATGAAAAATCTCTGAAATACGTATTTAATATTTTCATTAAAAGCCAAAATACTTACTAAATGTGTACACAAAGATACAAACAAAAATAGGAATTTTCCCAAAATGTGTCTTTTAAATTTTATCTTCTGGATTTTTTTTGGTTAAATTTCCTTCAAGGAAAAAATCGTCTCTCATATCATCGAAATATTTACAAAATGTGTACGTATTTTCGAAGAAATATGTACAAGATTTACGAATTTTTTTTTCAAATAAATATGTCTAGAAATATTTTTCGTTCTATGCGACTTAAGGAACACACCCACAAAGTTTAACCGTCAGTCGGTATCAATTGTTGAAAAGTTGAAAATAAATACATATCCGCCGTCTGCTAGTCATTATTATTAAAATCTTTAGTTAATTATTACAACATTCTTTAACTGGTAAATAATTACTTACAATGGAGGCGCAAACCATGTTCAACCCAGATAATTTTTTGACCTTATTAGTTTGAAAGAGCAAGTCTTTACAAACAACATTTGGTTCGGCACTTGGGCAGATGCGCAAATTTTAGCACGTTATGGGCGCCGCAAGTTCGCAAAAACGCATGATTTTTCGGGCAATGCCCAGCGCGAGCTCAACTTCGTGCGTTTTTGCGAACTTGCGGCGCCCATAACGTGCTGAAATTTGCGCATCTGCCTAAGTGCCGAACCAAATGTTGTTTGTAAAGACTTGCTCTTTCAAACTAATAAGGTCAAAAAATTATCTGGGCTGAACATGGTTTGCGCCTCCATTGTTAGAACTTCGTGACGATGGAAGCACTTCACCCGACATGGCGACGAACGATGGCATATTCTCGGGGGAATTTGTCCCCACCATTTATGGCAACCCGGCAGATTTCGATGGCATGTACGAAATCTTCGTCACTGCGAAATTTGATCCCCCTGTGGAGGAAACTACCACGCCCTGGCGAATAATGGAAGACGCAAGTCAAAGATTTTCCTCGATTGGGAGATTGTTTCCAATTGATCAGAGACAAATTGGGTGTGGGAGTGGTTATCTGGGTGGGTATATTAATTATTATTTAAGGCATGGCAGGCAGCAGTGGCCACGGAAGTGTGGGACAATGTCCCCATGGTTGTTCCATACCTGTTCAAAAAACCTGTTTTCATTCAAAGTTCAGTTATCCCGATTTCTGAGTGAAGATTTTCATTCACAATCAGTCATTTTCTTTCACACTCATTTCATTTCACTTCATCTGACTTCATTTCTTACTTCGTCCCATGTGTTAAGCATAGGGTGAAAAATGAAATGAGTGAGAAATCCTTTCATTCAGTGTCATTCATCTGAAATTACGGAATCTTTCACTCATTTTCATTCAAATCACAGGAAATTCATTTTCATTAAAATCACAGGAAATTCATTTTCAATGAAAATTTTTCATTCAATATCATTCTCTATCATAATCAGTCACATGAATGAAAGTGAACAGCTAAGCTTCCACCTGAAACACTTAACATGTATTGGTTTAACTATTTTGAAACTTCCAGGCTGCTGGAGTAAAATTCCAGAGGAAGCTTTCATCATTAGTTGTGACCTCGAGAAGAGCGTGGAGTTCGTCAATTTCGGATTATTTAGGGTAACATTTGATAGTTTAATACATTAGTATTTCGCTTCTTGCTGGCGGGTTTTCTACATTTCTTGCAAGAAATGCGAGGTGTAAGAAACTGGGACAAAGTGGGAGTAATAAACGCCATCTAGCCATGCGCACGCGCGGTATACATGTTCACATTCATTCATTTAACGATGAATGAATAAATTATGCATGCAATATTCAAAATTTTGAATGAATATTGAATGAATATTTTATTCTGATTTTTGAATAAATGAATATTTAGTGAATATCTATTCAATTCTTGTGAATGAATAATGAATAAATATTTTTTTATCATTCATTTCTAGCTCAATGCTTAATACATAGGGAAAGTTGAGAAATTTATCTAATATTGTTAATTTTGAATAACATGAATAATGAAGGAATGGTGAATAATGAATAAATGTTTTAATAGTTAGTGAATATTTTTTTTTACAAATTATGAATGAGTGAATAAGGAATAATGAATATTTTTTTCGAGGCTTTGAATGAATGAACTTTGAGTGAATAAATATTTTCTGAACATGTATGATGCCGTATTTACCGCGGCGGGATGTAGTTTCTTGCGCCGTGAATTTCTCCCAGGTCAAGAAACCACTTCCTTCTTTCCCGTTAGTTTTTGCCAGTTGTTGGAAACATTGGTTACAATATGGCATTGGTTTTTAATTAAGATTAATTAAAGTTAATTAATTATTTAGGCTTATCCGACGAGAATCGTGGACTTGGTGGTTACTCCACTTGGCAACAATTTCGTTAATCTGCAATGGACCGAACCGGGAATTAAAGACCCGAACCCGAATAATGACGGTATGTATGGTCACATTAAAAAGTCATAGTAAATCAATGACATTGACGCCGGAAGCAGGGACGACAAGGGGACAGTGGCCGCGGAAGCTGTGGGGACATAAACATTGTGGGATGGGGGAATGGTCGGGTTTATATAAGATGGGGAGATTATGCGAACAACCGTGGGGTCATTGTCCCCCTCTGTCCCCACATTTCCGTGGCCACTGTACATCCTCCCTTTACGTATGCATCCTTAGTGGCCGCTGAAGCCCTGGGGACATCGGGGGACATAAACATTGTCGGATAATAGGGGAGGGATGACTTTATATAAGATAGGGAGATGATCCCGACATCGAACAACCGTGGGGATATTGTCCCTTTACGCTTCCCCGGCCATTGAATACATAGACCAGTGGCCGCGGAAGCCGTGGGGACATCGGGGGACGCTAACGTTGTAGGAGGGGGGAAGGGCCGGGTTTATATAAGATGGGGAGATTATGCGAACAACCGTGGGGCCATGGTCCCCCTGTCCCCTCAAGCTTCCGCGGCCACTGCTTCCCCCTCAAGTGATGCATGGTTTGAACCTATAGACCTGTTTTGTTTCTAATCAGCGCAAGTGGGTGCTTATGAAATTCGTCATCAAGACGAAATTAGCAAGCTCTTATACCAATTCGATTCTGCTGAAAACCTGCCCGGAAATAAGATCCCGAACACAAAACCACCCGGAAGCAGGCAAAATGTCACGTACGATTTTGGCCGGGAAGCCAGCAGATATTACGCAATACGAACGTTAGGTCAATCTCAATCAAATGGGGTCGAAACGGTAAGAAAGTTACCGACCTGTCATTAAAAATGTCGCTGCATTTTTAATCATTTAACCCATCTGGGAATTTATTTTAAAATCCTGAACGAAAAATTTGTAGACCAGAAGGATGGTTGCCAATTTTTTGAAAATATACACTCCAGATTTTGGCACTTTTTGATGGAGGAGATCTCAAGGTTAAGAAGCCTTCAGAAAAATTGGAACTCGCTTAAAAAACTCGACGCCATTCCATCAATTGACTAAAAAATTTGAATTTTTAGAATTTTGTAATAAACTCTACTGAGTTATAAAACTCGTGAAAATCGATACGTTTTTCTCCCCGCTGGGAACTTATTTTAAAATTCTGGACGACAAATTTGTCCTCAGTGAGTTGATTGATGGAATGGCGTTGAGTTTTTTAAAGCGAGTTTCAATTTTTCTGAAGGATTCTTAAACTTGAGATCTCCTCTTTCAAAAAGTGTCGAGATTTATTTTTAAACAATTGACAACTCCTTCTGCTCTATAAATTTGTCGTTCATAATTTTAAAGTAAATTCCCAGAACCCAAAAATGATTCAAAAATTCATATTCTGACGATTTTGGCAATGCGTCATCGAGTCGTACCTTAATATTTTTTTATATGATGGAAAAATATGATATTTTTATTAAATGCTCCCATATTTTGCTGGACAGTGGTCAGACTTGTCGGTCATTGTGGGCGTAAATATAAAAACCACGTTGGACGCGAGCACCACCACGACCACGACGACGACAACGATTCGCCCCACGACTAGAACAACGTTACCACCACGGACGACCTCACCCGGTTCGACAACAATGGAGGAGGATGTTTCGAGTAAGAAAATTTTGAAAAAGTTTTTTAAGCAAAAATTGGAATTTCTCAAAAAAACTTGTACAGAAAGAATAGTTCTTTTACATGATTAACATAACGTACGAGGACTCACCGCCAAAAATATAGTCAAAATAAGCACATTTTTAATCATTTCTCCCCTCTGGGAATTTATTTTAAAATTCTGTACGACCAATTCATAGAGCAGGTCGCGTTCCCAATTTTTTGAAAATATGCACTCGAGATTTTGACACTTTTTGGCGGAGGAGAAGCCTTCAGAAAAATTGAAACTGGTCGAAACTGGCTCAAAAAACTCGACGCCATTCCATCAATCAACTCACTGAGGACAAATTTGTCGTCCAGAATTTTATAATAAGTTCCCAGAGGAGAAGAAATCATTAAAAATGTGTTGATTTTAACGATTTTGGTTAACATTTAATGTTTATTAGCACTCATTACGACGCCAAGAACGACCAAGGCGCGTGGAACGACGACGAGGGCGACAACCACCACGACAACGACGGTAAAACCCAGCACTTTTGCCCCTCGGGGGACGGATGCCCCCATAAATCACTGGTTTGAAACGACCGAGGGGATCATCACGATATCCGTCTTTGGGGGAGCAGTTTTCACCTTATCTATTCTTGGGGGAGGATTTTACATGTGGCTTATCAAATTTAGATACAGATCAATTTGAATAAATAAAAACTGGGATTTTTATGAATTGTGGCAGATAAGAATTAGTTTGGAAAATTTTAAAGAATTGTTTTCTGTGTAAATAAACACGTACAAATCATGGCTTCATAAAAATCTGGTATAAAATTTTTTTTGGAGGTTCAAACGATTTCTTGCAAATTTTGGAAAAAGGTTGCAATAATCCTTTGACCTATATTTATGTAATGTAATCCCTCATTAATTTTGAGGATTTTGCTCCGTAATAAATACGGCATGGTTTAGAAAATTTCTCAAGTAAGAAAACTTGTTAAAAGAAAAGTGATTCAAAATTTCGTGATATTACAGATAAACCAAAATGGTTACAATTATTGGGAGATTACATAATAATTTACATAGTAATTTACATATCTGTGCATAGATTTGCAAAAATCGTCGTTAATAAACAACTTGTTTTCTCAAATAAAACGGAATTCTCCAACTGAATGAGAATCATGGTGGAATTTTAGACTGCGGATGGAATGCTCAGAAATTTTAGAACCACTATTCATCAATTATTGAGGTGTGCGTATCATAAAAACGGTATACGGTTGTAGCTCTTCTAGATAGCTAGGGGGCAAGCTAACCATTTCTGGCTACCTAGTAAAACCTAACCTGCTCGCTTCGCTCGCTTAAGGTGGTATAGTATGCGGGTTTTGAGTTTGAATTGTTGCGTCTCAACTTTCCCTTCTTCCATTTGTTCAAATGGTGATTTTGAAACCTGATCATCTCCGTGAGTTTTTTACAATATGAAGATTTCAATGAACCTAAAAATCGATAATTTTTAGGTTTACAAAGTTGCGCTGGTCTGATCTTTATGTTTTTCTTCCATGAGAAAATAAATATAAAATAGACGAAAAATAATCCGTAAAACTTAAATATTTTCTCATGGAAGAAAAACAAGAAAAACTTAAAGATCAGACCAGCGCAACTTTGCAAACCTAAAAATTATCGATTTTTAGGTGCATTAAAATCTTCATATTGTAAAAAACTCACGGAGATGATCAGGTTTCAAAATCGCCATTTGAATATATGGAAGAAGGGAAAGTTGAGACGCAACAATTCAAACTCAAAACCCGCATAATATACCACCTTAATATACTTGCCGGTCAAAAAATTTATATATTCATGAAAAACACGACATTTTGGTGTATCACATCCCCCCTCGGATGAGAGGGGTCCTTTTCCTTGTTTTATACCGATGTTTCTCTGACCTTCTCAATTTACCCCTAGGCGCTGTGGCCAGGTTAGTAGGCGCTAGGAGCTACGGCCCACTTATTTAGGCGTTAGGCGCTGTGGCCTGAGGTGCTAGGCGCTGAGGCCAACGTCATTTTGGGAGCCGAGTTGGTAATCCCTCACTCAGAGCAAAACTCTATGCTGCCTGGCTTTTGAGATAATGATAACAGTGAGTAAATCGAGTATTTTTATTATATTAAAAAGTTTCTTTATTAGCAGCAAACATCTCAATATTTTCTAGTATAATAATTATGTGTGAACACATTATAATTCTGAATTTAACTACCCGTTCTATGAAGGTGATTTAAAAGTTTTACTAATCGATTGATATCGATATCAATCTTTGTGAACCAGTCTCAAAGTTACAAAGAATGACACGAATCACTCGGTTTGTCTGGATTTGTGTAGTTATGATAGTTAAAATTAATAACAAGTAATATTTAAATAACAGCGTGAATTAATGGGCCGATCAGGGTTCCAAGATAGATGTAAGTGAATTTGGTTCATCAGATTTCAGCTGCGTCATGACGTCCTTAGTTTCCGTTATAATTTGGGACAATTCATTTGCCGTGTTGACTAAATTGTAGGTCAAGATATCGTTAAAGTTGGCTAGTTCTGCAATAAGAAAATGGATTAATGATAAAACTATCCATCCATTTTAACCATGAATGTTTTAAAACTCCGGTTTATTACTTACCAATCAGGTTCTTAGCTGGTACGACTTCCAGTATGGCTTCACCACGCCTATTTGCATCACTTTTATCCATCTAATTGACAATACGGACTAGTTCCAGTATCATATTCCGATCTTTGATGGAGTTTATGCCTTTATATCGGTGGAGGAGAATTCCTTGAGGGTACTCCTTACCGTACATATTCCCTCCAGAACCGAGTACAACCTGTGTTTGTGTATTAATATAAGACTAATTTTGTTGCCATTAAAAATATTTGATTACACAGTATTTTTACCATATTAAAAATTGCATTTAGAGCATACATAAACCCGAGTTGAATTCTTGACAAGAGTGGAAATGTGCAGAGGAACAAGGACTGGTTAATTTCAAGTTTTGAAATTTTCAGCAGCATTTTTCGCAGTGCTTTTCGAGTTCTCTGGGCATCAGAGTAATTCAAGATGTCACTCACTGACTCTGCACAGCAGAGGAAACTAAATTCCCAGTCTTCTTGCTAATGAAACCAAATAAATATTATGTTATTGACTAAAAGGTCAATTAAATATATGCCCTTAAAACACGATACTTACCGGCAAGTCTGTTAACACTCGTGAAAAGTGGTACCGAATACTTTCAGGATTACAGGTAATACAAGTATCAGTGGTATCACACTGTTTGCGCCCAGCCACCCAAATTTTACAATGCTTTAAGGACCACACGGGTTCTATAGCTGCTCTCAAATCGCTTCGCATTTGTAGGATTTTTCCAAAACAGAAACGAGAGCTCAATATATTTTTGTATGGGCGACCCACGAGAGGAGAGAGTTGTGTAAATGAGCCCTAAATTTTTAGATTCGAACAATAAGTAAATAATATAAACAGAATAAATAAAACTTCTATCTAATTGATATGATTATGATTAATAGATGACATACCGAAATTTCAGACACATCCCATGACATACTTTCAAATGTCTGGTAATGCTCAATTTGTCGTTTGATTTGTTCCATTTTTACCAATAAATCTGTCGATTGATGCAACAAGAGTTTATCGTGATGACACCCAATCTCAAATCTAGGATCTACATGTGTAATATGTCGCGGCTGTGAGTTAGATAAAACAATTATGTTAAAATACATACACCAGTAGCAGTAAACAAAACTTAATATTTAAAATCCACAAAAAGGAAATGTCACTTACGAAATATCTCAATTTAAATAAAGACTTTTTAGGATGCAGAGATCTCACATCATAGCGATCAATCCATTCCCAAGACACATGACGCTTCATTATGTCATGTTGATAATACGTTAGAGATAATCCACTTTTATCCTCCCAAGTTTTGATGTTCCGCTTTATAACAGCAATTTGTTAATGAAATAGCCAAAATATAATGAGGTTAATTGGAGAAACATTTATTAGATAAGTTAATAAAATCAGAATCGTTTAGACAATTACTTGAGATTGCGTGAAAAACGAGGCGGCTTCAAGAATTTTGCTCATGAATGTGCCAAAAAATGGTAGGGCCTTAGAAATAATGGCACGCCTACTCAAGATGGACGTTTTGCATCCTGAGGTAAAATTAAATTTATGAAAGTTATACTCGTGCTTTTTTTAATTAGAAATTTAATACAGGCATTTTGAAAAGTTTACTAAATATATTCGGAAACACTTACCCACGTATTCTATTAGAAAGTCCAGTTGATTTCTGAACACTCTACGGCCTCTGTACTTTAGACAGACGACATAAACTTCTGAATTTCCTTCTTTGCTCGTGGCTGGTTTAAAGAGATGGACCTGACTCAGAAAAAATAGATACTTAACTGATTACCACCCAACAAAGTAACTATTTTTAAGTAAATGAATGACTCACTTCTTCAAATAAAGAGCACAGAATGTACAAGTGGCTAATAGTCTGACATTCTAAAAAGGTGAATATTTTGAGTACAAAACTTCCCCCGAAACCCAAAATTGATAGGGCAGCAATTATTTCAGTGAACTGCAATTCTTCAACAGCGCTCTCCTGTTCCATGGGATTCGTTTGGCAATCAATGCTCCCATCCGCAGTGACCAAATCAACGGAGTGCTCCAAACTAAGACATTTTTGTTTAACCTGCTCAATCAAACTGTCCAAATTAGCCCTGTTCATTAAGTTCCCGGTCGTGTCTTTGAGAAAAATCCAATTATTCAAAGAACTCAAGATCAACTTGTCTTCATTTATCATAGTTCCGATGTCATTTCCTTCGTAGTGTGGATTTAAGGTGGTGGCGAGCCAATCCCACTTTAGACCACCAAAATTTGTTGAATATAAGTAAGTAATTAGCATGAATGAGTATGATTTTGATGAAATAATTCACCTGAATTGTTGGGCAATTATTAGATAGAAAATGATTAGTTGCATAAATGAAGGCTCCCGGCGCTTCACATAAATGTATTGATAGAAAACGTGGTGGACGGGCAGACACGTCTGGTTGAGTAATATGTTCAGGAATTAGAGAGAAAGTGCTAAGACACTCGTACATTTTGCACCTACAGGAAGTGGTGGTGGTGGAAACCAAGTATAATTCTTACATTCTGAGGTTATATAACAATTTCAAGATTATTTATTATGCACATACCACGCTTGGCTACAAAATTCTGGTTGAAACTCCTGCCTCACGATTGGCATCACTTGACCTGCTGTGTTCATTTGGCTTGTGTGTTTGTGCCAGGAATTCAAGGGGTAGTTATCCAAAAGACTTTTTGTTTGATTTAGCTCATGTTTAATATCTCTGAGTTCAACTGCCTAAAATTCATACAAACGAACAGTGTTAAGTGGACTAATGGAAAATAACAATTAATTATTGACTTACAATCCATTTTGGCGAGGCAAAAAACCTTTTCGGGATGGATGGAAAATATTCATTTGCAGTTTTCAGACATCGCTTCTTCCCAAAAATGTCTTGACCTACAGTTGCCATGTTTATTTTTTGGACAATCTTTCCTTCAGGAATGGGAGGAGGTCCTCGTGGCACAGGCACATGAGCGTCTACTTAGTTGGACACAGCGCCTACACTCAGCGCCTCTGGGGTAACTTGAGATAGTCAGAGAAACATCAATACGACATGAGACGGTGAATTATATAAACCCAGCCCTAGGTTTCTCAACGGAATTTTCCAACTGGATGAGAATCATGGTGAAATTTTAGTTTGTGGTGGGGATGGAATGCTCACGATAATAAAATGAAGGACAATTCATCAATTATTGAGGTCTGCTTATCAAAATTACTATGCATACCGAGACCTAATTATTTATCACCATGCATAGTCCATTTCGATATGCAACCCGACACCTGAGCCCTGCACGATTTAAGTGTGATGCACAAAGTGACCTTTCTTATCGTCACGATGAAATATGTCGTCGTCGTTGGACGGCCAAAACGTAACACTTCTTATGCCAAGTAAATTTACCACTTGGTACGAAGTTTGCATAAAAATGTCGCAAATTTGCTATATATTTGTAGTCAGCTTATGCTCAATTCTTGATTCCTTATGTATTTACTGGAAGAAATATGTCTCGTATATTTCCATATGCGGCAAAATTTTTTCTCGTCCTCCTCCGGAAGCATGATTTTATTTCAAGTCGACAAAAAGAATTCATAGTTTTCTCAAATAAAACGAGATTTTTCTGGAATTATGCTAGATTTTTAGTTTTACATTTGTGATGGAATGCTCACGATAAGAAAGCGAACGACAATTCATCACTTTTTGAGACCTATACTTATCAAGATAATATGCTAATTGAGATTTCCTACAGAATTATTAGTTCATCTTGGTCCGTTTCGATATGCAACCCGAAACCTGAGCCCTGCACGATTTACGTGTTCTGCACAAAATGACCTTTCTTCTCGTCACGATGAAATATGTCGTCGTCGTCCCTGTTCCAGCCTTGCATTGGTGTCGGCGCATGAAAAAGTGGGGGCGAGAAGCGAGCAGAGTTTTACATAAAATAGAATTACTTTACTAAACAAAAATCGTCATGGTCAAAACGGTAACAAAAATCCTGTTTACAACTAAATCATTCAACTATTTATCAGGAATAATTATCTCGTCACAAATGGTGAAATGGGGAGCATATAAAAATTTAAAGCATGGAAACATGTCGTGTTTTGACGAGGGGTCAATTGGCAGACGAAGGATTCTATTCTGGGGGATGAAGCTTCCTCAAGTGCATCCCAACTTTGCCTTTCTGCGTGAACGTCTGTCCGCAGTGGGGGCAGGGGTGCCGGATTTTGGCATGAACACTCCTCACATGTCGCGCCATGGCACCCTTCGTCCCGAACTTTTTGGGGCACTGGAGGCACGCGATGTCCTTCAGCTTCCGGTGTACCGTCTTCTTGTGGATGCCCAGATTTTGTTTACTAGTGAACGCTTTGTCGCAGTCGTAGCAGTTGAACGGTTTTGGGTTCGAAGTGTGACTGAGCTTGTGCAAGTTTAAGCTATTATTACGAGGGAATAGCTTCCCACACTGGTCGCAGGGGAAAGGTTTCTAGTCCGTGTGGGAGACCAGGTGAATCTAATAAGTGCGGTCATCGGCGAATATCTTGCGGCAAAACAGGCAGACTCGACTCGTCCCCTGCTTCACGAGGGCGACCTTCTCGTCTTCGGAGAGGTGGGAGAAGAGATGGTTGGACAGGATTTGTTTGGAGGAGAAACTTTTTCGACACACGTGACACCCCAGCTCACTTTTTCCTTCGTGTGAGTCACAAGATGACCAGCGAGACGAGATTGACGTTGGAACAGTTTGCTGCAGAAGTAACAGCCGTGTCGCCAGCGCTGCCGAACCGCCGCGCGCTCCTCGCGACTCAGGTGGACGAAGAGATGTGTGGTCATGTGTGCTTTCTGGGTGAACTTCTGCTTGCAGGTGAGGCAGGCGTAGTTCTTCCTACCTTCGTGCGCGTTCACGTGGTTGGTAAAGTGTCCACGATCGAAGAACACTCTTTCGCAGTGGGGGCACCTCTCATGGAAAAGTGAGGACTGCTCCAGCTCGTGGGGGTTGAGGTGGGTGTGGACGTGGAGGTGAGCACTGGTTCCATTGGTGAAGGGACGAAGGCATATTTTGCATGGGAAGACTTTCACCACCACGTGACGACCACGTGGTCCGCTAAGTTGTCGTAATTTCTTGACCTTGACTGACCTCCTGCTAGCTGACGGCGACTCCGCTTGGTTATCATGGCTGACCTCCCCCTTATTCATCCTGCCTCCTGAAGTTCCCCGGCCAGCAAAAATGGATCCCTTTCTCTGCACAGAATATTATTAAGTCAGCATATGTAGTTCACAAATAGATTTTATATGCAAATTAAGCATGCAATCTTACAGTTGTTAAAATTTTGGGTGTGAGACGTGTGTTCGGGATGCAGTCGGTTTGAGTTTCAAACGACGTTCAGCTTTCTTTACGCTTCTGTTCTTTTTTTTAATGTGAACTGGGTGGAAATGTTTAAACTTTATTAAATTTATGGAAGAGGTGAACTCGGGGAGCGTGTTGGTCTCTGATTGAGAGATAACTTGGCTTATCTGCGCATCCTACCAACAGGTAAGTGAGTCTCGTATAGTGAGTGCGAAATGGTGGAAAGAATTAAGCTACAAAATCCTGGAAAAAGCAGGACGGTGATGATTAAATATGCAATGCGAATAATTTGTGTGTGGAGAATTTAGCAATAAAATTGTGCCACAAGCAATAAGACGGTGGTGATGATGGTCATTGTCATTCATTAATTATTCCATGCAAATTAAGACGGTTTGTCCAGCTCTGGAAGAAATATGCTTGCGTCCATTCCACAATCTCTCAAATTTGGTTGTAAATCGGAATTCCATTCCTCTTCTCTTATCCTGCTGATATATTTTTGCCATTGCACTCTTGAATTAGAATTATGTGGGGTTTTTATCAAAATGGAAGTTGAGCGAAAGCTGAGCAAATGAAATTCTATGTAGAATTGAGTCCGGATTTCTTAATTATTTTCATGCTAAATGACGAATACATATTTAATGTAAGGGAAATGTGTACAGCTTCATCAATCATTTAACTTCTTACGTGCAGGGTTTTAAACAAGGTCCAAAACAGTCGTTCAAACCGAATTTTAACCAGTTTTGGGCACACAATTTTGGACATCGCAAATGTCCAAAAGTGTCCAAACTAGGAAATGGGCCAACATATTGCAAGTTCTTCTTGATTGAATCTTCAATAATCCGTTGACTTGTAGGTTATGTAATCTCCGATTAATTTTGATTTTTTTCATTCTAAATGACAAATGCATATTTAATGAATAAGGAAACATGGAACTTGGCCAATCCTGTAACTTCTGTTTTGCAGGGTTTCGCCGTGGTTTTAAACAATGTCCGAAATCCAAAACCGGTTTTAACCAGTTTGTACACCAAATTTTCCAATAGTCTAATCCAAAATAGAAAACGGGACAAAATGTTACAAGTTCTTTATTAACGACCTTTTTTGCAAATCTAAATTTGCTCTGCATATATATGTAATATGCAATTTCTCATTAATTTTGGTGTGTCTGTAATACCACGAAATTTGTAAAAACTTTTCTTTTAACATGTTTCTTGCTTGAGAAAGTAAGAAATTTTCTAAACCATGTCGTACACAACAGAATGCTCAAAAATGGGAAACTGTGTGCACGTCCACGGATTATCGGAAGATTCAATAATGAAAAACTTGTAACAGTTTGACCCATTTTTATTTATTTTAGACGTCCAAAATTAAAAACTGGTTAAAATCGATTTGGACGCCTGTTTTGAACAGTGGTTAACACCTTCCTTCTTTCCATCTCACTATCAACTATCTCTTTGCAATTTAAATTAATTTTTAATGCACTTTCAATTTAATTGCTAATACTAATACTAATTTCATATTTAAGAAAAAATAATAAAAATCAATAATATTCCTGCCTCATTTGCGACGATTTCTTGTTTTCGCTTATTTTTAGAACGACCATTCATCAATTGTGGACGTCTGGCGTATCATGATAATCAGAGGACGGTTATGTATGTACGTAAATTCCGCAAAATATGTACGTAAAATGTGCTTCAAAAACCTGAAAAGATGCAAAAAAATGTTTTCAACTTCAATTTTCTACCATATTTTTGAAATATAATTTTTGCGGAAACCTTAATTTCTGCATAGATAAGAAAAATTTTACACAAAAAACTTCGAAATATCTACTAAAATACTTATATCTAGAAAATACTCGAAATATACAGGAAAATATGTAAGAAAACCCTAAAATATGTCAAATATGGAAACCTATATAAAATGTCCCCACCATCTTCCTATTTTATATATAAACTCGTCCCTCCCCTATACTAGAATTTTAACGTCTCAGATGTCCCCACGGCTTCCGGGGCCACTGTGTTTACGCATGTGACCATTACTGAAGGAAATATGCATGTAAAATCTTCCTCATTTAGTTACGATGCTAGATTGTGGTTTTGCAGTGTGCTTTTCTTTCCATTGGACAGAAATAATCCCTGATTTTCTCAGATAACAAGGAATTTTCCAGCTGCATGAAACTAACGCTGGGATTTTAGACTTTTATCTTTTGGATGGAATGCCCACGATGAGAGATGAACGACCATTCATCAATTATTGAAGCCTGCGGATCAAAATTTGTATGAAAACTGAGACTGGTTGCAGAACTATTTAGACACCTTGGTCCGTTTCGATGAGCAAGCCACCTTACCTGCACGATTGAAGAGTGATGCACAAATTGACCTTTCTTCTCGTCACGATGAAACATGTCGTCGTCACTGGTCCAGCCCTGCATTTGTGTCGGCGCATGGAAAAATGGGAACGAGACGCGTGCAGAGTTTTTTTACAAAATAGAATGACTTTACTACTTAAAACATGGAGAAAACTTAAAACAAACATACTTAAAACACGTCATGGTCAAAAAGGTAACAAACATTGCGTCATGTTTACACGATTTATACCATTCAATTATACCATTTTCATCAGTCGTACAAGAATAATCTCATCAATAGTGAACTCAGGAAAATAAAAAAATATAATAGACTGGAAATATGTCTTAATTTGACGAAGGGTCAGTCGAAAGATGACGGACTTCATTCTGGGGGATGAGCCTTCTTCAAATGTATCCCAAGATAGGCTTCCCGCAGTGGGGGCAGGGGTGCCGAATTTTGGCATGAACACCCTTCAGATGTTGCACCATGGCACCCTTCGTCCCGAACTTCTTGGCGCAATCGGGACAGGCGAAGTTCTTCAGTCTCCAGTGAACCGTCTTCTTGTGGGTGACCAGATTTGCTTTTTGAGTGAAAGCGTGTCCGCACTCGGTGCACTTGAAGGGTCGCGGATCCGCGCTGTGAATGGGCGCATGCATGGTTAAGTTACTTTTCAAACCGAACAGCGCCCCACATTGGTCGCAGGGAAAAGGTTTCTCCTTCGTGTGGGAGACTAGGTGGCGATGATAAGTGCGGTTGTCGGGGAATTTCTTCTGGCAAAATAGGCATTCTCGACTCGGCCCCTGCTTCACGAGAGTGACCTTCTCGTCTTCGGAGAGGTGGAGGAACCGATGACTGGTCAGGGCTCGTTTGGAAGAGAACGTTTTTCGGCAAATGCGACACCTTCCGCCCAACTTTTCCTTCGTGTGGACGACAAGATGACGACTGAGATCGAATGGCTTTTTGAACCGTTTGCTGCAGAAGTAGCAGCCGTGTCGCCAACCCTGCGCCACCTCCGCGCGCTCCTCGCCGCTCAGGTGGACGAAGAGATGCGCGGTCAAATGTCCTTTCGTGGTGAATTTCTTTTTACAAATGGGGCAGGCGTGGTTCTTCCGACCTTCGTGCGCGTTCACGTGGTCGGTAAAGTGATGACGAGTGAAGAACACTTTTTCGCAGTGGGGGCACTTCTCATGGAAAAGTGACGACTGCTCCCGCTCCTGGGAGTTGAAATGGGTGCGGCGTGGAGGGCAGCATTGGTTTTGTTAGCGAAGGGACAAAGACATGTTTTGCACGGGAAGACTTTCTTGGTTTTTGACAACCTGTCGTTAGTTGCGAGCGACTGGGCGTGGTTATCGTCACGTGCTGGTTGGACGGAGGTAGGAGAAAATCGCCTGTTCTCTTGAAAACGGAGCCCTTTGTCGATTTTCTCCATTGTCGGAACGAGCGCTTTCTGTCCTCCGACCAACTTCCTTTGCGTCTTGTTGACCTCCATTCCGTCCGTCTCGTTCTGCTCGGAAATTCTCCCGCTAGCAAATCCTGTATCGGCGTAGACAATTTTATTACTTCCGCATTCCGAGTAGAATTACAGATTTTATATGTAAATTTAGAATGCAATCTTACCAACGGATTTTTCTTAAAATTGCACGTGTTCGGAATGCAATTCGTCTTGGAGTAAAACAAAAAGTTTACCCTCTTCGAACTTTCCCTGCGTTTCAGGCTCCTCCACAATTTTCAAGGGACGTTCCGCTTTCTTTACTTTGCGACGTTCTGCTCTTTTTCTCGATGTGAACTGCGTGGAAATGTTTAAAATTTTATGAAATTTTCTAGAGCAAGAAGTGAGCTGCTGTTTGTCGTGGAGATTTTTGACCTCTGTCTCCCTTGAGATATATAACTTTGCTTATCTGCATATCCCACCAACAGTCAAGTCTCGAATAGTCAGATGAACAACAAAGGAAACAAAGCCAAAGTGCAGAATGCTTTCTGTGTGGAGAATTTAGCAAGAAAATCGTGCCACAAAAGCAAGACCGACGGTGGTGATGATGCTCAATACGCAGGCCTGTAGCGACGTTTTGTCCGGCCTGGAGAGTTTGGCGGTGGTACGGCCTCATACACCCCCAAAAATTATTGAATCCCTGATTTTACCTAGTGTATTTTATCATTGACCTTGATTTTATCTAGTGTATTTTATTGCTGACCCTGGCTGTACGGCCCCCGGGCCGTACGGCCTGGAGAGTGTCTCTCCACCTCTCTCCATCGTCGCTACGGCGCTGTCAATACGTAATCATTTGCTAATTATTCATTGCAAATTGAGATGCTTGCCCACCACTGGAAGAAATCTGCGTGAATATGCACAATCTCTCAAATTTGGGTAAGAATCCGAATTCATTCACGATTTTCTTGCCTACTTCTCCACACAGAAATTAGTCTGCATTTTGAGCTTGCTTTTTGGTAGAGAGTTAGAGACTTGGTTGTTGATGGGATATGCAGAAGACATTTCTCAGTCCAGAGACCAACAAGCTTCCCAGCAAATAAGGGCTCACTCCCTCCAGAAATTTCACTATTTTTAAACATTTCCCAATTTCCACGAAGTTCACATTGAGAAAAAAGACCAGAACGACGCAAAGTAAAGGGAGCTGCGATTGGAAATTGTAGAGCAGAGGATTCGACGAGGGAACGATTTTTTTTACTCTGGAACCGACCACATCCCGAAAACACGCCAAAATTTAGGAACATAGAAGGGGTCAGGATATTAGAATTTTAGGAGGTTGGTGAAAGATTAATTCTTAACTTTCATATAAGTAAAACCTCTGATTCTACTCTGACCAAATAATAATATTAAATATTTTTTTTAGCAAGAGTTTGAGGGTTGCAAGCAAGGAAACTTCCGAGCAGAACGAGACCTTGAACGGGATGGAGGCCAACCACACCCACCGGAAATTGCTCAGACGACAGAAGGCGCTCGTCCCCAACGGAGAAAGTGGAAAGTTTTCCTCCTCACTCCGTCCAACCACGTCCCACACCACGTGACGATGACCACGTGCAGTCTCCCTCATCAAGCAGGAGGTCATTAAATGCCAAGAAATCAGCTTCAGTTGGCAGAAATGGCGTGGAGCCTGGTCGTCGCACAGGGGAGAAAATCTTCCCATGCAAAACATGCCTTCGTCCCTTCACCAACAGAACCAGTGCTCACCTCCACGCCCGCACCCACCTCAACCCCCACGAACTTGAGCGGTCTTCAATTTTCCATGGGAAATGTCCCCACTGCCAAAAAGTGTTCTTCACTCGGCAACAGTTTACCCACCACGTGAACGCGCACGAAGGCCGGAAGGACCACGCCTGCCCCGTGTGCAAACAGAAGTTCACCCACAAAACAAGTTTGACCCCGCATCTCTTCGTCCACCTGAGTCGCGAGGAGCGCGCGGAGGTGCGGCAGGGCTGGCGACATGTTTGCTACTTCTGCGGCAAACGATTCAAAAGTCAATACCATCTCAGTTGTCATCTTCTGACCCACACGAAGGAAAAAGTGGGTGGGAGGTGTGACATTTGTCGAAAAACGTTCTCCTCCAAAGATGGCCTGACCACTCATCGCTTCACTCATCTCAGCGAAGATGAGAAGGTCGCCCTCGTGAAGCAGGGGCCGAGTCGAGAGTGCCTCTTCTGTCAGAAGAAATTCCCCAACAACGGCAGCTATCATGCTCACCTGGTCTCCCACACCAAGGAGAAACCATTCCGCTGCGACCAGTGCGGAAATCTGTTCGTTCATAATTACAGCATGAAGTTGCACAAGTTCAGTCACTCTTCGAACCCAAAACGGTTCAATTGCGACGAGTGTGGTCAAGCCTTCAGTCAAAAACCTCATCTGACCAGACATAAGAAGACGGTTCACCGGAAGTTGAAGGACATCACGTGCCCCGACTGCTCTAAGAAGTTTGGCGAGAAGAGTGACATGGTGCGGCATCTGAACAATATTCATGCCAAAATCCGGCACCCCTGTCCCCACTGTGACCAGACTTTCACGCAGAAATGCAGTCTTGCGACGCACTTGAAGAAGTTTCATCCTCAGAACCTCGTCCTTCACCTGCGAAATCAGGTCGCATCCAGTGACCATGTGCGTTTCAAGTTGTATTGTTATATTTTCCTGATTTCACTATTCGCGATAAGTAAATAAACTGTTCTCGTACGATGGATAAAAATGGCATAATTGAAGGATTAATTTGTAAACATGACACTCGTTTTGTTGCCGTTTTGACCATGACGATTTTTAATTATGGAGTAAAGTCGTTCCGTTTAATGTCAACGTCTGTTCGCTTCTCGCTCCCATTTTTCCACCTGTCGACATATATGCACCGCTGGAACAGGGACATTGCATCGTGATGAAGAACGGTCAGTTTGTGCACTTAAATCACACTTAAATCGTGCAGGGCTCAAGTTGTGGGTTGCAGTATCCGGTCACTTTGCATAACACATTTTCCATAAGGGTAATATATGTACCATGATTTGTATTCCATAATTGATAATAGGCACATGGTATATACAACCACTTTGCATAACACATTATCTCATAATTTATTTTTAAAATGGACTGACAATGGAGGCGCAAACCATGTTCAGCTCAGATTATTTTTTGACCATGTTAGTTTGGAAGAGCAAGTCTCTAGAAACAACATTTGGTTCACCACTTGCGCAGATGCGCAAAATTCAGCACTTTATGGGCGCCGCAAGTTCGCAAAAACGCACGATTTTTCGGGCAATGCCCAGCGCGAGCTCAACTTCGTGCGTTTTTGCGAACTTGCGGCGCCCATAACGTGCTGAAATTTGCGCATCTGCCTAAGTGCCGAACCAAATGTTGTTTGTAAAGACTTGCTCTTTCAAACTAATAAGGTCAAAAAATTATCTGGACTGAACATGGTTTGCGCCTCCATTGTGAGTAATGAAAGCTAAAATCGTGCAGACAAACAAAACAAGAAGAAAGGTCATTTGTCCATCATTTGTCCATGCAGGGCTCGCATTGCAGGTCGAAAAGGTCAAATAATTCTGGAGCAAATCTCAATTCGCATATAATTTTGATACACAAACCTAAATAATGGATGCATCTTGAGCTTTCCATCCGGAAATATAAATTTCCACCATACTTTTCATACGGTTGGAAAATTCCGTTTTAATTAAGAAAACCATAGGCATTATTTCTGTCTAATGGAAATAAAACCCAAGTTCAGTCTGAGGAGGATGAAAACAAATAATAGCATCAGACATCAGACGTAACTATCATAAACGAGGTGTATTTTCCATGCATATTTAATTCCAGTAATAGTGACATATGAAATCAAGCATTGAGCATAAAGACGAAAGGTTGGCAACAAATGTACTAAATTTCCGAGATTCTGGATGCATTTTCCGTGGTCAATTTACATGCCACAAGTAATCCAATGATTGATCAAAATGCTGATTTCCATTAAATATGCATGTATGCGTATAATTGTGTTAGAAAAGTTAAGAAATCCAGAATTGATCGTATGCAGAATTCCTTTTGTTGATCTTTCCTCCAATTGTACAATTTCTGATTAACTGCGCGTTTTCTCCTCTGCGGATGCAAATATCTGTGCAAAACGGGCCCATTGGGAGGTCGCGTTGCTTGCATGAAATTTGCGAAAGATGCGCCCTCCCAATGGGCCCGTTTTGCAGAGATGTTTGCATCCCAAGAGGAGAAAACGAGCAGTAAATTTGGAAATTGTAACATTTCTCGACTTTAAAGAACATTTTCTCCTCTTCGGATGCAAATATCTGTGCAAAACGGGCCCATTGGGAGGTCGTGTCCTTCGCAAATTTCATACTAGATAAATTTGTCATCTCTTGAGACTAATTTGACCCTCAAAATCGGAGAGCATACGCTGAAGCACTTTCATTACCAGGCATCGCCAAACCTCGGTTGCGTCACAAGCCGACTAGTTCGGAAGAACAATAATGCCCGTCTTGATTAATCCGGTCCGTATTAATTAAATTTACGTATTATGCCGAAATCTATATGAAAAATCTTGTTGAAAGTTAAAGTAGCTATTATAAATCCACCTTATATTTAATTCCAGGCAAACGTTTGTTGTTTTATGGAGAATGATACAAATCACTGTTGTAATTTCAATTTGAATTTTATTTTATAGAATGTATGTAATTACCAGGGGTGGGCAAGATACTTTGGTCATAAGATACAAGATACAAGATACAAGATAAGATACTTTCTAGGATAAGATATAAGATATAAGATACATCTTGTTCAAGTACACAAGATACAAGATACAAGATACTTTCCTAAAAATTGAGTAGTCAAGATACAAGATACAAGATATGTATCTTAAGATACTTTTATATTAGATAAGATACTTTATTTTTTTAGCCTGATATTCATGCCCAATTAGTCATGTTTAATAATTTAAACGAAAAAATCTGGTGAGTACAAAATTTAAAATCATTCTATAATCATACAAATTTTGTTGCCAGTGCTTATATTTCTAAAAATTTCTAAGTTTCGAAAAACTAGACCTCTAACTAACATGCGTATATTTTTACGAAGTTCGTAATATATTCCCTGCTTATTCAAATCAAACTAAACCCTACAATACCTATACATTACAGATAATTAAAAGCGTAGTTACATATCATGTAATGTGCAATGCACGTTGTGCATGTGTATGTGTATATGTGCACATGAACTTATATACATATATATTATATATATGTATATATATATATATATACATGAGTATATGTACATGTGTATGTATATACAGGTTTGTTACTAATTGGCAAAACATAAAATAAAAATTCACCAAACTCTGGTTACGCCAAATTCATGGTCAAATTGACTGACTGTGGTAAGAAATTGACTTAATTTGACGGAATTTTGAAAAAAGTATCTTGTATCTTGTCAACTATCTTACGATACTTTTCTGCCAGGCGTATCTAGATAAGATACTTACAAAAGATACTTTCGACTTTCTAAAAGATACAAGATACAAGATACTTCTCCGATCAGGCGACGAAGATACAAGATAAAGATACTATCTTGTATCTTATATCTTTTATCTTGTATCTTGACCAAGTATCTTGCCCACCCCTGGTAATTACTAATTAGCATAAGAAGAAAACTGCGTAAAAATTTATATCATAGTTTATATTAATAATTAATAAATGGAACTTTTACGATATATTTTTTCTATTCGAGTTCAAAACTAGATAAGAAGAGCATACATAATTAGAACGATTTTACAAACCCAAATCTCTTCAGGGAATGAATTAGTAAAAATTATGAAAAGCAGTCTGACAAATAAGTATTTAATTTTTAATTCAATGCAGTCAGTAAAATAGGAATTTTTTATTACAATCAAATTGTAAATTTTAAATTTAATTGGACTGCAGGAGCATCAAATCTGTGAAGAAAAAATAATAATTAAGCTAAATTAATTATTGTGTAATTTGAGTATTATTTTGTTTCACTCGTTTTTAAGATTAACAAAAGATAAAAGGATATTTTTTGAGAACTATTTGTAAACAAATTTCTAATTTTTTTCTCACCCTGGATGATTTTTGGACGTTATCCGACAGAGGCTGGAACAACAAATTTGGCGAAAGTTCGGTGCAGCAGTACCGCTGCAACCAAGGCGTCACCACGCCGATAAGCCCGAACCCACGCCGGGAATTCCTTCCCCACGACGCGGAGCTTGGCTCCCTGTTCATTAGAAAAGCGAAAATATATTCATAAATTCATAATTCATAAATTCATAATAATTTGAAAATTTGTAAATTCAGAAAAAATTGAGGATGAATTGGTAAGAATCTTTGCATATTAAAAAATAATAATTTGCACAAAATTGTAAATTACAAAAAATCTGTCAATGATTTAGAAAAATCGTAAATGCAAAAAAATTGAGAATGAATTTGTAAAAGTACTCATAGATAAATGCACCAATACCAAATTTGCAAAAAATATACCACAATTTTAAGAAATTTTGCAAGGAAAATATTTGGTACCTCCACGTCAATGCGTGCATATATTTCTTGTCGTGATAGGGAAGGCCCGACCCCGGCCGACCTCCGCACGTTGACCTGTAACCACTTCAGGGTCCGCATGACTGCGGCGGCTGGCGTATCCGGCCCGGAACTACGAACCTTCATGCTCTTCTTTGTCACTTTCTTTACTTCCGCAGTTAATGCCAAGTTAATTACACGATTTTTAGCAAGACGAATGAAAATCATTTCGTTCCGACATTGTCTTAAGTAGGTCGCTCTCAGTGGCGGCGGAACTTGGGGAGGGGGACATGGGGGACATTAATATTGTGGGATAGGAGGAGGACGGGCTTATGTATTAATGTGGGAAAGGCAGGATTTTTATGAATTTCTGTGCGGACAATGTCCCCTTGTCCCACTGCTACTGAACTCTCGCAAGACCCCATTTGAGTTTGAGTCGCCCATTGGCAGTGGCCGCGGAAGCGTGCTGACAAAGGGACAATGTTCCCACGGTTGTTCGATGTCCGCATCATCTCCCATCTTATATAAACCCGTCCCTCCCTTATCCTGCAATGGTAATGTCCCCGCACCTTCCGCGGCACTGTCTGTCAATGTATCACATCAGTTGTCATGAATTACCATCCAGAGACCAGACTAATAAAAATGGGAAACGACGAAAATATGGCTCGTATTTCATGCAAATGCAAGTAATCAAAGTTAAGAATCTTGTACAGTTAGATATGTAATTACTTTCATGAAGGATTTTATGGCATTTTTCATCCTTTGCTTTGTCAAACAATGTTTCATATTTCTGCTTAATTGCCAGGGGTGGGCAAGATACTTGGTCAAGATACAAGATAAAAGATAGAAGATACAAGATAGTATCTTTATCTTGTATCTTCGTCGCCTGATCAGAGAAGTATCTTTTATCTTGTATCTTTTAGAAAGCCGAAAGTATCTTGTGTAAGTATCTTATCTAGATATGCCTGGCAGAAAAGTATCGTAAGATAGTTGACAAGATACAAGATACTTTTTTCAAAATTCCGTCAAATTAAGTAAATTTCTTACTACAGTCAGTGAATTTGACTATGAATTTGGCGTAACCAGAGTTTGGTGAATTTTATTTTATGTTTTGCCAATTACTAACAAACCTGTACATGCATACACATGTACATATACTCATGTATACCTACATATATATTATATAAGTTAATGTGTACATATGTACACATACGGACATACACATGCACAATGTGTATTGCACATTACTGATATGTAACTACGCTTAACTAATGTATAGGTATTGTAGGGTTTAGTTTGATTTGAATTAGCAGGGAATATATTACGAACCTCGTAAAAATATACGTATGTTAGTTAGAGGTCTAGTTTTTCGAAACTTAGAAATTTTTCGAAGTATAAGCACTTGCAACAAAATTTGTATGAATATAGAATTATTTTAAATTTTGTACTCACCAAATTTTTTCGTTCAAATTATTAAGCATGACTAATTGGGCATGAATACTAGGCTAAAAAATAAAGTAGCTTATCTAATGTAAAAGTATCTTAAGATACATATCTTGTATCTTGTATCTTGACTACTCAATTTTTAGGAAAGTATCTTGTATCTTGTATCTTGTGTACTTGGCCAAGATGTATCTTATATCTTGTATCTTATATCTTATCCTAGAAAGTATCTTATCTTGTATCTTGTATCTTATGACCAAAGTATCTTGCCCACCCCTGTTAATTGCATTTTTAATCAGCAATTATTTCCACTCCAGCAATGAAATCCGACCAAGTGCTCAATAGAGATTCATGAGTTTCAGTAAAATAGGGCATTTTTCTTTTCAGGTTTATGAACTAAAATGCACTGTTAAAAATGTGTTGAAGTCGTACTGGTATTGATTTGAATTGGTAATAACTTATGGTAAATTTTTCATTACCGAGACATTACCATAATGCTTGTTATTACCGTGGCGGTAGAGTCGTACATACATGTACTCTAGTCAGGAATGATTTGATACCAGTTTTTTAAGAATGTGCTTAATACTTGACACTAATTATGGTGGTCTTCTCAACAAAATTCTTGGAAGTGATAAGCTGACGAATGAAAGTACAGTCAAACAATTTATTTAATGAGTCATGATACTATTTTTTGTTAAATACATATGTAAATGAGATCGTTAATTTTAGCATGAACACTGTATTCAGTTTGCAGAGGACGGATATGTTTTAATTATAATTTTTGAGACAAACTAATTTCCCTTAATTTTGAACCTGTCTTGACAAACATTCCCGTTGGTCGTGTGGAACTTTCGGGTATTTTAAAGTGGACTAGGCCGTAATCGCATGTGTCATCGTTTTACATATGAGTTCGAGCATGTGACATGTTCGGTACGAAGAGGCGTCAAACGTTCCGAACGAACGATACCGGAGCTGTGATAGATTTCTTTAAACCGGAAACCGTTACAGATTTTACATCAAGGCTCTGTGTACATGTATATTATGCAAATTAATTCTTACATAAATACGATGACAGTTAAATTTTGAGAACTTCATTACCAGCACACAAAACCAGTATGCAACTGTTCCCCAATTGTTTATTTGGTTCATAGATAATTTATACAGTGTTTGGGTTATTTTTGAGTAAATGGTGCTAATTATTATGACTGTCTGCAAACCCTTATGCATGCATTTTCACATGTTTCGAGCACGTCAGGAAATTAAAAATCCTTGTGTCGAACAATTTAGAAAAATAGTAGACGTCTAATAAATAAATAAATAAGAGAAAGGCAGGCATGCACTTTAGAACCAGTGGCACGAACCAGAATAATGGTGGACTCAATTCATAGGATTCTTGGTATTAATTAGGTAACATTTTCATAATTTGTAGTGTTTTGGGTTATTTTTGAATAAATGCTGCTAATTAAGACCATTACAAGCCTGTAAATTTAACAAATATGTATGTATGGCATCTACAATGTACTGAATAAGAGGATGCACAATACATGCATGCAATTTAGATCCAGTAGTAGAACAAACCAGAATAAGTAAATTTCCAGAATAATCTCAATTTCCGAAAAGGAGTGAAAATTTTGAGAAGAAAAACTGGGTTGCGGTTGAACTTGGAAAACCGTCGGGAGGTCAACTCACCAGCCCAGCAGCACTTTTTTCCCAGAGCTCACTTCACTTCACTCGCTCCGATTCAAGGCAACTTTGCGTCCCTCACTTCTCCTAAATTTCGACCCATTTAACCACTAATTAAGTACTTATCTTGGTCTTATCCAAGATGTCGTTTAGGAGGACAGGCTTCTTTAAGTGGGCGTGTCACGTGATGGACAAGTTAACCCTCAAAAGGATTTCACTCCCCAAGACGACGGACACCGGCGTGATTCGCCTAGTTCGCGAGTATGACACTCGAAGGATACCGGAATGTGCGAGATTTGTACATATCGTAAGTTCAGGTCAAATATTTGTAATCATGATTAATATTAATTGATGGCTAATTGTTATTGTATTGTAGATGTACACTAATGGGACTCTTTTCGATTTGCAACTGTACACTGGGAGGATTATCCTGTTCATTATGGAGTGGAACCTCTTGCAGCAGCAGTTACGTGATTTAGACGCCTTATCTCCCATTGGGGGTTGAGGGGGGCAAGGTCATTCTGGAAGTCTGCATTTACAAGAATTTTGAACTAGTGAAATTCGCATGCTGTGATAAATCTGTATATGTCTCATACTCATCTCATCTATATTATATTATGATTTTTAACCAGTAATCCTGATCTCATGATACGTGCTCTCGTCAATATGCTAATTTAAATTATAGTCTCACTAATAATTGTATTATGCCAAACAGTACAAAATCCGAACAGAGTAAGGAACATATAAAGCTAAACATTGAATGTATGTTATGCATGCAGTTATCTGGAAATGTATGTGATATTATTCATAAATAAAATTGTCTGATCTAGGAAGAAAGCAAGTGTCGAATTACTACATAATTTAATATTATACTCGTAGTTATCAAATTTGATACAAGTAATTAGTTAATTAATTAAGTGTGAAGATGCATACATATATTTATAATAGGATAGTGTATCATTTTATTTTACTTCATTAATTAGTATTTAGTAAACTGTCGCCACCAAATGTTCCGTGGTGGAATGAATTAAATGAAGAAATTGAGATTTCAAGACGAACGAGCCTTGTTTCCGTGGCGTTGAGAAGAAAATAATTTGGAAAAGTTGAGCTGAGATCGAGGCTGCGGCTGATCCATCTCCGTCCACCGGCCGGCTGGGAGAGAACGACAAAATTAATTAATAATTATCTGTGATTAACTAAATAGTTGAGTATCAAGCTCTAAAGATAGGTTTACTTATCTCGGTCCCTTTTCTAGTCATAAATTACGAGTCGTAATCAATTTAGAGTATTGTCAATAGATAATTGTCTCTCAGGCCGTCAGTCAACAGAAGATTTTAAATTGATCGTATTTATTTTTTGCAATCCGGATTTGATATTATTAATAGTTCTTTAATTACGTTCCTATCATGAAGAGGAACAACGAAACAAGTGGAGATGATAACCCTAGTCCCCCCTCAATCTGTAAGTTTATGCGCCTCGACCTGACCGCGCAGCAGACGTCCTCCGCCCTGGAAAATCAGGAGGGTCACGGCCGCGGCATCGTAGTGACGAGCAGTACTGAAGGGTAGGTCATGGTCTTCGACAAACTTATCAACTTTCAAGTCAGACCTTTGCAAATCACGTCAGACGAGAAATTTAATCTATCCGAGTTTTGATTAGATTCAAAATATCGAAAAGATAAGATACTGTTTAGTAATTCCGTATCTCCAAATGGGTATCTTTTTAGATCATTGATTAACAAATTATCTTTGCATGGATATCTTGCTCAATACTTTTGGGAATGCATACCTGTCACATTTCTAAATCAATAATAAATAATTAACTGACTGATTTAATTGGTTTGTTCTTTTCAGCACGAGCTCCTCCTCCGACCCTTTCTGTTTGACCGACTTACGAGCCTCGATCTCCTCCATCCTTCCTCCCACTCTTGCGTCCCCACCGCGCCCACCTCGTCCCAAGTCACGGAGGGGATGGTCGACGGACTTTGTTCATCGGTTTGAAGATGCAGAATCCACTTCCGACACTCAAACTTCGTCCGATGTCATAAGCATCTTATCCGGCAGTTTAATCACGCCTCCGTCGAACGTCACCGTTCACACGACACGGGAAAGGCGTTTTCAGGACTCTAGATCTCCTCTGACCGGACCTGGGGGGCGATGGGGGCCAGAAAGCGGGCACGCAGTTCCTTGGCGACAGGGGAACGGGAGAGTTGGGCGAATACGGTATTGTCTTTTGGTCCGGGAGACCTGCCCAAAGAAGTGGAGGCTGTATTGGGGCCGTATTTCAATATGGTGAGCAGTGAAATATGCCGTCATGACATGTCCAATTTGTCACACGTTTAAAATTTGTGACAAATATGACAAGTTAAATGTCCAATTTGCCCGTCATTCTTATCATAAACGTCGGTCACGGTGGAATTGTGACATATTTTACATTAACAAATATTTATCTTCTTGACCTCGGACAAGCTCCATCTTTTCTTAAATGTGATCACTGTTAACTTAAATTCTGACCTCATTTCAGGTCGATTCCTGTTCTGAGACGGAGACAGTTCCAAACTTGACGAAGACTGAATACTTCTACCTCAGTACCAGTCCCGACGCGAGTTCCCAGTCCACGACGACGTTCTCACATGTTGACAAATTTACACTCAAGTCTGTCAGCAGAAAGCTCGACTTTGAAGATGTTAGCAGAACTACATATTTCGAAAAGACAAGAAAAATTGTGACACTTTATTCCATGTTTTAAAATGTCCTTTTTCCCAGATGGAGAATACTCCGCCACTAAAAAATCAACGGATCGAGGACTCTCCTCCCCCACCAAGAGACCAAACAAATGAAGATCCCGTCGGCTCCATCCATCGTCTTTGGGATGCTCACCTGCGGAACAACAACTCCAATAAAACAACCCCCGTCGACATGAACGTCTCCATTGGTCAACCGGCCGCTGCAAGCACGCCGATATCCGCCTTGCAACCACCCGGAAATAGTGGGCGTGATGAAAACAATTTTACGCGACGACGCTCCGTGCTCGGTCATCGCCAAGATTCGCACAAGTCTCAAGCTTGGTGGGCCAGAAAGTGAATTAGTCAGTCAACTACATATATCTCACTTAAACGTAAATACTTATCATGCGCAAAAACCTGCATATCTGAAATTCCTCGTTGAATGCTAAAATGTTTTTATAATGAATCTATTATGTCAATATTGATTACTGAGCAGAGTAGAACAGAAATGTGTAGAATTTTAATGTGTAGTTTATATAGGAAAAAATATCAAAATTATTATCGTGGTTCATCATTAATAAAGATGCATAATTTTAATTTAAAAGTTAATTTAATATAACTTAATTGTATTTTGTTTCATGTTTTAGAAATGCATGCATAATTAGAACGCTACAAATCCCAATCTCGTCAAGGAGTGAGTCAGTAAAATAAGGGAAAACAGTCTCATGGATAATTTACGATGTGTGGAACCTAGATTAGAATGATTTAACAATAATTAATTTAAGGTTGAACCCAATTAACTTTTACCTTTGAATAATACAGCAATGATTGATGATCAAGTAGTATGTAATTACCTACCGCTTAAAATACTTCCTCTTTCGCAAATATGTACCTGTTCAAAAATTTAGTATTCATTCGAAAGTTAGTCATCCCGATTTCTGAGTGAAGATTTGCATTCACATTTAGTCATTTTCGTTCAGATTCATTTCATTTCACTTCATCTGACTTCATTTCTTACTTATTAAGCATATTAAGCATAGGGTGAAAACTAAAATGAATGATAAATCCTTTCGTTCACATTCATTCATCTGAAGTGACGGAATCCTTCAGTCATTTTCACTTAAATGACAGGAAATTCATTTTCATTCACTATCATAATCAATATCAGTCAAATGAATGAGGGTGAACAGGTATCCACTTTCGTGGAAAACTGCAGGGACGATTTGTGTGGTCACCTAATATTTAAAAGACTGATAAATTCGTCATTTATACACGAATGTAGCTCGAAATGGACCATGGACTACAAAAAAATGGTTCATTTATGGACCAATTTATTTCGAGCTATGTACACGAATGTAGTGTAGAATGCAAATCGTGCAGGGCTCAGGTTGCGGGTTGCATATCGAAAAGGTGTCTCAATGATTCTGCAGAAAGTCTGAATTTGCATATTATTCTGATACGCCGACCTCAATAATTGATTGGTCGTCCAATTTCTCATTGTGAGGATTCCATCCAAAAAAATAAAAGTCTTTATTTCCAACACAACTTTCGCACAAGTTCCGGTTTATTTGAGAAAATCAGGCATATCTATCTAGTTAATTTCGAATAGAAATCAAACCAAATTTCACGAGGAGGATGAGAATAAATCTGACCAAATGAATAAACGAGACAGATTTTGCATGCATATTTCCTACACAAATAGAGGGCGGATTGTAGGTATTTATGTATTTCCAACTCTTTCATTTAATGACGGTAGGATAATGGTCGGATGGTTTTATATAACAGATGATGGCGAATTGGGGATATCAAATAAATTGAGAGGACATTGTCCCACTGTCCCCCATCTGAAGAGTGTTCATTCCAAAATCCGGCTCCCCTGTCCCCACCTTTCACACGGCAAGGCAATCTTCGTAGACATTTCATCCCTCAGATTAATGTATAACAGTTTAGTAATTTGTTCACTTCAAAACATCAATTTTAATGAAAATACAATTTCAATTGTGTCAAAACTTTGGATTTTTAAATCAAATTGATGCCTGCATAATGCAAAATATTACCACAATGTATGTATGGAGGTCTCTCAGCATCCGATTTTTGGCAAATTAGTGTCACTATATGATGAATTTAATTAGTATGAAATTTGCGAAAGACACGATGGCCACGTTTTGCAGAGATATTTGCATCCCAAGAGGAGAAATCGGTGAAACCTATAATAATCTGGTCTTGCAACTAGTTACAATCATCCTTCTGAGGGTGCGTGAGTATCTGTGAGGCAAGGTGAGACGGAGAGAAGATGACTGCGAGACGTGAGATGAGACGTGAGAAAAGAATGTGTACAGGCAATTTTTCATGCACCCAGTCTCAGTCTGCCTCGTGGACTGGACTACACTGGAGAAGAGAATGTCACATTGTGATGTTCATGCAATTTTTTTCATGCACATTTGTCTCAATTTACCTCGCGATACTCAGGAGATGAGAACGTAGGATATTTACAGGTTAGATTTTGATGCCCATCAGATATCTTTGGGGACTTGGTAAGTATAGGAAAAGCGAAGGAGGGTTACTATCCAAGGCAAACCATACCCACAAAAGCTGCGCTTGACCGGTCGCATTAAAAAATTCGCCAAAAATCGAATTTTCCCCGGATTTTTATAATCTATACATTTTCCAATAAACCATTGGGAGATCGTGTCTTTTGAAAATTTCATATTAATTAAATTTGTGATCGATTTACACGAGTTTGATAAAAAAACCGGAGAGGAAATATCCGGGAAAAAATATAATTATGGTCGCAAAAAGGATTAAGTTATGTATAATGATCAGTTAAATAAGACCCTTTTATTAAATGTCACAATTATCTATAAAAAATCAACCTCTAATATCATCGTTACAACTTCAATTAATTAATTGCCAAATATCATAAATATTTACCCTACGAATGTCTCGCTAATTGCGCAATTTTTGTGTAAAACCTTTGTTGACTACGAATCCTTGGTACGAAATCGCTTTCATAAGCGTCCTCCTCGCTGAGATGACCTCCGAGTGAGACGGGCAGCTCGGAAGCTGGAACGTGCTCGTGCAGCGAGGCAAAATCCGCGTGGACGAAAATCTGCATAATAATTAGTGCGAATTTTTATCTTAATGGAATTCATGTCAGAGGTCAACGTCGTACACCGATAGCATTTTACGCGCCCTCGCCGCCGACTAAAAATTGCGTAAATCGGCGCCATCGCCACAAAATTGGTCGGCGTTGACCCCAGATTGACGCCACATAGATAAATATGTAAATCAGTCACAAATTTCTCACCCTGCTGCGAACTTTTGCCTTCAAGTATCGCAACGTAAAGGCCACCAATAAACGTCCGATGGCACCCACATTCATCAAGTGGACGGCAGCCAGTCGAGTTGGGATGTTGTTCTTGTTAAAATATGCATGTTAACAAAGTTTTCCATATTTATCAATTTTTAAGTTTGTCGACTTTTATGAGGGCTGAGCATTTTCCAACCTTTTTCCCAGGACAAGGGATTAAAAGGGTCCTTTTGTTTTTATGCCTCATTAGAAGGGACACTTCGTTTGAGCATAACTCTGCGTAGTTTGTATGGTCACTTCTGACCACATATTATTACATATGTATGAATGTCTCCTATGTACTGTCGAAACCTTAAAACCAAGTTGTTTAATAAAAATCACCATCAGTCTAAAAATATCTTCCAGCGAGATCATTTTTACTTTCATGGTAGCAAAGCCGTTAGTTTGTATGATTCATATTGTTGGTCTCAACCTGCCTCATTGAGTGTCTCAAAAGTGCCCCAGTCTCAGAGTCTGTTAAAGTCTCACAACGAGAAGAACTGTTTCCTGTTCAACACTTGATAAACTGAAGTAGATCAGTGTTATTGTTGTGAAGTGAAAAGGTCAATTCATCAGTTAATAATAGCAGTAAGTCTCCACTGCCCAGTGCCAGTCTGGACGGAGTAAGCCTGTAAAAGTGTGCCGTGAATTGGACCATTGTTTGGACAAGAGACATCAACCCTTTGACTCTACCCGAAGCTGAACCTTCCGCCCGAGGACGAGTTTTATTGAGGACGACCACTCTACCCAAATCCTGAGTTCCCGTCTACCAAATCTCGACCTTTTTCGATTCTACTGCTCTTTATTAGGCAAAGAGAAGGTAACAAGTCTATTTCTGTTTTTCGCTTCTGCTTTCCCTACTCCACAACGACAAGATGACATCAACAATCAAAAGAATAGATGTTACGCACATTGTCAAGCTAGACGACACCAATTACGCGAGGTGGAGACTTCAGATAACTTTACTTCTCAAGTCACATGACCTGTGGGAAGTGGTCAACGGCACTACCCAACGACCTGCAGATGAAGCACAACAGCCAGCATGGGATAAGAAGGATATACAAGCACAATCCATCATTGTCCCCACTCTCAGTGCCACTCAAACAAATCATATTTATGACTGCGCTACATCAAAAGCAATGTTTGACAAGCTGAAAAGCATCAATTCAGATTCAAGCTCGCTTAACAAGCAACATACCATGGCTAGATTCTTCAATTACAAAATTGGCAAGAGTCAGTCATTGATTGAAGCATTTGCAGAGGTGGAAGAGCTGGGCAGAAGACTAAATGAAATGGGAGTCGTCATGCCTGAAGCATCCATTGTCACAAAGATTGTCTCAAGTCTCCCCGACGAGGAGTATAATGCCTTCAAAAAGGCATGGGACAGCGTTCCGGATAAGGACCAGAGCATGATAATGCTACTTGCCCGTCTGAAGAAGGAGGAGTTGGAGAGGAAGGAATCCAAACCAGCAGCAACCAATCAAGATGCAGCAAAGGCATTCTTGACCCATGACCAGAAGAAAGGCAAGAAGAAACAGAGCATTGAAGAGTTGAAAAAGGCAACAACCTGCCATGGGTGTGGGGAAAAGGGCCACTGGAAAAGGGAATGCAGGAGTAATCCACAAAATCAGAGCAATAAACCTTCAGATAATCCCGCACAAGCCAATAGAAGCCCTGGGAAAGCGTTCATGCTAAATGCAATACAAACCCCCATGCAAGCACCCGTGACTGAACAAGTGTGGCTAAGCGATTCTGGAGCTAACCAGCATGTCTGTGGAGATAAGGCATGGTTTACAAGATATGAAGAGTTTGACACTCCCAAGTCAGTCTTCCTAACGGACAAAAGGGCTACACAAGCACTAGGAAAAGGGACAGTGACACTTGACGCTTACATCAACGGCATATGGGAGGAATGTACCATAGATAACGTGTTGTACATACAAGGGGCTGTCAACCTTTTTTCTGAGGGATCAATGGCTAAGAAAGGGTACTCCATCGTCCGTGACAAGAATGGAGCAACATTTTATCAGGATGGACGGTTTAAGGGGCCAATTGCCGAGTTCAAGAATGATATGTATGTCATGAAGTTTCGTCCCACTTCACAAATTATTGCTGCATACATGCATCCCGTGACTAATGCTAAACTATGGCATCAACGCTTGACACACATTAATATGAACTATGTGGTGGACTCCATCAAGAAAGACGCAGTTCGTGGAATTGACCTGGAGGCCGTGTCACATAAAATTATGTGTGAAGACTGTGAGATTGGGAAGCAATCTCGAAAGCCATTTCCAGCCGCAACAAGAAATGCAACGATAAAACCAGGAGAAATGGTCCATATGGACTTAGCCGGAAAAATGCCTGTTGCATCCCTGGGAGGAGCTCAATATTTCTTACTCTTGAAAGACGATGCTACTGGCTTCCGCACTGTATATTTTCTCAAGAGCAAAGACGAAGCCAAGGATCGTATCAAATGCTACATTGAATTTATGGAAAATCAAACAGGAAGAAAGGTCAAGATATGCCGTTCAGACAATGGTGGAGAATTCTGTAATTCTACTTTGGCATCATACTTCAGAGACCGGGGAATAATTCATGAAACAACCGTCAGCTACAATCCAGAAATGAATGGGAGGTCCGAACGTGAAATAAGAACTTTAAAAGACTGTGCTCGAACTATTCTGCTGGCAGCTAAATTACCCGAATCTTTATGGGCTGAAGCCGTTGCCACCACCGTCTACGTCCACAACCGAATACTGGACAAGCAAAGTCCAAATATAACCGCATTTGAAGCAATATTTGGCAAGAAACCTTCACTCCGTCATTTGAGAGTCTTTGGTAGCGTAGCATTTGCACATATACCAGCCCAGAAAAGAACGGTCTGGGGAGCAAAGGGAGAGCGACTTATCCTGTGTGGGTACGCATCAGAGAGCAAGAAATATCGTCTTTACGACCCTGAGTCCGGACAAGTGGTTGAGGCAAGAAATGTATCTTTCCACGAAGAAGATTTTGAACCGACAGTAATGATACATGGCGAAGAAGAAAGAGATGAACCTGATGAATCCAAATCTGAAAAAGATGATGCAAAAGATGATGCACAAGATGATGCACAAGATGATGCAGAATGGACGGACGAGGAGAAATACGATCCCGAGGACCCACAGCCTGATCAAGTTGACCCACAGTCAGTACAACCTGACAACGAGAAAATGGGTGACGAATTAGAAGTCCAAGTTAAAACTGAAAAAGGAGACTACACGGCTCGCATTCCATCGCAAGGGACGACACGTGTTGTCTTGCCTGAAACAAGTAAAAAATCAGGAACCACTCGCAATTTAAGAGACAGAGCTAAAATTAAGAAACCAGATAGATATCAAGCTCATGCCATTTATGCAGACAAAGAACCTTCAACTTATAAAGAAGCCGTTGAGTCTAAAGAGAAGGAAGAATGGATAAAGGCAATGCAAGATGAGATTGAAAGTCATAAGAAAAATGGGACTTGGAAATACGTGAAGAGGCCAGCCAATGCAAGATTGCTTGACAGTAAATGGGTATACAAGCTTAAACGTAAAATGGATAGAAAATCTACAACAGGTTTTGTCTTCATGCTAAATGACAGCGTTATTTCATGGTCAAGCCAAAAGCAACCCATTGTCTCAATGTCATCAATGGAAAGTGAATATATATCTCTCGCTTCTGGAGCGCGTGAAGCCGTTTGGTTACGACGATTTCTAGAAGAATTAGGATTCCCACAAGAGTCCCCAACAATAATTCATGTTGACAACCAGAGTGCAATAAAATTGGTCAAAAATCCAGAGATGCACTCAAGATCCAAGCACATCGATGTCCGTGAACAAATTGCAGATGGATTAATTAAGCCACTACTGAAGACCCAGCATTTCAAGATGAGACACGATCTCAGTATGGAAAGAAATGAGACAAAGGAGAGCAAGGACAACCCAACTAAAGTAAAGAGAGGTCCCCTCCAAGCCAACTTCTCACTGATGAGCCTTCTCACCATCCCTCTTATGTTTATTACGCAAGCTTGTGGGGTGACACATCAGAATGCGATCCCTTTACTATGGAAAAAGAGTCCAATCCCAGTTACAACGGGATATAACCAAGTCCACTTGCTCGTCAAATTCATGAACCCGTGCGAAATTTTAACACAGGATCTACTCCATAAGGATTTAAGTGCCTATGCAACCGAGAAATGTAACAAAATATACGACGAAATGTTCCTGGATGAGCTAGAAAAAATGTGCCCTAAAAGAAAATTCTCCGATCATATTAATTCGCGACATACCAGAGAGATTGGACGAAGAGTGAAGAGAGTCCTCCCATTACTTGCAGTTGGAGTAATAATTGGTGTGACTGTCCTTGTAGCCGGCTTATCAGTTGGTGGAGCAATCAATTCGTTTGTTCAAACTGGAAGAATCTCTGCTTTGCAAGGAACAGTAGCGGAACAAAGAGAGATGCTGGATGAATTGGAACGTCGCGTGGAAATATCGGAAAGAGAGATTAAGAAGCTTAAGGTTAGCCTAAATGCTACACTAGAACAGCTTCAGCTACATCAGCTTGATCACGACGAACTCAAGGGAAAATCCATTGACACCAATTTCGCAATTGCCTACCTTACCAGTCGCCTCATGATAGGTAGAGAAATAATTAGAGAAGCAACAAGACAGTGGCGGCGAGGAAAAGTTTACGCACCACTAATGGATTTCTTTAATTTCACGTTACCCTGTGGTGATGCTTGCCCAGTCAGCTTCGCACAATCTCAAAAGTGCGAAATATCAGATGACAGAACCAAGCTGTATGTGGACTTCACAGCAACTGAAATTAACAAAGATTTGCAACTCATCGAGGCAGACTCCTTCGATCTCAAAGTTGAAAGGAAGAATGAAACCTGCGTTCTAAAGTACAAGGGACCCCATAATGCCATCCTTTCTACGAAAGATGACTGCGTATACTCCATCAATGTTAAGGAGCCTACAACCCCCGACCTAATTGTTTCGCCCACTGGAGGATGCACGCCAACATCGAAAACAAAGAACTCCAATCACTTTGACATAGACCACTGTTATGACAAGAACCTTGCTGAACCATGGGATTTTGTACAAATCAAACTACACCATGGACAATATCATATCTACTGCCCTGGGTCCAATATTACCATTGAGAGGAAGCTGCAACAATGCCCTGCTAGCGTGTTCATCCTTCCAATGAATGCTAATTTTAAAATAAATGATATTGAATGTTCAGGAACTGAATCCAGCCTTGTTCACCAAGAGGTAGTCGACCCACTATTCACGATGAAAGCCAACTGGCACTTGCAGCCTAGTTTCAACTGGACCAGTCTGATGATCAATGGTTCCACTGACGAAGGAGGGTCAATCCACTACCACACAAGCAATGAACCAGCCTGGTCAACAATGGAATGGATCTTAACCCTTTGCATACTAATAATAGTTGCTCAAGCCACTCTTTATGTTTTCCTTTTTCTGAAAAGCCGGCCAAATGTAATTTCGGTTAGGGCAAATCCAGTGGAAACTGCCGATATTGAACTTTAAAAATGGAGGGAGGATGTTAAAATATGCATGTTAACAAAGTTTTCCATATTTATCAATTTTTAAGTTTGTCGACTTTTATGAGGGCTGAGCATTTTCCAACCTTTTTCCCAGGACAAGGGATTAAAAGGGTCCTTTTGTTTTTATGCCTCATTAGAAGGGACACTTCGTTTGAGCATAACTCTGCGTAGTTTGTATGGTCACTTCTGACCACATATTATTACATATGTATGAATGTCTCCTATGTACTGTCAAAACCTTAAAACCAAGTTGTTTAATAAAAATCACCATCAGTCTAAAAATATCTTCCAGCGAGATCATTTTTACTTTCAATTTCAGCGTATCGTCCACATTGAACTTTTTCCCCCGGAGGAATGCAGCCAGCAAGGCGTCATCAAAGATGTCTTTTATCTTGAATAATTTCTCGTGCTCTGATAACGTTACAAAAAAAATTCAGTCAAATCAATACACTGTTTTTATTGCATGCGCAATTAAATAAATAATATTTTCATAAAATAGGACATATGTAAATGTCGGCTTGCCTGCAATTTTGGATTTCAGCTCGGCGAAAAGTTCACCGTTTTTACTAATTTGAGGGTTAACCATTATATTTATTAATTTGAAAAAAGAATGTGGAAAGTTAAAAAATGGAAATATGTACAGCAAATCAGGAAATTTATTGGAAACTTAAAAATGGGAAATATAACAAATTAGGAAATTTATAGATATTTATGGCGTGGAAACTTAACTTGGTAAGAAATTTATAAAATTTATTTGATATTTTAATCAATTAATTTCTTCTTTTTCTGGAGAAGTGCAAAACCATACTGATTCCGCATGTAGATTCGGATGCATAAATGGTAACTGACCTGCATTCATGAAGATAATCGTTGCTTTTAAGTCATGCATGCATGCATGACTATGCATTCAGTGGCCGCGGAAGCTGTGGGGACATTCATATTGTAGGATAATAGGGGAGGGACGGGTTTATATAAGATGATGCGGACATCGAACAACCGTAGGGACATTACGCTTCCGCGGCCACTGCATCATGCAATGACGAGGAAGATCGTTGCAGTGACCTTCCTTATATTTAACTTTGTTTGATCTCTTCCTTTTTCTCGAGTAAATGTATCTTATTTAATTAATTGCACTTACTTCTTCTTGGTTTATTTTATCTTTGTAACTCGTCCCCATTTCATTACTAATTGATACATAGTTGATTCAAAAATTGAATCTGAATTTGGGTCAGTTATTTACATAAGAATGAACTTGAGAGTGGAAAAAATGTTTCCTGTTTTAATTATTAAAGTTATAACGATATTCAGTCATAGTATTTCGTTTTGGATGTTTAAAAGTGTCAAAAGCTGTGCAAAATAATTTTGGACGTCCAAAACTGTCCTACATTGGAAAATGGGGGACAATTTTGCGAGTTCTTTATTACCGTTCTTTTGCAAACTTACGTACAGATAAGCATACATATCTCCCGTTAAATTTAAGCATTATGGTGTGTTTGTAATGCTATAAAATTTTGAAAACTTTTGTTTTAACATGTATTATTTTGATAAATTATGAAATTTTGAAAAACCATGCCCTATTATGGACCAAAATGGTCAAAATTAATGGGAGATTACACATACAATACATCAACGGATTATGGGAAGATTGAATCATGAAGAACTTGTAACATTTTGGCTCATTTTGTATTTTGGACACTTTTGGACATTGTGGACGTTCAAAATTCAGTGTCCAAAACTGGTTAAAAGCCGTTTTGTAAAGTTGAAAGTGGTTAAATAAACCAGGGCGAAACCCTATATCCAAATTTTGTACTTGACTGACACGAAGCCATCAAAAAAAATTGACAAGTTGTATAAATCCATCTCTTCCTCTTTCCTATGTATTCACTGACCTAGTTTAACACGAAATACTTTCCATGATAACAACTTTTCTACATTATAACCATGACTTTCATCCGGTTTGTATTTTTGCAACAAACTTCCTTATTTTGCTTGCATGGACTTTGAATCATTGCAAATTTTTGCACAGTCAACAGTGCTTTCTTTTGTGACGTTATGACTAATGTGACGGTATAAATTCGTATTCATGCAATGTCAAAACCTTAGCTTTATCAAGTTTGTCCTTTAAATCTGTTCAGGTCAAGGGTCAAAATGCAAATTTCTTTAGAACATTCGTTTTCTAAATGTTAAGTAATTTAAATATGATTCCATTAAATGCGAACAATGACAAATAATACGTACACGAAGTGTATTGTAATGGAAAAATCCAGCAGTTCGGAACACCTGTGTAATTGTAATTCATACCAAAAAAAGCTGCCATAATTGTAATTCTGCTTCAACAAAATTACAATTATTATTCATCATTGTTATTATTTAAGTAAATATATTTCGTCTCTTAATTGAATTCATATTTTAATTGTACCCAATTCTATTTGTCTTCTCTTATCAAAACGGAATTAAATAAATAATTGACACATACAAATCAAATTTCTGAAGTATGTTTCCTGAATAAAAAATCTCTTAAAAAAGATAGAGACACTTTAAATTCTATTTAACTATTCCATCCGTCTTTGTTTAAGGCGTTGTAACCCTCACATTTTTAGAGGTAACCTATTCGTTCTTGTCGCCATTTCGACAAGCTTGCACATCACAATATCCTTATCATTCATGGATAATCCATATTAATTGAAACCAATCCTTGCTACATACACGATATGTATGTCGCTTAAAGTTATCGCTTGAGAGATTAATTGGTTATTTGAAATGTCACTGATTTTTAGTACGTTGGAATATAATATACAGTGGCGGCGGATGTTAGGGGGGACATGGAGGACATATTAGTATTTTGAGATAGGAGGAGGACAGGTTTATTAACATGGGGAAGATTGGATTTTTTTGAATTTTTGAGGGATTATAATGTCCCCTCGCTTCCGCGGGGGGACATTGCAGTTTAGTCGTTTGTTCACTTCAAAACATTAAAATTTTAATGAAAATACAATTCCAATTGTGTCTTGTAATTCAAATTGATGCAAAATATTACCACAATGTATGAAGGTCTCCCGGCATATGGGATCAAATTTTGAGCAAATTAGTGTCAATTGATGACGAATTTAATTAGTATGAAATTTGCGAAAGACACGTTTTGCAGGGATGTTTGCATACCAAGAGGAAAAATCGGTGAAACCTATAATAATCTGGTCTTGTAACTAGTTGCAACCATCCTTCTGAGGGTGAGTGAGTGCCTGTGAGGCAAGGTGAGACGGAGAGAAGATGACTGCGAGACGTGAGATGAGACGTGAGAAAAGAATGTGTACAGGCAATTTTTCATGCAGTCTGTCTCAGTCTGCCTCGTGGACTGGAGAAGAGAATGTCAGATTGTGGTTGAGTGTATACATGCAATTTTCATGCACATTTGTCTCAATTTGCCTCGCGATACTCAGGAGATGAGAACATAATAGGTTATATTATGGAATATTTACAAGTCAGATTTTGATGCCCTTTAGATATCTTTGGGGACTTGGTAAGTGTAGGAAAATCAAAGGAGGGTTACTATTCAAGGCAAACCATACCCATTTAAAAAGTGCTCCTCCCTACGCTAAACTAGTCGTATTAAAAAATCCACCAAATATCCAAATTTGGCCGGATTTTGAAAATTTTTACATTTCCATATATATATGTACCATTGGGAGATCATGTCTTCTGGAAATTTCATACTGATTAAATTTTTGATTGTTGTCAAAATATGAGAGCATACGCTGGGTGGGAGACCTCCATTCTTAGGGATGAGGAAGCTTATAAAATTAAGATTTTATTTTTAAAAAACTATTTTTTTTAGTATTATTAAAAGGATATATTCTGAAAAAAGTGTAGTATGATAAAAAAAAGTATTAAATTATGTAAGATCAGTTAAATAAAACCTTTTAATTAAATGTCACGAATATCTATCAAAAATCATCCTTTAATATCATCATTACAACTTAAATTAATACCAAGTGGCCTAAATATTTACCCCTACGAATGTCTCGCTAATTGCGCTATTTGTGTGTAAAACCGTTGTTGACTACGAATCCTGGGCACGAAATCGATTTCATAAGCGTCCTCGTCACTGAGCTCACCTCCGAGTGAGACGGGCAGTACGGAAGCTGCAATGTGTTCGTGCAGCGAGGCAAAATCCGCGTGGACGAAAATCTGTGCAAAAATTTGGGCGAATTTTTACCTTAATGGAAGCGAGGTCATAGGTCAACGTCGTCAATGCATTTTATGCGCCCCCGCCGCCGCCGAAAAATCGCGTAAATCGGAGCCGGCGCCACAAAATTGGTCGGCGTTGACGCCTGATTGATGTCACATAAATATGTAAATCAGTCATAAATTTCTCACCCTGCTGCGAACTTTTGCCTTCAAGTATCGCAACGTAAAGGCCACCAATAAACGTCCGATGGCACTCACATTCATCAAGTGGACGGCCGCGAGTCGAGCTGGGATGTTGTTCTGAAGACGTAAAAAGGAACATATAGCGCTTAATGAGTCTTCTCTTATCAGGATTTTTAGTTCATTTATACATACATAGAATTTTACAAGAAGGAACATAAAGACTTGAAAATAAATTTCCGGAATATGTCATAAATATTCTTTGCAGATTTATGACAGCATTTATCTTAAATTTATTCCCTATCGGCATGGACATTTCTAAAAATGGAGATCGCCCAGCGTACGCTCTCAGATTTTGGATGTCAAACCTGTTTCAAGTGATGACAAATTTAATTAGTATGAAATTTGGAAAAAACACGATCTCCCAATGGACGAGACATTTGCATCCGAAGAGAAGAAAACCCGCTGTAAAGTCGACAAATTCTAGACTGTCCAAATTTACGGCGCGTATTCTTTTTTTCAGATGCAGCTATTTATCTCGGCCAAACGTGCCCATTGGGAGATCGCGTCTTTCTCAAATTTCATTCATACTAATTAAATTTGCATTCGAGTGACGTTAGTTTGACACTCAAAATCTGATCGCATACACTCAGAGACCTTTAACTCTAATTAATTGCACCCGCCTGCCTACCAGAAATAAGTCGAACCCTTGTATGACCATTCTGGGCGAGGCAAGTCGAACGTGCTGGATGCCAAGATAACCCAAATCGTAAATCATAACGCCACCATTGTCTTCCGAATGTATCATATAGCTCCGCATCGACTCCTCCACGTGCAGGAGAAGCTCGGCGAAGAGTTCCTGCACACCAAATTTCGAAGTGTCCCAAAACCCTAGAGAAGCAAGATGAGTGTCAACTTTTAAATTTACGATGGAGACGCAAACCATGTTCAACCCAGATTATTTTCTGACCACCTCAGTTTGAAAGACCACCTCTTCAGAGACAACATTTAGTTCGGAATTTGAGCAGATGTGAAAAATTCAGCATCTGTTTGAGGCATCAAGTGCTTGAAAAGGTTGGTTTTCCAGCGGAAAATGTGCTTAATCATATCCCGAATTGCTGAATGTGCTAAATTTTTCGCATCTGCGCAAGCAAATTATTGCAACAACGGTACATAGTATGTAACTTACTGCTTTGTTCGACGCCGATCCGTCGTCCCTTATCGTCCATGTATTTCAGCGTCTTGATACTTTGTATATCCAGGGTTATCAGGGTTGACGGGTTCATGTATTTAATCGAGAAATTCTTATACTTCTCGGTCCTGATGTAGACAAAGTGCTCCAACTAAAGTATATATTCATGTACATCTTAATTACTATAAAATTTATACATACATCTTTAGGTCAAAATCGGTATAAAATATGCATAAGATATGTATCGATAAGATGCACTTGTTTTGTCTTACACATTTCAGCGTATCGTCCACATTGAACTTTTTCCCTCTGAGAAACGCAGACAGCAAGGCGTCATCAAATATGTCTTTAATCTTGAATAATTTCTCGTGCTCTGATAACGTTACAAAAAATTTCGATCAAATTCGATGAATCATATTTTCATAAAATATGCCATTCAAAAAATAGGTAAATATATAGGCTTACCTGCAATTTTGGATTTCAGCTCGGCGAAAAGTTCACCTTTTTTAGTTTGAGACTTAACCATTTTATTTATTAAATGAACAAAAAACGTGAAAATTTAAAAAGTGGAAATATGACAAATTACGAAAGCTATAAATATGACGTGGCAACTTAAAAAGAGAAAATATAGCAAATTAGGAAATTTATATAAATATTTATAAAGTGAAAACTTAAAATGTGGAAACCGAACTTGCTCAGAAATTTATAAATTTCCTTAATTTTTGAACCAATTTATTACTTCTTTTTCTGGAGAAGTGGAAAACCACACTGATTGCATTTCCAGATTCGGATGCATGAATGATAACTCACCTGTATTCATGAAGATAATCGTTGTTTTTGAGTACTTATGTCATGCATGCATGCATGACGATGCAATCAGTGGCCGCGGAAGCTGTGGGGGGAACATATGGGTACATTAACATTGTAGGACGGGGGGAGGGCCGGGTTTATATAAGATGGGGAGATGATGTGGACATCCAACAACCGCGGGGACAATGTCCTTCTGTCGATACGCTTCCGCGGGCACTGCATGCAATAACGAGGAAGATCGTTGCAATGACCTTCCTCGTACTTACACATTTAACTTTGATCTCTTCCTTTTTCTCGAGTAAATGTATCTTATTTGATTAATTGCACTTAATTCTTCTTGTTTTACTTTATCTTTGTAACTCATCAGCATTTCATGACTAATTGATACATAGTTGATCCAAACATTGAGTTTGAAATTGTGTCAGTTACAGAAGAATGAACTTGAGGGTGAAAAAAATGTTTCCTGCTTTAATTATTAAAGCTATGACGGACGAAATTCATTACCAGTGTTTCGTTTTCCAAACGTGTCCAAAACCTTGCCAAATAATTTTATACGTCCAAAACTGTCTAACAGTTTTCAACTGGAAACTGTGCGACAATTTTGCAAGTTATTTTTTAAAGCTTTTTTACCAACCTACGCACAGATTAGCACAAATATCTCCCGTTAATTTTGAGCATTTTGGTGTGTTTGTAATGCCACACAATTTTGAAAACTTTTGAGTTCGGATGTTTTCTTTTGAGAAATTAAGAAATTTTCGAAACTATGCAGTATTATGGATCAAAATGCTCAAAATTAATGAGAGATTAGCTACATATACGTCAACGAATTATCTGAAGATTCAATCATGAAGAACTTGTAACATTTTGGCTCATTTTCTATTTTGGACCATTTTGGACGTCCAAAATTCTGTGTCCCAAACTGGTTAAAACTTGGAAAGTGGTTAAATAAAACCAGGGCGAAACCCTGCATCCAAATTTTGTATTTGACTTACACAAAGCCACCAAAAATTTATAAGTTATATAAATCCGCCTCCTCGTCTTTCCTATGCAATTCACTGACCTAGTTTAACACGAAATATTTTGCATAAAAACTTATCTACATTTAACCATGACTTTCGTCTACTTTGTATTTTTGCAACAAATTTTCTTATTTTGCTTGCATGGACTCTGAGTCAGTTCAAATTTTTATACAATGCTTCTTATTGTGATTTTCATAGTTTTCGTGACTAATGAGACTTCACGGGATGCATAAATACGTACGTATTCATGCAATGGCTAAACCTTAGCTTTATCATGTTTGTCCTTTAAATCTGTCCAGGTCAAGGGTCAAATTGCAAATTTCCTTGGAACCGCCGTTCTCTAAATATCAAGTAATCTACATATGATGCCATTAAATGCGAACAGTGACAAATAATACTTACACGAATTGTATTGTAATGCAAAAAGCCAGCACTTCGGAACACCTGTGTAATTGTAATTCATACGAAAAAACTGCCAGAATTGTAATTCTGTTTCAACAAAATTACAATTATTATTCGTCATCATTATTATTTATAGGGTTGCCGTGTTTATCCGAGATTATCCTATCCGATCGGATAGGATAGGATGACGGATATCCGACACTTGTTACAACATGTATCCTATCCGAGGCTCGGATAGGATACATGTTATAACAAGTGTCGGATAATGTCGGATTACCCGATCGGATAGGATAAGATAGGATCGGTAACCCTAATTATTTAAGTGTACATATTTGGTCTCTTAATTGAATGCATATTTTAACCATACTAAATTCAATGTATCATCTCTACTTATCAAAACAGAGTTAAATAGATAATTGACACGTACAAAATTAAGTTTCTGAAGTATGTTTCCTGAATAAAAAAATGTCTTCAAAAAAGATAATGCCAATCAAATTAGACACTATTAAATGCTATTTAACTGTTCCATCCGTCAAGGCGTTATAACTCTCAGAATTTTGGAGGTAACCTATTCGTTCTTGTCGCCATTTCGATAAGCTTACACATCACAACATCCTTATCATTCATGGATAATCCATATTAATTGAAACCAATCCTTGCTACATACACGATATGTCGCTGAAAGTTATCGGTTGATAAACCAGTTGGACACATAGCAGAAGTCATCTCATACATTTTTGGGGAATATGAGACTTCATAAATATAACATGGTGTCACGTTTTTCCCGACAACTTATGTTTCCAACTGGTCTTGGAGGCGACAACTTTTCTATGAATATTTAGCGACGATATATGCATACAGAAGTATGAAATTTATACTTAAATACGACAAAAATATGGAGAATCGACCGTTTAAATTTACGAATCACGTGTTTATACATGCAAAATTACACGTCATGTCGTTACCTATTGTGTATATGTATGCATGTCAACTACAATTTAAAATATTTATAATATTTAAGTGAAGTATTAATAAAGCTATTATTAATTGTTATGATTAATTAAACTTGCAAAACTTGTAAATTATGTGACTATTTATACACACAAATCTTGGCATTCTAGAAGTATAATTAATTACTCATCATATATAAATTGTGGTTATCTGTTTGATAACCCGTCACAAATTGGTTGCATTTTATAAATCATGGTTATCTCATTTTGTTTGATAATCCGTCTTACATGGTACACACACAAAAATTGGGTGAAAGTCTGCCGTGGGACATGCCGCGCCATCTCATTTGCATGAGAAACCTCGTCGGAGAAACAACACGTGCATGCTGCTGGTATAATTATTTCTTAATTTTTTTAAAAATTCGGATCTACCGTTAAAATTTTTTTAATTGAACGTTTTTTTTACATATTTTTATCCGCAGCCTAATTTACGTTTAATGTCCATCATCATTTGAATAAGACGTGAATGTAAAAGACAATTTCGTGTTGGTTCGTCACTTCAGTTCGCTGCTTGCTAGTTCGCTCAGTTTTGGTTCATCAACTGGAAACTAATTGTAAGTTAATTAATTAATTAATTGTCATTCTTCTTTCGACTCATCGTTAATGTAGGACTCGTCGTCGAAATCAGCACTTTTTTAAAATCAGTTTTCTCCTCTGGGAACTTATTTTAAAATTCTGGACGACAAATTTTTCCTCAGTGAGTTGATTGATTGAATGGCGATGAGGTTCTTAAGCGAGTTTTGATAAGTTCCAATTTTTCTGAAGGCTTCTTAACCTTGAGATCTCCTCCGCCAAAAAGTATCAAAATCTGGAGTGTATATTTTTCAAAAAATGTGCAACTCCCTTCCCTGCTCTACAAATTTGTCGTGACAGAATTTTAAAATAAATTCCCAGAGAGGAGAAATGATTAAAAATGTGCTAATTTTAGAGAGGAATTAATTTCACGTATTTATTTGTTTTTTTTATTAATTACAGGAGGATAAAACGAAATGGCTTCTCAACCTGAAACTTCGACTGAAGCCGAAATGCCTGAAACCGACCCAGTTCCCACGACCAACGACCCGGTGGACGAAATGACCGCCTTGTGGGACTCATTTACAACGGGCGAACTTCTAAATAGTGACGGTGTCGCCATGGACGACGAAAACCCCCGAGACGATCTCCTCTTGAAGTTCGGACCCCAACCACCCACCGTCTGCTGTACAGACTGGGCCTTGGACGCAATCGATATTGGTCACAACGTTAAGGAACAACACATTCAGGGAGCCATCGCCGAGTACGAGGAAAAAATCAAGGCCGCCGGACAAGCCGAAGTCCCTTCGCAAGATCTCAATTCCAAGTACGACGACTTTCTCAAAGCGCAGGAAGAAATGTTCAACAATTTTTACGCCGAAAAAGGCGAGGAACGTCCCCCTCGGATAGAACTCCCACCGGAAATCAGCGCTGAAGGAAAAGAAAACAAAGGCGCTGCTGGGAAGAAAGGAAAAGGAAAGAAAAGGGGAAGGAAAAGCGCTGCAGCAAAGAAAGAAGAAGAGGAAAGGGCTGCCGCAAAGAAAATTGAAGAACTCGAAAAGAAGAGACCTGGCCGACAAGCACTGAAATCCATCACGATGAGGGATGATAAATCCATCGAGCTTATCATTGGTGGAAAGCAATTACTCTGTCGTCCGAGTCGTGTCGTGCTGGAAAATTTGGGGGAAGACATGGTGAACTTGTGGACAAAGCCAAGGCCTAAACCAGAACAGAAGAAGGAGGATGTCAAAAAACCGGATGATTCTGAAAGTGCAACTGCTCCAGCAGTAACTACGATCGTGTTGGAGGATGACGAAGTTCCCACGACAAGCGCTAAAGCGAGAGAATTGGACGATGCAAAAAGGGTTCCGATTTATTTCTTTCCTAAAAAGGGTAAAAAAGCGATCAAGCCCGTGGAGACGGCTTCTTCTGAAGCGCCAAAAACCGTGACGACTTCTGAAGCGCCAATAACCGTGGCGACTACTGAAGCGCCAAAAACTGTGGCGACTCCTTCTGAAGCACCAAAAACTGTGGAAAAGCGCAAGAATGAGAAGCCTAAGAAACAAAAGGGCAAGAAACCAACGCCAGCGCCACCACCACCACCAAAACCAACACCACCACCACCACAACCTGTGTTCAAAATCCCGGAGGTTCCCAAGCCCAAGAAACCACAGAAACCCCCCGTCGTCAAAGAGACGCCTGCATACGTTCGACCGGTTGCTCCCCTCGGACCAACCAAGAAGAATCCCAACGTTCCCATTATTCCTCCCGTCCCCATCAGCGGGAAGAAACGTGGTCGACCTCCAAAGGTACAACCGGTGAACAAACCAAGCTTACCTGAAAGCCCACCAGCAAAGTACAGTTCTCCGCAAAAATACAGCATTGAAGAGGTCATGCGAGCCATTGCTCCACCAACAGTTCCTAAATTCAGAATCCCAAAGATGACTGATACAAAAAAAGCGGAAGAACCTGTTGATACGGAGGAGAAGATGACCCTGGTTTATGAAACGCCACCTCCATCAATGCCAACCGTGGCGCAAACTCCGCCTCCGTCAATGCCAACCGTGGCGCAAACTCCGCCTCCGTCAATGCCAACCGTGGCGCAAACTCTGCCTCCGTCAATGCCAACCGTGGCGCAAACTCCTCCTTCGTCAATGCCGATCTTGGGACAGCCTCCTCGTCCTCCGATGCCGACCGTGGCGAAGGTTCATCCACTTTCAATTCCAAGCCTAGCGCCGACTATTCGCCCTTCAATGCGATTCGTGGCGCCGACCCATGCTCCTTCAATGCCGAAGATCTCTCAAACTCCACTGATCCCCATTGTGGCGCAAACACCACTGATCCCAATCGTGGCGCAGACTCCTCGTTCTCCAATGCTGACCGTGGCGCAGACTCCATTGATCCCCATCATCTCTCAAACTCCTCTCATCCCCATCGTCTCTCAAACTCCTCTCATCCCCATCGTCTCACAAACTCCTCTCATCCCCATCGTCTCTCAAACTACTTTAATCCCTATCGTGGCGCAGACTCCACCACAAAACAAAGAATCTCAAGCTAAAGCTCCTCCTCCTCCAAGTAGCATTGAAACCTCGGACGAATCAATGATGGAAGTCGACGATTCTACTCCTTCCAGCCAAGTCCCTGCTGCTCCAAGCGTCCAGATGAAGTCGCTCGACAACTCCGACGAAGATGAAGACGTCCTTGATTTGTTCGCCGACCTCGATGACGATTTTGATTAGGGCCCATAAAACTAATAAGCCTCAAATATTCTCGGTATCTTTTTTTTACTCCTATTCATTTAGATAACTCATCTACATAATTAGCATAATATACTAAACAAAGGTATCCATAATAAATAAGTAGTAATAAATATTATATATGACTTGACAGGAATCTTTTAGGGAGACCCAACATTTTTAGAAATATAAAATAAAAACTTGACATTAAGCAAAACCATTTGTTCGCAAAACTTGTGTTCTTTTGTACAAACTTGTTCTTTCACTTTGTCTCAAATTCGGCTCTTTTGACGTCACAACCCGAAGTTTCCTGGCATAAAACGATGTATGGGAACGTACATAAAGTATGTTACGCAAAAATCTCCAGATTTTTTAGGACCCTTTACCCTTTTAACATGTGGCGCAAATCACCTGTCGCAAACCTTTATCCTCCCACTCGTGCCATAATTTATGAACGTTCCCTATTCTATGTACCTAAATCGTATCACATGTTGACATTCATTTGCTATTCACCTCACACGATAAAACACATCTGTCTATCAAATATATTTCCCACTTGAGAAAGAAAGAGGAGAAAGCAACAGTAAAAGTCGTGGTCGTGGTGGTGGTGGTGGTCTGGCAGCTCTCGAACAACAAACAACAGCAGCCTTATCTTATTTATTAACAAAAAGTAATGAAAAGTTTCAAATTTGATTTAGTTGAGAGATTTTGTGATGATAAAAGTGTGCCATTCTTGCAGGTTTTTGTTTTGGTTCATCTTTCTCCAGTAGTCTTATTTATTTATTTCCAAAGTAAGAGAAAGTTTCAAATTTAATTTAGTTCAGAGATTTTATGATGATAAGTGTGTCATTTTTTGTATTTTGTGATAGGTTCAATTTGGTTCATCTATCTTTCTCCAGTCGGAACATACATACATATCCGTCATCGTCACTTCGTCATCGTCAGCATGGTCGCGACAGGAAGTAGTATTAATGATAAACAAAATAGCAAAACATTAACAAGAACTATTTAATTAACTAAGTTAATTAGTGGACTTTTGCTCCTGTAAACTTCAATTAGTCACGTTATTTTGAGGCGACGTAGTGCAGTTTGGATAAGAGTCAACCTTGACGAAAACCTTTGACCTTGACCTTGAAGGATGGGAGGGCTGACGGACTGTTGTGCTCGATGGGGACGATGGTGGTTCCATTGTTTTGTTCGATGGCGACTTTGGATTCGACCCTTCGTCGTGTTGAGCTACTTGGCCGTGCTTATCGTCCTCGTCCCCCTCCTCATCTACAACTGCTTGGGATCAGATTGTACGCCGAAGGCGAGAAGTCAAATTATTGGAGGTGTTTTCGCCCTTCTTGCGATTCCCATTACTTTATGGGAGATTATACAACATTTAGTCCGTACGTATTAAATAAATGATAATTAAAGAGTTGATCAATTAAGGTTGTTGTTAAATTTTAAATTGTACGAATTTTTCAGATTATACAAAACCATATCTTCAAAAACACGTTATACGGTACGGTCAATTAATTTCCTTTAGTTATTAATCAACAAATTACTAAATTTGATGTGTTATATTATTCGACAGGATTTTATGGATGGTTCCCATCTACGCTGGGGACGCTTGGATAGGATTATTAGCTCCCGAGTATTCCATTTACTGTAATTCTATGCGTGAATGTTATGAGGTAATTAGTTAAAAATTAAAAATGCACTCATTTAGGTGATAAATGATAACCGTTTAAGTTGTGTTTTCATTTGTTAAATCATACATTATTCAACTAGGCGTACGTCATCTATAACTTCATGAAGTTCTTACTTAACTACCTCAATGCTGAAATGGATTTGGAAGCAAATTTGGAGCTAAAACAACAAGTAGGAAGATATTAACTTCATTAATTACTTTAGTCTTTAATAGTACCTTTCGACATAGTTAAACTATGACATTGGCGCAAGTTGTCAACGAATTAAGTATGTATATCAAGACCTGCTATTTATCTACAATTAACAAATTTCTTTCTCTTATCCAGGTCCACCACTTCTTTCCATTCTGTTGCTTGCGAGATTGGGAAATGGGAAGGGAATTTGTGCACAAATGCAAGCATGGAATTTTGCAGTATACCATTTTTCGACCACTCACCACCTTCATTGCTTTGTAAGCAAAAGCCTATTAAAAATGGATTTTAAAACTAAACGTCTCTAAAATTAAGTATGTATGATTTTATAGCATTTGCGAGCAATTTGGAGCATATGGTGAGGACGAGTTCAAAGCCAACGTTGCATTCCCGTACATCATTGCCATCAATAATGTGTCACAAGCAATTGCAATGTATTGCTTAATTTTATTCTACCGGGCAAATAAGGACGAATTACATCCCATGAAACCTGTTCCGAAATTCTTGTGTATTAAAGCGGTCGTCTTCTTCTCATTTTTGTAAGTACAAAAAGAAAGGTTAAATTGTATTCGAGTCAAAATTCATAGCCAATTTCATCTCAAACACCTTCATCTCTTTTTAGTCAAGGAGTTGCAATTTCCATTTTAGTCAACACTGGAGTAATTGCGAACGTATTCGGAACCACGGATAAGAACGATATCAAACACATCTCTTCAAGTCTACAAAACTTCTTGATTTGTATCGAAATGTTCTTCGCCGCTATCGCCCACCACTATTCCTTCTCTCACAAAGCGTATGTCGATATGGCTGCAGATCAACCCAATTGTTGCGAGTCGTTCTGTCAAATGTGGGACTTTTCTGATGTCAAGCAGGACTTGGAGGAACATATTGGTGTCGTCAGTAAGATCTTTAAACCCAAACACCCGAAACACTTTAAATTCACATAATTAACATATTGATAACCCATTTCCCTCAAATTTAGAAAACACCGTGAGGAACGTAATGCCCTCTAAAGTGTATCGTCATCCTGGCGGCATGCGGGAAGAAAGGGCCCACCTCCTATCCAGCTCTGACGGTCCAGACTACAACAGCGGTACTGAAGCTACCGGCGGATCATTACGAGCAGCTCGATCCGCAAGTTTGGACCTCGTCGCGGTCGCCGAAATGAATGGCAACGGTCAAGAACAAGAAGCCGTTGTAGATGTGCATAATAACCGACACGATGGTCCTTTCACTGATCTCACCGAGGATGAAGCGCTACTGAATCAAAAATCGTAAACTAAGCGAACGTGTCCCTATTTAAGTTTGTGTATTCAAGTCAATTATTAATCTACCACACAAAATTTATTGTGAATCTAGCCGTGATTTTAATAGTATTATGTTCGTCTTAACTCTCTACATTAATTAATTATGTGATGTAATCAGTGGCCGCGGAAGCTGTGAGGACATTAACATTGTACAATAGGGGAGGGAGGGGTTTATATAAGATGGGGAGATGATGGGGACATTGTCCCTCTGTCCCCTCAAGCTTTCGCAGCCACTGGATTATTAATGTAATGCTCATGTATCTTCCTCTCTTTCATATTTCAAGTACAAGTCTGACCTACGATGTAACTTATCTAACTTATATTTTTGAACAATTTAGTTGATCAAAGTGTCGTTTTTATCGTAAATTTCTTTAATTCGAGCCCGAACCAGGTCGAATTTTTGATTTTATATTTATTGTACAACATCCCACCCCGTATTAAATATTCCAGTACTTTTCAAAACTTTTGAAATTATGAAATCTTTCTGCTTGATGATTATTAATTAATATTTAAAAAAAAATATGTAAATGAATGCTTCCAATGGCTACGGGCCACTTAAATTCTACATGAATCCGTATGAATCCCAAAGAAAAAAGATGATGTACCTATTTTTTGTGATAAAAAAACGATACAAGATGTGTGTGACTCATCAAAAAATCTAAATGTTACCATAAAAATCTAAATATTATCATAAAATATAAATGTCTCTCAAATCTGTTAATAGATTAGCAGCAATTTGAGCAAATAAAAAATCACAATGTTCACGAATTTGATTGTATTTTTCATTTAATTCAGGTATTGAAAATGTATGAAATTAGATCACAATTTGAGAAGTTGCTGGTCAGGTTATCTGGAACCTATCTTATTTATCAAGACAATCCAGATAAGCTCCTTGAATCAGGTGGTCTTCTTTAATATTGAATTTCTTAAGTAGCTCGTTAGTAAAGTCTTGACCTTGTTGTGCCATCGCGTCGTCACTGTCATCCGGGAGAACGACCTGTGGGTCGATTAAATTAATTGAATTAATGTGCTGAATATGTTAACAATTTATAATCAGATTATCATGGATGGGAAAAATACTTCATCAAAATGTACAGTATTTTGATCTCCGTTCTTCCCAGGGTTTGGATTTACGGGGGTGTGTGTTACACCCCTGAAAGACGAAAATGTACGTGGAGAATAAAACAGTCATATGGAAATACAGGTTTTATGAAGAAATTCACTTTTTATCGCTGTCAAACACGGCATTTCCACGATTTTTCAAAAATAAAGTATTTTTCCAGCGATAAAAAATTAATTTCTTCACAAAACAAGTATTTTCGTACGACTGTCGCCCTCTCGACATAGATTTTCGTCTTTTTGTGGGTGTAACACCCCTGGAAATCCAAACCCTGTCAAGAACTGAGCTCAAAATACTGTATTTTCCTACATTTTCAAATTATTTTATACCTCAATTTCGAAATAATCCCCCAAATTCTTTACTGCATCGAGATGAATTCTGGCCGTGAGCTTGGGCTGCTTCTCGTACTCGATGAGATACACTTTCCTATCCTTTTCCACCACCCCCTTCACCCCCAACGCCCTGCTTAACGTTTCCAACATCTTGTCCACCTCGACGACCGGGGCGATGGAGTAAGTCGACTGTTTCGGGCCGGCCGTATCGCTTCGGAAATATGTTATCAAAACGTTCCTATCGTTTTCTTGGCGCAGCTTCATCCGACCGTTCGGAACTGTGAAGAACGTGTCCTTTTGGTTAAGGTGGAGATGAATTTCGCCAGTTTTTGAGAGGTCAGCCGCTATCTTCTCGGCCTGCTCGAGACCACCTTCTTGACAGAGTTTTGCTTTAATTTCTATATTTGATGATGGCATGATAACACCGGAATGGATCTTCTATTTAGTTAAATAAAATACAATTAATTAGGATTCCTAATTTAGGAAACTTACTAGGTAAATGGGTCAAAATTTAAGTAATTATGCGAATTTTACAAATACCTTGTTACTATAATTTAATACAGTTATTCTTCTCAAGGTAGGTTTGAAAATTCTCAAAAATTCGTGCAAAATTGGCATAAAATTATTTTTTAACAGTTGAGCTCCTTTGTTAACTTTGCAAACTTTACAAGAAAGAAAAACCGGCAGATCCCGGTGATTCGATATCTCAAACCAATAAAAAGACTCAAGAGAGACAAAGACAACCTGAGCTTGCGAATATGCATTCTTGAGATGCAAATATCTCTGCCAAACGTGTCCATTTGGAGATCGTGTCTTTCGCAAATTTCATACTAATTAAATTTGCCCTCGATTGAGACTAATTTCAATTTCGCCAAAATCGGTGAGAATAACATACATTGAATGAAGACCTTCATTGTAAACTTATTTTTGTACGAAAGAAATTTCCATGAATTTTTAAATACCGACTTTTCATTTTCATAATTCGAAATTACACCAACGTTATAGTTTATGCTTCATCAGTGGCCGCAGGAAGCGGTGGGGACATCTGGGGACATTGTCCCTCCGTCCCCTCAAGCTTCCCCGGTCACTGTGTTTAATGAAATTGAAATATAATGAAACCATATCTGTCCTAAATTTATAAAGGGTTGCTGAGTTTAGATTCCCTAAAATAAATTCCGTAACTGCGAATATCCAACTTCGCCATCACAGGTCAAACCATTGATGCCCCATTTATGTTGAAAATAAGATTGAGGAAAAATGCTGATAAACATGTAATGTATCCATTTATTTTGGCACTTCACACTCTGCACAATTTTATTATTCGCTTCCTGGACAGCCAGTCAGCAAAGCAAATCAGCCAAAATATATACACATTTAACAAACCCAAACCCCATTTAACCACGCAATCATCATTAACTCGCTCTCCAGTTAAATGAGCGCATTAATAAGAATAATAAGAATAACATGCATGTATGCAGATATGTATGTGTAGGTGATTGCTCAATCCTCACATTTTTCCAGCCACACATTACACATTACTTGCATATATACATCTTTAACACATAAAATCCTGCTTAATTTTTCCAGTCTCTCATCATAATATAATACTTGCTACTGATTTATACAATGCATGCACACTCAATTTTTACGTGTAATAAACACGGGATTTGGATTCATTATTCGCCAAGGCCATATTGCAAAAAGTACAAATTCATAAAAAAGTGACTCCTGTCCGACATCCTGTCCACCATTCTTATCATATCATTGAGCAGCGATGAGTTTCGTACAGATATATATTTTTCAAAGAAAATACATCCGAAAATGTGACAGTTTTTGCAAAATTATTGTGTTAAATAAAGTTTTGTATAATCTTTTTTATAATTCTTTTATCTACAACATTTTAGTTCAAAATCGTACCAGTAGTGACAAACTGTAGAAATTCATTGAGAACAAAACTCCAAAATATTTCTGAAATAATATTTACTAAACATTGATACATATTTCGGAAATATATAAAAACACTAACATACACACGCACTAACTTTGACCCTCGCTTTAAATAAAAGAACAATTACAGTACAACTAATCTCATCCACACCCAAAATTCTAGCCACTCCAAAGCCAGCAAACGCCTTGCCTCATGCAAGACCTACATAAATAAATTTCCACGTACTTCATCCTCATATTATCATCTTCGTTTCCACTTACAGTAAGTGACTTACTTATTTAACTACAAATACTTACCAATACATACCCAACCCACCAACCAACCAACCAAACCCTACATAAATCCAATCCAGCAACACTCACTTACGTAAAACGCTGATAAGTATCTCGAGAAAAAAAAATGTGGGACAACATACTCTCCGAGGGCGTCTGGACTGGAAGCAAATATTATTTATTATGGCATGCAATAATTTTTACTACGCAGCAACACAAACTGCACGAGTTTGTGGATAACATTTTTATCGCTTGGTTTACTTATTTCATTTCATGCATGGCATATGTCATCCACATTACATTCCACAAAGTGTTATTGGTTTGGTAAATATGTATCTACATAACTGCGTCCTATACATTGATAAGTCACCTAATTAGCACCCCAATTCATGGGAGTGTCGCCTCGTCTTGACCAATGGCAGCGTCGGATGGATGCTGCGTACACATTTTCGTCTATCGTCTGTCTATCGGTCACGTAATATTGGTCAGCTTTACACTAAATATGCCAGAAGAGAATGACAGCAGGCAGGTATGCAGGTAAAGGTATGCAAATACGACGCATATTTTTTTGCGAGACAATATATTCATAATATACAGTGCAAAATTTTGCACTATCATATTTCAGGGTCACACGCCACACATACGTACGTTGTGTAGTGAGGGATAACAAGTTCATGTCCGTCCGTAAAGGGAGACGAGGTAAAATGTTGAGATTATTGAGCTCACGTAATGCAAGGTCGGAGGAGATGGTCACTTTTTGGTTTGGTTTGATTTGCCAAATTGTATCATCGTATTGAAGTCTCCAAAGTAGAAAAAGTTAGTTCATGAATTTACGGCAGGTATTTTAGTCATTTTTGACTTTATAATTTCGTGGGGTACATGATTTTCCGAGTAGTTTGTGGGTGTGGTGTTCACAACGACTCGAATTTCACCAAAATTTCTTAATTTCTCCTAGATTTTTAAATATTTTGAGGGTTTCGTCTCATATTTCGGTCATTGTTGCATAAATGTGTCCATATTTTGGCTGTATGTATGTACATCAATTTGGCCAATATGTCGATACACATTTACGTTATTTGCGTGTGGATGGACTAAAAATTTGTGCGCATTAAATTAAAAACAATCATTTGGTAAAAAATTTCGGAAAATATATATCTTCAAGTTTTCAGAAATATTTCATATGTACAAATTTCCAGATTTTTTATGCCCTATTTGTTCTAAATTGTATACCAAATTTCACGTCTTTTTCTCCAACATTTTTCTCGATAAGGATGAAAATCATCCGATAATTACCTAAATCTGACTGGTTGACGTGACATGTTTGTTATTCCTGTGACGTGTTTATTCCATTAAATCGGTCTTTTTTCTCTCTTCAATTTATAAAAATTGAACGGGATAAAGTGAAGAAAATTAAATCTACGTGATACCAATTTCACATCACTGGCCCAGTTTTGTCCTTATGAATTGAGACGATCTTCTCATCTAGATAAGAAAACGTGAAAGAAATCCTTGTCCTTATCACTTCTCGTACACATTTAAACGCAAATTACACAACATCAGACCACACACAGATTTCGATAAGTCAATCATCGTCATATTTGATCAAAATCGCACTTCTTGATAAGACACGTATTCATATTTACATACGTGACAAACAAGTAAATAAGACGTAAAGTTAACTAAACTAGTTAAATCTCTCCGGCGTGAAATTGGGAAATATATCCGTTTTTGTCACCAATTAAATACGCATGGGTTGGGTACAGGCGGTACAGCTCGTTATTTTATACGTATCAACAAATTATATAACCCATTTTTTTTATGAAATATGCCAGGGGGCGGCTATGTATTTATTTTCAACTTTTTCATTTGACTCTGACCGACGAATTTCAAAATATTTTTACTTATTGTTGCATATTTCTAGGTTTTCAGCGATATGAATATTTCCATGATTATTTCAAAAATACGGAAATCTTTTACACATTTTTTTCAAAAATATGGATATATGTAGTTCGTTAATATTTTAACGATTTTTTTGCTTAAAGAAATTCAACTACAAAAATATCGAATATTATATTCAGAAATACACATTTGTCGAAATTTCTTATTTTTATGGTTTTTTCGTAAGTATTTAATACGTATTACATCGATTTTTCGAAATGGATATCCACCTTGTGGTAAATATGTATGGTTAATAAGTTTTTCAAATTATGACCATCTTTTTCAAGGCCGTATGCAAATAATTACACACCATTCCAGCCAGCTCTTGAAATCAGTTACCAAATCTCACCTTTTGTAAATCCCTTAATTACTTTGGAATTACGATTCCTCTTATCAATAATTGCATTGCATTGTTACCCAACCCAACCAAGTTCAAGTGGTGTTGCTAACTTGTCAGTTAATTTCCATCATGGTATCATTGGTCATACGGAATAGCTTGTATGTATATTCCCAAAAGTGTGAAACTGGGATTTACCACAAGAAATATATGCAAAATCTACAGGTTATTTAATACCCAATGCCCACTAATTGATTGCTAAATACGAGGAGGAAATGGGGAATTACATACAGATGTAAATAAATTATTCGGGAAACATATCAAATTTTGAGGCTCAAAATTTCCAAGGTTTTCCCAAATTTCGTACCAAACTTTGTATTTCCCAACCACCACAGAAACAATTTTGCATGCAAAAATACCTAGCATGGGACTAAAGTTGACTAAATTTTCGTATTAAAATCTACATTTACAAATTTGCATGCAAAAATATGAGCATGAGACAAGCTTGAGCTTGACTAAATTTCCTATTCAACTCTTCATTCCAGAGACAATTTTGCACGCAAAAATAAGCACATGAGACAAATGCAGTGCAGCCCAAATAAATAAGCAAGTAATACTCATACTTATTATTAGCACATGCTTTACTCACTATACTGCGTGGTCAGCTTATCCAAATTTATTTACCCAGTTATCAGAGCAAAACCCATCATCATTACGACCAAAAAAAATGAATTTGCAAAAAAACTAATCTAAATGAGCATTTGTGATCTTATAAATGACCTTGGAAGGCCAAAGATTGACAGTATTCTCAGAAATATATCGTTTGTGGGGGGTAAATTAAGGGGTAACGATATTTTTACCTCGATTTGCTCTCAACCTAGGCCATTTTAAGGATCGGGCCAATTTTGCCAACTTCTGCTCAACATGTCGACACGTACCACAAATCAAAAAATTAGAAAATTCGACAAGTTTTCCATAAGGGGACAGCTTCCCCTCTTAATTTCCTTCATACTTATTTACATATTCGTCTCTCTATATCTGCTGCATTCATGCGGTTATTAATTTAGCACTACGCAATATATATACATACAAAAATAATTTACTCCATGTTATCATTAATTTTTATATCCATTACACCACCACAGCATGGAACATATGTATGTGCATAAGAAAAGGAAGAAAAGAAACATCTCGACCACGACGACGATTTGTCTCATCAATGGATCACTGGAGGTCGGGTGTCATGTGACGAAAACGGAATAAAGTTTGACCAATTATCAAACAGTTAATGGTCAATGCAGCCACCGTGGAACTTTTTGGGGACAATGAAACTTAAAAATTAAGAATCTTGATGAAAGGGTAGAAAAATGTTATACATATTTCTATGTACACATCTTAAATAAAAATAATTCCCTCGAGTTTTGGGCACTTATTGAGATAATTTTTCGAAATTTGATAGTCAAAAGTTCGAATAAAAATGTTAAATCTTTTTCTTTCTGTATTTCTGAATATTTCTAAATTTTCATACATATCAATTCACACAATCATTTGAAAAAAAAACTCGTAAAATCTGTGCGTTTTGTACCATAATTATTTTACAAACTAAGGAGACCCCTTGATCTGAGCAACTTTATGTAAAATTTATAAGCTAATTTTTCTTCGAAATATGAATACAATTTTGTTAAAATTTTTAAGTTTACCGAATTTACCATCTTATTGCCAAGGCCTGCGTGAATTGTCTCATTCATTACGTACAACATTAACCTTATAGGGATATATATGCATGTATGCAAATTTAAAAGAAGAGCATTACTTGTGTTAAGCTAAGTACATACAAGTCTGTGCGAAATGTCCCCTTACGATTCCGCAGTCCTGGTCATCTATCCACATCCGAAATATACATACATAACATGACCCATTCTGTACGAGATCATGGAAAGAATTCAGTTACACAAAAGCTTCCTTGTTAAATAAAAATTCCGATCCTTTTCATTTTCCAGGCGCCTCTTACATGCATATTTTATTATTATTGGATACATTTCTCCTGTGTATATATCTATGTGCATACGTGTATCCATGTCCTTCTCCAAGTTTCTCGACCATACTGCAATCTCCACCAGCAAACCAAGCAAATACAAATATTGTCGTACTTTTAACAAGTCTGCTGGCACGATGGAAAGGGAAACAAGCAAGCTTTTAGATACGTACGACCTTTTTTCTTCTGTTGTTATTGTTATGTTGAACCAAATAAACCTTGACTCGCCCAGAAACGTTGGGAAGGTGTGTCCCTTGAAGGACCAATCCTAGGGATGGCGAGCCTCAAAATTGTACCAATCGGAGACTAGATCCTAGACTGACGAAATAAGTCCGGATGTTACTTCTTAAGTATGTATTTACTACGTCGTAGGAAATCATTTTTGGGTCGGTTGGTCGGTCGGTGCCTTTAACCTTTCGAGGAGAATGAAGGAAAGTTGATGGGTTTTTAAGAGGGGAAAACGTTGCCTAAAATACGTACATACTTCCTGAGATTGTAAAATTCTTAGAATTCTGGGGAAATTTCCAGATTTTTGAGTGAGACGCAATTGTTCCCTTGGACTAATAAGATGTGTGTGCATAGTTCTGATTCATCATTTATCGTTAATGGTTCCTGAGATTTTAAGATATGGGAATTTTTGGGAAAATTTCCAGATTTTTGAGACCCAATTGTTCCCTATACCCTCGCTAATGTATATATTCCTGATTCATGCATGCACGTGATGTTTTCTGAGATTCTAAAGTATGAAAATTCTGAGGAAACTGAAGATTTTGGAAGACAATGCACTCATAAAACGTAATTCATGAATGTGCGCACTTATAATATCGAGTTTAGTCGAAAGATAAGTCAAGAATGTGACCAGTGAGTCTTCTGAATTAAGAAAAAGTCTTGTCGTACATACACATTTAGCCGCAAAATGCTGATAACTGCTTATGGGTAGTAGAAGTGCACGACGAATCAAAAATTATTATTTATTTACTTACACTTACCGACAAAACAAGACACGGTTATCTTCTAAATAATATGTTTTCGATGCGCATATCCATCCATCCAGTCTGTCCACCTCACTTCTTAGGACACAAATGCAGCCAGAGGTTAATATTTCCTCTCTGCGTTTACTTACATGTTTATTAGATAGTTCTACTAAAAAATACTTACATACATTAAGATAAGCACTAACTAACTAGATAAGGTAGTAAGTAAATATTTTAATGAGCTCTTAATATCTTAGACGTAGAAGAAGGAGAAGAACACGTCAAAAAATTTTCATGAATGAAATCTCCTGACGAAAATCATGCGACAAAAACGGACCACCAGCCAGACTTCATTGATTCCTCGATTCCTCCATTACGTCAAGTAATCACTTATCATCAGTCTAGATTTATTTTTCTAAAATAAATGATGAAAATTCTACTTTTCCTTGCACACAAGTAAAAAAATAGGAAAAATAAGTGCGTGAATTTTTGCATGCATGTTCATCTCAATCAATTATTTAAAAAAACAGTAACTGATACATGAAAAACCACGCGTTATTTTCTGCATTATTTTTGCACGTCGACATGCACATGAATTTTAATCAATTATTAAACTGATACATGCAAATCGCACGCATTATTTTCGTTATATCATCACATTCATTCGCATCACGAAAACTAGACAAACTGCACTTACAGGTTCGTCTCACATCCTAATTTGCGTAGAATACATCATGTTCATTAGGTTTTCATTACTAAAAACTAATAAATTGCATCTTCTTATCATGTATCCCATAATCTCGCGAAAAAACGCATCTCTCACCCTCACTCCTCTTGATAACCCATTAGTGCATATATATCCTCTGCAGATTGATAACCCCTGTCCTGTGCAAATAATAACTTCTTACATCTAAATTCCTCCTTCCTTTCCTTCCACTTCTTTGATAAGGTGGATGTGGAGATGCATATATTGCACACGCATTTTTGTAATTGTCTTGTCACAAAAATGATCTCATATCCCCTCGTTCATTCTCACAAAGCAGTCTCACCAACCACATGCACATGTATGTACCAAATGCTTCTAAATTCTCATATTCCCAACATTGCACCGTATATTTACAGCTTACTTTACATACTTACTTTTACATTGGTCTTATTGAGATGCTGCTGGCTTGCAAACACACCACGTTTTTTGGACCAATCCTGCCCCTCGACTTGTATAAATTGCCAACGATCCTGTTCCCTCCCATCAGTTCGTTTCATACCGTACAAGATTCAGCATCCACTCACTATTTATTTTACCAAGAAATTTCCTATACCAACCAATTTACCAACCAACTAACTACCAAACCAACCAACCTTCACCAACATATCTACATAACAGCAAATATTAAATAAAGGGAACACTAACTAAACCAAACCAGCAAGCAGCAGGTAAAGTTGCTGAGATCACCTTATTTATTTTGCACATTAAATACTCTCACCTCGTCACGTCACACGTCACGTCACGGCACGTCACAATTTTCGTTGACTCAAGTTTTGAACAGTTTTTTGAAATATAAAAACAAGTGCAAAAACTTTTAAAAGTTTGCAATTTTGCAAGAATTGCAAAATTGGTGAAGAAAAAAAAGTGTGAAAACAAAAACAGAAATGTCGAACAAGACAAAGTTCAACTTGTCGTTTGCGGGGTGTGGATTTTTGGGAATTTATCACGTCGGGGTGGCCGCCTGTTTGAAAAAGTATGCCCCCCAATTGGTCGTCCATAAGGCGTCGGGTGCCTCCGCGGGGGCAATTGCGGCTTGTTGTCTGCTCTGCGATGCGCCATTGGGTAAGGAGAAAATTTCAGTTTTTGTTTCAAAATTTCATCTCATTTTGAATTCACAACTTTCTACTCAAATTCAGTTTTTATTAAATATACATTTTCGATTTTCTTCAAAAACAAATGGAAATTTCATCTCATTGTCGAATTCACATCGTATTTTATCCTCATTTTCATCTTTATTTCCCTACGTTTTCATCCATCCAGGTGAAAATATCCAAGTTTCGGTATGTAGCAAAAGGTGGTCCGTTAGTAATAAGTGGGGAAAAAGGGTCTAAAAGTGACCTGACCAAAGCAAACCACAATAAATAACCTTCAGTAATAATTCAGTAGTTTAGTTTGGAGGGTTCAGTTGGGTCCAAAAATTGACCAGTGCTGCATCCCCATAAAAACACACCTTTTCGATTGGACACAGGTAGCAAAGTTAGGTTAGGTTCGTGCTAATGGCTATATTATTTAGTTCCACATAGATATTTCATGGCTGGAAATCCCACAGGGAAATCCATCCATTAGCAAAGAAAATTTTCGTAAAAACCAAACCAGGTGTATCTCACCTCATAAAAGTATTGTTTCACGTCGAATTGCGTCAACGATTTCCCATCCTAAGCAAAGCATTAGGTAAAAAAAACTGTAGCAGTCGTCTCGTAGGTGTTCCATAATTTACCAGTTTTGCCAGATTTCATTGTATTGTACACTGTCAATAATTTTTTGACAATATTGTTACCGGCGGAGATACTATACAATTCTACCGCGTGGTAACACTATAGTAACAAATTGTCTTCTTTGGGTAAGAAATTGCCTCCGGTATAGGTAATATTTTTATTACCTGAGCGTTGACATTGGGGGCAGAGCAGGATTTAGCCTCTGTATATATGTTACCTTTCGGTGATAAATTATTACCCGAGCGGTAGAGTTGCATAGTACCTCCGCCGGTAACAATATCATCAAAAAATTATTGAGAGTGTATGTCATCGCATCATTAAATCTATATTTCTTTTTTCCCATCATATCATGCACCTGAGGGCAGTGCAATATAAGTACTTATTAACTTTAACCTGTTCATTCGTCATGGAGGAAAAGTTGTCCGTAAAATGTCTATAATTTTCCGTCTGCACCCAACATCAAACAAGTTTCAATACCATTATTTTATTGTCCTTAGTCTGACTTTGAAGAAAGGCGATGACGCCAAAGGAAAAAAATATTAGGATATTTTTCTAAAAGGACTTTCAAATTACAAATTTGTATATATTTCCATTTCGTTTCTTCATGGATCCAGATTCATCTCGAATAATTCATGAATTTTTCGGCACGTTCACATTTTTTTTCTGGATCCGCACGGGTTTATGTACATATGCATCATCACATTTTATCATATGATTCACTCACTACTGGACAAATTGCGTGTTTAATTAAGCTCGACGGAGAGGATGAGGATGAGTTTCATACAGAATTGCGTCATGATTCGTCAGTTTAATTAATCGTTACTTAATGGTGTGGTCAACGTCCCAACATGAATGAGAGACAGACAAGTTTTAACACCACCACATTTATAAAAATATGATAAGTACCTTTTCATCTTTAAACTGTTCTGAATTACTTTACTTTTTAAAAATCCAATCCATAGTCAACAAACAAAGTAAATATTAAATTTGTTCTTGAAAAAATATGACCTCACTTGTTGATGCGTATTTAGTGACAGGATGACAGAACGGTGTTGATGATAAGGTTGTCCTGTCCTGTCCTGAACCTTCCGAGGTCACACGTGCATTATACATATTGTGTAACTATGTACATAACAATTAAAATTAAAGGAAGGATGTGTACTTTTAAGTACACATGCATAAAAAGTTGGAATGTGTACCCATTTTTCGGCTGGACAGGAATCCAAATAAAACTAAATAGAATTGACTGATAATACTTTTTTATTAGAGGCAACGAGTTCATGCCGTCCATCAGCCACTTGTTGATTAGAGGTCATCATCATCACTATATATAAAGTGGCCATATTTATGATACATAACTCAGCTCGGTACTAAAATTTCCAGTTCATGCTTGTTTCCAGTCCATATTTCGAACTGTTTCACAAATAAAAAATCAATTTTTTCCCATAATTTAGAACTAAAAAGATAGGATTTCGCATAATAATTAAATTCGCAAACTTTGCTTTCTTTATCCAGCTAGCTCGTTATATAAATACATATTTTATTCTAAAGTTAGTTAACCCGGTACTAATTTCCAGTTCATGTTTCACCACATTTCAAACTTCAAACCGTCTCACAAAAAACAATCAATTTTCTTCTCATAATTTCAAACAACTACAGGATTTCTCATTATTTATAATTAAATTTACAAACAATGAAACAATTCCTTTCCTTGTCCAGCTAGTTATAAATACATATTTATACCACAATGAAAATAGACCACAATTTCGTAACTTGACTTAAATTCAGTAAATTCTTAAATAAAGACTATTTCACATCACACCACGAACAACTGCCATCCTCAACTTTATCCCCACATTTTGCACAAACTGAACTGGACATTACATTATATTTTTGCACATAAAGGGATTCGTTGTTTGCATCCTTAAAAGAAAAATGAGACCCAACCCATAAAACTGAACCATACCCAAGAAGATAATACTCGACCGACGGCCGACTTAGACTTATCAAGGAAATGCTTTTATTACTTATATTTTATGAGACGAGGGTGTGCCACGAACCAACTGTCCCCTCATTTACATATCCAGCAAAAGTAAAATTACTCAATTTTTTATTATTAATTAAACTTCCTGAAAAATAATGGCACACTTTTTTTTAAATTATTTACAATTAATTCCTTTTCAAGGATCCCCACGCGACTTTTTTATATAAAAATAATGACATCATCTTCTTTCAAATCCTTGAGATATTATTACTGCTCAAAAAAAGAACATCTCGTACTTACAAATATTTACTACGCAGCATAACAGAAAAAGAGTTTTGATAAGTCTAAGTCATAAGTCTTGGTTTGGTGATGTTGCAAAATTAAATTCCTTGATCCACTCATCACTAATGTGTAAATGTCGCTGTTATATAAATCATGAACTTATCATAAAAATGCAACGATTTTTTTCCAAGTGGTCAATGAAATTCTTCTTAATCTCAAAGTTGTCCCCAATTTTACTAATTTATTGATTTTAAATTATTAATTTTGTCGACTGGACAGAATTCAATTCTTGAATTTACATATGCATAGTGCCATCAATCCATGTTTTCTGTCAATTTTTCATTGACAGCGATATCACAAATTAAAGTGCAGTCTGAAATAGATTTCGTTTTATTGATCTGACTGATTTATGGGTGCATTGACAACACACATTTTATTGACAAGTTGGCAGTCTTATCGTAGATAAGTACATACATAAATCTGTATTTGGTCAATTCATATTTAGCTATTTGCAATCCTTTTTAAAGAGTTTTTTGATTAAGTTAAGGTAGTACTTAAATACTTTTCTTCTTCTTGGATTGATTTCAATTTCACGAGAACAATATCATCTTCGTCTCTGTAAGATTTTACAGAGACGAAGATGTATTAATAAAAATCACTCAAATTGATTACTTTAATTCAACTCAGAGTTCATTTACGGACGGTTAAAAGTCAAGGATAAAAGTAAAATGAGATGAAATACCTAAATTCGATGACTGCATTGTTGTGAATTTCGTCAATTCAGCTTCAAATTTTGTATATATTTCTTCATAAATTCGATGTGTGCATTGTTAATATTTATCAATGATAATCAATGAAATATTGTATCACATATGTAAAATAAGAGTAAAATTTCACAAAATCAGCTCAAATTTTATTTCTTTTTTAGGTCAAATAACAAAGGACGTTTTACGAATTGCAACGTTAGCTCGAGCCAAAACACTGGGACCGTTCAGCCCTTCATTTAACATTCAGAAAATTTTGAAAGACGGTCTTGAAAAGGTAATTCATTATTCATTCTTCTTTATTGTAATTCATAATAAAATAATGATTCCTTATATTTTTTACAGATTTTACCAGAAGACGCGCACATCAGGGTCAGCGGAAAGTTACACATTTCCCTCACAAGGGTGTACGATCGTCAAAACGTTATCGTCTCTCACTTCAACTCCAGAGAAGAATTGATCCAGGTAATTTTTGGTAATTAAGCCGAAACAAAAAAGTCCATCACGAGATCCAAGTCCAAAATTCACAATTCGATCAGCAGGGAGATGACAATTTGCACTTTTTAAAGCACGATTTAAGTACAATCCATAAAAAGTAATGTGTAGTTATATATTGCATCGTCATCCATCCACTCTGCTGCTTGACTTACATGTACATAATAATTCCTAGGTATGTATAAATCACCGACGAGACACGAAATTTGCACGTGCAAATTTAACATTGTGTGCGAATTTTGCTGACTGGGACATACATAATATTGACAAAAAATCTGGGCGAGGATATATGCACATATGTACAAACCATAATTAAGGACAAGTTCATGATCGAGTTTATTGTACTCTGGACTGGACGATGGACCCGAAAGAACTGTCTCTTTTTTATGGTACCACCCGGACCACCACAATTTAATTTAATTGCATTGTAGTTAGTTAGTTAAATATGTAGTACTTTAACCTGGTTATGGGGCACAAAAGTATATACATACATACGTAGTTTTGAACCATATTTCTCCTCTTTCCGCCTGTAACTACCGTAGTTTTTGGTGCCGGTACATATATTTATTTATGTATATTGATGATAAGTAAATACTTGTGTAGATAACACCTTACCTTACCAAATTAATTACTGTGTGTAAATATAATTCCACGCTTTAACAACAAGGTTTTTGACAATTTTTATATTGTGTGTTCTTCAAAAGGCCGTTCTTTGTTCGGCGTTCATCCCATTTTTCTCTGGATTTTTGCCCCCCATGCTGAAAGGATTTCGTCACATGGACGGCGGTTTCACGGACAATCTGCCCGCACTGGACCAGCACACCATCACTGTGTCCCCGTTTTCTGGAGAGAACGACATTTGTCCCGTGGACGATAGCGCGCACCTCTTTCATGTTAGTACAAAGGACAATTTATGGATGATTACCTAATTCGATCTGAATCCGGAACGTGGAGAAAATGAAAATCCTGAACCTGAACCTGATCTTCTACCGTCTTCTTCTTCTTCTTTTGCTTTCTTTTCCTAATTTCTAAACTTAACTAACTTTGATTGTAATTTAATTGTGCTGCTTAGCTTCGCTTTGCTTTGCTTGCCTTAAAAATTATTACATGTTTAATAGGACTGGATGACTCATGATCAAAATTGACAAAATCAGCACATTTCTCTGCTCTGGGAATTTATTTTAAAATTCTGGACGACAAATTTGTCCTGAGTGAGTTGATTAATAGAATGGCAAGAGTTGTTTAAGCCAGTTTCGACGAGTTTTAATTTTTCTGAAGGCTTCTTAAACTTGAGATCTCCTCCGACAAAAAGTGGCAAAATCTGGAGTGCATATTTTCAATAAATTGGTAACTTCTTGCTCTACAAATTCAGAATTTTAAAATAAATGCCCAGAGGCGAGAAATGATTGAAAATTTTGACGATTTTTGTGATAAGTCATCGAGTCCTGCGTCTTCGAACTCACCGACTCGACCGTATGAAAACGATGACGAAACTGAATGTCATGTCATGTCAAATATTTATATTTTGTCCATCCGGGGCTTCAATTAAGTGGATGTATTGAACTTTTGTCCCACAGGTGATTCTGAGCTCCGCCTTTATTCCATTGTTTTCCGGCTGGATGCCCCCAAAAGTGGGAGGGGCTCGCTTCATGGATGGCTGTTACAGCGACAATTTGCCAATTTTAGATGAAAATACCATCACAGTGTCACCATTTTGTGGAGGTTCGAAACCCAAAAATCAAAACCGGTGTCATTTTTTTAAATTTAAGAAGATCAAAATTTCAGTTTTCCAAATTATCTTTTACAGAATCCGACATTTGTCCGAGAGATCCGACCGCAAATCTAATGCAGGTTTGATTTGAGAGTTTCCTGGAAATATTTAAATTAAATTTAACTAACTTATTAACGCTTTTTTGTTTTTGTATCAAATTTTGCATCACTATGTGTTCTCAAAAAATTGCAGCTTTTTGTCCGTTTGTTTATCTATAATTTCTCTTTAAATCTGCTCATTTTTTAAAAAACCTTATCCTTTCCGAAATAATTTTCACTTCCGGTTTCAGATTGAATTTTCCCTATCAAAAACAAATTTTCTAACGATGTTTTTTTCCAATTTTAGGTCAACCTTGCCAACACATCGATCGAGCTGTCACGCCAGAATTTGTACCGATTTTCCCGAACTTTATTCCCCCCGAGGCCGGAAGTCTTGTCAAAAATGTGCCAACAAGGGTTCGACGATACGTTGCGATTTCTCGCGAGGAACGACCTTATCGGATGCGACACGTGCATGACGATGGAGCAGTCGCTCAGTTTGGGGGTGGAGTTGGACGAAATGGCGACAAAGAATTATGAGAGAATCATGTCTGAAGAATCCTGCCATCAGTGTAAAGTTCAAAAACAGGTATGCGATAAGCACCGTAAATTATTCACTCGGGTATTTGTAAATTTGCAAAAATTATTGTGCAAATTGTTATAAAGAGATGATGTTTGGAAACTTATTATGAAACAATTCACGCAGGCCTTGGTAGCATTGTAAATTCTGTAAATTACGTAAACTTACACAATTTTGCTCATATTTCGAAGGAAAATTAGCTCCCAAATTTTTGTAAAGTTGCTCAGATTAAGGGCGGCGTCTCTATATTTTGTAAAAGTTTGTAAAAATTATGTTACAAAACACACGGGTTTTATGAGTTACAAATGACTTGCTTGCAATGTGAATTGCTTCAATAAATTTATAACCTAATTTTCTTTGGTAAACTTGTTGAAAAATCTAGAACTTTACTGGATTACAAAAATCCGAGTGAATTATCTCTTTAACAGATTTATAAAACTGTAAAATGCAAGAGAAAACTGACACTAAATTTTGTCCTGTAATTTTTTAGGCCGCCCTGCTGGACAGTCTTCCCGACACGGTCGTGTCCATTTTACAGGACGCCATCGAATCCGGAAACAAGGGTCTCCTCAACTGGCTCTTTTCTCACAAAACGATGAAGCTCATCTCCTTAATGTCTCTCCCCTGTATTATCCCTGCCGACATTGCCTACGCCACGGTGCTCAAACTCTTCGAGACTGCGCCCAAGTTAACGTACAATTTGAGAGTGTTGAGTCAAGCCGTGTTACAACTCGTGGCACAAACACTATCAAACATTAGTCTTTCTCCGGCCGCTTATTCAGCCAAGTTGACGTGTCAAGTCGCCATCACGGAGTATAATGAAGGTAATTAAATCAACTAATTTTTGCGGGTTTGTTACATTTCTTGGACTGCAAAAAAATAAGCGCCACCCAGCCACGCGCGGTATGAAGTATTTACCGCTGCGGGGCGTAGTTTCTCCCACCTTGCATTTCTCCCAGGTCAAAATAACCACCTGCAAGAAACCACTTTCTCCCCGTTATTTCTTGCAACTTGCACCGGAATCACTCCTAAAATTCTAACCCAATTCTCCCCCTTTTCTTCCAGATATCGAAGCTCCTTGTGACGAAATGACCTCGTCGCCATCCTCCCTTCAAAGGAAGCAGTCTATCCGAAACAAGATGAATTTCGGATTCACACTCAACATCGATAACGGCCGGTAAGTCGCTTATCTTCATAAATAAATTCAATTCTAACTCATCAATTAACTAAGAAAATGATATTCTTTCTTCCAGATCTGACAACATGCAATTCATCGACGACAAGAGATCATCCATTGTCGAATTCGGGGACGAAGATGACGACACGTTTGAACGCTTCTTATCCGTCACGTCGCACCAGGACACCCTAATTTCTTCCTATTATCTTAACAATGCCGATAACCAGGTCGAGATTACGGAAGTATTTGAGATTAATGAGACGACCGTGCCTTTGTGTGACCTTGACCCCTCGTCGTCTCACCACGACGGATCGTCAACGGTCGAAATTGAAGAGATTTTTGATGATAATGATCCAAATTTTGTTCAACTTACAAACTCTCAACTGCCCCTCAGCCACAACGTTATGCCAATCGTGGCAGAGATTTAAGCTTATCAAGGATGATTACCTTATCGCAGCAACAGTCACCAAATGAACCTTTACGAAAGAAAGGTTACATATTATGCATTCCTATTCAAATAATTCCAAACCTAACTAACTGATTTCACAAATATAAGTAATTATGTAATTATAGAGTTAAATGTAAGAATAGTTACCTTATTATTTTTTGTTTCGTGTACAAATATACTAATTGTAAAGTACGAAATACGATCCAGTCCAGTCCAGTATGCTAATTAATAATTAATTGCTAATTACTAATTACCTGACACATAAGAATCCCTTATTAATTATGTGATACGTAAGTAATTTAGTAAATTAAGTTGGATACTTTGCATTGCTAATAGTCCTCGTCAAGCAATGTGCTGCGGTCAGTCGGTCGGTCACGTCCTTTCGTACTTATCGCAGATAAGATAAATAGTCGTCGTAATATATTTTATACTAAATAGTTACCTGGTTTAATTAAGAGTACGTATCTGGAGTGGACATTGTATTTACGACGTTATTTTATTTTATAAATGCTTAATTTTTGCAAATCGTATTTTTTGCATAGTTTTTATTATTAATTGGATAATTTTAACGCTTTGATTTTACGTACGTGTAATAATTATGCAAATGAGATTCTGTACCAATAATGAGTAAGATATGCACATGAGCGGTGAATACTAATAAAGAAACAAAGATCAAAATGGAACAACTTGGTTTTGTATTTTCTTTCGTAACGCAGCATTCATATAAAACAGCAATAATGAGATACATATTTATCTAATCGGAAGTACGTAAATAAAAATAAGAGACGGTGTGTGTGGGTACGTAAAAAGTTTTGTGGTTGTGTTGTGTTGTATTTAACTCTTAATTGGTAGTTAGTTAGTTAATTGATTTAATGGCAGTGATGGGTTATTTTTTGGAAGTGCCGAAACCCGAGAATCCCATGACTTCGGCCATCTCAGGGTCCATTTCATGCTCAAGAGCGCTACTACTGCTGGCTGCGGCGGATTCTTCGGCATGTTTCCGTTTCCGTTCCAAGCGTTTGCCCCGTTTGTATTCTTTGCTTTTGTCTTCCTGTAATTAAAATTCAATTAAGTAATTAAGTTTTAATTATAATTAATACTTGTATTGTTCTTGTCTTATAGGATGTTCGTAAACTTCATAACGCAAATACAGTGGTCATGGCGCAATGATATCGTGCCTGTGTGACATGTATTTAAAAAGGGCGGGTTTCCAAAAACAAGAAATTTGCATGCATTACGAAGTTTACGAACGTTCCCATAAACATGATGCAATAATACATTAAGATTCTACCTCTTCTTGCAATTCCTGTAGTCGTTTATCCAAATCGTACTTTTTCTTTTGTTCAGTTTTCTTCTGTTTCAAAACTTCAAATCTTTGCTTTACTTGGTCCAGCGTGGATCGTTCAATCTTCATGGACATTCCCAAATTCCGTTGATCTATTAGAAACAAACCAAAATTAAAATGAATACGCATAATTTAACCCAACATACTTTAATTAATTAACTCACGCTTCTTTCCATTGATATGATCCAAAAAGTTGATCGAGTCCTTGACCACGCAGTCACAAACGTTACAATAATATCCTCCTGCTTGCGCGGCTGGCGTATTTTTTGTGATGACGATCGTCTTTCCCAACCGAGAATCAAGGTCGACCCGATAATCTCGAACTTTCAGAAGTTCCCGTGCCTTGGGTTTTCCATCCTCGTCCATTTCCTCCTCTTCATCTTCAATCCGCTTCGCTGCCAATTTCTCGTACTCTTCCAAATTCCATTTTCGACGATGATCCGGAGCCTATAACAAAACAAAGTATGATATTAAATTAATTAACTAGGTAATTAAATAAATATTTCACTCTTAAGTAAGCTGCCCAAAAAAGTTCCCAATGATTAATTACGTTTTGTAACAAATTGTGATATTAAATTAACTGATTAAGTGGATATTTTACATTTTTGAATGCCCTAAAAAGATCCAAATGAATACTTATTAATTTATAACAATTTTGATGTTAAATTTCCTTTTCACCTTGAAAATTTTCACCTCGAAATTTTCACCTTGAAAATTTCAAGATGCAAAAAAATTGCACTCATTTCCTCAACTTTAATAGCTCAAAAATTGCTCAAAACCAACCCAAAACCACCCAATTAACTAAACCTTACCTCATTCGGAGTCGCCATTTTTACACTCCAACTAAAATTTATCTGTTTTCAAAAACCTACAAGTTTTTTTTTCAAACTTCACAAAAAACCTTGTCCCTTCACTCAAAATTTAATCTTTCTCAAACTCAATTCTCCCCTGCATTTCAAACCTTCCCACTCCACCAAAACCTCCGGGGCAAGGTGAAACCCACCTTTTCTCCTCACGCAACATCCACAGATTGCGAGGTGTCCAAGAATACCGCGTGGTCCACGCAATTTGCCTGTTTTGCAATAATTTTGCAAAATCACGCTCTTCATGAGCGGACCAGGCGTCACTTTGGATCCGCCAGCCTCGTGCCTCGTCTCATTCCTTTCGCACCGCTCGGCGTGTTCAGTCGCGTCAAGTGCAGCGTGGTCCGGCCTCGTGCTCTCGAGGATTGAGGACGATTTATTAATCCCCCCTCCCCAGAGGATGACCTCCTACTACGACGAAGTAGAGATTGAAGACTTTGAGTGGGACGAGGACTCGGAAACCTATTTCTACCCGTGCCCGTGCGGTGATCGTTTCCTGATTACGAAGGTGAGTAGATTTTTGAGTTATTGCGTCATTATTTTATGAAGGGCGAACGAAGGACAAAAGATAAGATAAGGTGTTGTCGAAGGGATGAGTGGATGGGAGGGGGAAGGTGTCAGTTCATGGGGGGAGAGGGGGAATTAGTGGGTAATTGAAAATAATGGAAAAATAGGCAGATTTGTGATTTGATATTTGATAAGGGAGGAAAACGTGCTGGGAAATAAGGGCCCCTTCATTTTTACTACGCCATATGATCCTTAATGTAGAACAAGTCCCATTTTTCATTCATTTTCTCACTCCACGCACGTCCTTTAATCTCTTTTTGAGGGTGAGTAAGTACCCTATTCACACGCATCCGACCTTAAGGGTTCATCCACCTCCACCACCACCACTCATCCCTTCAGTATCCCTTCACCTTCCTCGTCAATGATTATACTTTCATCAAACCGGCTGTTTACACTCTGAGAGCACTGATGATATTTTTGATTATGAGACAATAAAAAAGCATAAAAATTAGTACTCTTCATCATTTTTCAACCATCAACTAATCCTTGAACCCTTGACCTCTTGACCCTTTTAGGAGGAGTTAATCAATGGCGAAGATGTCGCAACGTGCCCGAGCTGCTCCCTCCTCCTCAAAGTCATTTACGACCCAGAGCAATTTGCCGCAGAGGAGGAGGAGTGCGGACGTATTAACTCCGCTTGTGCCACCTCTCTACCCCGCTGCGCCGAGGCCCAGCCCTCTTAATCGGAACGCTGTCGATAAGGTCAATTCTTACAAAAAATTCTGTCAACATGTCGGCAACAATTACGGCGTCCATGTCCCCCGACCAAGGAACACGTACGCCTTCAACGTCCACCGCTACACGGACCGGTACAACAACATGTTCGCCACGAATCCTGACTTCGTCCCGAGAATTGGAATTGATCGATTACCCGAAGAACTGGCTAATCCGACAAAGTGTATCCGGAGGGGGGCGAAAGTTAGGCCGAAGATTGTCAAAAAGTCGCTGGACGATTTACCGGACGAGGACGATGACGAAAATCAGAAAGAGGAGGACGGCGAACCACCATCGCCAAAGAAGGCGCGTCCAGCTGCGGAACAGAATCCGATGAATGAGGGGATTGACGAGGTATTAAATTAATTAAATATATAAATTTTTAAATTTTGATCTTGTTAATTAATGAATGATATCATAATTAATATCGTTTCTTCTCTCAATAGGAAGAGATGGACGATGGCGATGAAGAACTGGACCTGGGGACTGACTACGCCGCCACGTATTTCGATAATGGCGAAGATTTCCTCGACGGCGATGATGACGGGGACGACGACGGACCAATTTATTGAATCTTTCGATCGAAAAGTCGCATATTTTTTATCTACTCGGTAATAATAATCGTTAGTTTGTAACCTAGAATTAGTTACATAATTTTTTTGATAATTACAAATCACTCCTACTTTTTTTTGATAATTACAAATCACTCCTACTCCTACTTTTTTTAATACAAAAAAGAAAGCTAGTTTGTAACCTAACGTAATATTTAAAATGCATTTATAATTACAAATCTTTACTCCTGCGTCTGTCTTCGTGTTTGTTTGTTACCTTATCTCTAGCCACCTTGTCCAGAATACTTAACTTAATACATTTAGTGCAAATATTTTTGACTTGCAGACTCTAGAAAATAGTTACATAGAATGATGATGTTAACTTATCTACTAGATAATATCTAGCCACCTTGTCCAGAATACTTCTTAACATTTAGTACAACTATTTTTGACTTGCAGACTCTAGAAAATAGTTGCACAGAATGATGAAAGGTTTACTATCAAATTTTTGTCTTCGGATGATAATTGAAAAAAGAGAATAAAAGATTGAAATTCAATCATTGAATTGGAAACTTTGAGATTTTGTTTAATTACTGACTTATTAAGGGGTGAAAACCCCGTTATGGAAATGTCTTGTCTGTCTGTCCGTATCCACGATAACTTTAGAACGGATTCGAATTTCGACATCCGGTTTTCGCCAACGTGTTTCTAATTTTTGGGGACGGGATGAGTTCGAAGATGGGCGTTGTAGGTCGTAAGGTCACGGCGCCACGGGGATGACGCCAACGGTCAAACGTGTCGAATTTTTCGTTTCCACCGTTTTAGACGTATTTTTGGATGGGGATTTCAGAAATCGCCATGATTTCGACGTGCGATGACCGTGTGACCGTGTATGCGACGCCAAAGTCGAAAATTGTCGAATTTTTTGTTGCCACCGTCTTAGACGTATTTTTTGGCGGGGATTTCAGAAATCACCATCATTTCGACGTGCGACGACTCCATGACCGTGTGGGAGGTGTCGAATGTCGAAAAATGACTTTTGTCATGTGGGGTGTCTATTGAAAGGTATTGTCGTGTACGTTCGAACTACGCGGGTGGGGTGTCAAAGCAGGGCAAAATGAGACGTGGGGTAATGTGAGACAATGACGGGAAAGTGCAGAAAGACGTTGTGGGTGTGCCACAAAGACAATTCTGTGTGTTTTCACCCCTTTGCTACATTTCGTTTGCAACGGTTTATTTATTATAAATTGGCATTTAATTTGCATACATTAATTTCTTTACAACATTACACATTTTCACGTAAAAAAGTCACTCTATATGCTTCAACATCATCTCTCCGATGACGAACGAGTGAGCGAAAAGTGGATCTCATACTCAGCAGATGCAAGATGATAGCTTGGCTAAACTGACATCAAGTTTAATTAATTTCTAAATCTCCAAATTAATCTAAATAATTAAATTCGACCCCCCAGATTCGATCGGTCACTTGTCATCATCATTCAATCATGTTTGACATTCTCAACGTAAGTTTTTCGCTTTTAAATAAAATTTAGATTTTTTCTACTTCATTTATTAATTTATTTCAGATTTTTATACGTATTTTATTTTTGTAAATAGGAAGATTTCACAACGTACGAGGCTTACGAGCCATTCTTGAAAAAGTCGGTCAGCAAGGGGAAGGAGGTTCCGGGGGGGAGTGTCCTCCAAGTGCAGCACGTCGTCAACATTTCCGTCGCCAAGCAGGACGGACCCGTGCAACAGTATGACCCCGACCGACAAATCCTTAAGGTCACCTTGACCGATGGGGAAAGCACGGTTTATGCCCTTGTCGCGGAACAAGTCCCTAAGCTCGGGTGTGTTCTTTTATGCTTATCTTAATAATTTGTAAATCGTCTTATCTTGTTCCTGTTTTTTAACAGAATCAATACTCTACCCGGCACGAAAATCAAGATTGTCAACACTGTACCAACATTTGGACAAATTATAATGTTGACACGAGCCAATTCCTTAATTTTGGGGGGAAATGTGCCAAAATTGGTAGAAAAATGGAATTTTCAACGAGCCATGGACGTCAAGAAGGAATGGGGCGCGGTGGGGAAGGGGGAAGGGAATGATGGACCCCCTTTGTGGCGACCGTGTGGACAGAAATCTGTCTCCGTGGATGTCACAATGCTCAGGAAGATGAAGGTATTATTATTAACAATTTACATGTACTTTAAAAGTTCAAAGTTTACATAAAATGACGAAATGTGTAATTAATTTCTTTAGGCGATGGACATTGTTAACGAGAAGAAGGAAGTTGCCGGTGCAAAGGAAGGAAATCAAACCCAGTTTGATCAACAACGACAAGAAACCATTTCCGAACTCATGGATAAAAGTGCGAGGCAAAAGTGGCAAAAACCTAATAAGCATGTAATGCAGTAATCTTAGTTCTGTAGTATCTCTATATTTTTAATAATGGAAGCCTCCCAGCGCGTATGCATTCCCATTTTGAGCAAATTGGTGTCAATCCATTACAAATTTAGTTAGTATGAAATTTGGAAAAGACACGATATTCCAATGGGCACGTTTGACAGAGATATTTGCATCCGAAGAGGAGAAATCGTGCAGTAAATTTGGAATGTGTAAAATTTGTCGATTTTACTGTGCGTTTTCTCCTCTTCTGATGCAAACATCTCGGCCAAACGTGCCCATTGGGAAGTCGTGTTTTTCTCAAATTTCAGACTAATTAAACTTGTGATCGATTAACGATAATTTGCCCAAAATCGGATCACATACGCTCGGAGACCCGCATCATACCTGAATAACTCTCTAATGCCCGTTATTTTTCATAGCTCGTCACCAAAGAAGCCCAAGACATCATGGACGAAGGATTCACCCAAGAAGAAGCAACCAATGCTTTAGACAAGTTCAAGAATCCTCAAAAAGCTCTCCGATACTTAAAAGTAATCAATCCTCTATCAAACAAATTACATACCTATTTTCCCTTCTCATTTATCTATTTCTCTTTCAGGCCAACCGTGGCGAGTATCCCCCCGCGAGAACGGCTCCCCCAGAAGAACGAAGAGACAAGCGGCGAAAAGGCAAAGGTGGTGGCGACGATGAAGACGACGACGCTCCAATCCCCAAAGAATTCCAACGCCCCACCAGCAATATTTCCCTCTTTGGCTTCATCGCCGGCACCATGAACATTCAAGGAGGCGGAGACGCCGCTGCAGCCGCCGCCGAACCAGTTGATGACTACGACAACAATTATGGTCGTGGTCGTGGCCGTGGGAGAGGAAGAGGTGGTCGTGGCCGTGGTGGTGATGATTATCGAAGCTCCCGAGGTGACCGTCGCGGCGGCGGCAGCAGCGATTATCGAGGTGGTCGTGGAGGAAGGAGTGACAGCCAAAGACCCGCTTTTTCAAGTTATGACAATTCCCCCGCGCTCGGTGCCACTTCCTCCTCCTCTGACACTTATAGTAATCGACAAAGTTATGAATCTTCCAGCGCCCCCCGTGGTGGTGGTTATCCAAGTGGTAGCAGCAGCAGTAGCAATTCTACTTCAAGAGGAGGAGGAACATCACGAGGAGGAAACAGCGCCCGAGGTGGCGGATACTCGTCGTCAGATCGTGGCGGCGGTGGTAGATCCGGTTCATCCTACAACAATACTCGAGGAGATTACAGTGGTCAAGATCGATATTCTTCAGATTCTCAACAATTCTCATCATCTTCCTCTTCTTCCTATCGTGGTGGTGAACAACAACGCCAACAAATGCCGAGTCAAGATGCTCGAAACTACCCATCAGCCCCACCACGATTTCAGAAGAACGACTTCCCACCCGCCAGTACCGATTATAATTCGTCCTCCTACTCGGAGTCTAGTAGTGACAGACACCAATCGTCGTCACGTGGTCGTGGGGGTGGTGGTGGGGGACAATGGGGGTCCACTTCCCACAACGAGTATAGAAACTCTTCTTCCTCCTCCAACGACTGGAACCCGTCCTCGTCTATTGGCCCGATGGTATTTACGAGGGGAGGAGGACGGGGTCGAGGAGGTCAAAGTTCACGAGGGTATTATTGAGTCCTTACAAACAAATCCATTCATACTTTATATCATGGAAGAAATATCACAAATAAATAACAGTTATTCTAAACTAGTAAATACGAAACTTTGTAGTCTCACAATTTCTTTTAAGTGCAAACTTCTCATCAAATTCACTTAAATTTCATGGGTACATTACATACATTTCTCACCAATTTATGGCGTATTTCAGAAATGTATTTTCAAGGCTTCTTGGGCATTGATAAATTCTACTTATGTACAAATGAAATGTAAATAAATCCTGATAAGACTCTTTAAGCGCTATGTTCCTTTATGCAGAATTTGTCATTTTTTACGTCTTCAGAACAACATCCCAACACGACTCGCGGCCGTCCACTTGATGAATGTGGGTGTCATCGGACGTTTATTGTTGTCCTTTACCTTGCGATATATGAAGGCAAAGGTTCGCAGCAGGGTGACAAATTTATGACTGATTTACATATTTATGTGACATCAATCAGAGGTCGACGTCGACCAATTTTGTGGCGGCGGCGCCGATTTAGGCGATTTTTAGGCGGCGGCGGGGGCGCATAAAATGCATCGGCGGCGTTGAGCTCTGACATCGCTTCCATTAAGATAACAATTCACCCAAATTTTTGCACAGATATTCGTCCACGCGGATTTTGCCTCGCTGCACGAGCACGTTCCAGCTTCCGTGCTGCCCGTCTCCCTCGGAGGTCATCTCAGTGAGGAGGACGCTTATGAAAATGATTTCGTGCCCAGGATTCGTAGTCAACAAAGGTTTTACACACAAATTAGCGAGACATTCTTAATTTTTTAGGGGTAAATACTTATGCCACTGGGTAATTAATTAATTTAAGTTGTGATGATGATATTAAAGGATGATTTTTGATAGATAATTATGTATGACATTTAATAAAAAAGGGTCCTATTTAACTGATCATACATAATTTAATACTTTTTTAAATTATAATTACACTTTTTTTCAGAATATATCCTCTCATCGTAGTAAATAAAATAAAAAAGTGTTTTTAAAAAAATAAAATCCTAATTTTATAAGCGTCCCTAAGAATGGAAGTCTCCCACCTCTCATATTTTGATAACAATCAAAAATTTAATTAGTATGAAATTTCCAAAAGACACGATCTCCCAATGGTATATAGGAAAATGAAAAATTATAAAAAATCCAGGCAAAATTGGATATTTGGTGGATTTTTTAATACGACTAGTTTAGCGTAGGTAGGAGCACTTTTTAAATGGGTATGGTTTGCCTTGGATAGTAACCCTCCTTTGATTTTCCTACACTTACCAAGTCCCCAAAGATATCTAAAGGCATGAAAATCTGACTTGTAAATATCCTAGTATGTTCTCATCTCCTGAGTATCGCGAGGCAAATTGAGACAAATGTGCATGAACATCACAATGTGACATTCTCTTCTCCAGTGGCCAGTCCACGAGGCAGACTGAGACAGGGTGCATGAAAAATTGCCTGTACTTTCTACATTCTTCGCTCTCTGTTCTCACATCTCGCAGTCATCTTCTCACCTTGCCTCACGGATACGGATATGGTGATGTCGTCCGTGGTGGTAACGTTGCTCTAGTCGTGGGAGGAATAGTTGTTGTCGTCGTCGTCGTCGTCGTCGTCGTCGTCGTCGTCGTCGTAGTAGTGGTGGTGGTGGGGGACAATGGGGGTCCTCCTCCTCCCACAACCAGTACAGAAACTCTTCCTCCAACGACCCGTCTATTGGCCCGATGGTATTTACGAGGGGGGGAGGAGGTAGTGGAGGACGGGGCCGAGGAGGAGGTCAAAGTTCACGAGGGTATTATTGAGTCCTTACAAACAAATCCATTAGTATTTTATATCATGGAAGAAACATCAAAAGTAATTTATTTGAAATAAATAACAGTTATTCAAAGTTTGGTCGTGTTACAATTTTTTATGCACAGCTTCTCATCAAATTCACTTTAGAAACTTTGGATTGCATAAGAATAACGAAATTTCATATGTACACAGCTTGCTCACTAATTTCATAATTTCATGCTAGGTTTTCAAAATCTTACAAGCTCTTGAGTATTACATTTTTCGGTAATCCGTTAACGTATGTGTGATCTTCCATGAATTTTGAACATGTGTATCTGCAATACATTATCCCTGCATGATTTACCTGTCATGCACAAATTGACCTTTCTTCTCGTCACGACGAACTATTTCGTCGTCATTGTTCCAGCCTTGCATTTGTGTCGGCGCATGGAAAAATGGGGGCGAGACGCGGGCAGAGTTTTACAAAAAACGGAAATGACTTTACTCCATATAAATCGTCATGGTCAGAAAGATAACTTAATCATTCAACTATGCTATTTTTATCAGTCGGATAAGAATATTTACCTTATCATAAACGGTGAAATCAGGAAATAATACAACTATGTAAAACACGTGGTCAATTAATTGGTTTGGCAGGAAGATGACGAGCTTCTGAGGGATGAGCCTTTTTTAAATGCGTCCCAAGATTGCATTTCTGCGTGAACGTCTTCCCGCAGTGGGGGCAGGGGTGGCGGATTTTGGCATGGACCCCCTTCACATGTGTCACCATGTCACTCTTCCTCCCGAACTTCTTGCCGCAGTCGGGACACGTGAAGTCCTTCAGTTTCCAGTGAATCGTCTTCTTGTGTCTTGTCAGACCTTGTTTTTGAGTGAACGCTTTGTCGCATTCGTCGCAAATAAAGGGTTTTGGGTTGGAAGTGTGATGAAGCTTGTGCAAGTTTAAGTCACCATTACGACCGAACAGCGCCCCACATTGGTCGCAGCGGAAGGGTTTCTCCTTCGTGTGGGAGACCAGGTGCTTATGATAAGTGGCGTTATCGGGGAGTTTCTTCTGACAAAATAGGCACACTCGACCCGAACCCTGCTTCACGAGGGCGACCTTCTCGGCTTCGGAGAGGTGGACGAAACGATGCCTGGTCAGGACTTGCTTGGAGGAGAACGTTTTTCGACAAACGTTACATCTCCCGCCCAACTTTTCCTTGGTGTGGGCGACAAGATGACGATTGAGATGGGATACAAATTCGAATGGTTTGGTGCAGAAGTAGCAGCCGTATCGCCATCCCTGCCGCACCTCCGCGCGCTCCTGGCGACTCATGTGCACGAAAAGATGGTCGGTAAAGCCTTGATGAATGAAGAATACTTTATCGCAGTGGGGGCACTTCGCGTGGAAAAGTGAAGACCGTTCCAGCTCTTCGGAGTTGAGGTGGGTGTGGGCGTGGAGGCGAGCACTGGTTCTGTTGACGAATGGGCGCAGGCATATTTTGCATAGGAAGACTTTCTCCACCACGTGACGACCAGGCTTCACGCCATTTCTGGTCACTGAGGCTGATTTCTTGGCTTTTAACGACCTGCTGATTGCTGAAGGGGACTGCATGTGGTTATCGTCACGTGCTGTTGGCCGTGATTGGACGGACTGAGGAGGAAATCGTCCCTTCTCTTGAAAACGGTCCCCTTTCTCCGTTGTGGGGATGAGCGCTTTCTGTCCTCCGAGCAACGTCCGGTGTGTATCGGTGACCTCCATCCCGTCCAACGGCAACGCGTCGTTCTGCTCGGACCTTCCCCCGCTTGAATCCATCGACCCCTTTCTCTGTGCAGAAAGAATATTATTACATTAGCATTCGTAGTTAAACAATAATTTGGTATGAACATTTAGAATGGAATCTTACCAACGGCTCGTTCTCAAAAGTTTGGCGTAACTTGTGTGTTCGGGATGAAGTCGGTTCTCGAGTAAAAAAATCTTTCCCTAGTCCAATCCTACTTTTCAGACTGCTCCACAATTTCCAATAGTAGTCCAGCTTCCCTTACTTTGTGTCGTTCTGTTCTTTTTTCTCAATGTAAACTTTGTGGAAATTTAGAAATGTTTAAAACTGGTGAAATTTCTTTAGGATAAAGTGAACACTTGTTTGACGAGGAGCTTATTTGTCTTTGTCGCCCTCGGAAAGCTTCCCTTATCTGTGTATCCCACCAAACGTTAAGTCTCTGACTGAATCTTGTACGTAGTTCGTCCCAATAAAATGCAGAACAAATAATTTCTGTGTGGAGAATTAACCAAGAAAATCTAGACAGGGATGATGATGCTCATTCATAAATTATTCCATGCAAATTGCGAGAGCGATTACCGGTAAATTACACACCATCATTTACACACAATCACTTACACACCATTACTTACACACAATTATTTACACACCTAATCAGTTACACACAATTACTTACTCACCATCATTTACACACCGAGCCACTTAAGTACGTTCATATTGAAGGGGGATTCAGCTATGCTTAGGATTGGTCGAAGGAAAATGATTCCTTGTAATAATTGAATAATCATATGCATACAAAAAAGTCATATCCCATGATGAAGCTATTATTTAACACAATGCTTGAGTAATTGACAAATTTCTGCCCTACTTTAATTTTTGAATTGCTAACTGGAACTAGTGCTTCTAGATATAAGGGTGTTATCTCACTGTCTTCTGATAACGTTAGAACGCATTGACTAGTTTGAAAGAAATTCTGTACAAATACGTTTTTGGGCAACGCTTTGACCGATGTAGAAGATACATGTTTGATTTTTAAACAATTAGACAGTGGGGCTCATTTAAGTGGTAAGCAGAAGCTTTGGTGACAAATTGAAATTGAAACTCGGATTTCTTGCAAATGCGGTAAGCTTTCAGATAAATTATATGAGGTCAAATAATTGATGGGCTACCTAAGATGGTAATTTTTATCGGTGGTGGTGGTGGTCAGCGATTTCTTAACTTTAAGGTAATGATGTTTCATATGTTAGGCACATTTTCTTTAAATATATCAAAAAACTAAAAATTGGTAAAAATTTGCAATGGCTATATAGCTATGAAGTAATTTTCTCCGATTTTGACCGGATTAATTTTAAGTGGCTCGGTGTGTAAATGAGGGTGAGTAAGTAATTGTGTGTAACTGATTAGGTGTGTATATGATCAGGTGTGTAAATAATTGTGTGTAAATAATGGTGTGTAAGTGATTCTGTGTAAATGATGGTGTGTAAAATGACGGACACCGCGAGAGCTTGTCCAAGAGAGAGAAATCTGCTTGGGAGAAATCTGCGTGCCTCCACAATCTCTCAAATTTGGGTATGAAATGAATCAGAATTCCTCTCCTCTTCTGCCAGTGCTAAATTTTTAGATTTTCATTCGTATGAAAATTATGCAACAAATGAACCTCGCTTATCCCAATGCTATCTTTCGTCTGGGTTAGAATTTTGACGAACTTTCATTGAAACGGAACACGAAGGAAAGTTCAATAAGAGGAATTCTGCATACGATTTCTTAATTGTTCTCACAAAATGTGACGCGTGCGTGCAGTGGCCGCGGAAGCTTGAGGGGACAACGTCCTCACGGTTATGGATAATATTTAACTGATCATAATTTAATACTACTTTTGACCATAATTAATACTTTTTCTCCGAATACTATCTCTCACCATAATAAAGTGCTTCCTTGTGTATAATAATTACTCAATTTTACCATAAGTAAAAATACACTTTAAAATCGTTCTAAAATATGAAACTTTAAAAAACTTTACAAACTTTTCGATTTTTAGTCAATTACAAATTTCTTGGAAGTTCTTTCTGGTCTACCACGTTTGCATTTCTCTTCAATACATTTTAAGTAACGTTTCATGTATCAACTTTTTCTATCGCTTGCTTCCCACAGTGGATAGGTGTGAATGATTTTAGTAATTGGACAATTTGCAGGGGTAGTTATTCTTCGCAGATAACTTGTCCGTAGATTGTCCAAATTAATATTCGAATATTTTCAAATTCCATCTTTAAAAAATATAGTTTACGCAATATTTGTATAATCCTCGATCTGGCATGAATTCGAAAATTTTTAAATTCGAAAAGCATTTTAATATGCAAATATATTTGCATTAAAACATATGCGTGTCCGCACTAACCCCTCCACTGGCCCCACTTACCCCATTTGGTGAGGTAATGTGCACATTTGTTTTATTTATGTTAAATAATTGATAAATATTACTTCCAATTATATTTTAAAACTTTTTTTGATCATAAACTAAAGCGAAATAGTTAGTTGATAATGCATGATGTTCAAAATAAGTATTTTTGACTCAGGACCATTTTTTGTTTCACTGAAGAACGCAGATTCGGAAAAAAAGTGGCCAGACTAACCCGCACTGACCCTACTATGCTTAACAAAGATATATTTTTACTCAATACTTGTATAATCCTGGCTCTGGCATAACAAAGTGAAGAGTATTCGCCAATAACTTGGTTATGGTAGACGGAGGATTTATTATGAATAAGTCAGTATTCTAGTTATGGTCAAATTAGATTCCATTATGATGAAAGAAAGTATTTGGGAAAAAAGTATTAATTATGGTCGGAAGTAGTATTAAATTATGATCAGTTAAATAGGACCCCACGGTTATTCGATGTCCCCTTATCCTCCCTCTGTTTGTGTATCGTAATATGCATGCAAAATCTGTCTCGTTTATTCATTTGGACAGATTTATTCTCATCCTCCTCGTGAAATATGGTTTGATGTGTATTCGAAAGGAACTAATTTGCCTGATTTTCTCAAATAAACCGGAACTTTCCAACTGTACGAAAATCAGGCTGGAATTTTGGGAGCTTTATCTTTATGATGGAATGCTCACGATAAGAAAATGCACGACCATTAATTAATTATTGGGGTCTGCGATATCATAATAATATGTAAAATTGAGACTTTCTGCAGAAGTATTGAGACACCATCGTCCTTATTGATATGCAACCCGCAAAATGAGACGACCTGCGCGATTTAAGTGTGATGCACAAAGTGACCTCTCTTCTCGTCACCGTGAAATATGTCACTGTTCCAGCTTTGCATTTGTGTCGGCACATGGAAAAATGGGGGCGAGACACGAGCAGAGTTTTATATCAAACAGAATAACTTTACTTTATACAAAATCGTCATGGTCAAAAAGATAACTTAATCATTCAACCATGCTATTGTTATCAGTCGGATAAGAATAATTAACTTATCATAAACGGTGAAATCAGGAAAGAATACAAATAAATGTAAAACACGTGGTCAGTTAATTGATTTGGCAGGAAGAGGACGAGGTTCTGAGGAATGATGAGCCTTCTTTAAATGCGTCCCAAGATTGCATTTCGTCGTGTAAGTCTTCCTGCAGTGGGGGCAGGGGTGCCGGATTTTGGCATGAACACCGCTCACGTGTGTCACCATGTCCCCCTTCCTCCCGAACTTCTTGGCGCACTCGAGACACGCGAACTCCTTCATCTTCCGATGAACCGTATTTTTGTGGATTACAAGGGATTTTTCTGTAGTCAAGGCTTGGTCGCATTCGGTGCACTTGAATCGCCGCGCATCCGCGCTGTGAATGCGCTTGTGTATGGTTAAGTTATGGTTCAAACTGAACTGTTTTCCGCATTGGTCGCAGCGAAATGGTTTCTCCGTCGTGTGGGAGACTAGGTGCTTATGATAAGCACGGTTATCGGAGAATTTCTTTTGGCAAAATAAGCACACGCGACTCGGCCCCTGCTTCACGAGGGCGACCTTCTCGTCTTCGGAGAGATGGGCGAAACGATGGCTGACCAAGCTTTGTTTGGAGCAGAACGTTTTTCCACAAGTGTGACACCTTCCGCCCAACTTTTCCTTCGTGTGGGTCACAAGATGACAAGTGAGAAGAGATGGAATTTTGTACCGTTTGCTGCAGAAGTAGCAGACATGTCGCCAGCCCTGCCGGACCTCCGCGCGCTCCTCGCGACCCATGTGGACGACGAGGTGACCGGTCAAATGTGCTTTCTGTGTGAACTTCTTTTTGCAAAGGGGGCAGGCGTGGTTCTTCCGACCTTCGTGCGCAGCCACGTGGTCGGTGAAGTGATGACGACGGAAGAACACTTTTTGGCAGTGGGGGCATTTCTCGCGGAAAAGTGGGGTCTTCTCCAGCTCGTCGGAGTTGAGGTGGGTGCGTGGAGGGAAGCACTTGTTGGGTTTGCGAAGGGACGAAGGCATATTTTGCATGGGAAAATTTTCTTGACTTTTGTTGACGACGACTTGCTGTTGGACGGCACGTGGTTATCGGCACGTGGAGTTGGCTCACGTGGTTGGACGGAGTGGGGAGGAAGTCGTCCCTTCCCTTGAAAATTTTCCGTTGTGGGGACGGTCGCTTTCTGTCGTCCGAGCAATTTCCGGTGAGTATCGATGAGCTCCATCCTGTCCAAATGTAATCTGCTCGGAAGCTCCCCCGTTAGTTATCTTGTTCCGTACACACAATATCATTAGGTTAGCACCAGAAGTTGAACAATAGGTTTGGTATACAAATTAAGAATGGAATCTTACCAACGATTCCTTCTTCAAAGTTGGGCGTCACGTGTTCGGGATGCAGTCGGTTCTCGAGTAAAAAAATATTTCCCTAGTCGAACCCTGCTTTTCAGGCTGCTCCACAATTTCCAATCGTAGTCCAGCTATCTTTACTTCGCGTCGTTCTGTTTTTTCTTCTCAATGTAAACTCTGTCGAAATTCGGAAATGTGCAAAACTGGTGAAATTTCTGATGAAGAAAACAAGGGAGCTGGTTGGTCGGCTTATCTGCGTATTCCACCAAAAGTCTAGTCTCTGATTGAGTCTTGTACGCAGTCAGCCCCACCACCAAAAGCCAATAAAATGCAGAATAATTTCTGGGTGAAAAATTCAGCAAGAAAATCTAGACGATGATGCTCATTCTTTAATAATTGAATGCACATTGAGCCGATTGTCCAGCTTTGGAAGAAATCTGAGTGCCTCCACCAGTGGCCGCAGAAGCGTGGGGACAGAGGGACAATGTCCCCACGGTTGTTCGATGTCCGCATCATCAGTGCTCATCTTATGCAAACCCCTCCCTCCCCTATCCTACAATATCCTACAATATATGTCCCCACGGCTTCCGCGGCCCCTGGTCTCCACAATCTCTCTAATTTTGTTATCAATCAGAATTCCTTTTCCCCGTTCTTCTGCTATCTTTTCGCCTTCAGATTCATATCAGGATTGTGTGAAATTGAACCTATGCACGAAGGAAAGCTCAAGAAAGGGTGCATACGAGTGAGTCTGGATTTCTTAATTTTTCCCATAAAATGTGACCCATGCATATTTTATTTAATCGAAATGGGCACATTGATCAGTCATTTAATTCTTTATGCAAACTAAACTGACCACTCATGGACGAAATATGGGTGCAAAATCTCGCAAATTTGGGATATTTATTGCCATCCTTATGCATAATTCTTGATTTCTTATGTACGTATGTCAATATTTCTGGAAAAAATATGCATGCAAAATCTGTCTCGTTTACATATTTGTTCTCATCCTCCGGCTGAAGCATGGTTTTATTTCCACGTGACAACAACAACTTCTGATTTTCTCATCTAACCCGGATGTTTCTACCAGTTTGAAAATTATGATGGAATTTTAAAGTTTAATATCTTGGATGTTTTTTATAATATGTTAACTGAGACTTGCTGTACAATTATTGAGACGCGATCGTCCATTTGGATGTATGCAACCTAAGCTATGCACGATTTAAATTGCACAAAGTGACCTTACTTCTCGTCATGATGAAACATGTCGTCGTCACTGGTCCAGCCTTGCATCTGTGTCGGCGCATGGAAAAATGGGAGCAAGAAACAAGCAGAGTTTTACATAAAATTACTTTACTACTTATAAATTGTCATGGTCAAAACGGTAACAAAAATCTGGTCATATTTCCAACTTAAATAATTCAATTATGCCATTTTTATCAGCCGAACAAGAATAATTATCATGTCATAAATATGGGAAACATTACATGTCGTAGTTTCACGAGGGGTCATTTTGACCTTTACTCTGAGGAATGAACCTTCTTCAAATGCGTCCCAAGATGGCCTTTATGCGTGAACGTCTTCCCGCAGAGGGGGGAGGGGAGCCGGATTTTGGCATGAACACTCCTCAAATGCCGCACCATGTCGCTCTTCATGCCGAACTTCTTGGCGCACTCGGGACACGCAAAGTCCCTCAGCTTCCGGTGAACCGTCTTCGTGTGGCTGGTCAGATTGTGTTTACTAGTAAACGCTTTCTCACAGTCGTCGCAATTGAACCGTTTTGGGTTCGAAGAGTGCAGGCGCTTGTGCAACTTCAAGCTATAATTATGAACGAACAGATTTCCGCACTGGTCGCAGAGAAAGGGTTTCTCCTTCGTGTGGGAGACCAGGTGGGCATGATAAGCCCGGTTGTTGGGGAATTTCTTGTGGCAGAATAAGCACTCTCGACTCATTCCCTGCTTCACGAGGGCGACCTTCTCGTCCTCGCTGAGATGAGTGAAGCGATGACTGGTCAGGCCGTCTTTGGAGGAGAACGTTTTTCGACACACGTGACACCTCCCGCCCACTTTTTCCTTCGTTTGGGTCGCAAGATGACGACTGAGGTGGGATTGACTTTTAAATCGCTTGGTGCAGAAGTAGCATCCGTGTCGCCAGCCCTGCCGCACCTCCGCGCGCTCCTCGCGGCTCATGTGGACGAAGAGATGATGAGTAAAGTCACGACGAATAAAGAATGTTCTTGCGCAGTAGGGACACTTCCCATGGAAAATTGTAGACCGCTCCAGCTCTTCGGAGTTGAGGTGGGTGCGGGCGTGGAGGTAAACACTGGATCTGTTGGTGAAGGGACGAAGGCATATTTTGCATGGAAATATTTTCCCCGCGACGCGACGACCAGGCTCCACGCCCATTCTGCCAATTTGGGCTGATTTCTTGGCTTTTAATGACCTGCTGTTGGATGAAGGGGACTGCACGTGGTTATCGTCACGTGGTGTTGGCTCACGTGGTTGGTCGGAGTGAGGAGGAAGTCGTCCATTTTCTTGAAAATGGTCCCCTTTTTCCATTGTATGGACGAGCGCTTTCTGTCTTCCGTGCAACTTCCGGTTGACCTCCATCCCGTCCAATGGTAACGTCTCGTTCTGCTCAGAACTTATTCCCCCGTTAGAATCCATCGACCCCTTTCTCTGTACCGAATATTATTACGTTAGCATTCGGAGTTGAACAATATGTAGATTCGGTATGAAACTTTAGAATGGAATCTTACCAACGACGCCTTCTTGAAAGTTGGGCGTAACGTGTTCGGGATGCAGTCGTTTCTGGGGTAAAAAATTCTTCCCTAGTCCAATCCTACTGATCCACAATTTCCAGTCGCAGTCCACACTCTTAGCAAAACGGTATTGAATCAATTTGAATCATCACCACCCGGGGAGCCCACATGACTTAACCAAATTGTGATAATATTTACCCCACAATGTGTTAAATCCTCACTATCCAGTGTTACGTTTACACTTTGTGGGGAAGATTTATCACAATGTGGGGTAAATATTATCACAATTTGGTTAAGTCATGTGGGCTCCCCGGGTGGTGATGATTCAAATTGATTCAATACCGTTTTGCTAAGAGTGCAGCTTCCCTTACTTTGCGTGGTTTTGCTCTGTTTTCTCAATGTAAACTTGGTGGAAATTTGGAAATGTTTGAAACTGGTGAAGTTTCTTTAGGAGAAAGTGAGCACTTATTTGACTAGGAGCATGTTATTCTCCGTCTGCCAGCACCTGAGAGAAAGCTTGGCTTATCTGCCTATCCCAAGAAAAGTGAAGTCTCTGACTGAATCTTGTACATAGTCAGCCCCAAGGCCAATAAAATGCAGAATAATCACTGTGTGGAGAATTCAGCAAGAAAATGTACAGTGATGATGATGCTCAGTCATAAATTATTCAATGAAAATTGAGACGATTGTCATCGACCACTGACGAAATATGCGTGAGTCCATAATCTCTAAAATTTGGGTATGAATCAGAATTCCGTTCCTCCGTTCTTATCCCAGTGCTATCTTTCGCCTGGGTTAGAATTTTGAAGCACTTTCATTGAAACGGAGCACGAAAGAAAGCTCAAGAAGAAGAGGAATTCTGCATACGATTTCTTAATTTTTCTCACAATGCGATGCATGCATGCAGTGGCCGCGGAAGCTTGAGGGGACAATGTCCCCACAGTTATTCGATGTCCCCTTATCCGCCCTCTGTTTGTGTATCGTACGTGAAGAAATATGCAAAAATCTGTCTCTTTTATTTATCTGGCTGGATTTGTTACCATCGTCCTCGTGAAATATGGTTTGATTTCTATTCGAAAGGAACTAGATAGATATCCCTGGTTTTCTCAAATGAAACGGAACTTTACAACTGTACGAAAATTAGGCTGGAAATAAAGAGTTTTATTTTTCTTAATCTCACGACGAGAAATTGGACTACCATTCATCAGTTATTGAGGTCTGCGTGTCATAATAATATGCAAATTGAGACTTCCTCCAGAATTATTAGTTCACCTTCGTCCGTTTCGATAAGCAACCCGCAATATGAGATGACCTGCACGATTTAAGTGTGATACAAAATTGACCATTCTTCTCGTCACGATGAAATATGTCGTCGTCACTGGTCCAGCTTTGCATTTGTGTCGTCGCATGGAAAAATGGGAGCGAGACGTGAGCAGAGTTTTACACAAAATAGAATGGCTTTACTCCATAAAAACCGTCAAGAAGTGAACAAAACTGTGTCATGTTTACAAATTGCTACTTTGTAACCAGTCAGTCGTACGAGAATAATTGTCTCGTCACAAATGCTGACATCGGAACATATAAGAATACATAAAGCGTGGGAACCACGTGGTCATTTGATGAGATCGGAATGAAGGCGACCTTCTGAGGGATGAACCCTCTCGACATGTCTGCAAACGTATTGTTTGCTCGAGAACGTCCCCCCACAGTGGGGACAGGGGTGCCTTCTTTTGCCATGAACACCCTTCATATGTTTCACCATGTTGCTCTTCTCGCCAAACATCTTGCCGCATTGGGGGCACGCGAAGTCTTTCCGCTTCCGGTGAACCGTCTTCTTGTGACTGGTCAGATGATATTTTCGACCGAAAGCCTGGTCACACTCGTCGCATTTGAAGGCTTTTGGGTTCGAAGTGTGAATGCGCTTGTGCAATTTTAATGCACCGTTACGACCGAACAGTACCCCGCACTGGTGACAGCGGAAAGGTTTCTCCTTCGTGTGGGAGACCAGGTGAGCATGATAAGTGTGGTTATCAGGGAGTTGCTTCTGACACTCTCGACCCGTCCCCTGCTTCACGAGGGCGACCTTCTCGTTTTCGCTGAGATGACGGAAGCGATGACTGGTCAGGCCGTCTTTGGAGGAGAACGTTTTTCGACATGTGTGACACCTTCCGCCCACTTTTTCCTTCGTGTGGGCCACCACATGACGACTGAGATGGGATGGACTTTGGAATGGTTTGCTGCAGAAGTAGCAGACGTGTCGCCAGCCCTGCCGCACCTCCGCGCGCTCCTCGCGACTCAGGTGAACGAAGAGATGCGAGGTCAAATGTGCTTTCTGGGTGAACTTCTGCTTGCAAACGGGGCAGGCGTGGTTCTTCCGCCCTTCGTGCGCGTTGACGTGGTCGGTAAATTGGTGCCGTTTGAAGAAGTCTTTTTGGCAGTGGGGGCACTTCGCATGGAAAATTGTAGACCGCTTCAGCTCGTCGGAGTTGAGGTGGGTGTGGGCGTGGAGGGCAGCATTGGTCCTGTTGGTGAAGGGGCACTTGCATATTTTGCATGGAAAGATTTTCTTCACCACGTGACGACCAGGCTTCACACCATTTCTGTCAACTGAGGCTGATTTCTTGGCTTTTAATGACCTGTTGTTAGCTGAAGACGAGGGCACGTGGTTATCGTCACGTGCTGTGGGCTGTGGAAGTTGGACGGAGTGAGGAGGAAAACTTTCCACTTTCTCCACTGTGGGGTTTCTGTCGTCTGAGCAATTTCTGTTGGGTGTGGTTGGCCTCCATCCCGTTCAACGTCTCGTTCTGCTCGGAAGTCTCTTTGCCAGCAACCCTCAAACCCCTTTGCTACAATAAATATTTAATATTATTATTTGGTCAGCATCACGAGTTTAATGACAGATATTATCAAACTTAAGAATGAATCTTACCAACGGCTCGTTCTCTAAATTTTGGCGTGAAGCGTGTGTGTGCGGGATGCAGTGGGTTCCAGAGTAAAAAAATCTTCGAATTCTGCTTTTCAGGCTTTTCCACAATTTCCAATCGCAGTCCAAGACGTCGAGCCTCCCTTACTTTGCGTCGTTCTGCTCTTGTTTGTCAATGTAAACTCGGTAGAAATTTGGAAATGATTAAAAATAGTGAAATTCCTGGAGGCAGTGAGCTCTTATTTGCCAGCGAGCTTGTTGGTCTAAGAAATCCCTTCGCTTATCTGCACATCCCACCAACAGCCAAGTCTCTCGTATGGTGAGATCGACCAAAAAGCAAGCAAAATGCAGAATAATTTCTTCTCGTGAATGAATTCTTAACCAAATTTGAGAGATTGTGGAGGCACGCAGATTTCTTCCAGAGCTGGACAACAATCGTCTCAATTTGCATTGAATATCTAATTAATGATTACGTAATGAGCATCACCCACCACTGTCGGTCTTGCTTTTTTGGCACGATTTTCTTGCTTAATCCTCCACAAAGAAAGCATTCTGCATTATGTTGCTTTTTTGGTAGCTTTGACTTGGCTGACAGAGACCAACAAGCTCCCCGTCAAACAAGAGGTTACTTCTTAATTCCTCCAGAAATTTGACCAGTTTTGCACATTTTCATCGAGTTCACATCGAGAAAAAGATCTGAAACTTAAAAAAGCTGAATGTCTCTTGAAAATTGTGGAGGAGCCTGAAACGCAGGGAAAGTTCGAAGAGGATAAACTTTTTTTACTCCAAAAAGAATTGCATTCCGAACACGAGCAACTTTTAAGAAAAAGCCGTTGGTAAGATTGCATTCTAAATTTTCATACAAAATCTGTAATTCTACTCGGAATGCGGACGTAATAAAATTGTCTATGTCGATATAGATTTGCTAGCGGGAGAATTTCCGAGCAGAACGAGACCTTGCTTGCGATTGAACGGCATGGAGGTCAACAAGCTGGACCGGAAGTTGATCGGAGGACAGATAGCGCTCGTCCCCACACTGGATAAAATCGACAAAGGGGACCGTTTTCAACGGAAGGGAAGACTTCCGACTACCTCCGTCCAACCAGCACGTGACGATAACCACGTGCGCGCAAGTAACGACAGGTTGTCAAAAACCAAGAAAGTCTTCCGGTGCAGAACATGCCTTCGTCCCTTCGCCAACCCAGAGAGCTCCCGCCTCCACGCCCTCACCCACTTCAACCGCCACGAGCTGGAGCAGTCCTCCCTTTTCCAGGAGAAATGTCCCCACTGCGAAAAAGCATTCTTCCAACGTCACCACTTTACCGACCACGTGGCTGCGCACGAAGGCCGGAAGAACCACGCCTGCCCTGTGTGCAAACAGAAGTTCACCCACAAAACAAGTTTGACCCCGCATCTCTTCGTCCACCTGAGCCGGGAGGAGAGCGCGAAGGTGCGGCAGGGCTGGCGACATGTTTGCTACTTCTGCGGCAAACGATTCCAAAGTCAATCCCATCTCAGTTGTCATCTTGTCGTCCACACCAAGGAAAAGTTGGGAGGAAGGTGTCACGTATGTAGGAAAAGCTTCTCCTCCAATCAAGGCCTTACCAATCATCGGTTCCTCCATCTCAGCGAAGACGAGAAGGTCGCCCTCGTGAAGCAGGGAACGAGTCGAGTGTGCTTATTCTGTCAGAAGATATTCCCCGATAACCACACTTATCATGCCCACCTGGTGACCCACACGGAGGAGAAGCCTTTCACCTGCGACCAGTGTGGGGCGCTATTCCCTCGTAATAATAGCTTAAAAGTGCACGCGCGTACTCACAGCGCGGATCCGCGACCATTCAAGTGCTCCGAGTGTGAACAAGCTTTCCCACAAAAAGCACATGTGACCATTCACAAGAGAACGGTTCACCGGAATTTGAAGGACTTCGGGTGCCCCGAGTGCGGCAAAAAGTTCGGCAAGAAGAGTCACATGGTGGAGCACGTGGAAAATGTTCATCTCAAGAGAAGGCACCCTTGCCCCCACTGCGGGGTGACGTTCCCGAGCAAGTCCATTGCTGGCCGGCATGTCAGGAGGGTTCATCCCCAAGAGTAATGCCCCCGTCAAACAACGCATAACTGAGCGTCAGTTACTAACGACATGTTTTCCAAACATTATATTTTATATAATACATTTATGTTTTTATATTTTTCTTATTTCACTAGTTATGACGAGATATTCTGATAAAAATGGTAGCATTGAATTGTTAAGGTGTAAACATGATTTTTGTTACCGTTTTGACCATGGCGATTTTTTGTAGTAAAATCATTCTCTGCTCTGTAAAACTCTGCTCACGTCTCGCCCCCATTTTTCCACGCGCCGATATAAATGCAAGGCTGGACACGTGACGACGACATATTTCATCGTGACGAGAAGAAGGGTCACTTGGCGCATCACATGTAAATCGTACATGCTCATGTTAATGTTGCAGTTTCCGGTCACTTTGCATAAAACGTACAAAATAGAAAATTTTTTAAGTTCTTTATTACCGTTTTTTTGCAAATCTATGCACAGATATGTAACCTCTCATTAATTTCGGGCATTTTCGGGTTTCTGTAATAGAACACAATTTGGAAAAACTTTTCTTTTAACATGGTTTCTTAGTTGAGAAATTAAAAACTTTCTAAACTATGCCGTATACTTATTACGCACCAAATCGCTCAAAATTAATGGGAGATTACATATTACATACCTATATGCAAGCAGAGCAAATTTAGATTTGCAAAAAAGGTCGTTAATAAAGAACTTGCAACATTTTGCCCCGTTTTCTATTTTGGATTAGACTTTTGGAAAATTCGGTGTGCAAACTGGTTAAAACCGGTTTTGGATTTTGGACATTGTTTAAAACCACGGCAAAACCCTGCAAAACAGAAGTTAAAGGCGTGGCCAAGTTTCATGTTCCTTTAAATTAAATATGCATTCGTCCTTTAGCATGAAAAAAAATCAAAATTAATCGGAGATTACATAACATACCTGATTTTAGGAAATATTCAATAAAGAAGAACTTGCAATATATAACAGAACTTGCCCATTTTCTATTTTTGGACACTTTTGGACATTTGCGATGTCCAAAATTATGTGCCCAAAACTGGTTAAAATTCGTTTAGAACGGCTGTTTTGGACCGTGTTTAAGACCCTGCACGTAAGAAGTTAAATGATTGATGAAGCTGTACACATTTCCCATAAATTAAATATGTACTCGTCCTTTAGCATGAAAACAATTAAGAAATCCAGACTCAATTCTACATAGAATTCCATTTGCTCAGCTTTCGCTCAAATTCCATTTCGATAAAAACCCCACATGATTCTAATTCAAGAGTGCAATGGCAAAAATATGTCAGGAGGATAAGAGAAGAGGAATGGAATTCTGATTCATAACAAAATTTGACAGATTGTGGAATGGATGCAGGCATATTTCTTCCATAGTTCGACAACCGGCTTAATTTGCATGGAATAATTAATCAATGACCATCATCACCACCGTCTTATTTCTTGTGACACAATTTTCTTGCTAACTTCTCCACACACAAATTAAATATTTTGCATTGCATATTTAATCATCACCGTCCTGCTTTTTCCAGGACTTTGTAGCTTAATTTAATTCTTTGCGCCATTCCGCACTTTGCTGCCTTTTTGGTAGGACTGACTGTACGAGACTTGCTTACCTGTTGGTGGGATGCGCAGAAAAGCCAAGTTATCTCTCACTCAGAGACCAACACTCTCCCCGAGCTCACTTCTTTCAGAAATTTAATAACTTTTAAACATTTCCACACAGTTCACATTAAAAAAAAGAACAGAAGCGTAAAGAAAGCTGAACGTCGCTTGAAACTCAAACCGACTGCATCCTGTCTCACCCTCAAATTTAGAAACGAGTCGTTGGTAAGATTGCATGCTTAATTTGCATATAAAATCTAAAATTAGTCAACTACACATCTGACTTTATAATATTCTGTGCAGAGAAAGGGATCGATTGTTGCTGACCGGAGAACTTCAGGAGGCAGGATGAATAAGGGGGAGGTCAGCCATGATAACCAAGCAGAGTCACCGTCAACTAGCAGGAGGTCATCGAAGGCTAAGAAATTACGGCAAGTTGGCAGAAAGCGTGGTCGTCTCGTGGTGGGGAAAGTCTTCCCATGCAAAACATGCCGTCGCCCCTTCCCCAACGGAACCAGCGCTCACCTCCACGCCCGCACCCACCTCAACTCTGACGAGCTGGAGCGGTCCTCACTTTTCCATGAGAAATGCCCCCACTGCGAAAGAGTGTTCTTCGATCGTGGACACTTTACCAACCACGTGAACGCGCACGAAGGTCGCAAGAACTACGCCTGGCCCACCTGCAAAAAGGGGTTCACCCAGAAAGCACACATCTCTTCGTCCATCTGAGTCGCGAGGAGCGCGCGGCGGTGCGGCAGCGCTGGCGACACGGCTGCTACTTCTGCACCAAACTGTTCCAAAGTCCATCTCGTCTCGCTGGTCATCTTGTGATTCACACGAAGGAAAAAGTGAGCTGGGAGTGTCACGTGTGTCGAAAAAGTTTCTCCACCAAACAAATCCTGTCAAACCATCGGTTCACCCACCTCTCCGAAGACGAGAAGGTCGCCCTCGTGAAGCAGGGGACGAGTCGAGTCTGCCTTTTTTGCCGCAAGATAACCGCAAGATAACCGCACTTATCAGATTCACCTGGTCTCCCACACGGAGGAGAAACCTTTCCCCTGCGACCAGTGTGGGAAGCTATTCCCTCGTAGTAATAGCTTAAACTTGCACAAGCTCAGTCACACTTTGAACCCAAAACTGTTCAAATGCGAAGACTGCGACAAAGCGTTCACTATTGTAAAGAAATTATTTCCGTGGGGCGCAGAATATTCCGCTCTACTCGACTTGGTGAGCACGTGACTGAAATGAGACGGAAGTGCCGTAAACATCTGCTTGCTTTTGTTGTTATTGTCCTGTGAATTTATAAAAATATGTGCATTTTTTCAAGTCCAGCTACGGCACTTCTCTCAAAATCTCAAAATGGGCGTCATTACAGCTCAACGCGGCGGAATGTTGAATTTAAACCGTCCCATAGAAATAATTACATTACAATAGTAAACACAATCTGGGCATCCACAAGAAGACGGTTCTCCGGAAGCGGAAAGACTTCGCGTGCCCCGAGAGCGCCAAAAAGTTTGGCACGAAGGGTGCCATGGTGCGACATGTGAGCGGTGTTCATGCCAAAAGGAGACACCCCTGCCCCCATTGTGACCAGACATTCTCGAGGAAAGACTATCTTGGGAGACACTTGAAGAAGCTTCATCCCCCAGAATAGAGTCGTACATACGTCTGCCAATTAACCCCTCGTCAAAAGATGACATGTTTCCATACTTTAGATTTTTATATGCTCCCCATTTCACCATTTGTGACGAGATAATTATTCCAGATAAATATGGCGTAGTTGTAAACAGGACTTTTGTTACCGTTTTGACCATGATGATTTTTAAGCAGTAAAGTAATTCTATTTTATGTAAAACTCTGATCGCTTCTCGCCCCCATTTTTCCATGCGCCGACACAAATGCAAGGCTGGAACAGGGACAACGACGACATATTTCATCGTGACGATAAGAAAGGTCAATTTGTGCAGAACACGTAAATCGTGCAGGGCTTAGGTTTCAGGTTGCTTATCGAAAGGGACCAAGGTGGCCAGATAATTCTGCAGGAAGTCTCAATTTGCATATGATTATGATAAGTAGGCCTCAAAAAGTGATGAATTGTCGTTCGCTTCCTTATCGTGAGCATTCCATCACAAATGTAAAACTAAAAATCTAGCATAATTTGTGGGCGTTGGTCTTCCGGTGGGCGCTTGGTAGGTCAGAGGTGATTGCAGTCGGGACGGACTGGGATGAATGTTCCGGAAGGACACCACACAGTTTGGAGGCGTAAGGCCGTATGTGCGATCGGCAGCCCCACTTATGATGTGAGATACACGAAAGTTAATGTTTTATCGGAATTTAGCACTCGAAATAAGTCACCGAAATGTAATACGCGTCCCCCGAGAGTTGTAGTTTTTACAGAGCAACTGGTTATCAATTTATTTTACGTAGCCGGGGGATTTTACATTTATGTAGCAAGAAACCAAAATATATTTAGAGGTTGTGGAAACTATAGAATTATGGGGGACTTTAGGATGGCAGTGGTGGAGAGAGGAGATACGTCTTGGTAGACACCGGAACTCCGTCTGCCAGGATTCTTGGACAGAAGACAGTATATGTCCTTGTTGAAGGAGACGATGTCCTTCAGTCGATGTATGGATAATTTGGAGTGACTGGCCGGTCGAGATATCAATGTATGAATATGGAGACGAGGAAGAGATAGGAGGGGAGGATGCATATGATATGCATAGTTCCCTCAAATTCCAGAGAAATCTCGTTTTATTTCAGAAAACTATGAATTCTTTTTGTCGAATTGAAATAAAATCATGCTTCCGGAGGAGGAAGAGAAAAAATTTAGCCGCATATGGAAATATACGAGACATATTTTGCATGCATATTTCTTCCAGTAAATACATAAGGAATCAAGAATTGAGCATAAGCTGACCACAAATATATAGCAAATTTGCGACATTTTTTAAGCAAACTTCGTACCAAGTGGTAAATTTACTTGGCATAAGAAGTGTTACGTTTTGGCCGTCCAACGACGACCGGGACGACGACGACATATTTCACCGTGACGAGAAGAAAGGTCACTTTGTGCATCACACTTAAATCGTGCAGGGCTCAGGTTGCGATTTGCATATCGAAATGGACGATGCATGGTGATAAATAATTCTGCATTAGGTCTCGGTATGCATACTAATTTTGATAAGCAGACCTCAATAATTGATGAATTGTCCTTCATTTTATTATCGTGAGCATTCTATCCATCCCCACAAACTAAAATTTCACCATGATTCTCATCCAGTTGGAAAATTCCGTTGAGAAACCTAGGGCTGGGTTTATATAATTCATCACCACCGTCTCATGCCGTATTGATGTTTCTCTGACTATCTCAATTTACCCCATAGGCGCTGAGTGTAGGCGCTGTGTCCAACTGACAATGCGATGGTGTGAAGTGTAACCCTCCGATTTGGCTGAAATTTTGAAATTAGGTGGTCCAAGTCAATACAACCTACGTTTCTTCAGCCAGTTTGTGCGATGGTTGGAGTTTCTCAAAATATTTGAGGTCAAAGTTGAAAAAACGGCCGACTTTTTTCAGGCGCAGTGAGAAAACTCCACTTCCATTCTCTTCCCCTCGCATTGATTTTATTCAGGTTTCTCACTCACACATACGCCTTCATACACAAGCATAAGTAGTGATGCAAAATAACAAAAATAAAACATTATTATTACCGCTTAAATAGGAATTAACAGGCCTTATACTCGCGAAATTTAATTCATAATTGAATAAGTGAGCTTTTTACTTCTTTGTATTAAAAATTGAGACAAACATTAATTTATAAATTCATCAACGGGAAATAAACATGGAAAAACTTACTTTCCATTTCGAAAGCGTTGGTTATTCTGATTTCCAATTCATTTGAAAACAAAGACCAAGACGCATGTGCAATGAATAATTAATGTTTTTCTATCATAAATTAAATTAACATTGATGAAATTTATAATTTTTCGGAGTTAAAATCAATGCGAGGGGAAGAGAATGGAAGTGGAGTTTTCTCACTCCGCCTGAAAAAAGTTAGCCGTTTTTTCAACTTTGACCTCAAATATTTTGAGTAACTCCAACCATCGCACAAACTGGCTGAAGAAACGTTAGTTGTAATGACATGGACCACCTAATTTCAAAATTTCAGCCAAATCGGAGGGTTACACTTCACACCATCGCATTGTGAGTAGACGCTCATGTGCCTGTGCCACGAGGAGGCCCACCACATTTCAACTATGGTTCTTTCTTGATCTTCGATTTTGTCTTCTTAACTGTTTTTTTACTTTGTCATTGACAAGAGAATTAAGATAACATCAAGACTTGGAATACACTCAGTGAATCATTTGGTTTGTTCTTTGGCAGGTTTGTTTGGAATTTTCCTTTTGATAATTGGTTTGTGCACTTCGTAGTTCTTGATGGTGGAATTCTGAAAATTTCTCTGACCTGGAAGGCTGATGAATTCAATTAATCTCATACATATATTCTATTTTATAGGTTTTCTGGTATGAAAGGATCGTGATATTGTTTATTCTCCAAACATTTTCACTTGAATTGAAAAGGCTGAATCATGGGTAAATTGTTTTATTATATGTACAATTTATTATTCAACTGCAAGAAAATATTTATAGAATTTTGTTTAATAGAGTCAAGTATAAATTTGACCCAGGAGGAGAACACAGTCGCCGTGCCTATACCTATGGTACAAATAAGAAAAAAGAAAAATATGAAAAGAAATAAAAACAAGAAAATGAGGACAATGTTGTACCGAACGAACGTGACGTGCGGTGTTACGATAACCAGAAATAAATGGTTTCAAACGAATAAAATACTCAGCGTACCAGTTCCAGTTCCACTGCTACCAGAGCCTCAGAAACTTCCTCCTCCCATTCCTGAAGGAAAGATTGTCCCAGAAATAAACATGGCAACTGTCAGTCAAGACATTTGGGGGAAGAAGCGATGTCTCAAATCTGGAAATGAATATTTTCCATCCATCCCAAAAATGCTTTTTGCCTCGCCAAAATGGATCGTATGTCAATAATTAATTGTTATTTTCCATTAGTCCACTTAAATATAACACTGTTCCTTTGTATGAATTTTAGGCAGTTGAACTCAGAGATATTAAACAAGAGTTAAATCAAACAAAAAGCCTTTTGGACAATTACCCGTTGAATTCCTGGCACAAACACACGCAACTAATGAACACAGCAGGTCAAGTGATGCCAATCGTGAGGCAGGAGTTTCAACCAGAATTTTGTAGCCAAGCGTGGTATGTGCATAATAAATAATCTTGAAATTGTTATATAACCTCAGAATGTAAGAATTATACTTGGTTTCCACCACCACCACTTCCTGTAGGTGCAAAATGTACGAGTGTCTTAGCACTTTCTCTCTAATTCCTGAACATATTACTCAACCAGACGTGTCTGCCCGTCCACCACATTTTCTGTCAATACATTTATGTGAAGCGCCGGGAGCCTTCATTTCTGCAACAAATCATTTTCTATCTACTAATTACCCAACAATTCAGGTAAATTATTTCATCAAAATCATATTCATTCATGCTAATTACTTACTTATATTCAACAAATTTTGGTGGTCTAAAGTGGGATTGGCTCGCTACCACCTTAAATCCACACTACGAAGGAAATGACATTGGAACTATGATAAATGAAGACAAGTTGATCTTGAGTTCATTGAATAATTGGATTTTTCTCAAAGACACGACCGGGAACTTAATGAACAGGGCTAATTTGGACAGTTTAATTGAGCAGGTTAAACAAAAATGCCTTAGTTTGGAACACTCTGTTGATTTGGTCACTGCGGATGGAAGCATTGATTGCCAGACGAATCCCATGGAACAGGAGAGCGCTGTCGTAGAATTACAGTTCACTGAAATAATTGCTGCCCTTTCAATTTTGGGTTTCGGGGGAAGTTTTGTACTCAAAATATTCACCTTTTTAGAATGTCAAACTATTAGCCACTTGTACATTCTGTGTTCCTTATTTGAAGAAGTGAGTCATTCATTTACTTAAAAATAGTTACTTTGTTGGTAGTAAGTCAGTTAAAATATTTTTTCTGGGTCAGGTCCATCTCTTTAAACCAGCCACGAGCAAAGAAGGAAATTCAGAAGTTTATGTCATCTGTCTAAAGTACAGAGGCCGTAGAGTGTTCAGAAATCAACTGGACTTTCTAATAGAACGTGTGGGTAAGTGTTTCCGAATATATTTAGTAAACTTTTCAAAATGTCCGTATTAAATTTCTAATTAAAAAAGCACGAGTATAACTTTCATTAATTTAATTTTACCTCAGGATCGAAAACGTCCATCTTGAGCAGACGTGCCATTATTTCTAACAGCTTACCATTTTATGGCACATTCATGAGCAAAATTCTTGAAGCCGCCTCGTTCTTCACTCAACATCAAGTAATTATCTAAACGATTCTGGTTTTATTAACTAACTTATCTAAATGTTTCTCCAATTAACCTCATTCATTATTTTGGCTATTTAATTAACAGATTGCCGTTATAAAGCGAAACATCAAAACTTGGGAGGATAAAAGTGGATTATCTCTAACGTATTATCAACATGACATAATGCAGCGTCATGTGTCTTGGGAATGGATTGATCGCTATGATGTGAGATCTCTGCATCCTAAAAAGTCTTTATTTAAATTGAGATATTTCGTAAGTGACATTTCCTTTTTGTGGATTTTAAATATTAAGTTTTGTTTACTGCTACTGGTGTATGTATTTTAACATAATTGTTTTATCTAACTCACAGCCGCGACATATTACACATGTAGATCCTAGATTTGAGATTGGGTGTCATCACGATAAACTCTTGTTGCATCAATCGACAGATTTATTGGTAAAAATGGAACAAATCAAACGACAAATTGAGCATTACCAGACATTTGAAAGTATGTCATGGGATGTGTCTGAAATTTCGGTATGTCATCTATTAATCATAATCATATCAATTAGATAGAAGTTTTATTTATTCTGTTTATATTATTTACTTATTGTTCGAATCTAAAAATTTAGGGCTCATTTTCCCAACTCTCCCCTCTCGTGGGTCGCCCATACAAAAATATATTGAGCTCTCGTTTCTGTTTTGGAAAAATCCTACAAATGCGAAGCGATTTGAGAGCAGCTATAGAACCCGTGTGGTCCTTAAAGCATTGTAAAATTTGGGTGGCTGGGCGCAAACAGTGTGATACCACTGATACTTGTATTACCTGTAATCCTGAAAGTATTCGGTACCACTTTTCACGAGTGTTAACAGACTTGCCGGTAAGTATCGTGTTTTAAGGGCATATATTTAATTGACCTTTTAGTCAATAACATAATATTTATTTGGTTTCATTAGCAAGAAGACTGGGAATTTAGTTTCCTCTGCTGTGCAGAGTCAGTGAGTGACATCTTGAATTACTCTGATGCCCAGAGAACTCGAAAAGCACTGCGAAAAATGCTGCTGAAAATTTCAAAACTTGAAATTAACCAGTCCTTGTTCCTCTGCACATTTCCACTCTTGTCAAGAATTCAACTCGGGTTTATGTATGCTCTAAATGCAATTTTTAATATGGTAAAAAGACTGTGTAATCAAATATTTTTAATGGCAACAAAATTAGTCTTATATTAATACACAAACACAGGTTGTACTCGGTTCTGGAGGGAATATGTACGGTAAGGAGTACCCTCAAGGAATTCTCCTCCACCGATATAAAGGCATAAACTCCATCAAAGATCGGAATATGATACTGGAACTAGTCCGTATTGTCAATGAGATGGATAAAAGTGATGCAAATAGGCGTGGTGAAGCCATACTGGAAGTCGTACCAGCTAAGAACCTGATTGGTAAGTAATAAACCGGAGTTTTAAAACATTCATGGTTAAAATGGATGGATAGTTTTATCATTAATCCATTTTCTTATTGCAGAACTAGCCAACTTTAACGATATCTTGACCTACAATTTAGTCAACACGGCAAATGAATTGTCCCAAATTATAACGGAAACTAAGGACGTCATGATGCAGCCGAAATCTGATGAACCAAATTCACTTACATCTACATCTATCTTGCAACCCTGATTAACTCACTTTAATTTACGCTGTTATTTAAATATTACTTGTTATTAATTTTAACTATCATAACTACACAAATCCAGACAAACCGAGTGATTCGTGTCATTCTTTGTAACTTTGAGACTGGTTCACAAAGATTGATATCGATATCAATCGATTAGTAAAACTTTTAAATCACCTTCATAGAACGGGTAGTTAAATTCAGAATTATAATGTGTTCACACATAATTATTATACTAGAAAATATTGAGATGTTTGCTGCTAATAAAGGAACTTTTTAATATAATAAAAATACTCGATTTACTGTTATCGTTCGTTATCTCAAAAGCCAGGCAGCATAGAGTTTTGCTCTGAGGGATCACCAACTCCCAAAATGACGTTGGCCTCAGCGCCTAGCACCTCAGGACTTTGGAATGGAGTGCTGCAGAAGTAGCAGCCATGTCGCCCGTCCTGCCGCACCTCCGCGCGCTCCTCCCCGCTCAGGTGGACGAAGAGATGACGTGTCAAATTTCCTTGCTGGGTGAACTTCTGCTTGCAGGTGGGGCAGCCGAAGTTCTTGCGACCTTCGTGCACATTCACGTGGTCGATAAATTGCTGACGGAGAAAGAACACTTTTTGGCAGTGGGGACATTTCTCATGGAAAAGTGAGGACCGCTCCAGCTCGTCGCGGTTGAGGTGGGTGCGGACGTGGAGGCGAACACAGGTTCTGTTGGTGAAGGCACGAAGCCAGGTTTTGCATCGGAAGATTTCCCCACGACGCGACGACCACGTTCATTCCCTTTTCGGGCTAACTCTTTGGCTTTTGATGATCTGTTGTTGGGTGAAGAGGAGGACACGTGGTCATCGTCACGTGCTGTTGGACATGGTTGCATGGAATGAGTCTGTCGATCAAGAAGTCGTCCGTTCACTTGAAAACTTTCCCCTTTGTCGACTTTCTCCGTTGTGACGACGAGAGCTTTCTGTCCTTCGAGCAACTTCTGGGTGACCTCCATCCCGTCCAGCGTCTCGTACTGTTCGGAACTTCCTCCACTAGAATCCATCGACCCCTTTCTCTTCACAGAATATTAGTACGTCAGCACCAGGAGTGGAATAATAGCTTTGGTATGAAAATTTAGAATGGAATTTTACCAACGACTCCTCCTTAAAAGTTGGGTGTAACGTGTGAGTTCGGGATGCAGAGTAAAAAAATTTTTCCCTACTCAAATCGCAATTTCCAATCGCAGTGTCCAACTTCCCTTATCTTGCGCCGTTCTTCTCAATGTGTGAATCTTTGGTGGAAATTTGGAAATGTGCAAAACTGGTGAAATTTCTGAAGGAAGTGAGCTCTTGTTAGTCTCCCTCGGAGATAAGCTTCGCTTATCTGCGTGTCCCACCAAAAGTCAATTCTTTTACTGAATAGTCCACCAAAAAGCCAACAAAATATGGAATAATTTATGCGCGGAGAATTAATAAGCAAGAAAACCTAGACAGTGATGATGATGCTCATTCATTAATTATTCCATGCAAATTGGGACGCTTGAAATTGGGACGCAAGAAATCTGCGTGCCTCCACAATCTCTCAAATTTGATTATGAATATGAATTCCTTTCCTTTCCTCTTATCATAGTGATATCCTTCGCCTGTGTCAGAACTTTCATTGAAACGGGGAACGAAAAGCTCAAGAAAAGGAATTCTACATACGATTAAGTCCGGATTTCTTAATTTTTCTCGCAAAATGTGATGTGACGCGTGCATGCAGGGGCCGCGAAAGCTTGAGGGAACGGAACCACAATGTTAATGTCCCCACTACATGAATGTTTACTTTAATGGAAATGAGCACATTTTTATTCAATCATTAAATTACTTGTTCAATGTTAACTGACCACTCCGGCACGAAATGTGTATGCAGAATCTCCTACCTTTAGGAAGAGCTCGCGGAAGCTGTGGGGACATTTACATTTTCCGATAGGTAAGGGAGACGTTTGTATAAGATGGGGACATGATGCGGACAGCGAACAACCGTGGGGACATTGTCCTCAAGCTTCCTCCGCGGCCACTGACTGGCACAAGGAAGGAGGAAAGGAATTCTGATTCATAACCGAATTTGAGAGATTGTAGATGCACGCAGATTTCGTTCTAAAGGTGGACGAAAATCGGCTCAATTTGCATTGAATAATTAATCAATGATCAATCACCGTCTAATTGCTCATGCCATGATTTTCTTGCTTCATTCTCCATGCAGAAATTATTCTGCATTTTGTTGCCTTTTTGGTACGAGATTAATTCAGAGATTTGACTCTTATGCAGATAAGTCTAACCTTATCTCATTTTCAGTCCGAGGGAGACAGACGAACAAGTTCCGTCAAACAAGAGCTCTCACTACTTCCAGAAATCTCCTAAAATTTTGAACATTACCACCCAATTCACATCGAGAAAAAGGGAGCAGAACGACGAAAGTTGGACGAGCTGAGGGTCCCTTGAAATTTGTGAATCAGTTAAAAACGCAGGGGACGATTTTTTACTCTCGAACACACCCCACCCCTCACTCCAAAATTTAAGAACGAGCCATTAGTAAGATTACATTCCTAATTTTCAAATCAAATCAACTTCATATGCTGCAATTCTGTAATCCGTAAAAGGGATCGATTTTTGCTGTAGGGGTCATTTCCGAGCAGAACGTGCCGTTGGGTGGGATGGAGGTCAACCAGGCGCAGCAGAAGTTGCCCGGACGACAGAAAGCGACCGTCCCCACAACGGAGAAAGGGGACGAAGGGGAAAATTCTCAAGAGAACGGACGACTTCCACCTCACTCCGTCCAACCACGTGACGCCCGATAAAGAATGATATTTGGGCCACGGCATGGCATGTGTCTGGGAAGTGGGAACTCTGGGAAAACTTGGAAAAAATTTGATGTGGGAAGTATACGTCGGCCCACCCTTGGCACAAAGGTGGTATGCCGAATGTCCACTGTGGACCACGATTGGCCCGTAGTTGAAATCCCAAGTTTGGTTTTATTATGCATACACACATACGGGCCATACAAAATATTTACCAAATTTCCCGAAAATGAAATTGTAAATGCGGCCCAGAAATGGGACGTAGTAGATTTGCCCCAAGTCTGGCACAGTCCGGGAAATCATGCTTTGGCCCAGATGATCCAAACCATCGTTGGCCCACGTTCCTCTGGCTACTTGCTGGCCCCAATCATTTTGGTGGGACTTTGATTAACAAATTAGTGTTAGTTTTTTCACGTTGTCGTCGGGCAGCAAGATGTCTTCACCACACTTTTCGTCGAAGTTTTCAGTCGTAGAGTTTTTGGAGGAAAAATCTTTCGCTGCTGTCCTCTCAACTTGGTTATCTGAAGATGACGACAAGCAAATGTGCTCTTGGCCGAAGGGAGTCAAGCTTTTGGAATTGATCCAGGACTCAGACAGCAAGCCCAAGTCAACTTGGAAAAAGTTGGAAGTGAAGATTTTTCGATCCTTTGGAAGTGGTAAGTAAATCATTTTTACCAGTAATTACATACATTGTAATATGAGAAGACATTATTCTATTTGTCCATATTTATAGATGACTACAAGAGAGCTAATTTGAATGTGGACGAAGCAAGGGTTTTGAGTTCTGGCGAAACTCAATCAAGCTCCTATGACTCGGAAAATTTGAATTCCAGGAGAAATAAAATTCATTCGAAGAATCCAGTTGAAACCAATAATTTGCCCTTTAAAGCACCAATATTGGGTAAGAACTCAACCGGTAAATTTTTCAGTATGTTATTGTTTTTAATAATTAAGTATATTTTCCCAGCATTCAATTTATTATCTGGCGAAGCGACTCCATCCTCGTCATCGAGCTCAGCTCTTACTCCTATTACAAATTCGACAATAGAAGTGGATCCCTCTGCCCATGGTTCTATCTCAGAAGTTACTCCGTTTGTTATTCAGACAGTTCCATCGGAGTCTGATAACAGTAATGCACATTAGTAATTTGCAATTAATTTACAAGTTCTAATCACTACTTTTAGTTTTCAGAGAAAGAGTGTTGCATTATTTGGAGGGTTTGAAGACTGAAGTAAATCTCTTCATCAAAGTTGGCACCCTTCTTGCTGCCAAAAATATTGAGGACGAAGCCCCTTCCTTTGCATTCCCACTTTTAACTGATGAAGATGTGGATCAGTTCGAGCAGTGGTTGGGCGATCCGAAGTGAGGAAAAATATTGGTAAAAATTATACGAGACTCACCATTACAATTGTCATATACGAAATTAAAGTTATAATCAATATTTCAATAGCTGGTCGACTTGGTGAAAATCGGAGGCCTTGATGTGAATGAAACTACAGTTAGGATTTTGAGTCATGTGTTCAGTCATTCAATAGCCCTTAAAATGTCAAAAACTGGAAAGGGGGATGGGAATAAGTTTAGTTTTATGAGGTGGAAATGTTCCTCCATCATCATTGGTAGGTAAATTTTATGGAGATCTTATAAATTATAATTAATTATTCACTCTTCAGTATGTATGTATGACTTTGCTGTAATTTAGTATTTAGTTAAAAATAATACTAATTATGTATATTTGAAATTAACGAGGTGCAATAAAAATAAGTAAGTATAAAAGTATGGTACATATTCGGCATACCTGTGGGAAATTTATGGCTTAAGTATGGCACCTTAGTAGTAGATAGAAGTGGCCCATATTCGGGGTAACCACGAAAATGACTATGCGCCCCAGACTTGGGCCAGGTCTGTGCCTGATTCATATGATCTCGGGGAAAAGTATGGCCCAGCTTTTCCCCAACTAAGGGTCAGATAAGGCTATCAACTCCGGAGCATTATGTTTCCCTGATGTCAACTCGGTACATAGGCCATACTTGCGGGCTACTGTGCCCCAGACATGGCCCACAAATAAATTCTTTATCGGGCGATAACCACGTGCCCTCACCCTCTGCTAACAGCAGGTCATCAAAAATTAAGAAATACAGGCAAATTGTCATTGAGAAAATCTTCCCATGCAAAATCTGCCTTTATCCCTTCACCAACAGAACCAGTGCTGACCTCCACGCTGCACCCACCTCAACTCCCACGAGCTGGAGCGGCGGTCCTCACTTTTTCATGAAAAATGTCCCCACTGCGAAAAAGCGTTCTTCCTTCGTCTTCACTTTACCGACCACGTGAATGCGCATGAAGGCCCGAAGAACCACGCCTGTCCCGTGTGCAAACGGAAGTTCACCCAGAAAGCAAGTTTGACCCGTCATCGCTTCGTCCACCTGAGCGGGGAGGAGCGCGCGGAGGTGCGGCAGCGATGGCGACACGGCTCCTACTTCTGCAGCACTCCATTCCAAAGTCCGTTCCAGCTCAATCGTCATCTTGTGACCCACACCCAGGAAAAGGAGGGCGGAAGGTGTCACGTGTGTCGAAAATCGTTCTCCTCCGAACGAACCCTGAAGAATCATCGGTTCGCCCACCTCTCCGAAGACGAGAAGGCCGCCCTCGTGAAGCAGGGTTCGGGTCGAGTGTGCCTCTTCTGCCAGAAGAAATTCCCCGATAACCGCACTTATCATTCCCACCTGGTCTCCCACACGAAGGAGAAACCGTTCCCCTGCGACCAGTGCGGGGCGCTGTTCCCTCGTAATGCTGCCTTAAACATGCACAAGCGGGTTCACACCTCCAAACCAAAATCCTTCAAGTTCGACGACCAAGCTTTCGGTCAAAAACATCATCTGACCAGTCACAAGAAGACGATGCACCGAAAGTTGAAGGACATCGCGTGCCCCGAGTGCGGCAAGAAGTTCGGGAGGAAGGGTCACATGGTGCAGCATGTGAACGGTGTTCATGCCAAAATCCGGCACCCCTGCCCCCATTGTGACCAGACGTTCACGCAGAAAGGCAACCTTGGGAGGCATTTGAAAAAGGTTCATCCCCCAGACTAAAGTCTTTCTCCTGCTAAACAGCGTCTCATCAAGAGACCACGTGTCGTCCATACGTTATGTTTTTAAATGTTCCTGATTTGACCATTTATGACAAGTTTATTATCCTCATCCGATTCATAAAAATGGTGTAATTGAATTATTATGTCGTTAACATGACTCTATTTTTGTTACGTTTTTCACCATGCCGATTTTTATGGAGTAAAGTCATTCTATTTAATATGAAACTGTGCTCGCGTCGCGCTCCCATTTTTCCATGCGCCGACCCGACATAAATGCAAGGCTGGACCAGTGACAGATTTCGTCGTGACGAGAAGTAAGGCCAACTTGTGCACATACCTGTTCAAAAATTTAATTTTCATTCAAAATTCAGTCATCCCAATATCTGAGTGAAGATTTTCATTCGTTCACATTCAGTCATTTTCGTTCAAATTCATCCCCATTGACCAAAGTGGTTACTGAACACGTATTTTATTCGTCCGTAATGGACGAAGGGACGAGTTGAAGTTCGTGTTTAGAACAAGTTACAGACGAGCTGGTACGGGGTGAACGGGCGCCGGTAAACGTGCCAGGCTCGTCCTTATCTGGTCCGTTAATACCAAAACGGAACCAATTGAGAACGTACCTGGAACCGGGCTGAATTCGTCCTAATCACGCTCTCATGCGGTGCAAATATACGAAAATAGTACGAGTATATAACCACCAAGAACTATTTTTGACTCAATTTATTTATATTTACATTCATAGCGTAACTACAAATTAAAATACAACTGGAAATTGATTTATGACGAAACGTGCTCTGCAATTCCAGGCTGCATCTAGATATAAATATGTTTCGTATTAAATAGTATTCTTAAATATTCTTAATCTACTAAATATATGAAGGGTGTGTACATACCTTTTTCTTTTTGGCTTCAATCCTGGCAGGAGCTTTCTTTAGCCAATTCTGGATGCTTTCGTCGATGTCTTTATGCGTAGCTGACGACATTAGTGGATTTGTCCGGACCGCAGTTAAAGTTTAAAATGCTCGAAATAATCAAATTCTGCGCTACCATAAAGCAAGGACGAAAGGTTTAAATTATGAGCCTTACAATAAACACAGCTTTTGATTTTTTCACGATCTTTAAATGATTTTTTTCCGCGTTGACCCGCAAAACTAAGTGTGGCTGCAAAGTCGTCCGTCATCAAAAACGTAAGCACACGGTAAATAGCATCTGTGCCTGTGCTGCCTGAACCTGACAAACTCATTATCTAGAAATAAGAATACATGAATTTTGATAAACAGAACTAAAAAGATTGGGGCGAAATTAGAACATGATGCTAACCAAAGCTTGTCGAATTTTAGGATCAGCTATTTTTCTTTCCAGTTCGTCATACTCCGGCAAGTTGTTTAATGGAATAACCTTTTCGTCGCCATCAAGGTCTTCGATAATTGTCCTATTTTGATTGCGCAAAGCCAGATGGAAAGTTTCGCGAAGCTCGTTAATGCTGGCTTGAATATAATCCAGCTTACGAATTATAATATCTGTACAAAAAAATTAGATACAGTATAAAATTTAACTTGTTACTCTAGAAGGAAGCGAGCTACATACCATCAGTTCTTGTAGGTACAATTGTTCCATTAAATGACCCTTGACCAATATCCTGGCTTCGTTCCTGGGACAAAGAACTCGTCGGGCCTCGTCCTTTGAAAAATCGTTATTTTAATCATATTAATTCATGGAAACCTTTATGCCAACAGTTATACCTGAAAATGTCATCGGCGTCGTAACTTCCGTTCTTGGGGTTTGACAAAAATTTTGCTCACTCTCGGACAAACACTCTTCTCGCTGGTGAAATTGACTAAATCCTATTCCACCGCTTCCGCCTAAATAAATACCAAGTTAATTAAGATAAAATTTCATGAAAAAAGAAAGTATATACTACTTTTACTGGGTAATGGAGAGGAATTAGTGTTACTAGGCTCGTCTCTCGAAGTTGTTGACAAAGTTTCATCCGGCTGCACCTTAAATATATTTCGTTATTTAATAAGTTTCATTTCAAGGGATGGTGGATAATTTACCAAGACCAACGTTGGCATCTGGAATTTTGATGAGTCTGAACGATTTATCTGAAAAAACAAAAACATTTGTAGTTATGGCGAGAAGGACGATTTTGAAGTAATCAAGTTAGAATGAAACGGTAAATTATTTTTACGAATGAGTGTCACAAACCTCGGTCACTTTAGATTTTTTTGTTTTTACATGTAGCAAGCTCTTCGTTAACGGACTATCATTCTCGTCATCGCCACTTGAATCTGCGTTAAAAAGTTTTCTGTTGACGGTCTTACGTCGTCGACCTCTTCCCAGTTCTGCGCCAGTACTAATCCCTCCTTCTTGCGCAAGACGCGGAAGATTTAGGCGAGCATCTTCGTATTTTCCTAAACAGTATATAAATAAAGTTTTAGCGATACACCCATGAAATTTATGTTGTATCTAATGTAAAAATACTACATACCGTATCGTTTAACTATTTCAACCTCATAAATTTTCCAAGTTTTGGCGTCTGGTGATTCACCATTTCGGACCGATTTTTCCAGCTTCCGTGATTCAGTTTTTGAATAATTCGGCCAATATGTGTATTGCAGACCATCAATTTCTACCAACCAGTTTGAATTGATGATGTCGATTTCTTGCTTTGAAATGAAGTCGGCAACGATAAAGCTGACAGCGCTGGAATCCGTATCCATGATGGCGCAATTATTAGCACACGAATTTAAAGACGGCAAAATAATTCTTGTAAGGAAATCCGATGCACTTTATAACAATTTCACCGGACGTACGGACTCGAAACACTTATGCTGCCTCAATATTTTAAATAGTTCCGAAGTAGCGTTCCTAGTAATTCTGTTTTTGATTACCCACTTGGCCAGTTTCTCTTTCGTCTCACTACGGGAATCTAAACTTTCATAAAAACTGTCAACACTTGGATTAGGTAAAATTTCGTCTATATCTTCAACTGTCCGGCTGAAACTTGCCCGTCTCATATTTGATGGTTTGGAGTCCAATAAATTTGTTTGAATTACTTGCGATGGAACTAATTCGCAAATGGAAGGTTTACTGACTGAGGAGTTTAGTAACACACGCGAATTTTCAAAATTTTTAGTAGCAGGTCTAGCAATTTTTTTCGTCGAATTTCTGTACATGTTCTCTATTCAACCACTAGCTGCAGAGTGGAGTTAAAACTGGACGAAAAAACATCCATGCTGCCAAACATTTAAGTGTGGCGCACTAATTTCATTATTTGTTCTGACTTCGTCCCTCGGCCGTCTTTAACTCGTCTAAATTCAAACATGAAAATAACTATACAACCCCATCTCGAGGTGATATGTTTGCGACCACCTCCATACATCCTAAGATCGAGCCCCTGGTACCGGGCGAAGCTCGTATCATTCGTACAAACTAAACACGTCTTTTACCGGTGCCCTTGGTCCTGGACGAATCCAGCACAAATGGGACCAATTAAAAACGTGATGAGAACCAACTGGTCAATTGGGATTTAACTTCACTTCATCTGACTTCATTTCTTACTTCGTCCCATGTATTAAGCATAGGGTGAAAAATGAAATGAGTGAGCAATCCTTTCGTTCACAGTTATTCATCTGAAATAACGAAATTATTTTCACTCAAATCACAGGAAACTCATTTTCATTCACTATCATAATTACGAAAGTTAACAGGTATGATCATAAGGTGACTGACAACGGATGCAGTAAATTTGCGACATTCTGCACCCATATTTCGTACACGAGTGGTCAATTTATTTATGGCGCATAAGCCGTGTTTCGTTTTGCACGTCCAATCCTACTTTTAGACTCCACTTGGCACTGTACAAAAGCGTGCAAAACTATGCAAAACGTCAAAAACCGCTCAACACTGAAAAATGGGGTAAAATTTTATGTATGTATAAGTTCTTTGCTAAAGTTTTTTTGTAAGTCTACCTATGCAAAGATATGCAAATCGCCCATTAATTTTGAGCATGTGTCTGTAATACCAAGAAATTTGAAACAACTTTTCTTTTAACATGTTTCCTGACTTGAGAAATTAATAAATTTTCTAAACCATGTCATAATTACGGGCCAAAATACTCAAAATTAATGGGAGATTTCATAAATATACGTCAACAGATTATTGAAAGATTAAATAATGAAGAATTTGTTACATTATCCAATGTTGGACGCTTTCAAACATTTTTTGACATCCAAAATTTTGGACGCTTTTGAACCTCCAAAACACATTTTGTACCTGATTCACATTGATTCCATGATCTTTACGTGTTTATTTATACAGAAAATAACTCTTCAAAGAAGGGTACCTGGTTTCGATGGTCCCCTGGGCCACGCCCCCTTGATTTTAATTATAATTCCTGGGCCACTGGTAAAATTCGCAATTTTGGGGAACTTTGGCATGCATAGTAACTTGTAACTTGGGGAAATAATTTTAAATATCAAAAAAAATATTTATTCTCTGCTCTTCTCATATACGTTGAAAAATTTTCCATTGTGGCGTGACATTTTAACCACCCTGTATATGAATATATGTGCAACGAACAGGTTACATTGTAATGACGAATGGAGAATTTAACGAAGGTGACAATATTGAAAAAGATTACAGAGAGGAAGGAATGCATATAACTATGAATTTTAAACTGGCACTCAACACTTACACATGAAATGCACAACATTATTATAAAAAATTATAAAACTGGTAACTTTAACACTCCACACAGAATTTAAATAAAAATGCACATTATTATTCATCGTCGTCCTCCTCCCCCGCAATGTCCACGGCAGCGTCGAGGAAGGAATAGGCTCGATGGTTCCTCAGGGTACTTGGTGGTTGGTGGCGATCATATCCGCAATACTTCAACACCTGTTAATTAATTAACAAAAATGCATGTTAAACGGAATAATTACTGTGACCATGCAATTAATTTAATAGTATTAAAACTTACACTACAAACATGCGAACAACATCCCAATGTCCTGGATCCCGTTTTACATGTGCAGTAGTAGATCGTAGTAGTAGAGTCGATCGCTTTGTGTCCATGTTCTCCGATATCAACCTGAATCCAAACCTGATGGGTCGCTCGTCGATTGAATCGGCTTTGCAGCTTTACACGAAATAGGGAGGAGTTTTCTTTGTGAATGAAAAGACGATATTCACCTTCTTCTTGGAGATGCTGATTTGTATAGCTGTCAGCCATTCGGATCTGGAAGGTCCCAAGTGTTATCTTCTTAAGATCATCAATAGACAAAATTGGAAAGTTCGCCAAATCAGCTTCAGTTGGTGCAGTCCAAATAATTTGTTTTCTGAGCAGGCCGTTGTCCTTGATCAGCATCTCTAACGTGTTGGCTCGATCCATGTCACCAATTACTTCATTGATTATGTAGTCTTCATTTTCTGGGGACTTTCTAAACCTAGTCCCGTATTTGTTGTGGATGGCACAAGCAATTCGAAAAAACATTGCCATTTTTGGCAGGTAGGTGGCTTGAATAATGGAGTCGAAGAACCGGAAGCGAAGCTTAATTTGACCATTGACTACCTCCACGATTAACCGGAGCATTGTCACTTTTCTTGACTGGTTCGCTTCGTCTGCTGAGAATTGAGTCTTCCCTTTAAGTAATTCCGGCATGTACACCTTGAAGCCGAGAGCCCTCAATTTCTCCACAAAGTCTCGAAATCCTCTGTCAAGGATAAATACGTCGCCCGGCTGAAGAAGAATGAGAAGTGTACCCGCCCCTGCACGATTAACGATCTTCTCTAAAATATTTGCGTCGTTATTTTTGAAATCTGAAAACCAGGGTCCATCGGCGTCCAAAATATATCCATCAGCAAAGACAATAAGCATGGGCTTGACTAAATTCCTGAACTTGTGGAGTGAGAATGTCTTCCTCTGGACTTCAAAATTCGATGGCTTTTGTATATTCAAATAGGTTGCATCACAGGTAACGTGCAAGGATTTCGGTGGAGTGTCCAGAATACGATGGTAAAACTCGGAATCGTGACTTTCTGCCATTTCTCTGTTTAGATGCATTTCACCGCATCCAAGATTGTATGGAACAAACTCGCGATCCAAGACTTCGGCGACACGGGTAATTGTTTCACTTACTCGCTGCTGCCCATCGATTCCAAACAGTAGTGCCAAAACCTTCTGTGGTAAATCGAGACGCATCTTCAGCAGAAACAATGCCAGTGCATTCTCAACGCTTCTGTTGCTGCTGGAATGGATGTGATGTCGACATATTTCTAATAATTCCAAAAATTGGTCACGAGTTACACCAAGAAGTAGATGGTAATCTTCTGGTTTGATGTGAGAATTTTTCCCAAAATCCAGGATGGTGACCTTGTTATCAATGTGCTTGAGGAGTTGAGCTATCCATTTTGTTATATCTGGACCAGATAATTCAAAACTTTGCTTGTCTGCAGTTATTTGAATGAGCGCTTCATTTGTGAATTGGTTATTCTCGAGATGAGATGCACAAGTCCTATTTTTGGGAGGGATGTAAATATAGTGACGTTGTAGTACTTGAAGAATGGCTGAATCTGGCACACGTTTCCTTCCAGTAACTGACTTGCAAATGAAGCATCTCCGTTCACTTTTTGACACGGTTGGGATATCAATTTTGGCATGATTGCTGAGTAGGGATATCTGCAGTATAATTAGTCAAAATCATTACTGATCTTTAATAATCGAGCTTAAGTAAAATAGTGTATTACAAACCGATTGGGTAGATGAAAAGCTGATGGACAGGGAGGTCTGACTATTGACTGTTAAACTGGAGTCCAAAGAGGATTGAGATGTCGACGCCACGCTGCTTCGCTCCTGCGATTCCTCAACCGTGCTGCAGGTATCGGCTACGCATAAATCAGAGACGGTTGGAACAGCTAATCGTGAAGATTTGGATAGTGCAGTTCGATAATCCTGAAAACCGTTCCTTTCGTAATCAAAGCGCAGTCTTGCGTGGCAGGATTTGCAAATAAGGTCGGTGGGGGTAAAACTTTTCCCAGTGTGACCAAGCTTCATCGTCACGATGTCCCACAGCAATTTCTCGTTGGGACCAACTCCCCCAATCGCTCTGCTCCATTGGTTCGAAGAAATCCGTCTCTCACAACAGCTACATTTTCCATGTCCACTGCGGTGCACTTCATGGGCCTAAAATTAAAAAATAAGTAGATACTTATATAAATAATTATAAAATCTAGTGCTTCTCACAGTGACATCAATGTGTGGACTTCGACGTCTACGTGTAATCGTGGCGCTCTTGACATGGGAAAGGTCCACTCGCCTTTTTCTCCCATTTAAAGTTCGCAGTCTTCGATTTTTCCCCATTGGTCCAGACTCGTGAAGGCCGTGCCACGGTGGACGTTCTAAAAACAAACATTATGATCACGACTGGCGAATATAATTTGCATCGCGTTTACCTCTTGTTAAGTTGACAGTGACCAACTCCGCGACAGTGCTGGTAAACAAGTTTTCCGGTGGTCGTTGTTGCTGGTTTACGCTGCGCGGTGGCGTCGACACGGGCGAAAGGTTCTCCGACAAGAATTTGTTGAGAAGAGAGTTGAGTTAATAAGCTGGGACTCAAGAATGACGAAATCTTGTCGCAACGGAATTTGCGAATGTCCAAGCAGATGTAAATATATATGTAAACATTGGTTGAAAACCATCCGCTTTTGTTTGTTATTTTGTTTTTTGGTCATTTAATCACTGATGACAACAAAAATATGCCTTATTTTAAGAATTTGTGCACCGATTTTTACACAAACCCAAAGTTACCCAACTCCAGTCGACTTTGTGGCAAATCGGTGACAGGGATCATCTTTATTTTTTCATACCAAATACTCGGATAGTTGATTTATGCAGCAAAATTAACATCATCGAAATGAGATCATGCAAAAGCTTGTTTTTTTAAAGTGATCATTTAACCCCCAATTTCGACCCAAAAATGGGCGAAATCGTGCTCATGCGAATGCCAATTGGAAAAATATGGTGATAGGGATCAGGCTATTTTTTTCGTGATCTCAACATGGATAGTTGTACTATGCAATGGTGCAAAAATTGGGGTTCTAGCGGTTTGCAAACGCTTGCAATCGCTTGGCCAAAATGACCATGAAAATAGGTACCCTTCTTTTCCAAACTAATTCTTATCTGCCACAATTTATAAAATATCGCAGCTTTTATTTATTCAAGTTTATCTAAATTTGATAAGCCACATGTAAAATCCCCCTCCCGGACGGATAAGTTGAGATCTGCTCCCCCAAAAAAGGATACTTTCCAACTGTACGAAAATTATGGTGGAAATAAAGAGTTTTATTTTTTGGATGGAATCCAAACGTACGATGAGAAATTGGACGACCCTTCATTAATTATGGTGTGCGGATCTTTGCCCCCCATTATAACCTACCCATAAAATGCTACCCATTATATGCTACCCGAGATGATCTGCCCCCCATTATATCCTACCCCACCAATTTTCACTTCTTCCTGCAAATTAAACCAAAATAGATACCCCGTTTTGCGTCGTAGTGCAACATAACTGTTTAGTTACTGTTTATTAACGCAAAATTAGTCAAATAATAAATTCTCAAAAAAACGAATCAATACATAAGATCTCGTAAAATTAGCCGAACAATAAATTATCAAAAACCTAATCAACACAAAATCTCGGAAAATCAGTCAAATAATACATAAATTCTCACAAAAATGAATCAATACATAAAATCTCGTAAAATCAGTTGAACAATAAATTCCCAAAAAATGAATCAAAACAAAATCTCTTTGTCATTTAATAGATTTTTATCCCTTTCCAATAAAGATATAAAAAAAAGGTCCAGGTTTATTGTTGATATTGGTCCATTAATTTAATTTTATTTTATTGAATTAGGAACCCACAATCACCCTACAAGTTCCGTCAATGGCAATGTCAATGTTTTAATTCATTTTTTGAGAATCTGTTGTTCGACTGATTTTACGAGATTTTATGTTTTGATTCGTTTTTTGAGAATTTATTATTTGACTGATTTTAAGAGAGGTTATGTGTTGATTATAGAATTTATTATTTGACTAATTTTGCGTTAATAAACAGTAACAGTTATGTTGCACTACGACGCAAAACGGGGTATCTATTTTGATTTAATTTGCAGGAAGAAAGTGAAAATTGGTGGGGTAGGATATAATGGGGGGCAGATCATCTCGGGTAGCATTTCATGGGTAGGTTATAATGGGGGGCAAATATCCGCAAATCATAATTATTGTGGTTCGCGATATTTGTAAATTGAGACTTTCTGCAGAACTATTAGTTCACCTTCGTCCGTTTAGATATGCAACCTGAGCCCTGCACGATTTAAGTAAGATGCAAAAATTGAGCCTTCTTCTCGTCACGATGAAATACGTCGTCGTCCCTGTTCCATCCCTGCATTTGCTTTGCAGAGATTTACATAAAATAGATTAACTTTACTACATAAAAATCCTCAAAAGGTAACAAAAAAATATGTAATCTTTACAACTCAATAATTTAATTTAGTTAAAATTTCTTATCCTCCCGTCTTGAAAATGATGCCGTAATATATAGACAATCCCTTATGCGACTTTTATCAAATCGGGAAAATAAAGTTATACAAAACCTGTAAAACATTTCATGCGTTTACGTTAATCTGCTGAGGGATGAAACTTCTCAAATGCCTCCCAAGATAATATTTGCTCTTGAACGTCCTCCCTCAGTGGGGGCAAGGGAGCCGGATTTTGGCATGAACCCTGTTCACATGCTGCATCATGACACCCTTCCTCCCGAACATCTTGGGGCACTCGGGACACGCGATGTCCTTCAGCTTCCGGTGAACTATCTTCTTGTGTCTGGTCAGACTTTGTTTTTGACTGAACACTTGGTCGCATTCGTCGCATTTGAACGGTTTTGGGTTCGAAGTATGAATCCGCTTGTGCAATTTTAAGTCAGAATTACGACCAAACAGCGCCCCACATTGGTCGCAGGGGAAAGGTTTCTCCTTCGTGTGGGAGTCCAGGTGGCGATGATAAGTTGCGTTATCGCGAAATTTCTTCTGACAAAAGAGGCAGACTCGACCCGAACCTTGCTTCACGAGGGTGACCTTCTCGTCTTCGGAGAGATGGAGGAACCGATGTCTGGCCAGATCTTGTTGGGAGGACAACGTTTTTCGACACGGGTGACATCTTCCGCCCAATTTTTCCTTCGTGTGGGTCACAACATGACGACCAAGTTGGGACGGAGCTTCGAACCGTTTGCTGCAGAAGTAACAGCCGTGTCGCCAGCCCTGCCGCACCTCCGCGCGCTCCTCAGGACTCAGGTGGACGAAGAGATGGTCGGTAAAGTGGCGACGAGTGAAAAATGCTTTTGCGCAGTGGGGGCACTTCTCATGGAAAAGTGAGGACCGCTCCAGCTCGTCGCGGTTGAAGTGGGTGCGGGCGTGGAGGTGAGCACTTGTTTTGCTGGTGAAGGGACGCAGGCATATTTTGCATGGAAATATTTTCTCCACCACGTGACGACCAGGCCCCACGCCATTTCTGCCAACTGAAGCTGATTTCTTGGCTGAAGGGGACTGCACGTCGTCATCGTCACGTGGTGTGGGACGTGGTTGGACGGAGTGAGGAAGAAAACGGTCCCCTTTCTCCATTGTGGGGGCGAGCGCTTTTTGTCGTGTGACCAATTTCTGGTTGACCTCCATCCCTTAACGTCTCGTTCTGCTCGGAAGTTTCCCCCCTAACAATCTCTTTCTCTACATAGAATATTATTAAGTCAGCATTTGAACTTCAAAAGTGAACATTTTATGCGAAAATTCTGAACGCAATGTTACCAATGGCTCGTTTTTTTAAAAATTTGGGGGTGCACCGTGTGTTCCGGAGTAACAAATTTGTCCCTCGTCGAATCGTACGTTTCAGGCTCCTCGCCAGTTTTCAGGAGACGTTTTTTGTCGATGTGAACTGCGTGGAAATGTTTAAAATTTGAAGAAATTTCTTGAGCAAGAAGTGAGCTGCTGATTGTCGGGGAGCTTTCTGATTTCTGTCTCCCTCGAGATAACTTTGCTTATCTGCATATCCCACCAGCAGTCAAGTCTCGATGAACAACAAAGGGAACAAATCATTGGTTAAATATTCAATGCAAATTGAGACGCTTGTCCAGCACTGGCAGAAATCTGCGTGCCTCCACAATCTCTCAAATTTGGGTAAGAATCCGAATTCATTCACGATTTTCTTGCCTAATCCTCCACACAGAAAGAATTCCTGCATTTTGCTTGCTTTTTGGTAGAGACCATACGAGAGACTTGGTTGTTGGTGGGATATGCAGAAGACATTTCTCAGTCCAGAAACCGAGACAAGCTTCCAAGCAAATAAGGGCTCACTCCCTCCAGAAATTTCACTATTTTTAAACATTTCCAAATTTCCACCGATTTCAAATTGAGAAGGACGACACAAAGAAAGGCAAGGGAAGCTCCGATTGGAAATTGTGGAGCAGCCTGAAAAGCAGGATTTGACGAAGGAAAGATTTTCTACTCTGGAACCAACTGCATCCCGAACACACACGCTTCACGCCAAAATTTTGAGAACGAGCCGTTGGTAATATTCATTCTTAATTTTCATAAAAATCTCTCATTTAACTCGTAATGCTGACCTAATACATAATAATATTTCTTGTAGCGAAAGGGTTGCAAGTAAGGAAACTTCCGAGCAGAACGAGACGTTGAACGGGATGGAGGTCACCCATACCCAACAGAAATTGTTCGGAAGACAGAAAGCGCTCGTCCCCACAACGGAGAAAGTGGAAAGTTTTTCTCCTCACTCCGTCCAACCACGTCCCACAGCACGTGACGATGACCACGTGCAGTCTCCCTCATCCAACAGCAGGTCATTAAAGGCTAAGAAATCAGCCTCAGTTGGCAGAAATGGCGTGAAGCCTGGTCGTCGCACAGGTGAGAAAATATTTCCATGCAAAACATGCCTTCGTCCCTTCACCAACGGATCCAGTGCTGCCGTCCACGCCCACACCCACCTCAACCCCGACGAGCTGGAGCGGTCGTCATTTTTCCATGGGAAATGTCCCCACTGCGAAAAAGTGTTTTTCCATTGGCAACAGTTTACCAACCACGTGGACGCGCATGAAGGTGGGAAGAACCACGCCTGCCCCGTGTGCAAGCAGAAGTTCACCCAGAAAGCAAACTTGACTCGTCATCTCTTCGTCCACCTGAGCGGCGAGGAGCGCGTGGAGGTGCGGCAGGGCTGGCGACACGTCTGCTACTTCTGCGGTAAACGGTTCCAAAGTCTGTCCCATCTCAGTCGTCATGTGGTGGCCCACACGAAAGAAAAGTTTGGCGGAAGGTGTGACATTTGTGGAAAAACGTTCTCCACCAATCAAACCCTGACCAATCATCGGTTCTCCCACCTCTCCGAGGACGAGAAGGTCGCCCTCGTGAAGCAGGGTTCGGGTCGAGTCTGCCTCTTTTGTCAGAAGAAACTCCCTGATAACCACACTTATCATGCGCACCTGGTCTCCCACACGAAGGAGAAACCTTTCCCCTGCGACCAGTGCGGGGCGCTGTTCAGTCGTAATGGTGACTTCATCAAGCACAAGCGCATTCACACTTCCAATCCAAAACCGTTTATTTGCGACGAATGCGACCAAGCCTTCGCTCGAAAAGGAAATCTGACCAGTCACAAGAAGACGGTGCACCGGAAGTTGAAAGACGTCACGTGTCCCGAGTGTGGCAAGAAGTTCGGGACGAAGAGTGTCATGGTGAAACATCTGAGGAGTGTTCATGCCAAGATCCGACTCCTCTGCCCCCACTGTGGGGGGACGTTCAAGAGCAAATATTATCTTTGGAGACATTTGAAGAAGTTTCATCCCTCGGATTAATGTATAACTTAAACGGACGAAATATTGATAAACATGGCATAATTGAATTATTGAGTTGTAAAGAATTTTTGTTACCTTTTGACGATTTTTGTGTAGTAAAGTCATTCTAGTTTGTGTAAAACTCTGCTCTTTTCTCGCTCCCATTTTTCCATGCGCCGACACAAATGCAAGGCTGGACCAGTGACGACGACATGTTTCATCCTGACGAGAAGAAGGGTCAATTTGTGCATCACAGGTAAATCATGCAGGGCTCATAATGTGGCTTGCTTATCGAGACGGACGAAGATGTCACAAATAATTCTGCAGGAAGTCTCAGCTTGCACAGGGATGACCAATCCCAGGATTACTTTAATTAATCCAGTAATCCGTAGTCCATAATCCTAAAACTAGCTCTGGAAATGATGTGTAATCCGTAATCCGGATTACACAACGGTAATCACACAACGGTATGCAAGCTGTTTGCATACCGTTTTTATGATAGCCACACCTCAATAATTGATGAATGGTCGTTCTATAATTTCTCGTCGTGAGCATTCCATCCGCAGTCTAAAATTCCACCATGATTCTCATTCAGTTGGAAAATTCCGTTTTATTTGAGAAAACAAGTTGTTTATTCAAGACTATTTTTGCAAATCTATGCACAGATATGTAAATTACTATGTAAATTATTATGTAATCTCCCAATAATTGTAACCATTTTGGTTTATCTGTAATACCACGAAATTTGGAAAAACTTTTCTTTTAACAAGTTTTCTTACTTGAGAAATTAAGAAATTTTCTAAACCATCTTGTATTACGGATCAAAACGCTCAAAATTTATGGGAGATTACATAAATATACGTTAATGGATTATCGAAGGATTAAACAATGCAGAATTTGAAACATTTTTCCAATATTGGATGCTTTTGAACATTTTTTGACATCCAAAATTTGGGATTTTGGAAATTTTGCACCTCCAAAACACATTTTATACCAGATTTTTATGATGCCATAATTTTTACGTGTTTATTTTTATACATAAAACAACACTTTAAAATTTTCCAAACAAATTCTTATCTGCCACAATTTATAAAAATCCCAGTTTTTATTTATTCAAATTGATCTGTATCTAAATTTGATAAGCCACATGTAAAACCCTCCCCCAAGAAGGACAAGGTGAGAACTGCTCCCCCAAAGACGGATATCGTGATGATCCCCTCGGTCGTTTCAAACCAGTGATTTATCAGGGCATCCGTCCCCCGAGGGGCAAAAGTGCTGGGTTTTACCGTCGTTATCGTGGTGGTTGTCGCCCTCGTCGTCGTTCCACGCGCCTTGGTCGTTCTTGGCGTCGTAATGAGTGCTAATAAACATTAAATGTTAACCAAAATCGTTAAAATCAACACATTTTTAATGATTTCTTCTCCTCTGGGAACTTATTTTAAAATTCTGGACGACGAATTTGTCCTCAGTGAGTTGATTGATAGAATGGCGTCGAGAATTTTAAGCGAATTTCGAACAGTTCCAATTTTTCTGAAGGTTTCTTAAACCTTAGATCACCTCCGCCAAAAAGTGTCAAAATCTGGAGTGTATATTTTGAAAAAATTGGCAACTATCCTTCTGCTCTAAAAATTGTCGTTCAGAATTTCGAAATAAATTCCCAGACGGGAAAAATGATTAAAAATGTGCTGATTTTGACTATATTTTTGGCGATGAGTCCTCCTACTTTAAGTACGTCAAAGAACAATTCTTTTGTACAAGTTTTTTTGAGAAATTCCAATTTTTGCTTAAAAAACTTGTTCAAAATTTTCTTACTCGAAATATCCTCCTCCATTGTTGTCGAACCGGGTGAGGTGGCCCGAGTTGTTTGTGAGTTGTTTGTGGAATCGCGGAATCGCGAGTCGAGTTTTTTGAGCCAGTTTCAATTTTTCTGAAGGCTTCTTAACCTTGAGATCTCCTCCGCCAAAAAGTGCCAAAATCTGGAGTGTATTTTTTCAAAAAAACTGGCAACTATCCTTATCTGCTCTACAAATTTGTCGTTCAGGATTTTAAAATAAATTCCCAGATGGTTAAATGATTAAAAATGCAGTGACTTTGATGACAGGTCGGTAACTTTCTTACCGTTTCGACGCCTGTCGATTGAGATTGACCTAACGTTCGTATTGCGTAATATCTGCTGGCTTCCCGGCCAAAATCGTACGTGGCATTTTGCCTGCTTCCGGGTAGTTTTGTGTTCGGGATCTTATTTCCGGGCAGGTTTTCAGCACCATCGAACTGGTATAAGAGTTTACTAATTTCGTCTTGATGACGAATTTCATAAGCACCCACTTGCGCTGATTAGAAACAAAACAGGTCTATAGGTTCAAACCATGCATCACTTGCGGGGGAAGCAGTGGCAGCGGAAGGGTGCGGGGACAGAGGGACAATAATGTCCCCAGGGTTGTTCGATGTCGGCATCATCTCCCCATCTTATATAAACCCGACCCTTCCCCCATCCCACAATGTTTATGTCCCCACAGCTTCCGCGGCCACTGTCCCCTTGTCATCCCTGCTTCCAGCGTCAATGTCATTGATTTACTATGACTTTTTAATGTGACCATACAATACATGAACATCAATGTGACATTCTCTTCTCCAGTGGCCAGTCCACGAGGCAGACTGAGACTGGGTGCATGAAAAATTGCCTGTGCATTCTTCGCTCTCTGTCCTCACATCTCATCTCGTCTCACGATGCATATTCGTCTTCTCTCCGTCTCACCTTGCCTCACAGATCATGCCTCACTCATTCTCAGAAGGATGATTGTAACTAGTTGCAACACCAAATTATTATAGGACTTAAAAGCGATTTCTCCTCTTGGGATGCAAATATCTCTGCCAAACGTGCCCATTGGGAGATCATGTCTTTCGCTAATTTCATACAAACTAAATTCGTCATCAAGTGACACTAATTTGTCAAAAATTGGGAGACTTCCATTGTGTTAATAATATTTTGCATTATGCATGCATCAATTTGGTTTAAAATCTCAAATTTCTGACGCAATTAAAATTGTATTTTCATTAAAATATGATGTTTTAAAGGGAACAAATGACTAAGCTGCAGTGGCGGCGGAAGCGGTGCCCCCCGCCGGGGGGACATTGTCCCTCAGAAATAAAAAAATCAAATCTTCCCGTTCTCTTCCTATCTTAAAATGCTAATGCCCCCCCCCCTATGTCCCCCCAAAATCTGCCGTCACTGTATATATTATATTTCCTCGTACTAAAAACCAGTGACATCTCCAATAACCAATTAATCTCTCAAACTCAAGTCGAGCATAACACACTCCACTCGACTTCCTCCGTTATGCAAATTCTTAATTGTTCCTTCACCCTCTCGTCGACTGGAAGAGGAATATGGATGGATAACATTATTATATTGCTGTCTCACTAGTTTAGACTTGTTATCTTATGTGAAGCGAAAACAAACTACATCATTTGCATAATTGTAATTATAATTATACTCGGAAACACCAACCTCAATTAAGTCTGGAACGCACTGAGCAGTATGAATGCATGTCAGGACATAATGAAATATCTGAACTTTAGTAGGCTTCGTTCTTATTGAGTATTTAGCATTGGTCTCGTTAATAAATAACACTGTCCTCTTCTGTCATTAGTTTCTTGGGAGTAAAATGAATCGTGCTGGTTTTTAGACCTTTTTTGTTTCAATTTAGTAAAATAAAATTGAACTTCCAGTGTTTCGTTTATTGCGGTTTTGTCACATTTATTTCTTGCAGTGCGAAGGAAGTAATGCGAGAAATGTGAGGTGCAAGAAACTGTGAGATATTTTTGCCATCTAAATAGCCACGTGCAGTACGAGAACTATTTATATATATAGCGGCAGGAAATAGTTTCTTGCATTTCTTGCAGGTCAAAAAAAATTACCTGCAAGAAATAACTACCCACTTCCGGTTATTTCTTGTAAGTAAAAACTAGCCAGTTTCGTTTCTTGCTGGTTTGTCACATTTCTTGCACTGCAAAGCATTTCAAGCAATGCGAGATGCAAGAAACTGGTAGAAATATGCGCAATCTAGTCACGGATGACCTATTTACCGTAGTTTCTCACACTTTCTTGCACCCCAAACACTGATAAGTACATATTTCTAGTTGAAGGTGACCACGAGGATTGAAAATAAACAAATATCGTGTCCCAAAAAGTTTGTGAATGCATGCATGCATACTGATCCGTCCTCTTATTGCCTGATCTGATACTCTCGAGTAACTTGTTGATAACCCCCACACAACAAGATTGGATTGGGACAAGTGCCAGGCCAGAGAAAAAAAATCAAAGTGTGTGTAAATATAGGAGAAGGGCAGGCACAAAATGGAATGGATTATGTAGTTACATTTTCTTCCGTAGTAATAGAAGAAGACGAGAGAGGATCAAATTAAATCGACAAAGTCTTCTCATCTTCATCTGGTGGTGCTAGTGCAAAAATCTGGACTTGCAAATTAAATCATCATTTGGTGGTGCAAAAATTATTTGGACTTGTTGTGCAAATTAGTTTTCTATTTCAATCTGAGACACAATTTTTCCAGCAGTAATTGAACCGTGATGCAGTGATTGTTGTTCTTTTTTGGAGGTGTGGTTGGTTTGTGTTGTGATAAATAAAGACAGGTGATTTCAAGTACAAATGTTGTAGAGACTATATAAATTTTAAGAAAAATGGGCGAACCGTCACACCCACGACAATACGAGGGTGAGAAGAAAGAGGGGACAGGGGGTGTCATCCCCACGGCGGAGGGTCGTTTCATCCTCGACTACTTTGGGACAGCTATGATGGACTCGAGGTGCATGTACTCGAAGGAAATGATGCACTGGATTATCGCAGAAATTCTGAGGTTCTCGGCGTCAACGCAGGTATAGAAAAATTGTAGAATATCAGACAGTGTGTGAAAAATATTGGCTAAAATTTGTGAAAACCAAGAGCCAAAATATTAATTTTGTGGGATTTTTAGTGAAGAATAGCGAAAATCGAATAGCGAAAATAGGAAAAATATGTAATACGTATTTTTTAAAGACCAACCATTTCCAAAATACAGATATTTAGGAAAACATAACGAAAAGAAAAATATACTTAAATTTCGAATGGGAACGTCCATATATTACGTCATCATTTTAGTGGGTGGGTGGTTTTGGTCTTTCTATCTTTCCCATGTTAAAATTCCCTATCCCTTAATGTTTACGTTGGGTGGGTGGGTGATAAAATCGAGAATTTTTGATGACGTAATATATGGATAAGCCCAATTGTGGCCCAAAAGTTGGAAAAATTCTCCGTGTGATGCCGCAAACCGATTATTTCGATCCGTTCTCCCGTTATCCTGCTGACAGACAGACAAAGATTTCGCATTAAGTAGCTGAAGCTACTTAATAACTATAAATAATTCTCATTTATCCACAGGTTGTCCTAAGTGTGAAGAATGGACGCGTAATGTGCACAGGGTTAAAGAGCGGTCACATCCTGTGGGATTCGGGCGTCGCGGACTGTGTCCACTCCTTCCTGGTGGACGTCATCGGGCCGGAAAAGCGGAAAGGATTCGTCATCATTTTACGAGCGAATGACATTTATCTCCATTGTCGACTCTTTGCTGCCTCCTCCGCTCCACAGGTGGGTCAAAGTTCACTTTCATAGATATATACATGGAACAAGATGCATATAAACATGTAATTGATCACGTCTAGTAGAAAATCCCAACAATGGAGGTCTCCGAGCGTATTCTCTCAGATTTTTACGTAATCGATGACAAACTTGATTAGTATGAAATTTGCGAAAGACACGATCTCCGAATGGGCACGTTTGGCGCAGATATTTGCATCCAAAGAGGAGAAAACGCGCCTTAAAGTCGACAAATTTTACACTTTTAAAATTTACGGCGTGTTTTCTCCTCTTTGGATGCAAATATCTCGGCCAAACGTGTCCATTGGGTGATCGTACATTTCATACTAATTAAATTTTTCATAGATTGAAAACAGTTTGTCCAAAATCGGAGAACATCCGCTGGGAGACCTCCATTATAAGTCGCCAAAAAATAGAGATACACAAGTATGTATGTGGATCAAAGTGCACATGTCCGATAAGAAACAATTACAAAGTCGCCAAAATAGGGACCTCTGTTGCCACCAAAAAGTAGAGATATATAAAATAGGGTCGACGCATAGGTCAAAGTTCACTACGATAGATGTTTAAACAAATTATAAGTACCGGAAAACATTACAAATTATTTTACCCGACGTAATTAATAATCACATCCGGCCAAAAACAATTACACAAACTCGCCAAAAATAAGGTTCAACCTTGACCTTGCCCGCTAAATAAATGTATCGATCACTCCCTCCCATCCTAGTGAAATATTAATCAAACCGTGTCCCGTAAATTATTGACGCTTCTTAATTAACCGTGTCGCTTTCAGCGTGCATGCATAATTATGGTCATTAAACTTTCAGGCAAATACGTACGTATGTAAAATCCAACTCTTAAACCAGGTACGAGATCCATATGTACACATGTTCGAGAGATATACTTAGGTCTTTTGGTCCATTGCCACGAAACAGACAATGCCTGTTGCATGTGAACATCTGCCACGTTCTAAAAAAAGTGATAAGCAAGCCGAACTTCGGAGCGGTTATTACTCATCTCGCAAAGGAAGGAAACCCACCAATTTTTTGTGGTGGGGACCATGCACAAATCTCAATTCCAGTGGCCGCGGAAGCCGTGGGGGGACATGTGGGGAAGTTAACATTGTGGGATAGATAGGGGAGGGCCAGGTTTATATAAGATGGGGAGATGATGCCGACATCGAACAACCGTGGGGACATTGTCCCTCTGTCCCTCCGCGGCCACTGGTCACCGTCATATGGAAGACACGTTGTTGTTGGTGCGTCAATTTTCAGGTTGTTCCTCTGGAGCTAATTTTGCCCAGTTTTTATTATTTGTTCATTTTCATCTCTGTTCTGTTCTGTCCTGTTCTTTAGTTCAACTGAACTGCATAGTTTTTGCTTATGTGGAGTGGTGTAGTTCATTCCGAGCGTATGTACATAATAATTTTGTGATCTCTCTCTCTCTCTCCTCGTCTGGCATCCACAATCCACATATCCAGTTTCATTTTGGAGGGTTAAACATTCGCAAAAATTGTGAAAATCTGTTGAATTGGATTATTTTCTTGATATTGTGATTGAGAGATAACGGTATGGGGCATAAATAGCGTGTAAATTAATATATTTTGTGGTGGTGGTGGTGGTAATTGATGATAACATTGATTTATTGATCAGCCGTTCTCTTAGACTTTATGGTGTGAAGAAGAACAATAAGTTAAGTTTAAATAGTTTGGAAGTAAGTTTTGGAGGAGACCATGATAACTCTGCCGTTGACGTCGTACTCCCCGTACAACGCCCCCACCACGACACAAATTCCCCGCAGTGAGAGTGACACGGGTGGTCGTGGGGGTGGGGGTGGTCGTGGTGGTGGGAACGTGAGACGACCAAGTTTTGACCAGTGGGGAAAAACACAGTCGGTAAATTTGAAATTATTTATTACTTAAGAAAGAGCAGGTTATCAATTACCGTAAAATTTTGGGAAAAAGTTATTGGTACATATTTTTCAAAAATATTGTTGCCAATTATTTCATTTCACCCATACTTCTCAGAATTTATGGCTGAAGAAGGTATTGGGAGTAGAATATACTTTATTTTCTACATACAATAGTCGAGGATGTAATGCTAATCCAGCGATAAGCGAGTTGTAAATAGATAAGAAATAAATCCACAGATTTGGAATAATGAAGCTCGGACCAATTTACGGTTCAGTTTTTGCACAGATTTTTATATTCTTATCCCATTTTCACTCTTATCAAGAGAGATAGGTCCTCTCCGTAGAATCTACATAATTCGTATATATATAACTCGGTAATTATGTTATACATATTTACACGCCACGCCACGCCACGCCACTGGATCCCGTGGACATTAAATCAGACGATAAATATAAATCAAACCCGAGTTGGGATCAAATTCATGTAACAACACGACTTCATCTCATAATATTTTATGTACTTGAGCTGAGAACATGTCGCTATTTCAGCGTGATATGCACAGTATTCACATGTCTCGAAAATCGACACGTTTATTTTCATGGTCTCAGTCACATCACAATAAAATCGAGTTTCTGATTGGACCCTGGCTGATAATCATGGGACGAAGAAATTCAGAAATTTGAGACATATTTATATTTCCATACATATACTCAAATATGTCATGTTTTTAAGCGTATCTAACGGTCGATACATAAATTATTACTCCATCGTTGCCTTACAAATGCGATTTACATGTTTAAAATCAACAAGTTCTCATTCTCTAGCCGATTGTTTATTCTTTCATTATTTTTCTCTGCCCACAACTCGACTGGAATTTGGACAAGGACAACGTACTTATTTACACATTTTTCGTTTCATTGTTTCACAATTGCTCATTTTTCCTGCGACGTTTCTCAGTTTCTTTGTCGTCACCACACAATCATCCAGCCTTATCATGGAAGATCAGCGAGACAAAGAGGAAGATAAGCGTCACCCCCACGACCAGAACAATATCTGGAAAGATATTTGGGTCTCTGTTTTAACCGGGCTGTTAAATTGGGTCCTCTTATCCGTAATTCTGGGCGTTTTCAGATTTCTAGGTTTCCTGAAATGAAGGTTTTCTGAAAATTTCAAAAAAATTCGGTACAGGAAATGCAGACATGTTTCTTTGGTGGTTGACGACACCCTCTTATCCGTAATCTTGGGCGTTTTCAGACTTCTGGGTTTCCTGAAATGAAGGTTTTCTGAAAATTCCTCAAAATTTTGTACAAGAAATACAGACATCATTTTTTTCTTTGGTGGGTGACGACACACAAGTGACCTTTAGTTAGTGAACATTGAATTGTGTTATTACGTAAGAAGTAACATTTCGTACGCGTGTCGAACACGAGGGGAGAGGATGATGGAGCATGTGTACAGTTTCGTTGCATAATTTTCATTGCCAAAACGACACCGGGGACGATGATGACATGAACGTCACACTGTCTGCCTGCTTCGTGATCAAGGTTATCAATGGATGTCGAAAATGTTGCATCTTGCCTCACGAAAAAGTGAAGGAATTCGTGGGTAGGGGGGACTAAAATGGGGGATCCCCGGAGAAAGTGGGGGTCCTCTCGGGGAGGCATCAATATTTCCAAAAATTTGGAGGATGACGAGTGGAAACAGTATCAGGATTTCGAAACCGTTCGACAATTACAAGCCAGAGCGAAACTCATACGGCTTAAAAGACACCAATACAACATGAAACACTTATTTTTCAATGTATTAATATGCATTTACATATCGTGGTTGAAGGTGCATCATGTGCTATCTCATTTATTTGTGTTATGAGACAGCCAAAAAGTGAGATAGCACGTGATGCATGTTGAACCACGATAAATTACGATTTATGACTTTCAGAAATGTATTTAATAACGTATAACGTGGTGTGGTTTTAGGTGCATTAAGTGCTATCTCATTTGTATTGGATGGTCCCATGAAGTGAGATAGCACATAATGCATCCTGAACCACTACATCTTACAATTAATGACTTTCAAACAGGAATTCATTCGCATTTCGTGGTGTTTGAAGGTTCATTATGTGCTATCTCATTTGTATCAGATATTACCAAAACCTGAGATAGCACATTATGCACCTTGTACCACGATGTCTTATAATTTATGACTTTCAAAAAACATTTTTACCACAAGTTCAAATATTCCCTAGGTTTCCGAAGTGTTTTCCACGATGAAGGAGGCCGCAAAAACTGCCCCCACGACGGAGCCAGGACGCGCCATCTCCGCTCCGCGACTCTACTCCCCAATCTCCCCGGATTCCATGTCGTTCGAAGTTTTGTACGTCGGCAAGTTGCGGATGTCTTATCGAAAAGCACCGGAAACCTTTATCGACGAAGCCTTGTCCAAATTTAAGTCTCATGAAAACGAAAAAGGAGCCAGGAGAGATTCCATGCTGTCTTTTTCGGGAAGATCAAGTTCTCAGGTTTAACAATTTTTTACGACCCTTGGCAAGACTCATAACAATGTGGTAGTAAAATTGTCACCAAGTTGGTAACAATTTGTTAATATGCTGCACTGAACAATTAATTGTACAATTAAAATTTCTGCCACATTTTGGAATCAATTTCTCATTAATTGGGAAAACAATAATTAATATCTTTGGTAACAGCAGTTACGAATTTGGTGACAATCTTCCTTTGCTTGCATGTTTCGTTCCTTTGCGGGTTTGCTACATTTCACGCACTGCAAACCAAGAAATGCAAAAAAATTCGAACTGCAAGAAACTGAGATGCAAGAAGCCGTTATTTTTTGCAACATTGCCAATCTTGTTACCTTACAAATTTTTCAGGGCGTCACAACTAATCACTGTTCATTAATTAATTAATGCAGGAATCATCCTCCAGCCCACGCAGTTCTTCCGAGAGTTTGGGTTCCCGACCCAACATAACGTTCAACCTTTGTCTCGAAGAAGAACCGGAAGTTCGAGCCCCGTCCCCACCACCGAATGTCCAACCCCCCGATCCAGTCCTGCCCACCACGTCCGCCGTCCCCGCCACGATTCACCACCCGCTCGAAGACACTTCCGGTGTGGGGCCGACGTCTCTCCTCCCCTCGACCCGCGGGGAACGTGGCCGGAACGCGAGTGGAGATTCCCTCCTCGTTAAGAGCATGTCACTCCCCGTCGAAGTCGGCCCCATGCGGAGTCGCGCCCTCTCAACGGGAAATTACCCACGGGAACAAGTCCTTGAGATGAATGTGAGTCGTTTGGCGAAAAAATTTGGACATGAAATAATCCCATTTGGCGAAAAAAATTCACTCATTTTATAGTACCCAATAAGTATCTTTTGGCGAAAATAATGAGGGTGCTCATGACAGCGTTTTACTTCGCATCGCAACTCATTTAGCAAATTTGCGAAGCTCAGGGGATTCGAAAATCTCGCAAATTTACTGGTTTTCCAGAAAAAAATGTTGCGAAGACTTGCAGATTTTACAAAACTTTTGCAAATGTTACTGCTATGTGAGGAGAGATATGCAAAGGTTGGCGTGGTGTGGTTGGTACGCTTAATGTCACATTTGGTGAAAATGGCGAATTTCATTAATTTAATTTTAAGTGATTTGAATTTGACATGAATAAAGGCGAAATTTATGTTTCGCCAAATGTGACATTAATTTCGCCATCTTCACGATATTTGTTTACCATCATTTGCGAAAATTTATTTTCGCCAAATTGACCGTGCGTCGTTGACGGGGAGGATTGTAAAAATTGACGTTTTGTCCTAATAATTCCAGCGGATCGGATCCACCCAAACGAATCGGACTATGATTCTCATCGTGGGTCGGTGTGAAATGAAAATTATCTCACCGGATAAAAAAACACTGCTTTTTGCCAAACATTTCCGAGATATTTATCAGTCGTCGCAGGTAATTAATTCGAAAAAAATGGAGTAAATTTTTGTAAAATTCGTAAATAAATTCCCTTTTCTCGCAAGGGTCTCGAAAACCCGGAATATTTTGGCTTTATTTGCAAAGAAGCGGCCACAAGTCAAGGTCCAAGTCGGGCTGGAGGCTATGTCGCCTACGTCTTCCGGTCACAGTCCGACTCCGTCTCGGGCGAAATCTTGAAAGGTAAGTATTTAAGAAGAAAAGCATATATAGTAAAAATTCCAAAAACTGGTGGTTAAGAAAAGCGTAGAAATTTCAAAAATTGAGTGTTAAGAAAAATAAAAATTCCAAAAACTGGTGGTTAAGAAAAGCGTAGAAATTTCAAAAATTGAGTGTTAAGAAACACATCAAAATTCCAAAAACTGGTGGTTAATAAAAGCGTAATCAAACTTCCAAAAACTGATAATTAAAGCGTCAAAATTCCAAAAACTGATCCAGTTTCCACTCATGCACATTTAAGTCCCCCTGAGACCTCAATTACTAATAATACCACTAATTGACATGTCAATTAATGTCCCTGCAGAAACTTATGCAAATTTAGTGCAAAATTAGTACATGAGATGAATCGTCACGTCATGTTACAAGATGAGGAGGCCCTGTCCACCATTTCTTCTTCTTCGCTGCATAGAGTAAGTGACGGAGGAGCAGGGCAGTGGTTTTTGAGAAGGAGAGCAAGGGTTTTTTGAGGCAAAAGTGCGACTTTCTGCATTTAAAAGTTTGATTAAAAATGCATTTTTATATACTTCACCAATTTATTAGGGCACGCCCAGGGTTATGGTGGGGGGTACTTATAAAAATATAAAAAAAATCCCCCTTTACTACAGGATTAAGGGGACAGTCGTCCGAATCTCATGATAGATTCAGCTCCGAAGTTGATGGCTTATTTTGCAGCAAATTGCACTCTTTTATCAGCTAAATTTGATACAAAGATATCACACCAAGTTTCCCATCGACCCAAATTTTCATACAAACATTTGCATAACTGTACAGTTATAGTAAACTGGTCAGAAACTAATGTGCAAATTTAGTGCGAAATTAGTAAATGAGATGAATCGTCACACCTCTTATTCGTCTCATGGTCAGATTCGACTCTTGCTTATTTTATAGCAAATGACATTCTTTAACCAGCTAAATTTGAGACAATGATATAATCACGCCAAGTTTCGCATGCACTCAAATTTGCATACATTTGCCAAACGGTTTAGCAAACTGGACCGGGGAGCGAGATGTGATGTTGATGAGGGGAAGAAATCCGGGTAGAGAATTGAGTGACGAGGTGGCCGAGTGGTTAAGGCGTTGGACTGCTAATGCTATTCCCCGCAGTAATCCAATGTGCTCTGCACGCGTGGGTTCGAATCCCATCCTCGTCGAAAGTATTTTTTGCACACTTTTTCGCAAACTTTTTTGCAACACTCAGAAAAGATTTGCGTCTATGCATGTTTCAAAATTTTGCACATTTTCAGTCTTGTTCGTTCAAATTTCTGTAAAATTTGGTTTCTGATATCTTCATCGGTACTACTTTTTTTGTTTTTGCAACTTGATGAACTTCGGAAGGAAGTGCATCTATACGTATTTCAAATTTTGCACATTTGCGTTCAAATTTTCGTACAATTTGGTTTCTGACATCTTCATCCGCTTTAAATCCGACTTATCCTAGATATTACTTTTTGCATTCGACAAGATTTGCATGTATGTATGTATGTATGCTTCTTATTCCATCCATTTAAAAATTTTGCATACACTTTTGCACATTTGCAAATTTTTTCTTTCAAATTTTCACTTTCATACAATTTTGTATGAAATTTTGATATCTTCATCCACCTCAAATTCGACTTATCCTCGATACTACGTTTTTGTAAGTTATAATTTCGACACGGCTTGCATCTATGTATGCATGTTTCTCTTTTCATCCACTTTAAAATTTTGCTTACACTTTTGCAAATTTGCAAAAATTTTCTTTTCAAATTTTCATTTTCATTTTCTTTTCAAATTTTCATTTTCATACAATTCTGTTTCTCATCAATTCCAAATTTAGATAATTTATCCTTGATACTTTTCCATGAAATGTTTATTTCTAGTTAAAAACATTCTGGAAATACCAGCCTGTTTTCATGCCATGCCAATTAAACTTCCAGACAAAATAAAATAATATCAGCGCATTAACAACAAAAAAGTACTAAATTCCATTCAATACGACATTATTCTTCTCAATAAATATTTCATCCTGGATGGAATGCAATCGTTAAAAAACAAACTTTTTATTCAATACCAATAATATTTTCGTGTGCCATACTCAAACTGAACTAAAAAATAGCAGCAACAACTAAACATAGTCGTGTATGTATGTGTGCATGTACATACTAATGAATTCAATGATGCATTAAATATTATCGTGATCGTTTGTTCTCTAACTTCATAAACTGTATGTAACTTGACTCTGCAAAGTCAAGGCAGCAGCAGCAGCTACATACATACGTGCAATGACCGAAGAAGGAAGCTTGAGGGGACCGAGGGGGACAATGTCCCCACGGTTATGAAATGTCCGCATCATCTTCCCATCTTATATAAACCCCTCCCTCCCCCCATCCTACAAATTTTAATGTTCCAAGATGTCCCCACACCTTCCGCGACCACTGGTTATTAGATTGTCTATGTAGTCAGTGGCCGCGGAAGGAAGCTTGAGGGGACAATGTCCCCACGGTTGTTCGATGTCCGCATCATCTCCCCATCTTATATAAACCCGACCTTCCCCCTAAAATCCTACAATGTTAACGTCCCCAAATGTCCCCACGGCTTCCGCGGCCACTGCATACGTGTACCGCATTTTGTTTGCATAACCATTGTAATTTAATTGTTATGCATAAATAATAATGAACCAAACTTGTGTGATGGGATGGTAAAAAAAAGTAAAAATGAGATTGTTATATGATATTTTTACGGGTAAAAATTTACTTCTACTTCTATTATTATGCTCATATGTATGATCTCCGTTATTAATACTGCCTGATTTTTAGTAGCTGTTCTGTTCTGTTCTGTTTTGTTCCACTTTCAGTCCTGGTCTGGTACTCTCTGAAGTTCAGAGTCTGAAACTGATTGACTTTGACATAGAGCAAATATCGAGATTGTATTGTATTGTTGGTTGGTTAGAGATGCGGATAGTTTTTGCAAAAACATTACATACATACGTTGGTCTGAATATTCATCATATTATTGTGGGACAAAGTCAGTTAGTTAGTTAAACATGGAGAGATATGTATAGTTAAAGTTTTGCATGTTAGTTAACCAGGCTGCAAGGTGTACATATTTATTTTTGAATGCATATGTACATACATACACCTTGCATGAAATCGTTATTTTTGTCCGTACACACGTAATGTCACGTTATTACGTTTCGGAGGTGTGTAGTGGTTCCTGGTTGACATTGGTCGTGTAGTAATGTGGTTCAAAAAATCGGCTCGACATGTTTGTTAGTAAGAGAGTAAAATTTTGAAAATAAAATTTTGAAAATTTTGGGATAAAAATTAATTAATTCGAAATTTTGTAATTTTTTTTCAGTCCTGAAACAAGCCTCCTTCACCTCGCAGCAGGGACCGGATTCGGCAAAATTGCAGTCGTGCGATCACTGCCCGATGGTTTGGTATCGACAATTATGCGCGGAGGTTGATGGTGAGGGAGGGAAATATATTTATGGAAATTGGAAAATTTTGAAAAATTATTCGGAAACTTATCCTTTTTTTATAAGGTGTGGGAAGCGATGAACGGATCCAGTTCGTGATAATGAAGCACATGCACACCTTGTGCGACGAGGATCGAGCCTCCATCCTGCAAAAATTCCATGGGGCGGAAGGCCAATCGCTGCAGGAGCAGAATGAACTCTTGATGATGTTACTCCGCGTGCATTGCGAGGCCAAACAGGTCAAACATATTCATGACACGGCGGAAAATAGGTGAGATTTTTGAAAAAAGCGGGACACGTGACGAGGGACACGTGACGTCTTTAAGATCTCCGCAAAATTGATATAAGACGTGTTCTACCTTATATAACGTGGGACACGACTTAAAGACATCGATTTTGCAGACATTCGGAGATCCTATAAGGACGCCACTATCCATGTCAGACATGGTTCTCACTGATCTTTTTAAAATCTGGGCTAAAAATCAAGTAATTTAACAGAACAGTAATGAGTGTTAGTGTACTTGAGCCTTTCTGCAGAATTCATAGACTTTAGTAGGTTTTAGGTTGGCAGAAAAGCGCATTTTTACCATTCGAAACTATGTTGACTTCTACGCTTTCCGATGATGAAAATGCGCATTTTTCCTAATTTAAAACCTTCTTAAATCCCAAATTCTGTAGAAATGCTCAAGTACACTAACATTGACTGCGGTAGTGTTTAATTACTTGATTTTTTAGTTCATGTTTTAAGAAGATCGGTGAGAAATATGTGTGACATGTGTATCGTCACTGGGATGTGTCACTCGTCAGTAGCTGATTAGACTGCCCACCTTTTCGCCAAACCAATAACTTAATAATTATTTATCCCAGGCATGAATTTCTCAACCAATTTCTCGGCGGTGGAGAAATCTTCACCAAGGCGAAGCGTTCCTTGGACCATTTCATAAAACGGAAGAGTTTGTCCTCCCCCCGTCCCCCCGATGGGTCGTTGCCATACCCGCTCTCACCCCTCGTCTCGCTCGGGGAGGATTCGCCCTCCGCCATGACCGCGACCCCATCGCCCTCCTCCATGGACCCCAGGGCCACGATGGACTCCCCCCAAGTCAGCGACTCCCCCCTGGACGAAACCAACTATCCGCGGAGACAGCGCAGCTCCACGATCGGGGCGCTGACCGGGGAAAAGATTCGCTTCGAGTTGAACAAACATCGAAGAACGTCGACCACGAATATGGCCACGTCTCCGATCCCGCAACAACAAAGCCAGGGGGGAGGATTTGGGAACAATAAATCGATCGGAGGAGGAGCGAGTCCCATGCTTAATTTGTAAGTGGATAGAATTTATATGGAAAATTTTACCTGGGATGCGAGCATTTTACGCTTCGACGACGGAAGTTGGGGGGGTGGTCATAGGGGGACATTAGAATGGAAGACGAGGGACTAATTAACATGGCAATGATGAGATTTTGCTGAATTTCTGGGGGGATAAAGTTCCCCTGTACCTCCACTTCCTTTGCCATAATTCTACTATTAATGGAGGTCTCTCAGCGTATGCTTATCGATTTTTATAACAAACTATAGTCTTAATCGATGACAAATTTGATTAGTATGAAATTTGTGAAAGACGCGATCTCCCAATGGGAACGTTTGGCCGAGATATTTGCATCCGAAGAGGAGAAAACGCATAGTAAATTTGGAAGGTGTAAAGTTTGTCGACTTTCCGGCGCGTTTTCTCCTCTTTGGATGCAAATATCTCGGCCAAACGTTCCCATTGGGAGAGCGTCTCTTTCCCAAATTTCATACTAATAAAATTCGTCATTGATTGACACTAATTTGCCCAAAATCTGAGAGCATTCTAAGCACATAGTACATACACCTGTCCATTATCCATTGTTTTTCCTCTACTCATATTCATTTCCAGTACCTCATCCTGTTACCTCTCGCTTAATCACCACCTATTGAAATTCATACCTACCTACATACCTATTTATGCATTAAATCATGTTTTATTTTTACACATACGACTCAAACTTTCTGATTGACTACATACATCCACCAAAATGCTACCTGCCACTACATACGTACTCCAGTGATACAGACATACAAATGTACATACCTTGGCCAAGGTGAATATTTACATTTTGGTCGTTTTTCATTACCAACACCACCACGAATAACACATACCATTGCATCCACCTGGGACTGTGAAGAGAGGGTTAAATTGCATGGCTATAAAGTACCAGCAGCAGCAACGAATCAACGCTGTTAATCAACCTCAAACCCCAGCTTTTGAATGCATATGCATGTATATCTACCTGTACCTGTATATTTCATACCGTGTGGTAGTATCTATCATCACCATCATCATCATCATCATCAGTTCACCTGTAGCTCGTCGTATTTTACTTGATTTTATACGCACACATTTTAACCAGGTAGACAGTACAAGATTCGTTAGAGATTCTCCAAATTTTCCCACGTTTTTGTTTTCCTTAAATCAAAATTTTGTTAAGTATTTCATTTCCTCATTTTTTAAATGTTGATTTCAAATTTGTTCTTATTACATAACTTTCGACGAGGAGATTAGCATAATGTCTGACTAAGATAAGCGTAGTTATCATTATAAGTACATAAGCAGCAGATATGTATGGTGATTCAGGCATAAATATTAAGCGACGTACCCTCGCCAATTCCGGGTAAGCTATTATTCCTTCCTTTGTGCATGTGTCTCTCATGACATACAATATCTACAAAGGCATATGTAAATTGGTCGAGAATTGATTACAAATGGATGGACACTAGGATTAGAAATAGATCGATGGTGGGGACAATAAAATTATAGGGACGATAAGCTTGCAAGGACGGAACAATCCCACATTGTCCCCACACCGTATCCACCCGCAGTCGTTAGCATGCATCGATTGAGTCTGGGGACAATAAGTTTACAGGAACAATAAGATTGCAAGGACAGAATCCTCTATTGTCCCCGCATCGTGTCTGACGATCGTGGGGACAAGGTTATAGGGACATTAAAATTATTGGGACGATAAGAACAGAACAATCCTCTATTGTCCCCACATCCTGTCCACCCGCTTTCCTTGCTATGCATCAATTGCGTTTGGGGACAATACTATTCTTGGAACATTAAAATTATAGGGACGATAAGCTAGCAAGGACAGAATCCTCTATTGTCCCCGGTCATTAGATCGATCGTGCGGGCAATAAGATTGCAGCGACATAGGATTAAAATTGTAGGGACAATAAGATTTCAGTCCTCTATTGTCCCCACACCGTGTCCGCAGCCTTTGCTGCTGCCATGCATCGATTGAGCTTCGCTGCAAATAATTAACTATTCGTGTCCGTATTTATCCCCACGTTACGAATCTATGTACGTACGTAATGTAATGTGAGTCCGACTCTCAATCGATCGATTCGATTGTTATGTTTCGTTTAGTTTTGTTCCCTGTTCAATAATTATAACAATTCTCTCTCCTCTCTCTCTCTCTGCAAATGTTTATGTATTTTTTCTACTTGCATTTTGTGCTTGTTGACTCATTCACAAATACATAAAGTTGAAGCATGGATTGTGGGTGGATTGGATTTGAGTTGAACGACATATTGCACTCTTCGGACAATTGTTTATGATGAGTCAGTCTGTGCTGGGTAGGACGACAACGACATCAACAACGACGACGACTCGTGTCCCGATAAGATAAGGTTGTTATCAGCTACGTACATAATTGTGTATTGAGAGGAAACGTTGACAATATGATTATTATTCATGGCCTGGTTTGATTCTCATCTCATTTTGTGGTTTCATTCTGTTCTGACAGATTCCATAAAATGGGGTCATCCTCTCAGACGAAGACGTCCTCCTCGTCAACTACTACTTCGCCATTCGCGTCTCAGCAGCAGCAGCAACGGCACCCGGGGTCGTGGAGACATGCCATTTTCAAAAAAGTGGTGTCCCCTTCTGGTGGTTCGGGGTCAAATACGCCGCAAGGAAATCACCATGTTGTTGGGGGTGGGGGTGGAAGTGGAGTTGGAATGGGAGGAACGCCGAGGGGATTACCGACCTCCGCGGCGAAGGCGTTGTTCAGGCCGAAAAGATCGCAGGTGAGAGAGAAGAGGAGAAGATAAGGTGCACGAAATAAGTGGTTTCTTGCAGGGATTTATTTTGACCTGGGAGAAATGCACGGTGTGCGTCTAGGTTACGCATATTTCTCGCACTTTCTCCCAGTTTCTTGCACCTCGCATTTCGTGTTTGCACTGAAAGAAATGTGCAAAATCGCAAGAAACGAAACACTGCGAGTAACCACTTGCAAGAATTAACTGCAAGAAAGTGGTTTCTTGCAGGTAAATATTCCGTCCTGAAAAAATGCACGGCGCACGAAACTGCGCCGCGCCGCTGTAAATAGTTCATGCGGCCCGATGGCGCATATTTCTTGGAGTTTCTTGCACCTCGCATTTCTTGCGTTTTGCTTCCTTTTCAATGCAAAAAATGTACCAAACCCGCAAGAAACAAAACAAGAATTGTATTTTATCGAAGTATAACTCCTTATCATTTTGGGTGACAGGATGAAATTAAGGAACTCTGGAAAACTGCGATAAACCAGCAGATAATCTTGATCCGGATGGAAAAGCAGAATCTCAGACTGAAAGCGAAACAGGAAGAGGCGGACGTCAAGAGGTTAAAGTTGAGTTACAAAGAGCTCGGGATTTGCGACGAGGAGGCGACCGAAACCTGGGATCTGATCATGTCACAAGCAACCGGAAGTGGGAAACAGGTCGATGTCCAGCTACTCAATTCGGCCATTCTGAGAGGTACTTAATTAATACCACGATATGATTATTTTCGAAAACCAGAGACTAAAGTTTCCTTGATTTTTTTAACAGGAATTCCGAAACAAAAACGGGGACAAATCTGGCAGTTTTTCATACAGCAGAAAAGCCTGGGTGGAAATAATAGAGAATTGACGATGTCGCGATACGGCCATTTAAAAATGGAGATGACGTATGACCAACTCTTAAGACAATTGACGTCACAACAGCATGCTATTCTTATCGATTTAGGTAAGCATGCATAAAATTCTGTAAAATTTCGACATCATAATTTTATGATCATGATCATGCAGGGCGGACGTTTCCGACACATCAATACTTTTCCGGTGCTCTGGGTTCTGGGCAGTTGGCCTTGTTCAACATTTTGAAAGCGTACTCTCTCCTCGACACGGATGTCGGATATTGTCAAGGCCTCTCCTTCGTGGCCGGGTTGCTCCTCATGCATGTAAGTCGATGGATGGTTACAAGGGACGTCTCCCAGCGGATGCTCTCAGATTTTGAGGGACAAACTAGTCTCAATCGATGGCAACTTTAATTAGGATGAAATTTGAGAAAGACGCGATCTCCCAATGGGCACGTTTGGCCGAGATATTTGCATCCGAAGAGGAGAAAACGCGCAGTAAATTTGGAAAGTGTAGAATTTGTCGACTTTACTGTGCGTTTTCTCCTCTTCGGATGCAAATATCTCGGCCAAACGTGCCCATTGGGAGATCGTGTCTTTTGCAAATTTCATCCCGATTAAATTTGGGATAGGTTGACACTAATTTGTTCAAAATCGGATCGCATACGCTTGGGAAATCTGCATTATGATTCATTTTCCGAATCTCAGTCATTTTAAAATTGTTATTCTCACTTTTTTATCCAGCTCGAGGAGGAAGAAGCCTTCCAGGTTTTGAAGTACATCATGTTCGACCTCGGCGCGAGGGAGCACTACAAACCCGACATGCATGAACTCCAAGTAAAACTGTACCAGCTCACTCGACTGATCCACGACCAAGACGCAGATCTCCTTTTGCTACTGAATCACTACGACGTTCTCCCCTCACTTTATGCAGCTCCCTGGTTTCTCACCCTCTTCGCGTCACAGTTTCCGGTCGGATTCGCAGTCCGGGTGCTAGGTTGGTCAGACATATCTTCGTGGCGATGTTTGTAACCCAATAAATTTTTGGACAGTATTTCGGGTGCAAGAAATAAGGGGGAGAAAGTGGTTTCTTGCAGGTGAATATTTTGACCTGGGAGAAATGCCCGGTGCAAGAAACTACGTCCCGTCGTAAATACTTCATACGGCGGGTGGCTGGATGGCGCATATTTCTCCCAGTTTCTTGCACCTCACATTTCTTGCATTTCTTGCTTTGCACTGGAAGAAATGTAGCAAACCCCCCAAAAACGAAACACTTTTTCTACAAATTTTTTCACAAAATTTGGAAATCTGTGCAAGTTTACGATAACTTATTTGCATTCGTAATCTTCCAATTTTGTGTTACAAACAACCTCCTGAATTTCGTAACCATTTTGACTGCATAACTTTACCCATAATTTCCTCCTTTGCAGACGTCCTTCTCCTCCACGGGGTCGACGTCATCGCCAAATTCGCCCTCGTCCTAATTCTCGACCATAAACGTGAACTCATGGCGTGCACGGGGCTGGAAGCCGTCATGGAATGCTTCAAACTCGTCGTGACCAACATAACTTCGGACAAGTTGGACAAATATCTGAAAAAAGTGCTCGAGTCGGACTGGGACAAGCAGCTGTTGACGTACTGCGTGGAATACTCGGTCATGAACGATGAAGCCTTTCACGCCTTCATGTCTGACTCTTCCGCCTCGTCGAATGCGATACCCGGGCGAAAGTCGGGGACCACGTCGGACCGCGGGGTCCAAACGTTGCTCGAGGCAAACCCTTCGCCGCCCCCAGTGCCGGCGACGAATGGGGAAAAACATCCCATCTTTGGAGATCTTATCCAACGCCAAAATACTGAAATTGCAAAGTTACAAAAGGTATTTCGGAAATTTCGAAAAAGAACTATCCGTATAATAACGAAAACATTCGAAAATTTAGCAGCATAATTTACCCCTAAGTTTTGCGAAATTTTTAATACTTCGCGTAAAACTTGGTTCAAAAAGCATGACATTTTTGTTGGCAAATTTATCCGCAAAGTGGAATGTTTCTATTTCGGAAATAGTGAGCGTATTCATTACGATTTCGCATCTCTCACAACGCTACCAAGAAAACGAAGTTCGCAAGTTCGCAAAAAAATTGCATAAAAATTGATTTGCGAACTGGCTCATATCCAATATTTATTTCGCAAAAAATATTCAAAACTATGGTCGATGCGAACATGCGATCTCGGAATGAATAATGGTCTGAATATTTTGCAAACTATTTTATTTACATATTTTTATTTCGCAAACTGTTCGCTAATTGAATAAGACGTTGACCAGAGTACCTCGATTTTTTACTAATTGTTTTCCTCTCTCTCCAGGACAAATTCGACCTCCGCCGTGACGTCCAAAGTCTCCTAAACTGCATCCTAACCATGCAAAAATTAGCCGAGATCTCCACCGGTGGAAAACTCAGTCTCCCCGTGCCACCCGAAGTTACTGAAGTCGGGGCCAAATATTTCATGAAGTGTGGCACCAATTACGCCAAATTGCTCGAGGAGCCCGGTTCCCACAACAGCAAGCCGGCCGGAATCTTAAAGTCTGAATCATCGCCAAATAATTCGTTCGCTTCTTCTTCATCAAAATTCGGGAACAATTACTGCGTCCCGCTCCTCACCCCGCCGCCCGCCCTCGTCAAACCCGGGACGAGCAGCGGGGGCGAGAGTCGCAGCAGCGGAAGTGATGGTGGCGCAGATAGTCCGAGTCCATAGGAAGAAGATAAGAGGATATCATGATAAAAGAAACAAAAAGGAAATATTATGTGATTTACTGTACTAGACAAAAAAATTAACTCAGTCACGACTAGATAACCTACTCGATCCTAAAATTGGAAAAATCCCCACATTTTTAAGCTCTGGGAACTTATTTTAAAATTCTGGACGACAAATTTGTCCTCAGTGAGTTGATTGATGGAATGGCGTCGAGTTTTTTAAGGTAGTTTCGATAAGTTCCAATTTTTCTGGAGGTTTCTTAAACTTGAGATCTACTCCGTCAAAAAGTGGCAAATTCTGGAGTGTATATTTCTTAAAAAAATTGGGAACTCCCTCTGCTCTACAAATTTGTCGGTCAGAAATTTTAAAATAAGTTCCCAGAGGGGAGAAGAAATCATTAAAAATGTGCCGATTTTTCCAATGATTCGTCCAGTCCTACGTTAACTTTCGTACTTTACTAGTTAGCAACTTGCGCCAAAATGAGAGCAAATTGCTAAAGAGTTATGTACAAAGGCAGCCTTCCTATTAAAAATATTATGCAAAAAGCCTACTAAATATTTACGCTGCCAAAAAGTGTATGTACATAAAAATATAGCAGAAAAAGAAGACTACTTTTTATTCCATCGTCTCAAAAAAAGGATAAAAAACATAGCTCAACAGTCATCAAATTTCATGCCGATTTTTTCAGCGTGCCTAACTGACGTCGCGTATATATACATACATAAAAGTATTTTGAATGTGCCTTGCCAGAAATATATTTGTAAAAAAAACTTGCCGCTAAACCTATGTACTATTAATAGATTTAAGTAATTTACATATGTAATTCGTAATGCCCTTGACAAAGGGATGATAAGTACTTATATTCGATAAACACGTGCTCAATTCAATCATCAATTATTAAGCAGTTTAAATATTAATTGATAGAAGTCTCATCCATCCAGTCTACAATGTTATTAAATAGTTTCACAAAATTCAGAATTTTCAAAATTCTGTCAGAATTATGAAAATCTCGGATGCCTTCAAGTTTCACGTAATTTTTTGTATCATTAGAATTAAAAAGTACTTAAAAAGTGTAGGATTTTTGCAATTGCGAATCCTGTGTGAAAACCGACCTCCCGAAAATTCCCCAATTTTTTGAAAATATATCTGTATGCAAATTTAAATTGAGAAATTGTGCAAAAAAGTTGGCCAATTTTCTGCAAGTCGGTACATATTTTCGTACAGGAAAAGTCAAAAAATATAATATATATTTACAAATATTTAGTGCATGCATTCGTGATATTTGAGACAAGTCAGTTAAAAAAAGGAAAAAATGTGAAATAATTTTTTGATTTTTTAAATCGTCAAAATTTCCAGATTTCATAAAACTATGATATAAATAAATATCTCAAAAATCTCCTACATACTATTTAGATAAATATAAAAACTTGCCTAAATAAGTACTTATTCAGCCAATGAAAAATTGCACACGTATAAAAAAATATAGTGACTCATTCATACCGAAATCTCAACCTATTTACAGTTTTAAGAAAGAGTATTAATTTCTAAGTAAAAAAAATATTTAATCATAAACATGTGTAAAAAAAAGACTTGAAAATGAATAAAAATCTTTCAGAGAGAGAATTTTAATAATTTATGAAAAATGAAAAATTGCAAATACACATTAATTATGAAATCTCAACCCAAATACCAGCACGATTTTCATAAAAATATTTCCGAGAGAATTTCCATAGTTTATTTTGTTAATGTGAATACGTAACGAAATCCCAACCCAAAAACCGCCACAATTTTCATAAAAATCTTTCCTTGAGGAGAATTTTCATAATTTGTAAAAAGATTGCAAATGTCAAATAATTATGAAATCCTAACCCAAACCGCCACGATTTTCACTTTCACTCTTTAAGTTTGGCTTTCGATTTCAAAACCGATCTCCATTTCATAACGCTGCATTTAACTAAATACATACGATTCGTCATGCGTGCGGCTTAATTGCTTTTCTTTGCTCGCATTTGCATTTTGTACGTACACACGTAAAAATGTATAAAACCAGATTACAAGGTTTTTTTTGTGGTGGAAAAATTGCCACAGATTTTACCGGTTTATTTTATATTGCTGTCTGTCTGCGAATGAGTGAGTGAAACAAAGTCATTCAATCCAATATTTGGCAGGTGAGCGTTTGAGGGGACGTTCAAAAAATACGCAACGTATTTAGCGGAGAACATACCTGTTCACCTTCATTCATTTGACTGATTATGATAGTGAATAAAAATGAAAATACTGTCATTTGAATGAAGGATTCCCGCAGGGATGGGCAATCCCAGGATTACTTTAATCAGATTAAGTAATCAGATTACATTGAATGTAATCCGTAATCCAGTAATCCACGAAAAATTAACATTTTAAAGTAATCCGTAGTCCGTAATCCTACTTAGGTCTGGAAATTATGTGTAATCCGTAATCCCCAATTTACGAAATTGGAAAATGTAATCAGATTACGGATTACTTTGGATTACTTTGCTTATGTAAACGGCATGACAGCTCCATCTTGCAACTTCTCTGAGTCTGAGTCGCTTCCAGAACTTGAGTTCTTAAACTACCTTCTGGATTCTTCAGCAGAGGTGCAAAGTTTATAGAATTTTGGAACAGTTAAGAGGGGTCTATTTACTACAACACATTTTTGTCTGCCCTAAGAAACCGACTGTCGGATGAATCATTCCAAGCTCTTGTTTTTTTTAACTAATCATCATCATGGAATATAAGTGTGACGCTATTCAGATTTTGAATTTCAGAATAAACCGTTGCAAACGAAATATATCAAAGGGGTGGAGTGAGACGGTCACCCGGTCATGGCATACCAAAACTATGTCTAGATTTTATTTTTTAAACCCCCGCCTAGAACTACGTCTAAAAGGATCAAGACAAAAATTCGACATTTTCGACTTTTGCGTCGTCGACACGGTCACTCGGTCATGTGACATGACTCGTGTCACGTCAAAACTATGAAGATTTTTGTAATCCTCGCCCGAAACTACGTCTAAAGCGGCAAACAAAAATTCGACACGTTTGACCCGTGGCGTCGTCACCGTGGCACTGGGACCTTATGACCTACAATTCCCATTTTCTAACTCATCCGTACCTCAAACATTAGAAACCCGTTGTCGAAAATCGCATGTTGAAATTCGAAACCGTTCTAAAGTTATCGTGGATACAGACCGACGGCCAACACTTTTCCATAAAGGGATTTCGCTTCTCTTCACCCCTTAATACATAAATATAGATTTTTGTAATCCAGATAGTAATCCGTAATCTGATTACTGTAATCCGTAATCCGTAATCCACGTCATTAATTTATCCCAGTAATCCAACAAGTAATCCACAGTATTTCCGGAACGAAGTAATCCCAATCCCGTAATCCCATGTAAATTTTTAAATCAATTAATCTGTAATCCGTAATCCATCGAAATTGTTGGGATTGCCCATCCCTGGGATTCCGTCATTTCAGATGAATGACTGTGAGTGAATGGATTCCTCACTCATTTCATTTTTCACCCTATGCTTAATACATGGGGCGTAAAGTAAGAAATGAAGTCAGATGAAGTGAAATGAAATGAATTTGAACGAAAATGACTGAATGTGAATGAAAATCTTAAGCGATGACTGACTTTTGAATGAATACTAAATTTTTGAACAGGTATGGCGGAGAGGTCGGCCTGTTATGGTACGGGTCAACTTGCGCCACATGTTAAAAAAACGGGGTAAAAAATCGCCAATTTTGCGCCCAGTACCTTATGAACGTTCCCCTCACTCATGTGCGTAAAAGTACACAAAGCTAACGATTGTGTATCCGTGTTGTGTAAACGTTACAATAAATTGTACCTACAGAACAATTACAAAGTTGTAAATAAACCTTTGCATATTTTGTGGCTAATAAATGACTAAACTACCTTCTTCCGGTTGTGTGTGTGGTGTTGGGTCAAATGAAATCTTTTAATCTGGTTAAATACTTACCTCATTTGCATATTTAGTTTGGGTACTGATTTTTCTATAATTTCCTCACCTTGAAGAAAACAATGAAATGGAAAATGCTTAAATGAAATTGTAGAAATTAAATTAGTAATTTTTTTTAAATGATTAGATATCTTTCAGGTTTTCGTAAATCCAGTAACGAATTAATGTACAAAATAGGTAACTTTTTTAAATGGTAATTTTTCAATACTTAATTTTTTCATGATTTTCATACCAAATTCAGAAATTTTGTCAAATTGGCTACATTCATATTCTTAATTGAGACAGTGTTTAAATGGTATTGATTACAACGTGGTCAAAAATTGTAACGTGAAAATGTTTTTTTTTCGTCTGCGTGTTATCTTGCTCGTATAAAACTTAATGTCCTCATCTACACTTGACCACGTCGCCACAATTTTTTTTGAAATTTGATATGCATTATGTCAAAATTCGAAAAAAATATGGTCAATAAAGTCCCATATTTTTTTAGTCTGCGTGTCATAAAAAATTCAAGTCGACATCTACACAAAGTTGATCACGTCGCCACAATTTTTTTAAAAATTTGATATGCATTATGTCAAAATTCGAAAAAATATGGGCAACAAAATTGTCACCTTGCTCGTATTAAAAATTGATGTACATAGACTTGATTGCGTCGCCACAATTTAAAAAAAACTTGACATGTATTGTATTAAAATTCAAAAAAATAAGATCAATAAAGTCACATTTTTTTTAGTCTGCGTGTCATAAAAAATTCAAGTCGACGTCTACACGGACTTGACCACGTCGCCACAATTAAAAAAAAAATATGATATGCACTATTCTAAAATTTCGAAAAAATATGGGCAACAAAATTGTCACCTTGCTCGTATTAAGAATTGATGTCCTCATTAGCTTACTTACATGGACTTAATCAAGTCACCATAATTTTTTGAAATTTGATATGCATTATGTCAAAATTCGAAAAAATATGGGCAACAAAGTCCTAGATTTTTTTAGTCTGCCCGTATGAATTTTGCTCATGTAAAAAAACGAAGTCCTCTTCTACACGGACTTGATCACGTCGCCACAATTTTTTTTAAATTTGATATTCATTATGCTAAATTTCGAAAAAATATGGGCAACAAAATTGTCACTTTGCTCGTATTAAACATTGTTGTCCTTGGCTACATGTGTTTGATCACGTCGCCACATTTTTGAAATTTTATATGCATGCATTATGCTAATATTTTTAAAAAAATTAGGCAAAAATATGGTCACCAAAATCCTGGTAGACCCAATTCTGTCCCCTCCAACGATTTTTTAAGGTACTCAAGTTCAGGTTTCTGCTGTGCCTAGTTTATACTTTTCCTATTCAAAGCAATAAAATGACCTCAACCAAGCGGCGGCTAAAAATGCATACTAATTGTACGCAGTGGCCGTGGAAGGTGTGGGGACATCGGGGGACATTAACATTTTAGTAGGGCCGGGTTTATATAAGATTATGGGCAGATGATGCTGACCATACATGTTCACATTCATTCATTTAATGATGAATGAATAAATTATTCATGCAATATTCAAAATTTTGAATGAATATTGAATGAATATTTTATTCTGATTTTTGAATAAATGAATATTTAGTGAGTATCTATTCAATTCGTGTGAATGAATAATGAATGAATTTTTTTCATCATTCATTTCTAGCTCAATGCTTAATACATAGGGAAAGTTGAGAAATTGATCTAATATTGTTAATTTTGAATAACATGAATAATGAAGGAATGGTGAATAATGAATAAATGTTTTAATAATTACCCGAGGTGCACCATCACGATATTGGCACGAGTTTGGAACTAATCTGAGCACCCCAGTTTTCGTGTTAGGCACGTATGAAAATGGTGGTGATTTCGTGCCAAACTGGTGGTAGGTGTCGCTCTTTTTAACGTGTACAATTCGTTCCTAATCCGTTCATGAAGAACGAGTTTCGATAATCGACACGAGAATTATCCGATAGAAACACGAGTATAGCCCAAAATAAAAACCAGATTCGCACGTTTAAAACACGAATTTTTGTCGTTTGGATTGAGTCTCGTTTTGGATTTATTCAATTTTTTAACTCATTAAACAATTAATAACAAATTTGAACGATTAATAGAAATAAGGATTAATCACTCGTCGGATTCCGATCCAGAATTTGTTGAGGGAAGAGTATCACCAGATTTTGCCAACCGTTTCCTGATAAAATAATTGCACAACAAAATTTATATCAATATAATCAAGATTAATAGTTTTGCAACTGGGGATGTGTTCATACCTTTCAGAATCAATACGCTTGCTGGAACTCTTTAGCCAGTTTTTAATTATGTCTGCAATTTCGTCATCATCAGCGTTATCCAACTTTCCATGAATTGCTTCTGGAAACCAAATGTCGAAAAAATAATGAGTGTCGACGAATTTCAATTGTATTTTTATGAATTACGAAACTTATGAGATTCAACCAATGAAAACTAAGGCTCTCTTACCAAAAATAATTTGTTTCATAAAAGATTTAGAAAAGGGGAACTTTCCTCTTCTCGAACCAATTGTACGAAGATGCAAGCTTATCTGTCAACAATTTCTTTAGGATCCGCTGCGTAACGTTTGATAATTTCTTAGTCCCACTTATGCCTCTTTGAAGTTCTACAATCTATAAAATTGAAGTTGTAATTAGCACCCTAAGCTAAATTATGTTCATAAATATTATGTACGTCAAAATTTTCACAGTATATTACCAATGTAGCCTTGGAATCCTTGATAAAGTCCTCAAGCTTTGCCAGATCGGAATTGTCGTCCATTGGTAATAAATCTGCAGGAAAAGTATTTTGCACCGGACGGTCTTGTTTTCCACTAGAAGTGTTCATTATGGCATCCACACTTTCCTGTAATTGTCTTAGCTGTGCTTTCATAATATTTACTTGACGCACCATCCATGTCTGAAATTCTAAAATAGTAAAATAAGGATTAATTAAAATGCATGATAAGTGAATATTACATGAATATTGAGTACACCACCTAACCTGGACTATTGTTTTTATTTGCGATATTTGATGAACGATTTTCATCTCTCAGAAATTTCGTCTTTGTCCCTTTCATCACGGTTTTCCAAGTTACCCGTCCTGAATCCTCGCGATTTGTTCAAAATTTGGTTTCCAGGCGGTGGACCAATCTTTGGGCTACTGCTTGGACGGTTGACATGTTCACAAACGCTAATCATGGAGGAGTGGGCTTGCCGTGAATGTGAAGCAATTCTAGGTGTGCCTTGTTGTTGGAGGGAAGGCGGGGAATTAATCGGTGGGGGTTGATCAGTCACTTCATCAAACATTGGACTGATTGCCTCTCCTGGACCTTGAGATGTAGAATGCGACGTGGCATCTCCGACCAAGACTAAATTGAGTTGTAATTTTGATTTTAACTTAAATTCGCATGAATCAAGAATACAGTTCAATTTATTTTGCTTCTATTCATATATAGAACTCACCGAGATATTTTGGAGGTGGCGGTATTTGTTTCACCTTAGTTGAATGCGACAACTTTTGCTTCTTTTTAGTCCCAGTCAGATCCACATCTTCGCCATCCGAATCGCTTGAACTTCGATGCAACGGGTATTTCTTGTATCGTTGCCCACGACCGCTTGAAATAAAAAGGAGACTTACCAAATGTTTTACTCTCTTCGAGAACAGAGACGTTGAATAAAGTCCACGAATTTGGGTTTGGGTCCTCCCCATCAATAGCAGCCTTCACCTGCCGGTCCAGAGACTTATATGGGGGCCACCAACATTGGTCGTTAGTAGGCATCAACCAATTTATGGGTGTGATTTCAACCTCATCGGTGTCGAGAAAATGAACAATCGAGTAGCGCATTTTGAAATTTTACTGGATTTGACTATGAATCAAGGGAAAAGAAACAAATTTGGTATCAAACGGAAGAAGTACACATTTAAATTCAATCAGATTAATGTCAAATTTTCTGAGACTAGTTAAATTGGACACAAGTTGTACACCAATTAATGACGATGAACATGGACAGCTGAGGAAATCCTCATTGGTTTTAAACTTTTGTCCAACCAAAACTGAAGGCGAACCTTCCTCAAAATAATGTATTTTTATAATACTTCCGTCCTTAAGCTTGCATGTATTATTACCAGCCTTGTTTGATAGTTCGAAGTTACTTAATTTATACACTTTGAAACAGTTTGATCTCTCCTCTGAATTAATATCGGGCTGGAGAAATTTTGGCTGCTGGGCACACTGGTTGCGGCGTGAGAACTGAATTTGCTCTCTTTCAACCACCCGCCGGTGAACTTGTTGCAGGGGAAATGCTGGAGATCGGACCAACTTCTTTATTTGTTGCAACTTATTTTCAAATGGGAAGGCACTGAAGTCGTCGAGAGGACCATGTCGAATGCTGTCTCGGGCTAAGTGTAATAAACTATGGAGATTATGGCTGCAGTATTTTTTTCCATATATTTCGCCAAAGTTGTTCACAAAATATTGTAATAACTTTTCTGCATAATTATTTAGAATTTGATAAGTTTTAGGATTGACAAGAATAGCGATGGCCACATGGAGACACAAAAAATGTTGGTACAACTCGGGAGTAAGAATCTTCTTTAATACAATAGGACCAGAGTACAATAAGAACTGTCGATACTCAGTAGCCTTCCAGTGGTCAAGTTCTTTAAGTGGACGTGGTTTTCTTGCAAATTCCTTTGGTATTGATTTTTTGATGTTACACAAATTAATTGTTAATTGGTCAACTTGGTGGAAGCGAAGACGACATGGACATTTTTTACCCTTAGTCCACAAAAAAAGTAACTTCCTAGTAATGCCCAGGCAAACGAGATGCATGAAATCCACTGGTACATCCTCGACCAGGTTTACAGGAAGCAATTCTATTATGGACGATTGATTATGGTGAGCTTTATCCAATTTCAAACGGATAGATTCATCACTTCTCAAGTTGTAATTTCCTGGAGGGAACGTTACACGGTTGTCCACATATTCACCTTTAATATCGCATTTTCCACACGAACTATAACCACTATGACACTTGGTTCCCAAAATAAATGATCTTGCTGGTAAATCACACACGATTGCGCATATTTCGAATTTTAAACTGAAGCCTGGTTCAAACGAAATGAATTGGTTGGCGAATCGACTCAAAAAGTTATCTATATTAGCAGGTTTTCCCAATCCAGAGTAAATTCCAATCACTATCACTTGATTTAGCTGAACAATATTTGCTAAAATCGGCCAAAATTGTCGTGCACTGCTTTTGTACAGAGGAATACCATCAATATTAATTTGAATTTTCACAATTGCTGGCCGTGGAGCTTGAACAAATAACTTTTCAACTGATGGGATCCAGTCAAAATGCACATATTCTCCAGGTTCGACAACTTCAATTGCAGTTTCTCTTGGAGTACGTAGAAGTGTTCTGGGATCTTTTGGTAAATTAAAATCAGGTTGTCTATTTAAAATCTCTAGCAGATCCCGTAAAGCAGCACATGTAATGTTATGTTTCACTGCCCACTCTCGTAATTCGTTACTGGTGTCCTGTTTAGGCTGTTCGAAATCACTATCACTTGAACCTGACTCCTTGGTGGACTGACTATCAGAGAAATCTGAGGAAAATGAGTCGTCCTCACTGTTGTGGATTTCAAAAATCACACTGTCGCGTTGTGATGAACTGTGTGGGTGTGGTGTCGGCGATTTAGAACTCGGGACAATGGAATTTAACACTGTTTCCTTAGTGTACTGGGAAACTAAAGCAAAATCTTTTATTCCATCTTTCGCATTACGGAATAATTTTCTTTTCCTTGCTCGATTCATCTTTTCTATGAAAAGAATAATTGTGATTCAAATAATGTGACTTCTTCAATGACATTTTTGTGGGCATTATTTAGCTCTGCATTAAATAAATCACGTAAATTTTTCGTGATTTTTCCGTGCATTTCATCAATAGTAGGAACACGAATTTAGTGACCGAGTTTAACCCGTGACAGACACGAAAGATTTTGAACTGATTACGTAGTGAGAAATTCGAGTTTACTATTCGGGTTATTCTCGTGCCTACAAAAATATTTACACCAAAAATGCACCAAAAACTAGATTGACACCGGGGATACCAATAATACACGTAATTTTCTCGGTTGGTGCACCTCGGTAGTGAATATTTTTTTTACAAATTATGAATGAGTGAATAAGGAATGAATATTTTTTTCCAGGCTTTGAATGAATGAACTTTGAGTGAATAAATATTTTCTGAACATGTATGATGCTGACATCGAACAACCGTGGGGACATTGTCCCCTCAAGCTTCCTTCCGCGGCCATTGATCGTAAGTCGACTCTTATCCATTTATTATTATCTTTTCAATGTGCTCGCTTAAAGCAAGTCCCATTTTTTTATTAATTTATTATCAAATTTCCAAGTTTTTTTTTATCGCAACTCGTTTTAACAAAAGACAAGTTTGAAGCGCAATGTTGACATGAAAAAAAGACGAAAGAAACAAACGCACAGGATAAAAGCAAGGGGGACGATAATTAAATGAATAATTAGTTGTAGTCTACTTATTTACAGATCTCATGCATGGCCATGATTTGTTCCCCGGTTTAAACATTTACAAATACATTTAGTGGTAAAACATATATAAGGTTGACATGCAATGAAAACTGTGCATAAAAAACCTGTTGCTCAAACTCAACAAGGTATTGTGCACACCGGTTTATTTGTAATTATTAAAGCTGAACTTTAACCTCACCTGCCATATTTAGGAGGAAGACAATTTTTAGTAAAATCAGTGCCTCGTTTTTTGCAGGGTTTCTACATTTCTTAGAAATTCGAGGTGCAAGAAATCGCAAGAAATATGCGCCCTTTAGCGACACGTCGTAGCGCGGCAGGACATAGCTTCTTGCGCCGTGCATGCATTTCTCCCAGGTCACAGGGTGGTTAAAATGTCACGCCACAATGGAAAATTTTACAATGGGAAAATTCCCTAAATCTCCATTAGCTACAAGATTTGGGATTGAGATTTTTATAAATTATTATCAAAACTGGTGACAAAATTCTTAAAATGTTGCATTTTAGAGACAAAATTTCGCTAACTAATTGAAATTTATGGATTTTTCCCATCGAACAATTTTATATTGTAGCGTGACATTTTAACCACCCTGTATTTGTAAAAAAACCACTGTCTTTTCGCCGTTATTTCTTGCACGTGGTATTTCTTGCATGTGAAACAGTGATGGTCAAAATGCATAAATGTGCACCCTATCACCACCACCACCACCACTCCTTCTTCTTCCTTAAAGCCAAAGAAGAGGTGCACATCTGCATGAATCGAATATTAAAAGATATCACTTCTTAATTCCTCACTTTCCCAAAAACTACAAGATTTACCATTTATACCAAATTCTAAACACAACGTTGCAGTCATTCATGACCCACAAACCACGACTCGTCCTGCCGCTTCATCTCACTCATCGCACTTTCTTTCCACACAGAAGAAAAAACTTGACATTCGAATTTTTGCCAAAGCCAAGCGTAGGCCATCCCCCAAAATCGAACAATGTAGATTCAGATTCGTGTCTCTATGTGACGCAAGAAAGGGAAAGGAAACAAATGTGCGAACAGAGAGAAAAACCGGTCTGTAATTTCTGAAATTTTTCAAGGAACCGTCGTCATCTCCTCGTCGTCGTCGTGGTCAGTCGTTCGTGATCATTCTTTTTGAGAAGATGTGGTGGTTTCCTGTGAGTCCGCGGCGCTTCTGTCCCAGTGTTGGAGGAGTAACCTTGATCTTCCTTCTGTTAGCGGTTTGCTTAGCGACGGGAGGGATTCATGTTCCGGTTAAAATTCAGGATAAGGTAAGATAATAGTTTTTCCAGGATTTTGTTTTCTACATTTCTTGCAGTGCGAAGTAAGAAATGTAAGAAATGCGAGGTGCAAGAAACTGGGAGAAATGTGCAAGAAATGTGCGCCATCTAGCCACGCGCCGGATGAACTATTTACCCCGGCGGGCGCACTTTCTCCCACCTTGCATTTCTCCCAGGTCAAAATATTCACCTGCAAGAAACCACTTTCTTGACACTATTTCTTGCAAGTGGTTAAATACCTCCACCTGAAACACTGGGCGTACTCACGTCAACCCTTCGCATATCTCGCAAACTGAGCAACACAACTTGCAAAGTTCTGCTAAACTTGCGAAATTTAGGAAAATATTTGCAGTAAAATCTCGAATTGTTTTTCGCAAGTTTTTAGGAATGTTTTTATTTCGAAAAATAATTTCACAAATTCATGAAATTATAGAAATTAATGGAAACAGGTGTTCCTTTAAGTAGAGAGATTTGCGAAGATCAGAAGTTCCGAATCCCCTCATAAAGCTAACTTTGTGAGGGGATTCGCAAACGATTTCGTATTTTTTGTAAATGAGTGGAGATGCGAAATGAGATATTGTCTTATTTCAGTGATTACATTAAATTAATAGCTTACGTAATTCAGTGAGGACGATATAAATAAATTCGCCTCGTTCTTCCAGGATGCCGACGCCACCCTGAAAGGCATTCAAGCCCCGATCCCTCTCCCCACCAATTTCGAGGAGAGGTTATCCACCGAGATGAGAATGACGACGGCGGAAAAATCGCGAAGAATGGGGGACCCTGCCCCCATCTACAGGGACAAAGATTCCCATACTCGCGGGGAGGACCAGGCCCGCGCATTGGGGCGTCAAGCGCGAGGATTCTTCTCATTTTGGCCGTTTTCCATTGAAATCACGAAAGGAAAGGGGGCCGATCATCACCCCGGGGGTGGGGGTGGATGGGGACCGTCGCATTACGGATCGTAAGTGCACCCTTATCTTTTTACGGGTCTATTCTCTCTCTTTTTCTCTCGGGTTTGGGCAGTGTTTCGTTTTTCCTGCGGGTTTGGTACATTTCTTGCAGTGCGAAAAGCAAGAAATGCAAGAATTACGAGGTGCAAGAAACTGGGAGAAAGTGGGAGAAATATGCAGAAATCTAGCAATGTGCCGTGTGAAGCATTTATCGCGGCGGGGTGTAGTTTCTTGCGCCGTGGATTTCCTGCGGTCGAAATATTCACCTGCAAGAAACCACTTGCACGTGGTTATGTATTTCTTGCACGTGCGCATTTCTCCCAGGTAAAAATATTCACCTGTAAAAAACCACTTTCTTCACGTTATTTCTTGCACGTGGTTACTTGCACGTGGTCACTAGCACCCAAAATCAACTGAAAAAAACGGTCACATTTATCACAATCTGCTGTTCGCAAGGACAGGGACAGAATAATGACGGACAAACATTCTTCCTCCGACTGACTGAGTAACATTAAATGAAAAAAAAATTGTAAACTCTGTAAAATTTAAATGCCACCCACAAAAAAATCTTATTTCCCATCTTCTTAAGGTCACCACTACCACCTTTCAACCATCCGAACCCGCACCAACTCACGCATCGCGCCGGGGTCACGCTTCACGCGAGCAGTCATCCCATCAAAAAAGCTGCGAGATTCGAAACTCCCGCGGAACACGAGGCCGACGACGAGCTGGATCCCGATAATGACCCCGAAGTCCAAAAGTTACGGTTGCAAATTTACAAAATGAAAGTTCGAGCGAAAAAGTGGAAAAAAATTTGGAAATATAATTTAGCCGAGGTGAAGTCCATCCTCGTCTCGAGGCTTATCGATTTTGTCGAGTTTATCTAAAATTTCGAAATCGAAATAAGCTCAGTCAGTCGGAAGAGAATTACATATTTAATTGCTATTTATTTTATTTAATTATTTATTTATTTATTTATTTATTTACACAATTTTCAAAATTTACGTCTCAACAAAACGCCACCACTCGCGAGACGTGCTTTGTAAAATTTACATGTCTTTTATTACGTCCTGCTTGTCATGGGCGGCTTATCATCACAGGGCGGATAAGTATTTTATGGGTTTACGACATGGGTTTACGAAAAAAGGAGAATTTACGCAAAAATTAAAAAAAATTAATCCTCCGATTTTTCTTGGTCGAATTTCTTTCAGTAAAGAAATTAACATATTTGCAAAATTATCCATATTTTTTGAAAAAGTATGCAAAAGATTTAGCTATTTTTTAAAAATAATAGCGTAAATGTTTTTGCATATGAAATATTTGCACGTGAATTTTGCGACTTGCTTTAATGGAAGGGTTGATTTTCGCAAGATCAATATTGATGTATTCAATATCGAAACTTCGAAATTTTTATGATAACAATGTTTAGTTTTTGTTATTAAGTATTGAAAAAATATACATTTTTTGCAAAAAAATGTAAAAGATTTACCTGTTTTTCAAATAATAGGGGAAATATTAGCATGTCTGAAAACCTAGAAAAATAAAATAAAACAATTTTTCCGATTTCTTCAAGTTTGGTAACACACCCACTAAAAGTTTCAAATCAAAATTCAGAATCAAATTCAAGAAATACTTATCCGTCCTCTGCTTATCATGTCCTGTTCTGTCCCTGTCCTTAAAAAATCTGTCCTTCGAGATATTTTCTTAATATGCTAATCAATCCTTGTCCCCCAGCCATAAGGGACCCTCGACTGGATTCCATTTCAATAAAGGGATCACTTTTAAGGCTGGGTCGCACCTGAAGGGTCACCACGAGGGCGGAGGTCACGGCGGAGGTCACCAGCAGCACGGGTGGGGTTGGGAGGCGTCCATCGAAAAGGAGAAGCATCAACTCAGATACGAAATCCTTAAGCTAAAAGCAAAAAAGAAAATCGCACTTCTTCAAAATACTGTCGAACTTAAAAAACTTTTTAGCATTATTCTTCAAAAAATTGTACAAGCTCTCGAGTGGTGGCGTTGATGGGATTGTCCCGGGTTTTTAATTAGCATCATTTTACGGCGGGTATTTATTTATGAAAAAAAATTCGGGGATTAATAGTTAAGAAGTAGGGAAAAACTTCAAAATATTTATCAAATAATTACGAAAAAATCTGTAAGAAATTATATTTTAGGTTTTTTGCCAAATTATTCTTTTGACCTTAAAGCTCAATTTGTTGGTAACCAAATTTCTTTACAAGTCTTAAATTGTTAAAATATTTATGAAAATTTGAGGAATTTTTTATGAGAAAACGATAACAATTTTACGATTAAGCGTAAAAATATTTATTTTTTAAGCCATTTTCTTCCAAATTATTCTTTAAAAATCCAATTTTTTAACAAATATTTTTTCGTACAAAATCCTTCAAATATTGACAAAATATGGAGCAAAATTGCCAAATTTCGCAAATAATACCCCGAAAATTTCCAAGTTTTCCAGTCATAGCGTCTCAAATAAATAAATATCCGCCGTATCATGACCACAAAGTTCCTTGTTACTATTAAATATTTAACTATTTATTTGTCCTCTTATTAAATAGTTTTAACTGTTTTTTATTATTAAAAATATGTATATGAAAATTTAACTTAAAATGTGTCGGAAATAAAAGGATTACAATTAAAGAAAAAAAAACATTTCGTGTATCATTTTAACCTCTTCTTTACAGTTACACGTCCTGGATGACAGAATCTCAGCAGCAGCAGAAAGAGCACGGGAAAAATAATGGTGGCGAAGGATATCCCGGGTGGGATGCAAATGCTCACCCGTACCAGTCCATTTACCACGGGGGATATGACCCCAATGACCCCGAGGTCCATTATCATGGGGCCTCTTCCGAGAAGAAGGGTTTGACGGATGAGGAAATCCTTAAATCAGAACGTGAGTAAATTCTGGACAAGGTTATTTACGGGTGTCCGGGCATTTCATGCCCCACAATGCATATCCCCATATTTCATACCCAACATACTTCGTTCCCTCACAATATTTATATTTCGCGTCGCAAATTAAAATCCAGAACCTAAATTTTACGACTTGCTTTAATGGAAGGGTTGATGTTGGCAAGATGGAAGCACAGAGTTGGATATTTAGGTGGAGAGATTTACTCAGGAAAAACAGTATGTGAGGATATGAATTGTGGGGGAATGAAAAGTGTGGGGATGAAATGTGGGTTATGAAGTACTCTAACACCAAAATACTTACCCTGCAACCCTGCTCACGTTAACATCGTATTTCACGAATAGTCTGCAAAATTGAATGATGTCCTAAATTTGGTAACGAAAATTTCAGCAAAATTTTAGACGAAATGCTAAAAATTTTCAAAAATTTGTCAAAGTATTTATCTCAATTTGAATAATTTGTAAATCAAAAATCTAATCCTTTTCCAACAAGGCTTTCGAAAATTTATGAAATTTCACCAAATTTAGTTAAAAGTTATTATTATTTGTCATACGTAATATTTACGAAGCTTGTCGTGAGTGAGTACGCCCATTTTAAAGAGTATTCTTTTTAACATGATTTATTTATTTTCAGATTATCGCAAATATTTGAAATACAAGCACAAGAAGATCAAAATTCTGAAAAAGAAACTCAAGTGGAAGAGAATATTTCAAAAGGTGTTGCAAAAACATATCAATTTTGCGGATAAGATTGTCCCATACTAAATAATTTACATTAATTAGAGTTACCTTATTTATTTATTTATTTATTTACGATTTACAAAATTTCTCGGAAGACCTAGCTTACAAAATTTTGTGAAAATTCATAAATAATTTTGATAAATAATTTTGCAAAACGTATTTTAAATTTTACAATGCTACGCGAATTGTTGCACTATATATTAATTGTACTCTTGCAAATATCAATTTAAAATCATGTCACCATTTGTTCGCAAGCTATGAATCCATTGATGTCGGTCATTTTTGTGCAAAATTATTCTTGACTACGAATCCTGGACATTTTCACAGCGTCCTCGCCACGCACAATGCAGAACTCGCAGCGGATGCTCACAGATTTTGACCAAACTAGTGTCAATCGATCGCAAATTTGATTAGTATGAAATTTGCGAAAGACACGATCTCCCAATGGGCACATTTGGCCGAGATATTTGCACCCGAAGAGGAGAAAACGCAAAGGAAATTTGAAAAGTGTAAAATTTGTCAAGTTTACGATGGGTATTTTAGAGTCATCGCTAAATGATTTTGTATCACCACCACGAAATTAAACATAAATGACTTTTATTCATTTTTTTCTTCAATTTCTACACTACAAATTAAACTAAAATGACGCACTGATACTGACTGAGAATTTACATGTACATAAGCTTCAACTACAACTATGTACGTAATACATGTGTAACAAGTAACGATTAACTATTAAAACATTAGAACTAAATATATTTAAATAAACATTATTCAGCCACGCATGAATTTACCATTTTTGGTACAATGTACTTTAAAACTGTTTTCGTGCAAATACTGATCCAGACAGTGGCCGCGGAAGCCGTTGGAGGGACACTTGGGGACATTTACATTGTAGGATAGGGGGAGGGCCGGGCTTATATAAGATGGGGAGATGATGCGGACATCGAATAACCGTGGAGCATTGTCCCCTCACCCTTCCGCGGCCACTGGTCTCCAGACTTAATTAAGTAGTAAATACATGTTGCCACAAAACTTAGCGAACCTTCATAAATTACAAAACGCTGTAATATTCGTGTTAAGGAATTTAAGCTATTACAAACATGTACGTAAATAAATAATCTACATCTCGCTACGACCTACGCCTACTCTAAACTTTCATGTACGAAAAGACTTTGGCAGAAGAGAAAGTAAAACTACTTCCGGTTACGGGAAAGAGCCACTTGATTTATTAAAGTTGGCTCAAAATTCAACCAACTTTGCTACATATGCCACGCGTCGAATGACCTTGAAAAAGATGTCGACATAAAATTCGAATCAGAGATCGACATCGACCAAATTTTTGGTGGTGGTGCAAAATTTTGGTAATTTTTCGGCGGCGTCTCAAGCAGGAAGTAGAACTTATTGGTAGCGACGACGTGCGTAGAATGCTACCTTCCAGCGTAAGATCGGTGGCGTCGACCTCTGATTTGAATAACCTTGCTCTTATCGATCGATATTCACTTTTACGCTTACAAAGCTTTTCCGCAACCATTTTAAATTATTACACGATAACGTCTACAAACTATTGAGTAAATTAAATACGAGTACATTAACTGTTTCGTTTTTCTTTTTCTAAAATTTCTAATTTTACAAAATTTTTTGTGTAACGTTAGCTCGATTCTAATTCGGGGGAAATTTCCTCCTCTGCCAGTCGGACTGGTTCTGCACCTTCGTCATCTTCGTCGTGATCACTTTCGCCGTCGCCGAGTGGCAACTCCTCATACTCGCCCCCAGGGGCACCTAACGTTTTGCAGCCTTCTTTACACCGGCCGACTTGGGAAATCCTGAAGAGAAAAAACGTATGTACAACACGTGCCTTTTTATGTACTTATCATTATCGTAATTGCTTTATCCGGCGTGTTGGTTAAGCATATAACTATGTTAGTTAGTTAATAAGCATAATTTACAACTTATCGCTGTTATGTTAGATAAGTGTTGTTGGTAAAAGCAATCATGGACACTATTTGCTACTAGAAATGAAACCATACTGATGGCCTAGATTCTATGCATTTGTAGTAGCTACTCGCTATTTCTGGAAACTTATTAAATATTTAAACTTACATAGTTTTGGTTACGATACTATTCCTGACGCGTAATAATTTTAAAAATGTATGTAAAACGACGAGATTCAATCAATTCCACGTTATATTTCCATGATCCCTTTCATAATTCAGTCACTGCACTAATTGTAGTCTAGCTCGTATGGAAATCTAAAATGAATCTATTTGTCTGAAAAATTCTGGTGGAAATTAATTCCTCAGAATCTTGCACGTTCACATATCTACTCTGCATAAAAAGTTATGCATATAAGTAGTACAGAGTTTATTTTTCGCCAGGTAGATTTTCATACGAGCTTAAATTACATTAAATATGTTACGGTATGAGAATATTATTTAATTGAATGAACTAAATCCTGATGATTTAAGAGAGATGACAAATATTCTCAATTGTTTCCAGACTAGAAACTTAACTTTATACACACATTTTAACAAGATAACAACTACAAATAATTACAATTTTTACGAGTACTTTTTACATTGCACAATTCAACATTAGGGCTTCACTATTTAAGAAATAAATCCGTGTAAAAATCGACATGTCGCAAAAATCGCACGTTTTTCTTCAGAAATCATGCCCAGTTTATGAATAGATTAAAACGAACAAGATTTGTTTTTGCTGAATTAGTTCTGCTTTCCAAAGACGAATCGTTAAATTTTTGACAGACCGATTTTCATGGATACATGACCTTTTACATGGACAAAGCAATACGAACAGGAAAATCAGGACATATGTACAGCTTTTTTAATCCGATAGCTTTTTCCAGTACATATGTAAGTCTATTACACTCGTGATTATCTGTATTATTATCAGCGTCGAAAAAGTACGCATTTTGGAGCATCATAATCCCATATAAATCCCTTTTTTCTTAGAATACTTATCAAATATTTTTAGATAACGTGGGTATATATTTACATATTTATTAAACAAGAGGACATCACATTACACACTAATAATTTCCCCCTTTTTACTAACATGAGCACAAAATTCCTTAATTATGGTTTCGTATACATACGATTTCACATCTAAATCTCATCACATCACTTTTTCCTCAAGCTAAGAATGTGAGCCTTCGATAAGCTACCGTCCTTGGTCTGACACCATACCACGTGTTACATACAGAATATATACATATAGATAACCACTTGCAACATAAAGTGTAACCACGACGAGACACTTATCATAGTAACGTGGTTTTCATAATTTAGTAAAATTTAAACACGATGAAACACTTATCATAACAATTATCCCACGTGGTTTTTATGACTCATTAAAATTTAAATACGACAAGACACTTATCATAACTATTAACTGCTGAAGGAGACCTTGTTTTCATGATTTCGGCAAAAAACTAAATTCACTACAAATACAATACACATTTACATATAACCACGTGGAAAGTAAAGTTAACCAGAATGAGACACTTATTATAATAATTACAAAACGTTGTTTTAATGATTTCGCCACAAAATTCGCTCATGGAAAACAGTAGATACTAATGTATGCAAATATATACAATTTCCGTCACCCCCACCACCACCTTAGTCCTTATTTTGCCCTCTGTACCACCCACCACCCACCCTACTTTTCCTATGGCACCCTTTTTTTTGTGGGGCTCACCCTAAAATACTGGCCAAGAGGAGGCTGACACTCCCAAAAACGAGGGAGTTTGCCATATAAGCATTTCCTTGGAGGTGACTAGCTCCTCCTCCGGAGCCTTTGGAGACCGAGATTTTGCCCCCGTATCGATTCAAGAAGTCCAAAGCGACCCCGTTCGTCCAACCGAAGCCGACAACGACGTCGTATTCACCTCCGCCACCAGGGAGACCGACCACCGTCACGTCGTACTAAGGAAGGTAAGAGGATAAACTAGTTAGTAATTTGCGCCAATGGTATAAATAGTTTAACTAGAGCGTAAGTTAGGAAGTAGTTAAGTATAAAACCAACGACTTAACAAGTTATTTAGTAACTTGCGCCAATTTTGTGGTTTAACTAGGGCGCAAGTTATCAAGTAGGAAAGTATTAACCTAACAATTTGACGACTAGTTTATAACTTGCGCCAATGTTATAGTTTAACTAGGGGCGTAAGTTACCAATGATTGAAATCTAAATCCACAATTTAACAAATTACTAACTTGCGCCAATAATGTTATACTTTAACTATGGCGTAAGTTATCAAGGAGTGAAATATATGCCCATCTTTTTTCTCTCAACATGTAAATACTTATAACATTTTGAAAATTTACCGTAAAAATCGAAGAATTACAAAAAAAAATCTTGAAAAAATTCGCATCTTTTTTTAATCTATTCATGAAAACGATAACCCACATTACCTTCAAGAAGATAACCCACCTTCTCAAACATTTTATCCTTACTTATAAAAATCAAAAAGGAAAAATTGTAATAAAAACCGAAATTTTAAATAAAATCTTGTTAAAAAAAGTGCGGATTTTTTTGTAAAATTATATTCACAAAAATGATAACCCATAAAAAAGATAACCCACCTTCTCAAACATTCTATCCTTTCCTTGCTTAAACGCCGCGTAATTTGTGGCAATCCATTTTTCCGCAATTTCAAACGCCAACGCTTTCGCTTCCAGATTCCCCGTGTTATCGAGCGCATCCACGATAAGGTGTTGCAGGGGGGCCCATCCGTTCGGAAAGTCCCACTGCTCCCCGGCATGCGTCAAACTGGTCGGAATTCCACCCGGGTAGGCGAGAGCCCCGGAGCGTCGCAAGTACCCCACGACCCGGTTGACCACGGAGACCGCGTTGTGACTTCCGGTCCAGAGGGGAACCACGTTCGACGGGTAGAACTCCTTGCGCAAGGTTTTCGTCGCAATTTCAAAATCGAACCAGCAACCTTCCTCTTCATCCCAGAGTAATTCGTTAATCATGGTTTTCCATTCGTGCGCGATGGACTCGTACTTTGCGGCTTTGGTCGGTGCCCCCGTCTGCGAAAGGGGGAAAGTATATTAATTTTCGGCTTAATGAGAATGGGGATCGATCAGCGGGTGCGATCCGATTTTGAGCAAATTAGTGCGAATCAATGGCAAATTTGATTAGTATGAAATTTGCGAAAGACACGATCTCCCAATGGGCACGTTTGGCCGAGATATTTGCATTCGAAGAGGAGAAAACGTGCCTTAAAGTCGACAAATTTTACACTTTCCACATTTACTGTGCGTTTTCTCCTCTTAGGATGCAAATATCTTTTGCAAATTTAATTGGTACGAAATTTGCGAAAGACACGATCTCCCAATGGGCACGTTTGGCGAAGATATTTGCTTCCAAAGAGTAGAAAACGCGCTGAAAATTCGGAAAGTGTAAAATTTGTCGACTTCACGGCGCGTTTTCTCCTCTTCGGATGCAAATATCTCTGCCATACGTGCCCATTGGGAGATCGCGTCTTTCGCGAATTTCGTACTAACTAAATTTGTCATCGATTGAGACTGGTTTGCTCAAAATTGGAGAGCATCCGCTGGGAGGCCTCCGTTCTTCCGGAAATTTACGCTCTAAAATTTCTGGGCCAGAAATAAATGATACAAAATTGCTGCCCATTTATTTACTCACCATTCTGTGAAAGTCGGCCAACAGTTTTGCATTCAAATGTGTCAATGCGTTCAGTTCCACGGGAATGATATCGCGAACCTTCGTGTGACTGAGGTTACCTGGAAAATTAAGAATGCGAGGTCAGAAATCACGCCAAGTGTCACGTGGTGACCCGTACAAAATACAAAATACTACCTTGAGTATCACCACTCGGATTGATGAACCACCTCGAAGAAAAATCCCAGCCAGATTCCGCCCCAGATTTCAGATTGAAGTACAACTCGTCCTTTTCCTGGGTGGAGTTGAGCTTATCCGCCAGGAGAAAATCCTCCCTGATTTACAACCACAAAAATTACATAATGTCGTCACTAACGTACGTAGGACTCATCACCAAAATCAGCACATTTTTGATCATTTGTCCTCTCTGGGAATTTATTTTAAAATTCTGGAAGACAAATTTGTAGAGCAGGTCGTTCCCAATTTTTTAAAAGAAATATACACTCCAGATTTTTCCACTTTTTGGCGGAGGAGATCTGAAGTGTTTAAGAAGCCTTCAGAAAAATTGGAACTCGTCGAAACTCGCTTAAAAACTCGACGCCATTCCATCCATCAACTCACTGAGGACAAATTTATCGTCCAGAATTTTAAAATAAGTTCCCAGAGGGGAGAAATCCTTAAAAAAGTGGTAATTTTGACAATGAGTCACCGGTTCCAATTTTTCTGAAGCCTTCTTAAACTTGAAATATCCTCTTTAAGAAGTGTCAAAATCTGGAGTGTATGTTTTCATAAAAATTGGGAACGACTTGCTCTACAAGTTTGTCATCCAGAATTATAAAATAAATTCCCAGAGCGAAAGAAATGATTTAAAATTTGAGTCATCACGTTAAAAAACTGTCCATTTTTTTTACCTGTACGACTCCGGCCGTGGTCCAGTCAGCTCGACGTTGTACCGCATAACGCGATAACTCTTGCCCTCCGCACTTTGCACGGTGAGGGACCGATTTTGCACCCAGAAATTGAACTCCTTCTCCAAAACGGGCAGATTAGTTCGGACAAAGTCGATGTCTTTGGTGTGGTCCAGGTAGAGTTTGACCATCGGGGTGAGAAAGGGGGGTTGTGACCGCCGGAAATAAATCCGCCCCCCGTTCGGTACATATCTAGAGCATTTAAAAATAGGAATATTTTGAAAACTCGGTTTTTTGATTATTCAGATTTTGGTAAAATCGGTTTTGGATTAATCGGATTTTACAAAATTATAGGAAACCGGTTTTAGAGTATGTGCAAAACCGGATTTTAAAATCAGTTTAATACAAATTTTAGAAAGTTTGCAAATATAATAAATTTTTTAAAAATAATTTAAAAATAATTTAAAAATTTAATACAAAAATTAAAATTAAATTCATTAACAGAAATATTAGCTCCAAAATGGTTTGTCTTATTAAAAATCAAAACCGGACAGTTGTAAAATCGGTTTTCGATCAATCCTTTAAAAACCGATTTTACAAAATCGGAAAAACTGATTTTCACATACCCCAGAAGATTCACCATCTCGACGAAGTTCTCCAGCATGCCGCGTACCGTGGTCCCCATTTCCGAGAGGAGGAGCCCCTTCATAATCCAGTAGGAGTCCCAGTAAAAGAACTCGCGGAACCGGCCGCCGGGGACGATCACGGGGTGCGACGTGTAAATCATGGAGTATAATTCCGCCCTGTTTTTCACATCGTCCTTTATCTTCCGCCCCAACTCTTTCCAGTACGAGTGGATCTGCGTCGCCCAAACCTGCAGGATACGTGTTCACATTCATTCATTTGAAACTGATTATGATACTGAATGAAAATTAATTTCCTGTCATTTGAATATCATTTCTGAATGCATAACGAAGAATGAAAGGATTTTTCACTCTATACTTAACAAATAGGGAAATGAAGAAATTCAAAATTCAAAATCATTCAGAAATGAAGTCCGATGAATAGAAATGAAATGAATTTGAACGAAAACGAGTGAAAATCGTCCATCAGAAATTGGATGAAGTAGGTAATGAAGTGAAATGAAAAGAAATGAAAAGTGAAAATCTTCAGTCAGGAATTGGCTAAGTAAGAAATGAAGTCCGATGAAGTGAAATGAAATGAATTTGAACGAAAACGACTGAAAATCTTCCTTCAAAAATCGAGATGACTGACTGACTTATGAATGAAAACTAAATTTTCGACCAGGTAAGCCTCACCTGCAAGTGGGGGTCCGTAATGTTCTTGATGAATTGTGGGTCCGGATGCCAGTCGGTCGGGTTCCAGGGGGCGAATTCTGACCCAGCCTCGTCGAAATTGGCCGCCACGAAGGATCCCACCTCGTCCCGGGTGGGCTTTTGTTTGTGCGCTTTCATAAAAGCGTCAAAGTTTCTGAGCACTTGGTCCGGCGAGGTTTTCAATTTCATGTCCACGAAAGTTTTCGAGTCTGGGAAGAGTCCCGACATCTGAACCGTGTGGAGGAGGAGGCCGTGACAATAAATGGCGCTGTAAGAGAGAGACAAAAGCGACAAGAAATTAGCTTTCAATCATATTTAAGATTTCCATTTCGGGTGTCCGGGTTTCATTTCTGGCGTTTTTTCTTTACATTTCATGCAGTACGAAATAAGCAAGGAAAGAAATTTTGTGATGCGAGAAGTGGGAGAAACTGCAAGAAAGCGCAATAAAGTGAAATAAAATGCAAATATCTATGCAAATATTTCTTGGGGGTTTGCTACATTTTTTACACTGAAAAGAAATGCGAGGTGCAAGAAAGTGTGAAAAACTGCAAGAAAGTGGGAGAAACTACAATCAAGTGAAATAAAATACAATTAAGAAATATGTAAATATTTCTTGGCGGTTTGCTACATTTCTTGCACTGAAAAGGAAGCCACACAAGACATACATGTCCTCTTATATGAGGTGCAAGAAATTGGGAGAAAGTGCAAGAAATATGGGCCATTCTTGCACCGTGCATTTCTCCCAGGCAAAAATAAACACCTGCAAAAAACCACTTTCTTCTCCCTGTTATTTCTTGCACGTGGTTATTCCTTGCATTGCACCCCTCGAAACACTGCCCGCCGTCATTTTGACACGTCTGAAAATTTTAGGACGGCTGAATATCTATTATTTGCTCTTTGTTTTCATCTCTTCAAACTTTTGCCCACACACATTTTGTATGACAACGGGTTGAAAATGGAGTGAAAACGCCCCGCTAAATGCTTGTCGTCCCCAGCAGCAGCACCATTTCTCACTTGACATGCATGTATAAGCAACTTTTTGTCTAAAGTCAAACTACGAGTTGTGTCCTCGCAGGCAGTGGCCGCGGAAGCTGTGGGCGGGACATTAACATTGTGGGATTATAGGGGGAGGGACGGGTTTATATGAGATAGGAAGATGATGCCGACATCGAACAACCGTGGGGACATTGTCCCTCTATTGCGCGGCCACTGTGTGTGAGAGACGACTGAGAACAGGATATGCTTTCCCTTCTGCTCAACACAAATACTAACAATGCGAGATCAAAGAAGTTTTCGGACTGTTTTCACCCTTTCACAGAACTATTTCTGGCATCAGTGGAAGCGGCGGCGGAAGGTGGGAGGGGGGACATGGGGGACATTAGCATTGTGGGATTGGAGGATGAGCCCGAGTAGAAATTTCTGTATTGAATTCTACATGAATCAACAAATGATCTATACGTATTGCATTTTTGGCATAAAATTTATATCGGTTTTATTATGCATAACTGCATGTGCATAATTATGCATAATTCTCCATCGCAATTCATGGACAAATCGCTTTGCATAAAGTAGCTCTACATTCTTCGTAGACAATCAGGCTAAATTTCTCCATAAAATCGAACAAAACGGGTCAAACTCATGCATAAATTCACGGCAAATTCCTGCATAAAATCACGCCAAATTCCTTCATAAAATCACGCCAAATTCCTGCATAAAATCACGCCAAATTCCTGCATAAAATCAAGCCAAATTCCTTCATAAAATCACGCCAAATTCCTTCATAAAATCACGCCAAATTCCTGCATAAAATCAAGCCAAATTCCTTCATAAAATCACGCCAAATTCCTGCATAAAATCACGCCAAATTCCTGCATAAAATCACGCCAAATTCCTGCATAAAATCACGCCAAATTCCTTCATAAAATCACGCCAAATTCCTGCATAAAATCACGCCAAATTCCTTCATAAAATCACGCCAAATTCCTTCATAAAATCACGCCAAATTCCTGCATAAAATCACGCCAAATTCCTGCATAAAATCACGCCAAATTCCTGCATAAAATCACGCCAAATTCCTTCATAAAATCACGCCAAATTCCTGCATAAAATCACGCCAAATTCCTGCATAAAATCACGCCAAATTCCTGCATAAAATCACGCCAAATTCCTTCATAAAATCACGCCAAATTCCTGCATAAAATCAAGCCAAATTCATTCTCAGGAAGGACACACTCACACAAACAATCCACAATTTTTCCAGGGTCAATGTCCCCCTTTTCCCCTTTACCCTCCGCCGCCACTGCCTGTCACCTCCACTTTCTCCTACCTACACCCAACCAACTACCTACCCCATAAAGCACCTACCTACATAACTCTGGGAACTTACTTACCTTTCGCATGGTGGTAGCGGTGGTGGCGGTGAGACGGCTGCCGAATTCAAGTCCAAGAGGAGACATAATATCGTAAAGAAAATCCGAAGGAGGAGAAATTCCATGATTTTCTTTTTTCCTCACTTTCTTCTTCTGCACTTTGTTCTTCTTGTTGGTCAACTTTTCTTTCGTCTCAAGTTATCTTTTTTTTCGTAACGAGCCAAAAAGTTGTGTGGCCTGGCGTTATGTAGTGTGAAGGATTTAAAGAGAGAGAGAGAGAGATCGGATATCTGGAGGAGAAAAGTTTCAGAAATCAGTTTCAGAAATCAGTTTCAGATATCACACAGAGAAATCCTGGAGAAAAACTTGGTTGCTTGGTTTTTGGTGAATCTTGGTGTATCGCTTTATTATTCCTTTTTTTAAGAGGAGGAGGAGTAGGCGATAGGATTCCAGTAGCAGAAGAAGCGTCACATCACATTCTTGCACTGTGCAGAACAATAAGAGATTTCGAGTGTCAGATAAATACATGCATAAATAGTTTCACATTATTCACTTAAGAGTAAGAGAGAGAGGGCAGTGTGTGAGTGAGTGTGGGAGAAATAAGGGGGGAGAAAGTGGTTTCGTGCAGGGGAAATATTTTGAAGTGGGAGAAATGCAGGGTGGGAGAAAGGACGCCCCGCTGATGTAAATACTTCATACGGCGCGTGGCTAGATGGAGCTTATTTCTTGCTACGAAATTATGGCAAGAAGTCGCCATCTGAGGCTGAAAAGCAGAGAAATCTGAGTCCTGGCGATGTAAAACTGTCACATTTTAACATTTTAACATTTTTTAACATTTTCTTGCACTTTCTCACAGTTTCTGGCACCTCACATTTCTCCCGTTTCTTGTGTTACAGTGCAAAAAATAACGGCAAGAAAGGGTTTTTTGCGGCTATTTTGACCTGGGAGAAATGCACGCGCGAGAAACTACGCCCTACAGCTTTAAATACTTCGTACGGCGAAGATGGTTGGGTTAGATGGCGCCTGTTTTTCGTACATTTCTTGCACCTCACATTTCTTGCATTTCTTGCTTTTCGCACTGCAAGAAATGTATATAGCAAACCCGTCAAACACTGAGAAACCCTGCTTGAGAGAGATTTACGAGCACAAATCATCCCCCGAATTGTGCCATTAAGCAAAAATATCGCATATTGACGACAGACACATGAATCAAATATTTTTGCTGTGCTGGGTACGTGCGAAATCACACTTCTTCCCTTAATGCGAGGAACGACTCAATCTCATCTCACGTTCTCAAGGAGAGAAGAGAATCTTTTTAGAGAAAAATCTGGTGTAAAGCTCAGCATACAAAATGAAATCCTAATTTAGACTTTACTTATGACATGCCCTTTTTGCCCCGTGGTTAAATTTATGCCCAATCTTACCCTAAATTCGCATGGAATTTATTTTCATACCGGGTGCCATTGCACAACTCTATATTTGTGGATGGATTACTTTACTTAAAACCATGCGAAACACGGTAAACTGCTCGATTACGTAATAACACAGACATGAATATAGGAAAATACTTATGTAATTCCTGACTCGAATCTTTGCAATTCAGTAAACTCCACAAACTTATTAAAAATTATAGAGGAAAATACATCGCTCGCACAGATTTTACACGAAGTTTACACAGTTTACAAATATCCTAGAGTGCTAAATATGATAATCTTCATAGTAGAAGTCTACATACCCCTATTTACATATCCTGCAACCCAGTAAACTCCGCAAACTTATACTTTCTACGAGTTATATAAAATTATGGAGGAAAGTAGTCCCTAAACTGGCACAGATTTTACACGAAATTTACACACTTCACAAAGTCCGAGCGTCCCAAATATGCTAATCTTTCTAGCCCCCAATTTGTCACCCTTGGAAAGGAAAAAAATCAGATTCAGTATTATTTTTTTACCTTCTAGACTCCTCCAAAAAAAGTAGAATCGACCTCCTCTAACTTTCTCCTCTTCTCTACGAGACAGAAAACCAAGGTGAGACGACACGACTTCGTAGACGACGCCGGAGGAGAAAGTCAAGTGTCACACTTGCCGAGATTCCCAGCCAACCCGTTCTGCTCCCAGATTCCTGCCTCGTCTCCTTCTTATACGAAAAAACAAGACCCGGCCGGGGAGAAAGTGGAGAAAGCGTCTCCTCCGTCTCAAAGTCCACGTCCACCACCACCAAAATTCCCTCTTTCTCTCTCTCCTCAGATTAATTCCTCTTGGAAATCTTCTCTTTTAAGCGTCCATCCACGCACACTTGCTGCCTTCCTGCCGCTTTAACAATGCGATGAGATCTGTCCAATTCCGCCTCTCTACTCTCTCTCTCAACACACGTTACGTTTACTTCCTCACACAAATTGCACCACTAAATCTAACCCAACGTCAGCCAGCTAAGCTAGCCAGCCAAAAGTTGTGAACGAAACGATGAATGGATGCTTGGCAGGCAGATGCATGTGCTGAACTGACAGACCACTAAAAATTCAGCAGGAGGATGTAATACATACTACATAATCAGTGGCCGCGGAAGGGCAGAGGGACAATGGGACCCACGGTTGTTCGATGTCATCATCTCCCCATCTTATACAAACCCGGACCTCCCTTATCTATCCTACAATGTTACTGATGTCCCCCGATGTCCTCACACCTTCCGCGGCCACTGGTCATAATCTATAAGGTGGCAATAATAATAACGTGTGAGTCTGATTTTCCTCAAGGTATAAACATCACCACCATCATCGTCACAGGTGACGTGACGATAACCCAAAAATTGCGTCAGACTCCTCGATAAACTTTTTTTATGAGTAGTTTACACCTGTTTAAGAACCAAGCCTCCAAATTGGTCCAATTTCATTGGTCCGTGAGAGCCACACACCCCCAAATAACTGGGTGCACGTGGTACTAAAAAATTGCATGCATGTAACCACCTCAATAATGCCAATCACATTGCGTGACGATGGACGATGGACGTGAACGTGGACGTAACATTTCAAGTCGCACAACAATTAATGGAGTAACCGTGTCGGGCAAGTGAGTCGTCGTCCATCCATTTTCATTAATCAGCACCAGCAGGAGAGGTTAGATGATATCGAGATCAGTTTGAGGTCGTAGTCTCGCCGAGGCGTCGAGGAGTTGGCTGGATGGCGATTACTCAGCAGAAATTTCTGATCAGAATCAATCACATGAGACAATCGGAGAGGCCAAGTGATGGTGTGAGTGAGAGATCTATGGAATAGCTTAGTTGGTCAACAATGTATGTATGCCAAACAGTGGCCGCGGAGGAAGGTGTGGGGACATTAACATTGAAGGAGAGATGGGGGGAAGGGACGGGTTTATATACGATGTGGGGAGATGATGCCGACATCGAACAACCCTGGGGACATTGTCCCTCTGTCCCCGCGGCCACTGAAGAATTGGGATCCTGCTGGCTTGACTTGGCTAAGGCAATCACGAAATGTGTTGGGTGTGCAAGAATCAAATTACTATCATCAAAATTGAGGTAGGAGTGCGAGTCAAGGCCAAAAATTCAGACGTATTAAATACATTTTTCTCAGCTACTAATTGTTCCTCGTCGTCATTTAATTTCAGTGGGCGCGGAAGCTTGAGGGACAATGTCCCCACGGTTGTTGGATGTCCGCATCATCTGCCCATCGTATATAAACCCGGCCCTCCCATATCATGCAATATTAATGTCCCTTCTGCTTCCACGGCCACTGTTTAATTTAACTCTACAATTGTTATTATTTATTTCCTGTATGTAAAAATTGCATAGAAAACAATTGCATGAAATTGGCATATGAATATTAAAACAAATCTGATCTACCCAAAACGAGATTATTTTAATTGTCAGATTCATTTGCATGCATTGTAGAATATAATTGCCACCCTGAGAATGTTGCGGATTTGTGAAACCTATCATTTATTGGCGACCGACTGCGCAGAAAAAGACCCGATTATATACGTATACAAAAATCTCTAAGAATTTGCAACATCACGCTACACACATACGTATGTACGAGGATTGAATTGTACGTAGTAAAATTAATTTCTGCATCAATTATCCTGCCAACTTTAATATTGAATGATGAGTGATGTATGTAAGTAAAATGTGAGTTTTGTTATAAAACTCGTGTCAGGCAGGAAATCATAGTTGTACGGATGCCTCTTCATAATAAGGAGGCCAATTTTACCATAAATTAATCTAAGTAAACAGTAAGAAAGTGGTTTCTTGCATAGAAATATTTTGACCTGGGAGAAATTCACGGCGCAAGAAACTACGCTCCGCCTCGGTAAATACTTTATCCGGCGCGTGGCTAGGTGGCGCTTATTTCTTGCACTTTCTCCCAGTTTCTTGCACCTTGAATTTTTTACTTTGCACTCCAAGGAATGCAGCAAACCCGCCAGAGAGACGAGACACTGCCATAAATTTCCAGGTCATCTGCAACATGTGATATGTCACGTGTCCAAAATATTCAAAATTTATTCTCATCGTACAACTCTAACCGGAAATAAAGTTTAGAAATATGCTTCAATCATTCTCATTCCACGCCATTAAATCAAACTAATAACAATTCTCCATTTAATTCCAAGAAGCAATTAAATATTCGCATTGTTCGCAAATAATGTTCGCAAATAATATGCGAATATATGTACAGCCAGGGAAATGAATTCATGTCACTCGGAAAATTTTAATGGTGAGTCAATGACTTGTAAAAATGTGGACATAATTGGACCTCCTTTGATATTTGACTCGATTCAACCTCCCATGAAAAACGAGTCGACTGTGCAAAATTGGCTGAGAGATGAGGACAAAGTGATGTGATGTACAGGACAGAGAACAGTGTTTAAACAAACAGTGGCCGCGGACGGGTTAGGTGACAGAGGGACAATGTCCCCACGGTTATTCGATGTCGGCATTATTTTATACAAACTCTGCCCTCCCCTATCCTACAATGGTAATGTCCCCAGATGTCCCCACACCTTCCGCGGCCACTGTTCCGTCAGTGCAAACAATAAATGAAATGAAACAGGACGTCGGGACGCTGATACCTGCGCATATTGGATTTATATTGCACCTTATCATACCCAGAGGTTATTTGGCTTCACTAATTACTCCGTTTGAAACTGACAAGGGAGGTATCTCAAAGGATGCTCTCCGATTTTGAGAAAATTAGTGACAATCGATGACAAATTTAATTAGGATGAAATTTGGGAAAGACACGATCTCCCAATGGGCACGTTTGGCAGAGATGTTTGCATCCCCAGAGGAGAAAACACCCAATAAATTTGGAAATTTTAAAATGTGTCCACTTTAAGACGCGTTTTCTCCACTACGGATGCAAATATCTCGGCCAAACGTGCCCATTGGGAGGTCGTGTCTTTCCCAAATTGCATACTACCTAAATTTGTCATCGATTGACACTAATTTGCTCAAAATCGGAGAGCATCCGCTGAGAGACCTCCATTCTGAATACATACGCATTAGTGTTTCAATTTCACCAGAAAGATAAAGCATTGCCAAGTCGTAATTAGTAACACGATTTGCTCTGCAATTTGTGCTCCTTGTTGTGTTTCTCAGTTCCGTCATCTTTTTACTTTTATTAGGAAAGAAGAAGACTAAAGAGACACGTGGACGTAATGTATATATTTTGGAGAGAGATGAAGGACTTTACCCACTTATTAAACTTTTATGGGAATCCGTGTCTGTCTGTCGGTCCTTTGAACGGATTTAAATTGAGAAGGACTTTACCCATTTATTAAAGGGGGATACCCTTTTATATGAATGCCGTGTCTGTCTGTCCGGAATTTTTTCAACTGATTTGAATTTGGACATGCGCCTTCGTAAATGTATTGGGGAGGAGTTAAGCTGACATGACATCCCCTCATAAAAGGTCACGTGGATGAAGTTAATTATCAAAAATGTCAAAAACGTCGTACAAATCGAATTTTAATATTTTAGACGGTATTTCAGAAATCGGGGAACATAATTTCCACATGTGTGTAGACAAGGTGAAAGTTCAAAAGTGTCGAAATTTTGACACGGGTTTCACCCCTTTGTTACATTTCGTTTGCTGTTACGTATCTGATCTGCCTGGAGATAGATTCATATGTCGAGAACTTAACGAGGCTTGATTATTTGTTGATTACTTACACAACGTTTGACTGACTAGCGAAAAGCGTAATTTGTTATGCTCGAATTCCACGGGGAGGAGTTGCGAGGTATATTTAGTCCCAATCTGCTCTCTCTTGGAAACACATTTTATTTACAAAATTGAGTGCAGTGGCCGCGGAAGGTGTGGGGACATCGGGGGACATTAATATTGTAAGTTAGGAGACGTCTGGGGACATTAACATTGTAGGGTCGGGGGCATTAACATTGTAGGGTCGGGGGCATTAACATTGTAGGGTCGGGGATATTAACATTGTAGGGTCGGGGACATTAACATTGTAGGGTAGGGAATATTAACATTGTAGGGTAGGATACATTAACATTGTAGGGTAGGGGACAGTGACATTATAGGGTAGGGAATATTAACATTGTAGGGTAGGATACATTAACATTGTAGGGTAGGGGACAGTGACATTGTAGGGTAGGGCACATTAACATTGTAGGGTAGGGGACATCTGGGGACATTAACATTGTAGGATAGGTAAGGAGGGCCGGGTTTATATAAGATGGGGAGATGATGCCGATATCTAAAAACCATGGGGACATTGTCCCCCTGTCCCCACCCTTCCGCGGCCACTGCTTGCTCGCCATACAAATTAGAAATTATTTCCGGAGAAATTCCATTCATCGAGTTTCCCAACAATTTGAGGGGCATTCTCGTCCAGAGAATAGGTTTCATTAGGGAGCAAAAGTTTGCAAATTAGTTGAGGACGGATTTCTCACTAAACTTAAAACAGCTTTAAACAAGACCACGTACATACGTCCGTACGGACTTGTATTGCTCGAAAGACGTCACGTTTTAAAGCACGACATGATTTTCACTCAAAAATACAAAATAATCATGTCTCTCTTCATCAACTGCGTAGTAAGTAAATTAAGAAAGTTGAGATTTTTTCACACGAAGGGAAAAGTGAGACGAAATTATTTCCAAAATGAGTCGATTTAAGGAGTTTTCTGTTTAATTTTGTAGAATTGTATTTTTTATTTTATAGCGAGACATTTAATCACGTCAACTTGAGAAAAAATTTTGAAATAAAAATTATTTAGCTTAAAAAACCAATTATCCTGAAAATATTTTTTTATTTTAATAAATTTTGAAAAAATAAGATTTAAAGAATCAAGGGCAAGATTATGAGTTGATTTATCCATTTAAGATGACGACACGACACAAATCGTGAAAATTTGAACATTTTTAATCATTTTTCGGCTCTGGGAATTTATTTTAAAATTCTGGAAGACAAATTTGTAAAGCAAGTGTTTTCTAATTTTTGGAAAATATACACCCCCAGATTTTGACACTTTTTGTCGGAGGAGATCTCAAGTTTAAGAAGCCTTCAGAAAAATTAGAACTCATCGAAACT